CTATAGTATTTATATTACTAACTATGTACTTATATTACCTATATATATATATATATATATACCTTTATTATTAATATTTTTTTAATTTATATTAAATTAAGAAGTAAAGTTTATAATATAAGTATTAGGCCTAAATTAAAAAAATTAGTATTATTAAATAAGTATATATTTTTATTTTAATTTTTTATTTTATAGCACTTGCAAACGCCTTTTATTAAGTATATTTTAAACTAATACTTATTATAATTACTATATTATTTTATATATTTATTAATAAGGGCGGTTTAAAAACTTATAAGGTATTTATTATTAAATATAAAAAAAGCTAGCCTAGCTAGCAGCTTAGGATCTTAAATATTAATAATAAAATTTATTTTAATAGCAGGTTTAATTTTAAATTTAAGTTCGCATTTAGGTTTAGGTTTAGGTAAGGTATTATATAGCATATTAAATATACTTAAAATACTTATAATAAATACTTTAAACTAAATAAACTTATATTAAAACAAGGGCGTTTGCGCAGGTACCAAAAATAAAAAAAACTTAATATTAAATTAATTAAAAAAAAAGTTATTTACGCAGGTGCTAAAAATAAAAAAAAACCTAATATTAAAGCAAAGGGTCCTAGTATTAAAGTAATTAAAAAAAAGTTATTAATAAAAAAACTAGTAAAAAAACTAATAAAAAAATCTTAGTTAGTAAAGCCGCGCCTTTACCACTTATACTTATAAAAATAATTAATTAAAATAATATAAAAGTAGCTAAATAAGCCTTTTTAATATAATTAATAACTTTATATTTTTTATAAATAGTTACTTGCTTTTTACAAGCTAAAGCCATTAATTTTATATTTAAATTATAAATACCTTAATAATAAAAAGTAAAAAAACCTTAAGAATAGCTAGCTGCCCGCGGACTAATTTATTAAATAAAAATTATATAATTTAAAAATATAGTAGTTAATGCTATAAAGTTTAAATAGGTAATAATTAAAAAATTAGGTAAAGTAGCCTTAATACTATTATATTTTATTATTATTAATATAAACTAAAGTACTAAAGCAAGTTAACTAATTATATTTAATTAAGCTTTTATAAGCTGCTAAAAAATAAATAAATAAAGTTAATATTTATAATTATTAAATAATAAATATATATATAATTTACTTAATTATATTTTAATATTTTTAGTATTAAGTAATTAGCTTTAATATATACTTAATTAAAATAAACTTTAATATAAGCTTAAAATTACTATAATATAAGTAGCTTTTACTAGCTAAAATAACAGGAGGCTTTATCATAAAAAATATTTATTTATAAAAATATAAATAATATATATATTAATAAAATATGATAATAAAAAATATTAATAATAATAATAATATTATAAAAAAAGGTGCGAATAATGGGGTTATAATAATAAGCTTTTAAAAGTAAATATTACGTGTAAAGGGGAAGCTATTTTAAAGTAAAAAGGTATAGGTTTATATAATACTACTTTAGCTTTAAGTAGCTATTTATAAAATTAGTTAAAAAAAAGTAACTAATTAAAAATAGTAAAGCTTGCTTAGTTAAAATTTCCTAACCTAGTTAGTCCTGGAACTAACTTTTAAATTTTAGTCCTAAAGTACTGCAAATAATTACAAAGCTAAATACTATAATTATTAATTATAAAAATAAAAAAAATTTATTTATAACCCTAAGAATTATATATTATAGCAGCAGCTATTTTATCCTGTGTAATAAGATATTATTGAAGAAAAGATTAAAAAAATATATGATAGGCTTATAATTATAAAATAAAAAAATAATTAGAAAGCTTTAAGTCATTAAATAATTATAATAAAAGCTAAATACGCGCATGTTTTTTAAGTATTAAAATAACTATTTATATAAAAGAAAAATTACTAGTATCTGCATGCTTACAGCGCGGCCTGGATTTTGATAGTTCTAGTTTTATTAAATAAAGGGAGTTCCTTTAATTAACACTTTATTTAACAATGCATATCTAGTCCACGGAGGTAAGCTGCTTGTTTACTTTTTTTGTAAATATTATACTATCTTTTTTATATAATATATTTCCCCTTTCCAGCTCCAAAGTCAAATAACTAGATATTAAAATTTATAAGATATAGAAATAATTTAAGTAATAGTATTAACTTTTATTACCCTAATTAAAGCCCCGTGCTTGTTATATTAATATTAGCTACCCTTGAAACTAAGAAAGGGTATTTAAGAAACTTTTTTACTTTATATATATGCCCCTGCCTATTCTAACTTTCTCAATATATATTTAGTAAATTCATTTGCTATTATTAGTATAATATACAACATTTTTATATATATATTATAATATTTACTACTATAATAGTTATAATTTTTAAACCAATTAATATTAATATACCTATAGTAACACCCTTAATTATAAACACCCTACCTATAGGGATTTAACTAATATTAAGCTTCAATTATTATTATATAAATCTTAAAAAATAAGTACTAGTTTATATTTTATGAAGTTATAAGGCCTGGTACCTACTCTTAAACTATTTTAGTTCTTAATTCTAGCAAATAGCAAGCTAAGTCGATTTTTATTTTTTATTTATAATTTTTTAAACTTATAGTTTATTATGTTCTATATTTACTAGACCTAGTTATATAATAAAAATATAAAATATATATTTATAAAAAGTACTTTAAATTTCATTTTAAAAATATATATTATAAACCTGCCTTAAAAATAATACAGGGCTTGCAAAACCTAGTTATAGTAAATTAGCTAATAAAAGTGTAATTAAAGCCTGGTTAGGAAATTAAATTAGGCGCAGCCTAAAACTAAAATATATTTAGTTTATTTATTATGCAAAGCCCCAAGAGTAATAAGGTTAATATAGAGTATAATTTTGCAGCGGATAACATCCTGGGAGCAGAGAGGAAGAATGGCTTGGGGGATACAGGGGGTTTGCATTATCATAATCGTTGATTCTGGAGTATGTACGTGTAACAAGCGCAAGCACCAATTCCTCTGTTGAGAGGATCTGAATTAGTGACTGTACGCTAGGCGAGATAGACTTGATATCATCCGCATTTATGTTCCAGCCTGGAGGAGGTTATATCGACAGCACCCGTTGAGTTGATGGGTACGTCAAGTCAGGTGGAGGCTGGTAGGCTAACCACGGTCATGTTCTTGACATCGCAGTTAGGTCAAAGGTCGATAAGTATGAGGCGACATCTAGAACACCCGACGGAAACTGCCGGTCGTAAATTCGAAGTCCAGAAAACTCGAGTTCAATCTCCGGAATTCCAACAGTCCTCCATCACATTCAATTAATCCCCGGAATCTTCCAGCGTCATTCGTTTGCAGCCAGCTTTGAGAAAACAAATAAGCTGAACCGACTACGAACGCATGAACCTTACAGACCCCGACGAAGCCAACATGAACCGCCGAAACAACAACAACAGCGTCCCATCAGAGCGAGATAACGCATCTGCATCTTTGTCTGAGAGAGGCAACGGCGCGGACTTCATACATGGCGCAATGCTGGCCAATCCAGGAGTATTCCCTGAGGCTACGAGCAGCCAGCATCAGCCCATAAGTACGAGCCCGTCTATCGCAGCTGGGCTGGCTATGGCTAGGGATTCAGAACTGAGGTACATGGGGCGACGATGGGCGAAGCCGGGAACGCGCTAGTCAATCGGTATATGGCCCTGGGTGGGAGCCGATACCTAGGATGGGTAGATGGTGAACTTGTAGGGGGAGGCTCACATCGGGGAGGAAAGCCTACCATACAGTGCTGTTTGTTCTTTTTTATATAGATTTGAACATGCCTGTTGATTGCGGCCAAGCTTCCGGATTTCTGATACTTGTAGAAATTGATGGATCCTCATTCTACAATTCTAGAAGACTGCCCAGATGTACACGGCATGATTCACATGCATGTGCCCGTTGCAGCCCAGTTTCTAGAATGCGGATATTCCCCGTTCAATCCCGCTCCCAACAGAAACAGAAAATATGTAGTACTATAAAATTGAAGGAGCATCCGGCTGTTCGGCCCAACACCCAGTCAAACTTCACTGTCCCCCATGGAGATCACCATGTCAGGCTTATATGCCCCTTATGGCACTTCTCCGCGCAGTACTCGGGGCCTTTTCCTGACATCAACGCCAAAAAACTATGCCCGTCATTGAAGGGTACTTCTGAAGTGAGCAGCCATAAGCCAGGCATAAAACATACCCTTGAATCTTTATAGATCTCACTGCGGCTGAGCCATCTCGTTCAAAGCACATCCACAAGAGACCAAAGCTGGTGGATGAAGCCTCCCCTACGGAACACGTTCAGGTCCCATGAACAGCGACGGAGACCTTGAGAAGGATCCTGAGTTGCATAAGGATGTTTTCCAGGCGGACGGGAGGGCGGAGGGTCACCAGGGGGTCTATGATGATATAGTGAGCAGAATGCGGATTATGACGATTTCCAGCTGATCCACTTGAAAGATGAGAGAACCATGGTAAGCCCAACAATTGCGATGTACTGGAAAAGGTGGTATTAGTATTTTCTACATATAGAGAAAATAAAGTTCCATCTTGTGAGGTTGGACTCAGCTTTTGCAGCAGCTACAGCCCTCTCTTTCGAGTAACAATATTTTGAATAAGCACCCAATATAATGAAATGAGAAGCCACGCAAGGGCGGAGAGCACATGCAAAACCCCGACTCTGCCCTAGTTGACATCAGCATCAAGTCACGAAAATGTAATCCACTTGGCACGATCCAACGAATATACCCAGGCAAAGGTCCATAAATACAAACCATCCCATCGGACCTAAGCCCTGCGTATACTCAGGACGAATATTCTCCAACTTCTCTTGGGGAAGAAACAAATCCTCTTCCTTGCAACCACATACCATATTGCAGTCCAGCTACTTGATTCAACAAAGAACCAATCCCCACAGCGAACATCAACACGCACCTCCTCAGAAGCATGAACGCCCAAAGCAAAATGTCCTCCGAGAACCCGGCGGACATCAGGATGCCCGCGACCGAGTCAGATCCAACTGGAACCTCCATGTCGGACCTGGACGGCGGTGTTAGGATCGGCAACACAAGCGTAGTGGATGACAAGGAGAATGACCGCGACGAAGACGAGGACCCGCATCTCCCGTCGCTCGGGGAGTATCTGAAGATGACGGAAGAGCAGAAGAAAGGGGTGATGTTGGATTGCTACCGTTGGCGGTCTTTGAAGGGTGAATAATGCGATTGTTGAGATTTGATGTACATTACTATTTACCATGGATCCTTTTCTGTATGATGATGTATTTGAATAGTAATAGACAGTTGAAGGAAGAGCAGTGAGATGACATCCCCAGATAACGTCCAATGAGATACAATTATCTTTGCAGGTCTGGCTATCCGCGGCTGTCCCTGAGCTGGTGAGGTCATCACCGTAACCCTAATCCAGCCCCGACTGTTCATTAGGGAACCCAAACTCAGTCCACGATTTAGGCCTGCCACAGCCAAAGACGCAATCCTGACCGCGTCCAACCAAACCACCAGTAAACTTAGATAACACGAGCCAAACCCCAAGGGCAACGCCCCCACACACTTCCCCAGGGCCAAACTAGCCATTGGCAGATTCGTCATTGTGTGCCTATTGCGACAACTCGCTCCTGATCGACACGGCCAGGAAGCCTATCAGCGAGCGGGTGCCGATTTTATTTCGCTGGCAAGCTAAGCAAGACCCTGATATGGGGCTGACCTGGGGGCTCGGGCTGCGCTGTGGGTGCACGACCTTGGGAGCATGGCAAAAAAGAGTTTTGCAATAGATTCTCCAAGTATACCCAGCAGGATACAGATTTGGGCTATTGGAAGACGGGTGCATATGCTTTTTCAGGAACTTCTTGTACCGCCATGCCGTGTCCTGTGAGAAGTTGTGAGAGTTCCAATATAACTATATGCATGCTAAGAACTACTCTGACTAACAATGGCCTCAGTTTCTCCTTCGGACGGTGTCATCAGCCCGTTATCTTAAATGGAGATAACTCTGCAGGCCCTGTTCGGACATGTCCCGAGGTCGCCAACAGCAAGGGATCGGGGTATTATAGAACCTTATGTGTATGTGTAGTCAATGAATGATGCTCCATTGGACGGGGAGTAAGGTACAATCGCCCAAGCAAATCATATTCAGCGTCTGATATGACTCGGAATGGATCTCCGCGTCATGACGTCTTCGTCGGCGCCCAAGAATCCTCTCCTCTTGTCCACCAAGCTGCCACCATGATAGTCGACCAGTCGGGTGAAGTCCTTGGGACAGGACTCGAACCTCTTTGGGCCGCGGAGCTCGAGCCTGGGCAGATCAAGGGGAAGCTTGACCTTGACCCTGAAGCGGGCCACAGAAATGGAATGCATCTCAGACCTATCGGAGTGTCGCCCCTCACTTTCTCCATTGGTAAGTACAACCAATTACTGCCCAACATATGCAAAGCAATCATCTAACATTCTACCAGCTACAAATTTCATAAATATTCACAAAGAGTGGGCGCTTGCCCGGGGCCTGGACGGGTTTCCAGATATGCAACAAAAGAAGGAGCGAGCGTTTCTTACACATGGATCCAGGACATGCTTTCCAAGTGTCTTAAAGCAAAATCAAAAGCAACTAGCCTCCAGCCGGTCCTTCAAGAGGGCAACAAAGGCCTCCGGGTCCCACATAACCCATTGGGCTACCGTGACCCCCCTCCAAGCGACCGACTTCTCACCGCGACCGCTATATGGACCGTGAGCTTCCCCGAGGGCAATGATGGCGGCGATCTCAGGAACTACTTGGTAGTCGCCACCGACCAGGGAAACATGGGTAAGTGATATGCTTGGGATGCGGATCTTGACGTTACAGCTTAACAGTGGACATCCTACAGGGATTGTCCATCGTGATCGCAAACAGCAGGGCAAAGAAAAGACAAATGTCTATGGTCTCTCCGTTGAATGTCGCACGTTTAACTTCTTTGATATCGACTCCAGGTCCCGGGTAAGGAAGCACCCTTAATATGCATTTGGACTCTGCTGACTTGACCTTCGCAGGTGCATTCAAGCCCTTCATGTCAGTTTGACGTCCACTACAAACCTGGCGAGGGATTCCACCGGTCCGTAGTGGAGCGAGTATACCCTCCAGAGTACTGGGATAGAATCTATGCGCAGTACTGGGATTACGAGAAAGGCAGGATGAGAAGTAAAGTGACTCATGTGGAGGACACGATTGCCCTGATTCTTGAGATTCTTAACAGAGCGGAAAAAGACTGCGCTTTAACTGTTCCTATGGAGCAAAGCTGAGAAGGCATTTTTCGGAGAAAGCTATTGTTACATGGAGTAACGGGTTACGAGGTCTTTTTGTCAGATAGGGAAGACTTTGGCTTTCGGCGTCTGGCGGACGACTATAGGTCAGCATAGTCCTTCAAAAATGAAACCCTCCTGGAAAATTCATTCCAGGGTCTGGTATTACGTGTCACATTCAATGGTATAACTGTGGTATCTCCAGCTCGTGCTCTCGGGCCATGCGGACCTTGTCTACCATACAGACCAGGGCCTTTCCAATGCTTTCCAATGCTTTCCAAGCCATTCAATTCGCCAAATAGTAACAGACATGCCCGCCCTCTTACAGAATACTGCGTCTACACATAACCAGCTCCAACACAAGCCGCACCAACGCACCAAGCATCAAGCATCAAGCATCAAGCATCAAGCATCAAGCATCAGGCATCAGGCATCAGGCATCAGGCATCAGGCATCAGGCATACCGTGTCCATGGCACCTCCAGAGGCAGGTTCCTCCCCCTCCCCTTCAATCCGGCGCCTCCGACAACTCCAGGTCCATCCCTGCATTGATGGCATCGGAGGTACTAAACACGCCTCAATCCAAGAGCCTCAGCACGTTAAAACCCCACTCCCCTCTCAAGAGGGCATAGAAGCGGCTTTTCCTTTCTCCCATATCTTGAAAATCTCCAGGGCTACCCTATATCCAGCGCTAGGAACCTTCATCTCGTATACTTCGTTGACAAAGCAAGCCCAGCCATATTCTACTGAACGAGCCGGCATCTTGACCCAGGCCCTTATCGATGGGATACTACATGCAAGGCAGTTTGCAGAATTCGGCTAACGAGTGTGTAACCATGAGAGAGCGATGAAGCAGGAGTCTCAGTGTCATGAGAGTCTAATTAATATAATGGAATGTACGCCGGACTGGCGGACAGCTAGTCGGCCATGGTCTATATACATCAGGATGGATAGCATAAGATAAACACATCATTATAGAGACATAAAACGGCAAAGGAAAAGAAAGGACAATGCAATGAGACAAGGAATGGGACGCCGATACTCCATAGAGAAGGCAGGATAGGTAGAGATACATGATATGATAAAAAGACATGAACCACCCTGCCCTAAGACAGGTGGTAAGTAGGTGAGAAGGTAGATCACGGCTTCGAAAGCTGCTCCTTGCGGAAGAAGAGCAAGAAGCCCGCACAAACAAGCAGCTGGCAGAACAGCGCAACCCAGAACCAGGCGTTCGCGAGCTCCCCGGCGCCCTTGGTCATATCGGGACTGACAGGCCCAGGACCGACATTATTCGGCGCGCAGGCACGAGCCACGATCGTCGCAATGGATCCCAGGACCTGAGAGACAATGAGCGTGAAGCACATGTGCATGCGCGTGAGCGTCTGCAGGAGGATAATACCAAAGCCCAAGCCCTGGATACTATCCAGCACACCGAGCCACAGCCACAGACTGCGCGAGACCAAAGCGCCGCCTGTATACCCGCCCGCGACCCAGGGGAGGTAGTACCCGATGCCGGAGACGCCCCACCAGATCTGCAGGAAGCGAGGGGCGCCGAGGCCGCAAGCGAAGACGGGCAGGAACCAGGAGTGCTGCTTGGAGAAGGTGGAGACGATGTAGAGGAAGGCGCACCAGAGGAGGCCGAAGAAGATGACGCAGAGGATGACGATCTGCCAGGCTTTGGCGTGGTCGGAGGTCCATAGGAACGACCAGTTGCGGCCGTAGGGGGCGGACAGGAAGAAGTTCTGCAGGATGACGGCGACGAAGTTCCACAGCACGATTTTGCGGCGGAAGAGCGACTTGTAGAACGAGGGCACTTTGCCGGGCTTTTGGCGGTAGTAGTTGGGTAGGCCGAAGATGAGGAGGAGTCCGATGCCCCAGAGGAGCAGGGCGATGGGGTAGCAGATGGCTCTAGACAAGAAGTTAGTTTGATGTGAAGAGAAGGGGAAGGGGGAGGGTAGGAAAGGTTAAGAGAACGTACGACATCTTCCACGTATTCGAGATCTTATTATCGGCCGTCAGCAAGCCCTCACTTGAAGCCGCCGCCATCGTCGAACCCCAGTACCACAGCGCAATGACATAGACCTGCTGCAGGCCCTGCACCACACACGCGCGGAAAATCCACTTGCTGACGGGCGCACCACCTTCGTCACCAAAGTTCAACGCGAAGAAGATCGATCCAGACGACGAAGCCGCAGAGTAGAACCCACTGCCGACATTCTGGATCCAGCCGCGCGTAAAGGAATCCGCCTCGAAGTGGGCCGACCCAATGAACAGGAACGCAATGCCGTACAGGAACCACGGCGTGCTGAGGCAAACAATGCTCTTGAAGTACCGGAACACAAGCCACCAGCACGCAGAGGTAATCGCGTACACGGTCGCAATGCCATACAGTTTCTCGGCCGTCTGGCCCACCTCGCCTGTCAAAAGCGTAATCTGGTACGAGTTGGCCGCGATAATTTGACCAAGAGCAAGGAAGAGCGTGTAGACCGGCCAATCGCCGATCTTGATCTGCATCCACTTCTTCAGCCCCGTGGGCGGGACATAGTCCTTGCCCAGCAGGAACTCGTCGTCCGTATCGTCAGACTCGTGCATGGCGTCGCCGCTGTGCCGGGGCGCATTGACGTCGACGTCGACGTACAGCGACCCATCGGGTGAACCGTTGCGGCTGCCGTGCAGGTGGTTGTCGCGGAAGATGGAGGGCGTGGGCGACTTGATGCGGCCGAGCTTTGCGTCGCGGAAGCGGTCGAACCAGCGGCGTTCGGACTTGACGAGGAACTCCTCGATGCACAGCTGGGACTCGGAGTTGGAGCCGTTCAGCGACTCGAGTTGGTGCTCGAAGGTGCGGGCGAACTCGCCGTTGGAGTCGGTGAAGAAGGGGTCGACCTTCTGCAGCTTGAAGTCCTTTTTCCCGCCGACGACGGAGTCCAATGACAGCACGGATGCGCTGGAGAGGCGGTTGCCGGGCTCGGCGAAGGGCTTGGGGATTGGGAGGAGGGCGTGCTCTGCGCCTGGGGAGCCCGGGCTTGATGGGGGCATGGGGAGGGGAGACGTGGGCGGCTGCAGGGAGTTGTGGCTGGCGTTGAACGAGCTGGAGCGGTTGGCCTGGGCGCGTCTGCTCTCTTCGATTTGCGCCGGGGTCAGCGTGTACTCGTCTTCCTCGAAGTAGTCCGGCACGCTCTCGGTGTCGCTGTTGCTGTGCTCGTCCTCGTTGGCCTCGGGGATGTTGTCGGCGTCGCCGGCCTGCTTCTGCTCGCGGCCACGACGGTGGCCAGGGCCAGACCGCACACCCAGCGACAGCGAGCGCTGCAGACCACCGCCGGTAGACGACTGGCGGGGCTGCTGCTCCGTGACGTTCCGCTGCGCCTGCGTGCCGATATCGCTGAGCCGGTTGAGGTTGCTGTAGCTGCTGTTCCGCGAGTGCGGCACAGACAGCGCGGCGCCCATGCCCTGCGAGAACCCAGTCCCAGGCCGTGAGGGCGTCATGGCTCCGGGCGTCATGGCCCCAGGCATGAGCGCACCGGCCGGCGTCGTCGGCGTCATGGGCCGTCCGCCATTATGCCCCTTGGACACCTCCTTATCATGGACATTGATCGCGGTGGATTGCAGAATCTCCAGATCCTCCACCCACTGCGCAACAGGGAAACGCTGTTTTGCAGAACGCGCACGCATCATGGCGCGTGTCTCAACCTTGGAGCTCAGCGCCGCATCAATGGCAAGCTTGAACTGCATGAGCAGATGCGACGTCGACACCGACTCCACGTTATACCACCAACCGGGCATCTGACCAAGTCCACCAACGCGCGCTCCAATACCAAGCGCACCCTTCCTTCCAAACTCCACCGCCACAAGACCAAACGGCTCGTCGCGCGACGGGATCAGCGCGAATTCCGCGCCGGAAAAGATATACGGGGGCAAGGCCGTGAATTCCGGACGCGAGAAGACACGCCCAGGGTAGACCTTCATCATGCGGTCGAGTTTCAGCGCTGCAAAGCGGCCATACAGATCGATAACCGGACCAACACAAATAAGCTGGACATTAGGCCGTGCCTCCAGAACAGCAGGCATAACATCCGCAATAAGATCAACACCCTTCTGCATGGACCAGCGGCCCACAAACACCAGCAGATCCGCATCAGGGTTCTGTTCAAGCCCAGCCCACTCCTGCGCCTGACGCTTCAGATCGCCACGGTTAGCCTCGAAGTCCGGATCAACGCGGATATCCTCGTCCTTGACCATCTCGCCCTTGGTCCACTCGCCGACATCGCTGGGGTCCGGGTTCGGCAGGTTTCCGATCTTGCGCAGGCCCCAGAAGATCGGGTAGCGGGCGTACGAGCGCTTTCCGTATTTCTTGGACACGCCGACCGCGCCGAAGCCCTGCTGGTGGACGCGCAGGTAGCTGGCGCCCGCGTGTAGCAGGTTAAACACCTCGCCGAACTGCACGTAGTTGCGCACGGTCTCGACGTCCAGGTTGAAGACCGAGCAGACTTCCTCTTTCTCCTTCTGCGTGCGCATCGGCCACAGACCCTGGAACTCGGCGTTGTGCAGCGACAGACAGGCCGGGATTGTGCCGGGCAGGAGGTACAAGGGCGCCACGGAGCCGTGGTAGTCGTTGATGTGGTACAGATCCACGGGGAAGCGCTTGATGGCTTCCGCGATACACTGGTTCCAGGCGGAGTAGTAGACGGCCGAGTCCAGATCGTCCATGCGCGCCGGGTACGGCTCGGATTTCGTCTGCTGGCGGAACACGGGCGCGTCGAGGAGGACGTACGTGATGTTCTTGAGGACGTGGTACTGCACGTTGACCTGGTATGCCTGGCCGAGAATGGTGACGGTCATGGGTTCAGCGGGCGTGTCAACGGGATAATCAACACCTCCAACACAAGGAACAACCCAGATGAGGTCCTGGTGGCCCAACGTCTTGCCCATCAGCTGCGCCATGACACCCAGGCCACCGATCTTGATCTTGATCGCCCAGTCCTCGATATCGTACTCCATCGTCGCGATGAGCACCATGCGTCTCTTTGCCGCGGCGCCAGCGGCACCCAGCGCCGTCGTGCTCTGCATGAAGCCGGACTTCTCAGCGAGGCGCATCAGCGGGTTCGGTTTCGCGGCGCCAGACCCAACTCGCAGTTCCTTCATTTTCCGGCGCAGCGCCAGCGGGACAAGGCTCTTCATCTCCGTGCTTGCGCCCGCCGCGCCAATCTCGTTGAACTTCACCTTGTAGAACGACTTCATGAAGATGTACACGCACGCGGCGCCGGTCAGCAGCGGGATGATCCAGAACAGCACGAACATGGCGATCTGCTTGCTCTGGTGCCCGACGGGGACCTTGGTGTAGTGCAGCGTGGCGTCATTGATGTACAGCTTCCACGAGATATACGGATGCGGCGGGTGATCCGAGATGTTGAGCAGGGTCGGCGAGAGCGAAGAAGGCGGCATGCGGTCGAGCACATTATCCCCGTCGACATCCCCCAGCACCCAACTCTGATCCGGCTCGCCGTCGGGATTCATGCCCCAGACGTTCAGCTGGCCGACGGCCGGCCACTCCGACGTGAAGTGGTACTTCCAGTAGTTGTCGCCGCCGGCGTCGAGGCGGATCTTGTTGTCCAGGCCGCCGTCGTAGCCGTATTGGTTGTAGGGGCCGTTGAAGAAGGCGTGCGGGAAGCGGCGCTGCGACTTGTGGTTCCAGCCGGAATCGCCCTCCTGGACGTGTGAGGACGAGCCCGTCCAGCGCGACCAGTACTCGACGCGGACGTGGTGGCCGGCCCACTCCTGGGCCTTGGTGCCGGTCCAGTCCTGGATGGCGATGGTGTCGTTGCCGCCCTTGTAGGTGGTCCAGTTGGAGAAGGTGGTGCCCCAGTTGGTGGAGTAGCGGTATTTGTCGGCGCCGGCGGCGTGGTGCTGGATGAAGAAGCTGCCGTCGTCTCTCTCGTGCAGCAGCGAGCTGGAGTAGTTGGCGGAGTAGAAGACCATGGGGTTGTCGACCTGGCCGATGCGGAAGAGGAAGTGGTCGACCGCGTTGGTGGACTCGTCGCCGGCCTCGTTGCTGACGTTGTTGACGGTGACGCGGTGGATGCCGTTGTACACGCCCGTGAGGTTGGCCACCCACTGGAACTTGCCGGGGATCTGGCCGGTGACGTTGCTGTTGGCGACGTCGGCGATGGAGCCGCAGGAGACGGAGTCGCTGTCGATCGAGGGCTTCCTGCCGGACTCGGTGGACGAGTTGAAGGAGATGGAGTCGATGATGGAGTCGCAGTCCATGGCTTCGGAGAACTGCAGCGTGATCTGCACCGTCTCAAAGGCATTCGGGGCGACGGTGGAGCGCAGCGGCGTGTCGTGCCCGTTGTTCTCGCCGTCCCCAGGCTGGAACTTGGTGATCATGGGCTTGGGGCCCTTCCACAGACTCTCCTTGACGTACGCACGGAACTCGTAGCGGTTCATGGTCATGTTGGGGTAGCAGCCGTTGTAGTCGTCGGAGCCGTTGAAGCCCTTCTTGACGGTGCTGTCGACCAGCTTGATCCGGTCGTAGGGGGAGAACAGGTTGCGGACGGTGGTGCCGCTGGGGAACGGCGAGATCAGGGCGGTCTCGTTGTCGGAGCAGTCGAACTCGTACAGATGCGTGCGGTTCATGTTGCTGTAGACCAGCCACACGGTCGCGTTCTTCTCGACGGACCCGAAGTCCTGCGTCTCGGTGTTGAGGTCGCGACGGACAGACCAGAAGCCCGTCTCGGTCGCGGTGGTGTTGGAACCCGGGTACAGGATCTCCGTCGTCTGGTTCGACAGCGTCTCGATCACGTACCCGTCGTTGAGCATCGGGTAGTCCTCGCGCATCTGGTACATGTGCTTGAGCATGTTGCGCAGCGGATGCGCCGGGTCGCGGTGGTCGTATGTCACCGTGTCGTCCATGCAGCCGTCCAGCGCGGCAACCAGCGGCCACTGGTAGTACTGCGAGGACTCGAGCGCGAAGCAGCCGTGCGTCTTCCACGCCGTGGCTGAACTCATCGCCTGACGGCCGTAGATGTAGTTGCTGGCCGTTGCATCAAGCACGTAGAACGCCTGTTCTTCGCCCCAGAGGAGCAAGGGGATGCCGGGCAGCATTAAAGTGGTAATAAACGTCCCCAGCATCTGCCGCTCAACTCCCCACATAATTGCCGGCCACCGGAACACATCCTGGTTCGTGACGCCGTACATGTGCCGCGGGTCAAAGACGCCCGTGTTGGCATTGATCAGGTCGTTCGTGCGCACCATCTGGTCCCACGCCTCCACCCAGTCAACCGGGACATCGTAGCCCGCATCCAGCTGTCCATCCATGCCCAGGAAACGCGTGAGCGCACGGTACGTCGAGTAATGGAACGCTCCAGCATCAATAGCCTCATGGCCCGCCTCACGGAGAAACAGCTGCGGGTCGCTGGTGTTGGTCAGCTTCATGGCGTTGGCCTGGCTGCCGACCGCAGCGACCTGGTTCGACTGACGCCCGCGACCGAGGTAGATGGAGCCAAACGTATTTCCACCGGTAATTTCGCCCGCAATGAAGAAATTCTCCTTGCCCAGATCGCGCGCACACTCGCGGTACGCCTTGGACATATCGCCCAACGCGTCGACCGTCGACTGCGTGGCCTTGTCGTACCGGATCCCGTCGATGTCGAACGTGCGGATGATCATGCACGTGTGTTTGATCAGCCGCTCGCGCACGGTCGGATGCCACTCGCGCAGACGGTCCTGGACGGAGGCGAACTTCGCCAGCTGGCGCTTCCAGTCGGGCCACACGCCAAACGCCTCGATGTCGCCGTACTGGTCGAAGTCGGAGTCGTAGCAGCCCACCAGACCGGCGGTTAGGGACTCGTTGACCGGCATGCCGTCCTCGTACCAGAAGCGCGGGTAGTCGCAGGTTGCGTTGTAGGTGTTGCCGATGTCGAAGTCGACGTAGTGGCGGTCGGACTTCCATTGGGCTTTGTGTTCTTTTTCGCTGAAGGGCGTGGTGCTGTTCAGGTGGCCTTCGAAGCCGATGAGGTCGCCGAGGCTGTGCAGCAGGGTTAGAATGCACCTTGGTGTTGTGGTCAGGGATTTAAAGGGCAAAGACTCACGTAGCAATGGTATTGTCGAACAGCACGTACATCCCCCGCCTGTGGATCTCCGTGATGGCCTCCTGCCACACCTGGATCGTGCCAAAGTGCTGGTCGAGCAGCGTCGTGTCCAGCGCCGAGTATCCGTCCGAGCCCCAGGGCTGGTTCATGAGCGGTGTTCCGGCAAGATATAAACCCTGTTTAAGTCAGCATTCACCTCATCATCCCACTATCCAGCTGCAACTGCAGCTGCTTGTGCAGGCGTACCTTGATCCCCATGCCCTGCAAGTAGTCCAACGTATCGACCAACCCCGCGACATCGCCTCCATGCCTCATCTGATTCGAATCCAAGTCGTGCTCAAACGTCGTGCCATTAATATTATCATTAGTCGGGTCGCCGTTGACAAAGCGGTCCATGAACAGCGTGTAGAAGGGGAAGCGCCAGTTGTCGGGCGACGGGTGGTATTTATGATCATTACCCCAGGAGCCGTCGTAGTCGGCCGGGTCGGTCGCCGTCTTGTTCGTGTTGATGTTGTAGCCGACTAGCGACTCGTCGTACGGCCATGCTGTGGTGCTCGCGGCGAAAAGCAGGGCGCTGCTCGCGAGGTGTGTGAGGCGCACCATGGTGCAGTGCGATGCTCAAGCGAGCAAGCGAGCGAGCGGTGTAACGAGTGACGGTGCGAAGTGCGCACTGAGAGTGTCTATGCTATGAGTGGGACATGGACTGTGAGCTCTTTCTCCTCGTCTCTTCTCTGCTTCGTAAGTATGGTATAGCGTGGAGAGCGTGGGGAACAGTAACGAATGTAAACGAGCGCGAGACTCGCAGAGATAAAGACAAGGCAAGGCAAGCAGAGAAAAGTCAAAGCAGAAAAGTCAAAGTCAGGAACAGCAGAGAGAACCCCTGCTGGCGGAAGATGAGCCTTATGATAAGAGGCGTGGTGAGCGAATGAAACTGGCGTGAGGACTATTGCTAAGAATAAATACGAGGTCCACACCGATCCTCTGAAGTCACGGTCTGCCCGACACTAAGGCCGACTATAGCTTGAGTAGCCTGTAAGAGCTAGACCTAGGGCTCTAGGAGGAGGCTGTAGCCGACCTGGAGCTGCTGGCACAAACTCAATATTGAGACGGTGTACTCGGTGTAGTCTGTAGTGTACTGTAGATGTGCCACAGTACAAGTACAAGTACAATCCCCAGGACCCTTGCTGGATTCCGGGGCCGGAAGTCGGCAGCTTTTATCCATCTATAACCAGGGCCAGTATGGTGAGCTGGAGGCGTGCCTGTCTGGAAAGGAGAGAAAATCTCTGCGGTCGGGAGAAAGACCGTAACTGCGGCGTATCGTCGGGTTCCAAGCCCTACAGTGAAACAGTGGAGCTATCTGCATCGTCATTGGAGCAGACTGAGCCTCGACCCTGAAAATCTCTGCCTTTGGGTTTGCGGCGCTCGTGTCAGCAGCATGACAGTATGACAGCATTGGCATTCTGCACGAGGGCTGAACCACCAGGTCATGATTGCCCCTTTTCGCACTCTTTTCCCTCTCTTCGAAGATAATAATGCAGCCCCTGTCTCAGACTGCAGGTACCAGTCTACCAGAGACAGCAGTGGGTCGCACCAGGCCCGATCTCTTTAGGGCAAGCCTGCTTGGCAGCCCACTGGCATTCTTTCAACGGTTCGTGCTGTAACTGCTGCAATGCAAATACTGCTGTAATGTGGTATCTTGTCGATGACTGATGCTGACTTCGTATAGATAGCATAGCAGCCTCTCGTAAGTTAAGCACCAATCCCAGCCAGCGATAGGGTGCTTAGCCTGCACTAGACCCGGTCAGGAAACAGCCACCGCTATCTCCACCCAATTGCTGTTGGCCTGAAATGAATATGAGACATCAATTTATTTCCAAGACATGCCACTTCTCCCACGCCAGTGCAGTAATCTATTACTCAAGCTGGTAATGGTAATACGCCTATGGTCCGAGCCACCCATTCGGCAGATGGGCAATGGACATTCCATGAACGCAGACGATCCTAACCGGTTTTCGTCGGTTCTCGAACCATGATTGTCGCTCTGCCTCGGCTGCTTCGATTGGCCACTGGAAAGCACACTATTGACAGCGTCCATCCACGGATCCCGCGCTCTCGCTCGACTTCCGCCCGGCCAGGCACCGTACATTAGTGACTTTAGTGCATCACACCGTCTGGTTGCGATAAGCTAGCGTGCTGACAGAGTCGGAGTGAGAGAAGAGACTTGAAGAGACTCTGAGAGTGTTCCTGGTTCCTGGTTCCTGAATCACGGCATCTGGGGCACGACTACTCCGTATATTTATAGCGATGAAGAACCCATCGTGGGCACCCACATGCGGGACATACCCAGGCACTCCGTAGTATCCAACCATGTGGCGATGGCCAGGCAGGCACGAGCAATAACGGCCTTGATCGTCAGTCACCCGCAGAACCAAGTGACCAAGTCCAGTCCAAGTAGGCCCATGCTGTTTTCCGTCTAGACTAGGGTTGTCCTTGTGCCTTGCTGGCTGCCCCTTACCGGGGTCTTCTCATATCTTGCCTGCACTCTGAGCTTTCCCCAAGTCACTCGCTTTCTGGATTTTCCTCCCTGTCGCTCGTTATCTTGCCTTGCTAGAGTATGCCATAGGCGCCGGTCTTTACCCCTTTGCGTTCTCTTCCCCCGCCTTTCGCGGTGTCGCTCCTTCTATCTCGCGCCGTCCTTCACGCTCTTTCTGGATGTCCCTCCTGTAGCTCAGCTCTGGCACTCCCACAGTATCATCTCTGGAAGGCGCACGTTATCTTATCATATCACGAATCAGCATCAGCGGGAAGCACCTGCAGCCACAGCCCGCGATCTGACGCAGACGAAAGTCTATACGAGACAGGCAAGCCGAGACCGCAGGTCTCACCACCATGACGAAGATGCCGATCCCCCAATCCCTCCACCTCGTATCCCTCTTCACCCTCCTTTCCCTCCTCACGCCCTCCCTCGCCGCCAACATCGCAGCATGGAAATCCCGCTCCGTCTACCAGACCATGACGGACCGCTTCGCGCGGACCGACGGCTCAACCACGCACGCCTGCAACACCACCGCCGGCCTGTACTGCGGCGGCACCTGGCGCGGCACAATCAACCACCTGGACTACATCCAGGGCATGGGGTTCGACGCGGTGATGATCAGCCCGATCATCGAGAACATCGACGGCCGCGTCTCCTACGGCGAGGCCTACCACGGCTACTGGCCGCTGAACCTGTACAACCTAAACGACCACTTCGGCACGCACCAGGATCTGCTGGATCTCAGCGACGCGCTGCACGACCGCGGGATGTACCTGATGATGGACACGGTGATCAACAACATGGCGTACATGACGGACGGCGAGGACCCGGCGACGGACATCGACTACAGCGTCTTCACGCCGTTCAACAACAGCGACTACTTCCACAGCTACTGCAAGATCACGGACTGGAACAACTACACGAACGCGCAGCTGTGCCAGACGGGCGACGACAAGGTCGCGCTGCCGGATCTGTACACCGAGCACAAGAACGTGCAGGAGCTGCTGATTGACTGGGCGAACGAGGTGATCAAGACGTATTCCATCGACGGGCTGCGCATTGACGCTGCGAAACACGTCAACCCCGGCTTTCTGAAGACCTTCGGCGACGCAGTCGACATGTTCGTCACGGGTGAGGTGCTGCAGCGCGAAGTCGACACCATCTGCACGTACATGGACGACTACATCCAGAGCGTGCCCAACTACCCGATCTACTACTCGATGCTGGACGCCTTCACGCAGGCAAACGTAACCAGTCTCTTCGAGCAAGTCGAGATTGTCAAGAACCAGTGCAACGACGTAACCAAGTTCGTCTCGTTCAGCGAGAACCACGACGTCGCGCGCGTGCCCAGCTTCAACGACGACATGGCGGTACGTCCCTAACAATCCCATTCCAACCCAACCCCAGTAATCCCATCCATACTAACGACTGGACCGCAGATCGCCAAAAACGTCCTCACATTCACAATGCTCTACGACGGCATCCCAATGATCTACCAAGGGCAAGAACAACACCTGTCGGGCGACGGGACGCCCAAAAACCGCCAGGCGATCTGGCTGTCCGACTACAACACCAATTCCGAGCTGTACAAGCTTCTCGGGCAGCTCAACGCGCTCCGCAAACACGTCATCTCGCTGGGCACAGACTACCTCGACGAATCGACGGTCCCACTGTACCGCGGGCAGATCGAGCTCGCGTTCAGCAAGGGCGTCGAGGGCCGGCAGATCATCATGCTCTTGTCCGGGCAGGGGAGCAAGGGCGACGAGTACACGCTCTCGCTGCCCATTAGCTTCAATGCCGGCACCACGGTGACGGAGGTGCTTAGCTGCACGAACTACACGACTGTTGCGAGTGGGGAGCGCGCGGGGGAGCTGGATGTGAAGATGGACAAGGGGGAGCCGAAGGTGTTTTTTCCGGCGGAGCTGATGGAGGGGAGTGGGCTTTGCGGGCATGCGAAGGGGAATGTGAGTTTTACGAAGCTGGTGACGGGGCAGGATGCGGTGGTTGATTCGGCGGCGGGCAGTTTGACTGCGTATCGCAGTTCTGGTGCTGCTGCTGCGGTGTTTGGGCTGCTTTCGGTTGTGGCGGCGGGGTTGTTGGGCTTATAGTCTTTGTCTTCGTTCGTTCGTTCGATACTTCTTTCATTCTCTACTCTCCTTGACATTGCATTGGCAGTGGTGGTGATACCCGACCAGCGCGCGGCTGTCGCTTTCTTCCTTGTATATATTTCGCTTTCTTTGTTGTGTTTTGCGGATGCAGGGGGCTCGGAACTCGAGACAGACTGCCTGGTCAATGAGAGAAATGACGTTCTAATCCATCTCCTTCCAAAGTCAAAGTCACCAATGCAAAATCCTGAGCTTAGAATAGCTACAGTAAACAAAACAAACGGACCACCGAACCTCGGTCCAGCAAGGACAAAAGACAAACGACCACGGAAACCGGCAGACCCCTCGCCTCCGCCCGCAATTCAGTTGGCAAGCGATGACGTCAATTCTCTGAGACCGCAACTGGAGCCAAGGCCCTTTATCCGCATCCGGCATGAATGTGTGGACGTGAAAATGAAAAAGAGAAATCCACTCCAGCACAAAGAAAAACAGCAAAAATACCCGCAAACTGCCCTGTGAAACAGACTTTTCCCACACGCCCTCTGATTGGCCGCCCAAAGACCGAGCTGAAATATCTTCAGGCGGACTAAGCCGCACCAATCAGACGCAGAGAGAGGATCCGCCGCAGTGGGCCTGTGAGACATGGACGGGGCACGCCCGGAAATAGATTCTGATCCATTCTTACACAGCAAACGGCGCAATACGGTTTTCGCAACGACTCGGTATACCGCGTACCGCTCAGGGTACGGAGTATCATTCACGTTAATATAGCAAGGCCGCTGCATTGCTTGCCCTCGTATCATCCATTGCCAATCGTCAATATTGGGTCGGACGATGGCGTCACTCCTCTCCTGCTGGTTTCTCCCCTGGCGCTCGGGGGGCCGGCCGAACTGGAAGAAGATCGAAGGTACGTCCCTTCCCCATCCATATCGTACCAGACGAGATACTTAGACAACAAATGTAGAAGCCGCATCCCCCGCCCGCCTGCAGGCCCTCCCCTCCTGGACCGCCCCAGACAACAGCCTGCTCTTCCAGGGCTTCGAGTGGCATGTCCCCGCGGACGGGGCGCACTGGGCGCGTCTTGCGCGCGCCCTGCCCGGTCTCCGGGCGCTCGGCGTCGACAGCATCTGGCTCCCGCCGGGGTGCAAGGGGATGGACGTGGACGGGAACGGGTACGACATCTACGATCTCTGGGATCTAGGCGAGTTTGGGCAGAAGGGGGCGGTGCGGACGAAGTTCGGGACGCGGGAGGAGTTGCTGCAGTTGGTGAGGACTGCGCGGGGGCTGGGCATGCGTGTTATCTGGGACGCTGTGCTGAATCATAAGGCCGGCGCGGACTTTCCGGAGCGCTGTGAGGCTGTTAGGGTTGATCCGGAGCGTGGGTTGTCCCTTCTCATCTTTTCCCATGGGCGAGGGCAGTGTGTTGATGAATAATGGATAGGACGGAACGTCGACGTCTCCAAGCCCATGACCATATCCGGCTGGACTGGGTTTGAGTTCGCGGGGCGGGGAGATACGTATAGCGGCATGAAGTATCATAGCGAGCACTTTTCCGGCGTGGACTGGGATGATAGTACCCAGACCGGCGGGGTCTATCGTATTCTTGGTGGCAAGAAGAACTGGGCGCAGGATGTTTCGCAGGAGAAGGGGAACTACGACTATCTGATGTTTGCGGATCTGGACCTCTCGCATCCGGAAGTGCGTGCGGACTTGCTGAGCTGGGGGTCGTGGATCACGGAGCAGCTGTCGCTGGATGGGATGAGGCTCGATGCGGCGAAGCACTTCTCGACGGGGTTCCAGAGGGCGTTTGTCGAGCATGTTCGGAAGACGAAGCCTGCGTTCTCTGTTATCGGCGAGTACTGGAGCGGCGATATCAAAGAGTTGGCGGGGTATCTGCAGGACATGGAGCATACGGTCTCAGCATTCGATGTACCTCTCGTCGACAGATTCTCGCAGATTTCAAGAACGCGAGGAGCCGATCTGAGGAGGATCTTCGACGGGACGCTGGTGCATTCTCACCCCGAGCATGCGGTGGTACGATCATCCCCATGGATACCTCCCATCCAACATATCAAACCCATACTGACTGAACCCTTACCAGACAATCGTCACGAACCACGACACGGTACCTCCCCTGCCCTCCTCTCTCCAACCAACTAACCAACCACAAACAAAGCAACCAGGCCAAATGATGGACGTACGTACCCTTCCCTCACCACCCCATCCACCCCACTAACAACCCACACGGCGGCGTAGACCCCGATCTCCCCCTCCTTCAAACCCCTCGCCTACGCCCTCACGCTCCTCCGCAAAGACGGCCTCCCCACGCTCTTCTACGGCGACCTCTACGGCATCCGCCACAACGTCAAGAAACCGCTTACGCCCGCGTGCGCCGGCAAACTGCCGATCCTCGCGCAGGCCCGCGCGCACTTCGCCTACGGCGAGCAGCAGGATTACTTCGATGCGCCGAACTGCATTGGTGCGTCGACCCTGCGTTTCCAACCCTTACGTCCGCACCATTCGTACGTTGGATGCTGACGAAGCTAGGATTCACGCGCTACGGCAACGCCGCACACCCGGCGGGCCTGGTCTGCGTTATGAGTAACACGGGCGCGGCGAGCAAGAAGATGTTTGTTGGGACGCAGCGCGCCGGCGAGGAGTGGGTTGATTTGTTGAGGCCAGGGGCGACTCGAGTCGTCATTGATAAGCGCGGGTATGGGGTGTTTGGGGTTGAGGCTGTGAGTGTGGCTGTTTGGGTGCCGGCGCAGGCGGCGGCTGGGGTTGGGCTGGGAAGGGAGAAGGTTGAGTTGTGAGTCTTATCCCGCTATACTAATTGGTTGTCGGTGGGTGGTGAGTGCAGGCTAACGATGATGGACAGTGACGTTAATATCTACGGCCTTTGATGGGAAGTTGGGGGAGGTAATAGATTTCTGGTAATAAGGGCGCGTCAAGAGTCGGGAGCTTTATGTGGCTTCTATAGTGTTTTCTACTTAATCATAATCACCACGTTCACAATCAAGCCATGTCCCCTTGACACAATTGATATGAACAATACCAGCTCAATACACACCTGCTCGGCCGTAAGACACAAGAAAACACACCCAGACCCTGGAAACAATAATTTGCCCCCGGCCTGTTCCAATCTTCCCCGAAATACGACCGGGCGTTCAGTGTTCACTGTTCAGCCCTGCCTTGGGCCTTGGGCCCCTTTACTTTGGCAATTGGTACAAGCAGGCAGCATACTGCCACGCCACCAATGGAATGCCGAGCAGCTCCTAACTTTTCACCCACGAATTGGTCAGGCTGACCGTTCGCCAATCCAAGTCTCGGAGGGCCCGAGTCAGAGTTTGCCATTTCCGGCTGTCATAAAATACCGAGGGCTCCACTGGACCCTTTGGCTGGGTCGATACCGTACGGTGGGCCTGTCCTGTTCAGCCCAGTAAGTTTAACTGGTGCAGACCCTGTTTAGCCGGTGTAACCGGGATAGAGGAACAGGTTTGGCGTAGTTGGGCTCTGTAGAGTATCGTGGTCGGTGTAACCTGGGTAGGCACTGCTGAGGGTTTGCAGGAAGAGTGTTGGACAAGCAGATGTGAACAAAGAGATCGATATACCTATTCCGGCTTTGATGCTGCTCATTAAGCAACCCAACCAATTGAGTATTTGAGTCGGACTGAGAACCTGGGGTTGCCGCTCTGAATATATCTCTGCATTGAACAAATGTACAATTCCAAAAGTACCATATATCACTAATTCCACCACCAATATATTCACAATTAATCTAGTCTCTATCGTCCGCAAAGCATCAACCTAATTATAGCAGAGAAGCAGAATTAAACATCAATCGCATATCCACACTCACCAGCCACTCGTACGCCCTACCTACGTAGGCAGTCGTCACAAGCAGCTGGATCCCGGTCTCAGCACCACCCGGCCTCCCCAGATCGATCCTTTAGCGGTATTCAAGGTTTCGCATGTAGCATATCCCCGCTTACAGGGTGAACATAAGCGCACCGGCCATCAGACCGGCAAGGGTGAGGGGAGCACCCATAGCAACACCGGCGTTCAGGTCATCGGGGACATCGGAGGCGCTGGCGGTCGCGGCGGCATCAGACGACGAGGCAGGGGTGGAGGAGCCTGCAGCGGAGGAAGAGGCAGTGTTAGACTCGGCCTCGGTAGTGGTGGAGGTAGAAGCAGAGGTGGTCTCGGTGGAAGTGGAAGGGGTGGAGGTAGTCTCACTCTCAGTCGAGGTGCTGGAGGTCGAGGTCGAGGTGGAGGTGGAGGTGGGCGTGGCGCTGCTGGAGGAGGTGGTGTCGGAGCTGGTCACGTTGAACTGCTCGGACTGCGCGAGGATGCCGGTGTTGTGGGCTTCGTTGGAGAAGAGGTTGATTTGGTAGCCGCCGCTGTGAAGGGGTTAGGACTGGGTTGCGTGGAGTATATGGTAGCTGGGGGCTTACGCCTTCTCGAGACCGGAGATGCTGTCGATGATGTAGGAGCCGTCGGAGGTGTCGACGTCGGAGGCGATCTTCTTCTCGACGCTGGGGTAGACGGCGTTGTTGACGAGGTACAGGTCGAAGGAGGAGGGGTCGGTGCTGACGGAATCCCACTTGACGGTGAAGGAGTCTGAAGGGTCAATCTCGGCGCCCTTCTCGGGCTGGGTGACCTGGAGGGCTGCATTTATCATTAGTTGGGGCTTCTCTCTTGGTTGAAAGCCGAGTCTTTGGAAGGGTAGTTACCTCCAACGGAGACGGCCAGAGGCAGGAGAGACGAAGCGAGCGTGAAGCGCATTTTGGCGATGAACGAGTGGATTGGTGCGTAGGGTAGCGACTGACTTGACTAACGAGTGACAAGCAACTGACTGGATGATAACTGGAAGAGAGGAAGACCCTTAGATCCAAGCCGGGACAAGACAATTATATAGAGCAGATCCGAGGGATCCATTCTTGCAGCGAAGATCTTGACAGGCTCGAACCGTTGTCAGCCACAACCTGGAAGCATCAATGATCACATTGTATCTGATATGATAATATCCATAATTAGACACAGAAGCAGTGGGTTGGAACACCCAGGTCTCAGATATCGCAGAGACATGCCCAGTATGCTGTCAATACACATGATTACACAGCTGTATTTTTGCAATAGACCCGCTATCTTTCCAGTCTCCAGATTGTCTTGGGTCGCATCCGCGCTAGCGATTGAATGTCTCAATATTATATCTGTATCCGGCTGTCTCAACTCGGAAATTGAATATTGATAGCCGAATGAATGGAGCAGCCAATCGCAGGGCCCTCGGTCCTGGAAGCCTGAGCCTGGACGAACCTTGGAAGAGTGCACTGATAAGCGGGCCTCGGCGAGACACCCGAATTGGGCAAATGCCGCCACTGCCGGACAATAATAGATAACAAAATCGGAAAATAACAGAGTCAATGAGTCTTACCGTATTGGAGTGTGGCCACACCAGGGCTGCACTGTATTGTGCCACCAAACGCCAATAAACAGCTGTCCGAGCTCACTAAGGATGACTCTTGATTATGGGAGACTTTGTCTGCTTGGAACTTGTCACGCAATGAGTCTCGGCCATCCACCCTACATAACCAGCAGGTTGGAGTAGAATCCGGGGGAAATGTAGAGACAATATGTTTTTGTATTGTTCTTTTTGCCAGGGCTGAAGACCTAGACATCAGGCAGAAATTGGAGGAATGCGGACACGTATAAATAGGTGATTAGATGCTCCGTGACTGTTGTTACTAACCATGCTGTCATGACGCCCTGGCGCAATGTGAGCCGAAAAAGTCAGAGGCGAAGCGCAATCCTTCAGCAAATCTTCCTGGGAGACGCTCTGGGCGCTGGCCTTGACCATTCAGTAATTTGTGACGGAGGGTATGGAGGACATGGGAGAGTCCTATGTGATTCTCGACGATGGTACAGCGAGAGTGTCCCTCCTTAACCTTGGAGGTTTTTGGTAGATACCGAATACGGAGTAGATAAGGATTCTTCTTGGAGATTCGACCGCGAGAGTGTCTTCATTGAACAATGAATATAGAGTTCTCGCTTTCCCGTTGTTCGGATCCTCCTCGTGATGGCAAAGTTTATGCATCCACATTCCTGCATCGCCGGAGTCCAACACTGTTAACAACGAAGTTACCGACAGCACTGGGAAAACTGCCTTTATGCGTCTTGTTGTGTACGATGATCCGAGAGTCCCTATTCGATACGTGGTCAAGGCATTTGACATCCCTACTTGGACAAGGGTGCCGGGGTATTTGATTCTCCCTAGGCTTGAGAAGAGTGCCCGGGCTACGTGACGATGCTCAACAGAAACTTCCTTAGCAAGCTTGAGTTTCCATGGTAGGTTTAGAACGAAAGTTGTTATCATCGGAGTTACGGTGAAGTGAACCAAGTGTAGATGCCTTTTTATCAACACAGTACATTGGCCTTTCCGACCAACCGCATCTTGACGCTCTTGAATGCTCCTGCATCGAATATCAACTCTTTACCCATCAGAGCAAGCCAAACGGCCCTATGTCCAGACTCGGACTACTACTGGTAGCGTATTATCCTGCGTTTATGCCGTCTATATAGGTCGAAAACTTGATTAAACCAGTACATACGACCATAGGGTGTGGAGAACAGGGCTTCCCGTCCGCTCAGCCGTACTTAAACCACACGCCGGCGAGTTAGTAGTATGGTGGGTGACCACATGCGAATCCCAGCTGTTGTATGTTTTTGCTTTTTGGGCGAGCGGAGACGTACGCAAGTAATCAAAGTCAAAACCCAGCATTACGCCGGGCTGGCATTTTGTTATTGCTAAAGTCGAACACGGCGCGATTATTTAGACGGGACTAGAAACATTTCTGAGAAAATTCTCCAAGAAAATACAGTACAACCATCCATGACTACTCATACCTCAAGCATGAAGCACGCCAACCGCATCACGGCCATCTCATCCAGCCTCTCTCCACAGCTTCATACCACGGCTCCGTAGTGACATTGCGCCTTTGCAGGTTCGAGGTGAGATGCATCTCTTGCGCCACAGACCTTTAACTAGTGTATCAGGACAGGCGAGTCCTGGCCAAGCGGCGACGACTGAAGCTGGGTAGCAGGTTGAACCTCCGGGTCTGATTCCTCGCGCCAGGCCGCCCACTCTCCATCACTGCACGGGTCAAAGAGGACTTGGCACATTACTCGCTCGTTCAGCCTCCAGTCACGCTCGGTGCAGAGGTACAGCACGCCGTGGTAGGTTTTAAAGTCATCGATGTAGCTGGGGACCAAGCCCGGTAGCCGGGTACCAGAGGTCTTGGTCTCGTCTGTAGCAAGAGTTGGAAACGGAGGTGCGTTATTCTGAACAGCGGTAATCTGAGCCTTGTAATCGCCGCGCTGGGCCTTTTCGCTGTGGTAGTGGGCAATGCAGTCTGATACAGTGGCGTGAGGTAGGAAATATAGCTCTAGCCGGATTTCATGGGTCCCAGATGGCTGGTTAATTGCAGTAAAGAGGGCTGCTGGGTCCACGTTATCGGAGGACGCATCGGGGTGGGTGAAGTAGATGGCAAGCGCGTAGAGAGGAGGCAGAGGGCATGAAGCCCGGCCCCGAAATACAAGACCTGCAGCGTGCCCCTGGTGGTCCGTGAAGGGGAGGACATGAATTTGCATGCGTTGGATGCGATTCGCCATGGTGGACAGCAGGATTTGAGACGTCTCTGGCGTGCTGCTCTTTGCCTAACGAGTGATGCCCCTCACTAGCCATGAAATCCCAGCATGTGGTCCGAATATCCAAGGCGCTAGGCCAAAACGGCGACATGTCTCTATGCCAACCGGGTACGACATCTGGAACATACTTGTTGCTTGGTGAACAACAAGTACAAAAAGGGCTTACTGAGCGCGACTGTAGTCTGCGCAGTTAACTGACTTGGAGAGGGTAAGGAGTCTTGGAAGCCACTCCGGCCATCCACACGAGTGGAATGTGGAGTATGAGCCCGAAAAGGGATTTCACACGCGAGAGTTGAGGTAGGTCTGATATATCCCTGAAGCTCTGGAAATATATCTGGGCCAGATACTGGGACAAGAAAACAACGAGAGGACGAAGCTTGACAAATTACTGGTTGGATGAACAGGCCATAAGAGGTTCGATGGATTGAAAGAAGAACTAGGATACCCTTGCTAAGGATTAACTGGAAATAAAAGGCAATCAAACGGCCATGGGATTTAGTAGTAATGTATGTTAAGTCCAAGCAATGGCGGATCGTGAAACGGAGGCAGCTTGCACCACCATCCAACAAAGCCCGCTCATGCAGACCTGATTATTACTACCCAGTATACCCCGGAGCAAGTGGACACTGATTGCGGCGAGGGCTGCTTCCGGCGATCATGCAATTCCACTCTCAAGTCCTCCCGGCAATTGAAACATGGAGCTCCGACCTCCATACCTCCGATCTAACCAATATGCTCTGATCTCGTCCGCTCACCTGCATTGGCAATGCAGCGGGCATCAGAATATTATCTATAAGATGAAACGCGGGAGAAGATTTATGCAAAAGCAGTGGCAGCAGGACCTAGATATGGCGCAGACGACGTTGCTCCTGAGCCCTTTTAAATCCTTGCATGTTATGTTAAAGTAGAGAGCTTGTTTACGGGCCATGCATAGGTACCATACCCTTAGGTATGGTAGTCTTCCGTATTAAGCCTGGGATGGCTGGGTGGAATCGTGCATTCTTTTTGAAGCAGGCTATGTCTGGTTGGATGCCCTAACAAACAGAAGATGTTGCGTTGTGCGCCGGTCTCAAAACACTCTTGAGCTGAGACATTTATGTGCTTTGAATGATCGCTTTGATAGAAAGCTTCGCATGGTGAAATCAATGTCTCTCGGCCTTCGACGCCCACATACCAGTACACAATCTGACTTGTATACAATCAAGTTCCGCTTTTATAAGTGGTGACTTCGTATCGTAGCCTGCAGACATGGTCAAGAACCTGAATCCCTGGACGGGTAGAGATTTATTGAATGAACGCGGGCCAGATAGTGCAAGGATAATCCGTAGAGCCTATTCACAGCCAGGCTCTGGTCTCCGGCCCCCAAAGCCTACCATACCCTAATGACCTTTCCAATTCCTTGGAGTACCATGGAAAATTACCCTAGCAACGCTAATGCAGGGCGCTGGCGCCACTCACGGCAGGCACGGCCCCCACGTGGTGTTGGCAGTTTCCTTGTTTTAGTGTTTACAAACACTTAAGAAGCGTTACCATACCTTCCAGGGATTCTCAGGTTGCTCGCTCAGCTGTAAGAAATGCGTCAGTCAACGGTCATGCTCGCGCAGACAGCGCTCGCAGGTGCCACCTCATTCAGACCTCTTCGTTTCTCGGACGACGGCACATTTCAGATTTCAATCTTTAAGGATCTACACTTTGGAAAGAGTAAGGATTTAGTGTCATATAACAACGTTGGGCTGACGTTATTATAAATACATGGGAAGACTAGGGTCCCCGCCAGGACCGCAACTCCATCACCGTGCTTAATACAATCCTCAACGCTGAATCGCCGGACCTCGTCGTGCTGAACGGCGATCTAATCACCGGCGAGAATGGCTTCCTGGAGAATGCAACCGTCTACATTGACCAAATCATCGGACCTCTCGTTGACCGCGGCCTAACTTGGGCTTCGATGTATGGGAACCACGACCACCAGTATAATCTCTCCGCTGAAGCTCTCCTGGAGAGGGAGCAGAGCTACGCCAATGCCCGGACTCAGCGCATGGTCTCTGGTCATGATGCCGGGGTGTCAAATTACTACTTGCCGGTGTACGGATCAGACGGTAGCAGTGATCCAAAGTTGCTCCTGTGGTTCTTCGATAGTCGCGGGGGTAACTACTTCCGGGAACTTGACAAGTCTGGAAACATAGTCCCCCAGCCGAACTGGGTGGATAGCAGTGTTGTGACTTAGTTCGAGAGCACAAGCCGGTCACTGGGCCAGCAGTACAACAAGACGATCCCGTTGCTTGCATTTGTGCATATCCCTACTAATGCTTCGCTCGCGGCACAAACTGTCGTTGGAATTGATGCAAATTCTAAACCTGGAATCAACAATAACGTCCCCCTTGCGCAGCAAGGTCAGGGATGGTGTGAGGATGGGACGAACAGCAACGACTGCGCGTATGGTGGACAAGACATCCCTTTTATTAAGGCGCTTGTTAAAACACCCGGTGTCCTTGGCGTGTTCTCAGGCCACGACCATGGCAATACCTGGTGCTATAAGTGGGACTCTGAGTTACAGCTCCCTGGGGTAGGGGGTGGAAACGGACTGAATCTCTGCTTCGGCCAGCATTCGGGGTACGGAGGGTATGGTAGCTGGATCAGGGGATCGAGGCAGCTGCTATTGTCTGAGGAGGCCCTGGGTCGTGGAGAGCTGGATACCTGGATTCGTCTTGAGTCGGGGGACGTTGTTGGATCGGTCTCGTTGAATGGCACCTATGGGGAGGACTTGTATCCCGCCACCCCGAACGATATGACGCACTCGTGAATGTGTGATCGGCCTAAGCCTGTTACTTTATCAATATGGCTAGATTCAACTTTTAGGAATCCGTATCGCCTTCATCTTCCCGTTGAATTCCCTCGATTTGACGAATGAGCAAAGATATATGGCGAACATGGTATGGCCCAAAGGAGAGAATCCTATTGAACAATAATCCAAGTCATACCACGCACAGCACCACGAGGAAGATCGCACCAGTTGAGGTCTTTGGAATCTCACCAGTAGACATCCTGCTTTGGATGTTAGGCCTCACCGCGACTGCTTGAACACGGCCTGGCCATGTGGGTCTGAAGCTTCACTTCTTCGATTTGTCCCGCAGCTTTTATTCGACTTTCAACATGCAGAATTGGAGAAGAGCTGCTCGGTTGAGGGTAAATTATTCGAAAACAATGCACTGCAGTGACTTGGAAGATCGGAGCAATCGACTGACCTGTATTCCCTTCTAGACGACAGCTTGTCGAGGAGAACGAGCCGTTCCGATCCAGCGCTTCACAGTGGGCCTCCCAGAGAGCGCCCACTGCATCGGTAACGCTGCTACACTAGACTAGATTGTCTTAAGCGTGATCTAGTCATGTGTTCATTGGCTGTTTAGCGACAAGAGGGGTTCTTGTTACAGGATAAAGTTCTCAACGACAATCTCTGCCTTTAAATCATCTTGACCATCATCATCATCACCATCACCATCAGCAGCCACAAGCACGATGCCCAGAACACAAACCATCCAAGTCCCCCACCTCGGCGGCATCTCCGTCGGGTACGCCCTCTCAGGCGACAAATACGACCCCTCCAAGCCCACCTGCGTACTCATCAACTCGATGTGCATGACGGCAGCGCTATACAACGACCAATTCAACGACGCCGCCTTAACAGACGCAGTCAATCTTCTCGCCATCGAGCCATTGGGCCACGGCGCCACGAGCTGCGCCACTGAGCACTTCACCTACTGGGACACGGCCATCATGGCGCTGCAGGTCCTGGATGCCCTAGGGATCGAGAAGGCATTTGCGCTCGGAACGAGCCAGGGTGGGTGGATGGTTACGCGGATGGCCCTGCTGGCGCCGGAGCGGGTGAGTCCTCGTCTTTTCCCATGATCATCCTCAATGGCCGGGGTACCTAGAATACAACTAAAAGCGGTAGATCCTCGGCCTGATCCTCCTCGGCACATCGCTGGACTCCGAGTCCGCGGACTCACGGAGAAAAGGATGCTGGGATCCGCTGCCGCTGCTGAAGCCGTTCTTCGACGGGTGGACGAGCGATGCCCCGACGCCTGAGTTCGTCGTCGAGGCGGCCTGGTGTAAGATGGTTGGGGCGATGGGGTTCGGCGCCTTTGCGACCGAGGAGCGGGTTGGTTTCTGGACCAAGACGCTGCAGGAGGTTTATCGGGGGGATGAGGGGCGCAGGAAAGTGCGCATGGCGCTGAACTGTCTGCTTGAGCGCGATGGGTTGTTGTTGAGGCTTGGGGATGTCAAGTGTCCGGTTTCCTGGCTGCAGGTATGTGGGCATGGGTTACTTGACAGAGGAGGGAATGGAAGCTAATGGTTGACTAGGGCACCGACGATACACCCTTTGGCTCGACTGTTCAGCCAGAGCAGATTCGGCTTTTCACTCGGTCCAAGGAGGCGAAGCTGGAGATTATCGAGGGGGGTGCGCATTATCTCAATGCTACGCACCCAGAGAAGATCAACCAGACTATTTTGGCCATGGTCAGGAAGTATGGCACGCAATGAGTGGCTTGGGCAAAGTCAAAGAGCATCGAGTGGGGGGCACTTTGATCATCATAGCTTCTCTGTTTGAACTATGGATTTTTTGAGGTAGTTAAAATCGTTGTCTAAGCCATAACAGGTGTTAAGGGCCCAAGCAGGGAGGCCATGGGATGAACCTATTGTAATGCCCGGGGCTATCTCGATCTCCTTGTCATTTATTTCGCGCCTCTGCCGCATGCGGGGATCCTTAAAGCAAACCAGTAAGGCGACCCGTTCCAGGTTCCGCATCACACCCGACCGCGATCACGATGGCTTTTTGGCTGATATGGGCGGCTCTGGTATATGCGAATAGTTTACATGCCGTCCACGCGCGGGAGTGCTCTAACGGCACCTATGGGTTCATGATAGACAATGACTCGGGCATACCATCGCTCCTGACGGCTGCGACATAATCATCGGCGATGTTCTAATTTCCATCACGTTCGCAGGCGACTTCAATCTTCCTAATAGATCAAACATCACCGGGAAGCTCACAAATTCTTTCCCCGGTCGATCATCACTGCGTCATTAGATACCGACACTCACTGCGCCGGATCTTGAGCTCTTGGGTGGGTTAGTGGAGTTTCGCGCTTTACAGATTTGCGGCTCGATCATTCTGTCTGACATGTTCTTGAAGTATGGAAAGGTCGCTGGCGTCCCGAGGTCTGTTCCGTTGATTGTGCTTCGCTGACCCATGCCGCTTAGTATCGACTTTAGCGCTCTTGAACCATTTGAACAACATTTGGACAATGGGCATTGTTTTCACTGTTTTCACTGTGACCCTGATCATTATAATAGTCTTCCAGAACCATTGGAGATGGCGTTTCCGGCACCCAAATCTGCCGAGTATATACAGCTTTTTAGTCAAATCTCGAAGTAGCTATTCCCCCTTCACCAGTTCTTTACCAGATCAAAGAAACCACTCGCTGACCATTGCATTCGCTGTAGCATCCGATGTCTGAGCTAATCTCTGCTGGTCTACCGGTTCACGGCCACAGTCCCTTTGGCGATGCCGGGATGCAGGTGGCATTGCATATCCCATATGTGCCTGAGCCGTTGACGCTGAACTTTTCCAAGTTTTCGTCCATTAACAACTGACTATACATCATGAGTGTATGGAGAGGTGCGCATAGCGTTGCCTTGTTTCTATTCGGCATCTGCTGATGAAACATCTCATCCACTAAGTTTATTCTTGCCCGAGTTTCTCACTAAGGTTGCATCAATATACAACCCGTTGACATCGATATACCCCTAGCGCACGCAGGGTCGATCGAGTTACGAGGGAACATTGAACAGTCAGTCTAAACTCTTTCCTTTCATCTCTTTGCCTCACATTACCATGACTAACACGACCGCAGCGCCCAGCTAAAGGGCCTAACTTCGTACGGTGCCCTGCACCCCGACACTCTGGAATGTAGCGCCATTGGTGAGGGCTTGTAGTCGTCGGATCACTACGAGGCCAACTGTAGCTCCGAAGGAAGCAGGCTGGGCCAAGGCGAGAAGATTGCAATCGGGGGTTGCGGTCCGTTTGGCGTTCTCACTCTGGGTCTTTTCTGCTCGGTTGGGTATCGGACACAGAGAAATAAGAACAGGTCCAAGATTTCACTGAATGATGGGAACGCACTTAACGATAGGCCTGCTCGCGCGGACTCTATGGCCACGGACTCGGCGCCTGTTAGGGCTAGCTCGCCGCCGCCGCCTTACACGGCTGCGGCGCATGCGACGTGACATTGGGTTTATTTATTTCTAAAGGAGATGCTATCTGCGTCGACTGCGCGATGTAAATGATGCAAAAGAATGGAAATTCTTCAGACAACAAGAAAACTCCCAAGGTCATCTCTATAGGTATATATAGGCCTTCGAATTTAGTAGAACTACCCCAATAGCCCTGAAGGGTACGGGGTACCTGCGCATATCTGGACTAACAGATGCGCGTTCAGCCCAGTATATCGCGGAGCGTATCGGCTTCCATATTACTGCCATGAAGATTGTAGGGCTTGCTAGTCGTTGTAGTCCAGGGCCTTTCCAATCCATATTTAACCCCCTCTGCCGGTCCTGACCATGTATGAGGTCCGCAGTTACACATACAAGTGGCAACAAAAAACATGTTTACCAGAGTCCTCATCCTCCTGTTTTGTCCGTTCAAGTACCTTTAACCCCCTACAGTCTAAACACTAACGATGTCCATTCTAACCATCGCCGCCGTCCGCCATCGCCCATCTTCGCTTTAACGTTGAAGTTTTGCTCCCACTCCAGGGTCTTCTATAAATATATCGTCTCCAAAAGCATTTGGACCATCCTACGCATGATAACTCTCCCTTCTCTACCAAGTCCTCCTGGCCCTGAATCTTCGGTCAATCCACTCTCCCTAGCCCTCACTACACCCCTTCAATCCTTTTTATCAACACGATGCTCACCAAGCCCTCGCCATCTAGCGGAGGGCAAAATAGGCTGCCTAGCCAGATAACCTGAACGCGCATTGCTCCCGCCACGATTCTAGTTACCGCAACCCAGTGGTCCTGGGACGGCCAGGAATAAAACTCACACCTAGGTAGATTAAGTACACCCCGCCCTGGGCGCCCTAATAGCAATCACCGAGGGCGCCGTTGACAGAGAAAGCTAACTTTAATGCTATGGCTAGGTCTTGTTCTATCTATGGTCCGGGCTCTTAAATACGATTCTCTCTTGCACGGCGACACTTCCGGCGCAAGTCGCTCCAATTCGAATGGTCGCGCCGAACATGGCAGTGCTTCGCGCATATTAATATGGCTATGCAGGTCATGAACGGAACAAGACGGTAAAGCTGGCACCGATTGTTCGCATGAATGTGAGACTGGGAGATCACCGGTGTGGTATCGGGACTCTAGAGACGGAGAGAAGTATCTCCTGGGTAACATACCTCCGGTGCGGGTTTGGACGATCTAGCGAAGCACTTTTGTTGTCGATGGCAACATCCTTCCTGGGAAAGATGAGAGACAGTTATTTCCATAATTTTGTGATGTGTTTTAGCCCTTGGATGGGTCTATCACTTACCTGTGCCTAGTAGGAGGAGGTGATGAAATGAAAGGATCCAAGACACCAGCTATGCACACGCTATACACGGGTTCAGCATCGACAACATACCACAGTGGCTGAAAACAGGTAAAGAGTATGCCAAACACAAGCGGCCATCGCCGAACCCAGGGTAACGTGCTTAGTACGTACGGTGCGTAGACTACGACGCCGATTCAAGAGCACATGGCCGAAATACATTCAATGTTAACCTTCGACGGCGAGGCCATTGTCCGACAACAAACTAGAGCAACGACAAATGGGAGAGAATCAGCTACATCGATACGTCAAGACACACCAGTCAACCAGTCCATTCAACCGATACGCGACGAATCGATCGCACTGGAACACGCCGAAACCACCCTGCAGATCCGCGTCATTGTGGCCATGCCACTACCTGTTCTTTGGTCATTCGGTGATCAACAAAGCGTAATGATGTGACCGAGAGGAATGGCTAGCAAGTGGCCAGGAACATTTCACTAAGCGCCGGCTGTTGGAGTGAACAAGATACGAGATCATTGACGCTACTTAGGGTACCTACACGGTCAAAGCCCTAATAACCTCGCGATTCTGGCAGACTCTGAATCGACCGCATGCGATATTCTACCAGACGCTCTGGGATATAACGTCCGGCCCAGCCTCATTCAGGAAAGTAAGGAGAAGGAGATAACGACTTTTAGAATATCTTTCAGTGGAGAGCGAATCAATCTTAAGGTAGAACGACCAGGCGAGGGCTCGGCGATAAAGAGGAAATGCTTGGAATGTAGGTATTGGGTGGGATGAAGGATGCTGGACGATTGGACGAAGGGTATTTGATTACGGTTCCTTTTACAATGCCATTGTGCATTGTTCTTTGATCTGTATGACACGCCATACCTGAGCAAATTCTAAACAAAGGCGGTGCTAACAGTACTGCACATAGGACGGTGGTGGCCGTTCACCGGATCGTCTGAACAAGTCCAATGATCGTATCAAGAAGACCAGTAAGCTTCAAGCGTCTGACAGTGGCAACCTGGAAGACTCAGGCTTAACTGGATGGGAATGTCGACGCCAACTCTTGTAGGTTGACTAATGGATACCGATGGTCCGAATCCTGCGACGGAGGGAACTGGTGCGACACCCACAGTTCTTTTATCAACAGCATATTCCCATTTGTCACAGGGATTTAGCCGCGGTACTCTGCCTAAAGAACATCTCTTGCTCATGGGTGGCAAACCAAGTACTGATCTGCGTCGTGCATCACATTTCGCGAGCAACCGCCCTTCCAACACCAACAACAAATGCGCTGCCAAGAGGACACTATAATATACAAAGCAAAGCCCGATGACGGTACAGGAGAAGTAAGTCGTCGTCGACATGTAGCGGTGAGGTACTTGGGTAGTCAGTTTCACAATGACCGCCCCATTTTTTGTGTCACCGAGCTTTGCAGGTCAGCATAAGCCAACCCACAGCCTACTCTGGGCCCATTACAGGAACGTAATCGCAATGCATGAACTCATCCGTCATCTGAGCATCTGTTGTTCAGGGGTCCCCCGACTCTGCTAGGGCGCCTCCCCACCTGGGCATGTGCAGGCGTAGCGCTGACTGGTGTTCTCAAGATGGGACAAGTGGAAAGTCATGATCTCTGGCTTACCTTCTTCCAATATGTCGCTAGTCAATTAGTAGTTACAATTTTCTACTGGTCTGTTACTAGGACGGGATAGATATGAAGTTATCTAGGCAGGGTATCCAACTCCGCGCAACAAACAAATAAACCGAGCCTCGTCAGAAAAGCAGCGAAAACGGTGGACACCCAGACGGAGACTCAAGTCTCATCCTCCAGTCCCCTCCGCCTGAGTGCAAAAACAACCTTATCCTTCGGCTTCTCCGTGCCGAGCCCAAACCCAAGCGAATCCATCCTGAACTTCTTCGTCCGAATCTCGACATCGAACTGCGTGACAAAGAGCGCAATCGTGTAAAGCATGATGCGCTTCGCGAAATGTCGGCCGGGGCAGGCTCCAAAGCCAGCTACAGCACACGCAGTCAGTCAAAGGCCCATAACGGGCGAGTTTGAGCGAGCATAAATCACGTACCGCCGTACGGAACCCAAGATCCCTCCAGCCCCTTCATCGTGAACTTCGCCTGACCGGGATACTCACCTTCCACCATCGACCCTTGCCCCGGAGCCCCGGGCCCCTGAGCGCGCAGGGGCCCCGAACTGGGATCGCCAGGGTGAATAAGGAACCGGTCGGCCCAGAACTCCGTCACCGGATGCGCTCCATCCCGCGTATTCCACACCATCTCGCTCATCTGCGACGCATACGAGCTCACCGTCGCGACCTCGTTCTGCGGCAGCCACCACCGCCCCAGCGCCACGGGCTCGTGCGGCGAGCACCGCGTCACATACGACTGCACGTGCAGCCGGAGCGTCTCGGCGTAGATGGACTGGAGGAGGTCGTCGCGGAGGAGCCGGTCCATGTCCACTGTGAAGGCGCATGTAGCCGATGAACGGACTGTATCGCGGAGACTCGCGCGGACGCGATCGAGCAGCCCAGCGTCCGAGGAGATGTGTAGGATGGCTAGCATCGCGTTCGGAACGACGTTGGTTACGGCCGTCCAGAGGAGGCCTAGGTCGGCGGAGGCTAGGGCCGCGTCGTCTTGCTTGTCGGCGCTCAAGAGGAACTGTTGGCGTTCGCGCATCATGGCGCTGCCCCAGATGGAGTCGATATCGTGTTCAAGGTTGTGGGTCTCGGCGGATTGGGCGCGGGCGTGCCAGTACCAGGATTGGATTTGCTGGAGGAGGTCGTCTCGCGCGCGGTAGGCTCTTGGGTAGAGGAGTCGCGGGGTGCCTCTGATGATGTAGGGGACGGCGGCGTCGAACTCCCACAGGTTCGCTTGGAAGGTAGGGTGTATTTCCAGTAGTGACGGGCCGACGAGGGAGGTGATAATGGCGCGACCGATGTGGTCTTTGAAGAATCGCAGCATATCGGGCATCTCGGTCCACTCTTTCTCTATGCCGAGATTGTCGATTTCGCGGGTGAGGACGGCCTGGAAGCGCTGGAACATCGGCGCCAACCCCGGACCCGTCAGTCCGCGGAGGAGGGAGTCATGCGTGAGGAAGTCGACACGGTTGTGCGGCGCGATGTTGCTCTTGGGGTGCGGTTTGCGATACGGTCCGGAATCGTCGGCTGTATATGTCGCGATGGCGCTCTCCTTCATGCCGAACAGTCTTCGCAGGCCGACAGTGTACATGTAGACGGGACTGGCAAGGGCCGGGTGTTTCCACATAGCGGCGACGGCTTCTGGGTCTTGAATTACAAAGACCCCCGGCGCGGTAGGGAGCAGTGAAGCTCGGATACATGTCAGGTGGCCGCAGTATGTCCTGAGCAGTCGACGGGTTAGCTAAGAAAGAATATGGATCGGAAAACGAAGGAAAGAGAGGCAGCATACGTCACGCGTTTCACGAAAGCTGCGCCGTTGAAGAAGATATGATACAAAAGACCCAAGACGGGGACACTTGGCGGCAGGTCGGGGGGCACCTGTTTGCCTGGAGCGTCCGTCCTTCGCCGGATATTGACGATATGGTATGAAACATATAGGACAATGTAGCGCACTAAAAGAGGTATTGATAAAAGCAACGGAAACACATAAGGATACGGAAGATGTGGCATCTTGGCTGCTCAGGAGATAGAACGTAAACTACTCCAGGACAAGCGCCGCCGGGAGGAGAGTGAAAGCGTCTATATATACAACAACGAGTTGAACAAAGCTCACCTCATCACGTCGAACGCCCCCACCCAGGCAGTGCTGGCGGTACGTTTCGCTCCGACTCAGATAAGGTTAGATAGGAGCCAGCAGTAGGGGTGCGAAATGAAATGTATCCATAGCGAAGCCTGATGCAGCGGTGGCGGCCTCGGTGGCGTTGCTCTGTCCCCGTGTTTTACCATCCTGCGACGCAAACTGATCCATGCCTTCACACTGTCATTCAAGTGTCGCAGATGGGGGCCGAATAAGCCACGAGAGCCAACACATGTGACGTAGGATTCGAAGGAAGGTAGGTGCTTAGAGGGTAAGCCCAACGCGGGGCCGAGCGATCTGAGCTCTCCAACCGCCCGAAAAGGATCAATCCCGCGCCGCTAAAGCACTAGTTTACCACCGTACTGTAGTATGGTAGTTCACACAATTCGCTGACGTTCCCAGTCACTGCCACCGGGTGACGAAATGCTGTCGCCGACGGGTGCCCTGCGCACAGGCAATCCTGGCCCCAGTCAAGGTGTAACGATGCAGCTAATCTTGGAAACGTGCGTAAGCCGCAAGCGCAGTGATAAAAGGGGAGTCCGATACTTGCGACACGAATAGGTAGGCGGCACTAAGCACCCAACCAGGTACAGTCAGCGCCGACCGGGAGGATCCAGGGCCTGCCCTGCCAAGGTGCTGGGGCTGCAAGCCACCATCGGCCTGTAACTCACTTGGATCATGACGTTTCGCCCGGGATCGGGCGTCGCAAGAATTGTCGTCTTTTGGCCGTAGTCTACCATACTGTCAATGACTCAATTCGTCCCCGCGCCTACAGTACCGGTACCCGGGTACACCTTCGGCCCGCAGCGGGGCACTGAAGCGGGCCCTGCCCTGTAAGGCTGTGCCTGCGCCACCTAGGCGGCTCCCCGCAAAATCTTGATTAGGTACCACATCCTTGGGATTCGACCTCAGTATACCTCCACACCCAGTGCTACATTCTCCGATGGGCTATAGAATGGCACTGCGCTACAGTGTTGAGCCTCCTTGTTACGGTCGTCATACCAATTTCCTGAGGAAGCTCTCTGGGGTGGATTGTTTATCCATGGAGAATACTACGAAGTGATTCATAGGTAGGCTTTATGCCAAATGTGCATCTGCACGTTCACCTACCAGGGGCTACGGGCTATCCATGCATGAGCCTCTGCCATTTGCTACTCCTGGGTCTCCGAGACTTGGAGCTGAGGTTACCATGCGGCCGCGATCTCTGAGTATCCTGTACACGGAACTGGACCATGCCGCGAGCTTTCTCCGCTTCTAGGGGTGGCGTGCAGCTGAACTGACTAGGCAAGCCGCCTATGAGCCAGCCGGCTGAACGAGAAGCTTCATGTTACGCAGCTACCAAAGGATATCCACCAGGCAAAGCGTGATTCGTCGCCTCATGTTAAAGAGCAGAAATACAAGGAATATCATCTTCAGCACTCTTCTTTATATCATCATGGACCAACAACATGGTCTATCTGGATATCCACTCCGCTTCCCGTCTTGCCTCCTTCCCCTTCCATCTACCACCCTCCAAGTCCACAGTATCGCCCACACAGTGCCTACCCAAGCATTAAATCATCCAAGACCCGGCCTACGAAATCGATCGGAACGTTCTCATTATGACAAACCAAGCATCTTCAGGATTATCTGACACCCGACGCGGCGCTCCAGTGCCCTTTCGGTGGTCAGATCTGTTTCAGTCAAGTCGAAACCGTCCGTCTGCGCCCCGGACACCTCCATTACCTTCCTGCAACAGCGACGGATCCGAAGCGCGGTCAAGTCAAGCCCATCCTCCTGCCCTTCGCGAGCCTCCTCTACACTCTCACAACCATGATGGACCTGAAGCGCAGCCGAACCAAAACTGTCCTCCTGCGCCCGGCGAACATCCACTACCCTCCGGCAACCACGGCGGTGGTTCAGCGCCCCGTTTGTGGACAGAGCTGTTTTACCCGAGACGAGACCGTGATCCAGCAGATGAACAAGTTTCCGCAAGCACTACCCCGAGCCGAGGTTTACATTCAGCAACTCCTGCCTCAAATCCATCAGGGGCCCTCGCCCCAATCCTCATTTCGCTGGCCGTCGACAACACAATCAAGAGCTAGACCGGTCGCAAACGTCCGGACGATATCTACCGCGACGAGCTCTATCCTTGATTTCAAGAGATATCTTACGATACCAGGCCCTTCAAAAGTTCCTCTGGCCAAAGACACTCAAAAGACTTGCATGCTGAAACCCTGGATCTGTTTGCTAGGGCTCACCGGGATGGAAAAGTTCCGGAACTTAAGTTGGAACATGTGGACACGGTTCTGAAGACCTTTGAGGTGTTGAGGGAATATGAATAACTCGCCTTTATTGGAGAACTCGCAAAAAAGATTTGGAACTGCATTTGGCTTGTGGAGGACTTGGACCCAAGTTTGGAGAAACTTCCGACTGTCAAAAATCTAGACGTCTTCCTTGAACAAGAGGCGGCGAACCAGCCGAGTGGTAGAGTGGACGACGGCAAGTGGAACAAAAAGGTGCATTAAAAATAGACATCCTGGCAACGCCACGCAGGCCTACGGTACTATCACGAGGTCCCGAAGGTCTGGTACCATACCTAGGTATACAATGGGAGCCAGGCGTCGAGCATAAATACCTTTCCGGTTCGTCCGGCTTTCGTCTTCCCTTGCCTCCATTTTCATAATCTCGCTCTTTTGGCTCATGGTCTTTTTGCTCCCTCTCTTGGCTTGTCGTTTCTTTTGTTTCTCCCAACCCTCCTCTCGCCCGCCAATATGCTAAGCAGCGCACGGATCGAGGCGCTTCGCAACGCCGGCAGGGCCGGCGGAATTCCCGAACTCGCCAGTATCTACGGGGGATGGTACACAGCACCCAATGGAAAGCGCTACTTTGGACTGGGTACAGTTATGGAGATCGGGTATACCCATGACGGCAGTGTCTATGTGAACGCTGAGCCCACCAATACCGAGGATGACCGATTCCGGTTCTTTGATCCCTCCACCGACGAGGACATGCCGGAAGATCAATACCCGGAAGACCCCGAGCTCGTCTTCGAACGAACCTACTTCAGTCCCCGTAAAGGACCCACGTACGGCCCGAAACCAACAACCCCAGGCCTGAAGCCGGGTGACATGGCGCGCGGCTTTTACGACTCCGCGCAGAATGTGGTGTTCTACGGCGTCGGCCGCATTGTCACACCCATCATCCAAGAAGACGGCCAGCCCAGCGGCAGTTTCTGGATTGAACCGTCGCGGATCCGCGGTCCAATCCCCGTCTGGGAGACGTATTCGCGTCGTGACATTGAGGAACACGAGCTTCCACGGTCGTACTATACAGGAAGCCTGGAGACACAGCAGCGCGAGAACAAAGACCGCCCCAGGCGCGAGATTCATCATGAACTCCACCACTGGTATGGGAAGCTTCCGCCAATGCCCGCTCAAGCCCGTGACCAGCCACGACTGGGCTCTGAGCATTCTGGCGCGTATTTCGCCCCGGACGGGCAGTGGTTCGCTGGGGTAGGCAGGGTTGTTGCAGTTGGATATATCTTGCATATTGGATGTTCCCAAGAATGGTATGTATATGTGGAGCCAACAGGCAAGACTGGAGGAGACTATGACTTTTTTCACCCTCAGACTCGTGAGTGGATGGACGAGCTGCCTCAAACCAACCCTATTCCTGGCATGCAGTGTACTCCAAGGGAGCGCAGGACCCTTCCATCGCGCTGGCGAGACCTCCCAGTCATCAATCGCCAGCCAGCAATCGGCGAGGAATACCACGGTCGGTATTGCCCTCCGGGTGCGCCGAAACGGGATGTCTATGTTGGCATTGGCAAGGTTGTGAAAACGGGCGTGGATGAAGAACGGGGTCGGATTTGGGTGGAGGTGGTGCCTGTGGCCAACAAGCGCGATAGCTGGAATCATCAGTTCCGGGACCCCTGGAGTGGCAAGAAGATGCCGGAGTGGTATTGGCCGCTTGAGTAACAATGGCAAGGCAGGTTCTTGCTTCTATGTGTACATTGATTTGCTGTTTTCCCATTGCTGTTTATATCTCGCTTGGTTGGTGACTGATTATATGTTTTGCTCGTTGACTGTTTATATATATGTGAATATGCACCTTCACCTGCCAGAGGCTAGGGCTGCATGATGCATGAGTCCTCACCTATATTGCACGCCCGGAACTTAGGGCTGAGGCTTATATGCCGCCCAAACGTTTCTGCATGATGGACTATTGGAAGTTCAATAAGTATAGGATGCTTTGATCTCTCTACGGCAGGCTGGCGACACACAGGCCAAGATATTCACCAGAAAGCTCTCATATTAGGCCAATACCCCAGCATTACCCAGTAGGCACAGTGTGAATGGTCAACTCAGCGCCGAGAGTCTAGATACAGGTAGTACCACAACCATCACTGTTTTTTATGCCTCAACGAGTCATCAACAGGTATAAATACCTAAAGAATCAAATTTCTTCCGCTGGAACTTCTTTCCTTCTCCAACCACCGCTCCTCCTCCTCTAACAATCTCTACACAACAACACTTCCATATTCCATGCCTTTCGCAAGCGTATGAACACCCAACAGACTTCCACACTCAGAATGAGCAGAGCCCGTCGCAACCCGGACTCTCAGGGAACCTCTGCAGCGAGCAGAAACCGCCCACGTAATGCTGCATATCGCTTTGATCCCTATGCCCAGAATGCCAGAGCCGCGTCAGGTTCCGAGCCCCCCTCTCACGGACAATACCACTCAAGCGGCCAGGATCAGTTACTGTTGCAACACAGGCAACCGTCCGCAGCCAGAATTCCGCTTCAAGAGCAAGGTCAGTCAGAGCGCGATGTTCGCTTAGCAGTAGCCTCCTCCTCCCGCGCCTCAACAAATTATCCAGTCAGACATGAAAATGCCCGGCGACCACGTCCGCCTTCTCCAGTGGCAACTTTCAAGCAGCGCAAAGCACGCAAGTTGTTCGATACTCGATCGCGAGAGCAGAAGTTCGTGACGCTGCCGGACATATGCGCGCAGACTGGGCCGGATAAACCACGAGCAGACGGAGTCCTACTCTAAACTTCGAGACGCTTTAACAAGGCTTCAGCGTGAAGGCACACTGGGAGATTTTGAACTGGAGCAAGTGGAGACAATGGAACAGGTGCTTGATGAACTCGAGAAAAAGAACATGTTCGACTTAGTCGGTGATTACGTCGCCCTGGTCTGGAACTGCCTGTTGGTGTCGATAAGAAACCGGGACCCGAGGACGATGGTCCGGATTCCGAATTTCCAATCCCACATCTACCCACTGATCTCGCCGTTCTGTGTGGAAATCTCAAGGATGAGGAGGAACATTCGAGGAAGCGATACAGAGAGGGCTGGCGCACACAAGCCATCCGGGAATGGACGGAATGGGTGAGCAGAGACAAGGAGGCACCCTTGCAACTCCGATTCAATGATGTGAAGCATGCATTGGAAACTTGGAACGAGAGGTGCTCAGGCACACACCGCGGGTTGCCGGATTGGTGTATACCGATGAGGAAGAGGAGAGAGTGAAGATAGAAATTGAAAAGGATATAAAAAGACTGCCAAGCAGGATGGACGAGGTGGACCAGAGCAGGTATAAGCGCATAAGGCGTGAATACCCAGCATTTCAACACTTACGATCCTAAGCGGAAGAACAAGAGGCGAAGCGGAAAGCAGGCACAACATTGAAAGGGTTGGCACTAAGAATAGACAAATGAATACGGAGTATGTGTGTGGATAGACTAGAATAGAGTTGGGAGTGCTTGCAACCCTTATGAATAAACAAAGAAAGATGTTCTGGCCGTGAATTGACTTGGTAAAGATGCTAAAAACCGCCACAGTGTCATCCAGACCACAAAGACTCGAGAAGCATAAGCACCTGACCAAGTCGCTCCAACTCTCCTCATGTATAACCCTGCCTCTGTGCCTATATCCCTCTTTGTGTTTCTTTTCTCTTCATGCTTCAGTCTTGAGATCCCTGTTTCTTTCCCTTTTCTTTCCACGCTACCATGTCCACCAGCAAACGTATGGACGCCCTGATCCGAGCCGGCAGGACCGGCACCGGCCGAACCCCGCGAGTCGATACAATCCATGGTGGATGGTACAATGCACCTGACGGAAAGGAATACTTTGGAGTTGGGGTTGTCACCGAGATCGGAATCACACATGATGGCAGTACCTACGTTAACGCCGAGCCGCAAGTCCTCAGGAGCTCGACCAACAAGCAGTTCCGCTTCTTCGACCCCCTAACAGACGAGGACATGCCACTGGACCAGTACCCCGAGGACATCGAGGTTCGCACTGAGCAGGTACTAGCCAGAAAGCGGCGCACGCTCAAGTCGCAGCCCAAGTCCGGCCTGGGCCCAGGCGAAATCTGGCACGGGTATTACGAGAGCGCAAGAGGGCAGAGCTACGACGGGGTTGGAAAGATCATTGCGCCCCTTGTGAGACCCGACGGCACTCCAACCGGCTACTATGCGCTGGATCCATCGCGCGTGCGCGGTGTATTCCCGCTGCAGGAATTGTACACCGACGCGGATATTGTGGAGGACGAGCTACCACGTTCGCCTTACACAGGGAGCGCGGAGACGCAGCGGAAGGCGCGTGAGAATACCGCACGCCCCCTGCGAGAGGAGAACTTTGATTGCTTGTACTACTGGTATGGGAAGCTGCCGCGTCTGCCAGGCTCGCGCGGTGAGCAGCCGCGGCTCGGTAGGGAAAGCGCGGGCGCGTTCTTTGCGCCTGATGGCCAGTGGTTTGCTGGGGTAGGTAAGGTGGTGACTGTTGGCTGCATTAACCGGCCTGCGGCGCCTCAAGCATGGTATGTTTATGTTGAGCCAATTAGTGATAGGGCTCCAGCTGGCAGGGATTATGACTTTTTTCATCCAGTTACACGCGAGTGGATGGACGAACTACCAAGCAACCCTATCCCTGGTGTCCAGTGCAGTATAGCGCAGCGCAGGGCTCTGCCTTCCCGCTGGCGGCATCTCCCTGCAATCCGCCGCAAACCTGAGATTGGCGAGGTGTATCCTGGCCGGTACTGCCCGCCCAAAGCGCCCAGGCGAGATGTCTATGTCGGAGTGGGCAAGGTGGTCAGCACGGGGGTGGATGAGCAGAACCGGATCTGGGTGGAGGTGGTGCCTGTCGCAGACAAGCGCGGCAAGTGGGAGTACTTGTTCTGGGATCCTTGGTCTGGAAAGCGGATGCCAGAGAGGTACTGGCCAGCTGAATAAAGAGAGCAGGGCAGGCCTTTGCCCTTGTCTTAGGGATATTTGGGTAGTATTTGACTTTTGATGTATTGCATGGATGTTTCCTGTTTATATAGATCTGGGCGTGGGTGTATATGTTTCTTGCCTTGCAATGACTGCTTGAGCTGTGACTGCCCGTTCTTTAGTATCTTGATGGCATTGTTGTACGTCCAGCAGTCGACCACTGCCGGCATACTCTCCGCAAGGTAAGGTCAAGGAAGGAATCGGGGGTCGCAAGACTAATCGTCGCCACACTCGGATTGAGAAGGCCAAAGAGGTGGCGGTCTGGAAGGTACGGAAAAGGACCATAAGAGACAATGACCGATGAGTTGTTCCTAAACAAGAATAGATATAAAGAGAAAAAGTCTAAAAGTCTGGTACACTGAGTGAACCAGGGCAGTGCCGGGTCAAAGGAGATATTTTAAGTAGTTAATTCACAAAGGATTGCCAGGAGTGCCAGGTCTTTACAAGCATAAATGCCTCATCGTCCATACTTACTACTTTTCTGTGTCTATTCTCCTCTCTTTTCTTGTTTCCCCCCTATCCTTGTCTTCGATTCGTTTCCTTTCCTTTCCCACCATACATACGTGCTCTCAGCAAAGATATGGAGGCCGCTACCCAGACTGGCAGGGCGCCCCTTGTTTCAAGTATATATTCCGGATGGTACGACGCCCCCAATGGAAAGCGCTACTTTGGCCGGGGTGTTGTGAGTGAAGTTGGGATCACTCATGACGGCAGCACCTATGTCAAGGTCGAGCCACAACTTGTACGCGACACCTTGCCCAGCAAACGATATCGCTTCTCCGACCCCATCAGCTTGGAGGACATGCCATTCAACCAGTACCCATTGGACCCCACTGTCCTCGTGCGGGAGGCAAGAGAGTTCAATATACCCAGCCCACAGCGCTTTCTCCTACGAAAACCTGGCCTGGGCCCTGGCGACATTGGCCCCGGTTGCTATATGTCTTCAAGAGGACTGGATCATGCCGGCATGGGGAAGATTGTTAGTGTTAGGCCTGGCACGGAGGTGGAAGGCGATGCTCATTACGGCTACTACGACATAGAGCCAGCGCAGGTGCCCTCGGCCGGCGGATTCTTCGCATGGGAGGGATTAACCAATGTGAGCATTGCGGACGAGGATCTACCGCGGTCGCCATACTCGGGGAGCGCGGAGACACAGCGCCGCCTGAATCCAGAGCGTCCCAGGCGAGAAGTGCACACTAATCTTGTGCGACACTGGTATGGAAAGCTCCCGGCAATTAATTGGGGAGTAGAGGTGAGCAAAACGAGGCAGCCGCCACTGGGCACGGAGTGCACGGGCGCTTACATTGCGCCTGACGGACAGTGGTTTGCTGGAGTGGGCAAGATTGTTACTATTGGGTTTATTCGCCAGGTTGGCGGAATAACAAGATGGTATGTATATGTTGAGCCAACAGGGAAGACTGGGGGAGATTACGACTTCTTCCACCCTATTACCCGCGAGTGGATGGATGAGCTCCCAAGCAACCCTATCCCAGGTGTCCAGTGCAGTATAGCCCAGCGCATGCTGCTTAAAACTCTTCGCTGGCGTAACTTACCCCTTATTCGTTGCCAACCTAATATTGGCGAAGAATACCACGGCCGCTACTGTCCGCCCAAAGCACCCAAGCGAGACGTGTACGTTGGCGTTGGCAAGGTGGTCAAGACCGGGGTGGACAATAATAAAATCTGGGTGGAGGTTGTCCCTATTCCTAGCAAGCGTGACGAGCTGAACTACATGTTCTGGGACCCCTGGAGCGGCAAGAAAATGCCCTCGCAGTACTGGCCAACTGAGTGATTGTGCTGTGCTGTTTCTCTTGTTTCTTTATCTTTGTTTTGTGCTTTGCTCTACTACGTATATAACTTCTTTGCTCTTTTCACAAAGCATGACTGTCGATTACTATGCCTTGTTTTATAACAGTGCTCATCCCACAACCGTAAGCTACCTATGCATCCGCAGGTGGCAAGATGCCAGGTGCGGCGGCCATAATGGCCGATCGGCCCAAGTTTGAAGGGTATTGGGTAAAGGATAAAGAAGACATTCTCGAGGTCGGCTCAATCAGCCCGGAAAGCGCATCTACGGGGTTGACTGGGATAACGTGCTAAGCAATGCCAACATTACTAAACAGCCGGCAAATCAGAGTGTATAAAACATGTTTGTGACCTGGAGACTGCTGTAAGCAAGAGTAGACATGTTCTACTTGGGCTAGGGCACATGGCATTCGGGCTGTTTCCGGATCTGCAGATGTAACATTTTCACTCCATACCCTCGGGTTATTCACGAAACCTTGGAACAAGGGAGGCTAACCTTGGAAGCAAGCCCCCTTTCCATCATGTCAAGTGGGAACGACTGTTATACCGAACCACGAAATGCCGACGCCACAAGGTGTCGACAAAGGAGGTACCATGTGCGTGACGGCCCCAGCCAAACCTGCAGGATATGCTGCTCGCGATGAGCTGGTCTAGAATCAACGCTACCATATTTTCCCCATCAAGGGGCCGGTTGGAGGGGTTATTGCAACGGCAGTAGATACCCATGGTACCCTAAAATGCGCAACATCGTAGCATGGTTCATTCCAGTAAGTGAAATGGAAGCTTGCTCAGAATCTTTACGCACTCCATGTCCAAAACCCGGCTGGAACCCAGATAGAAAATATTGGACTTGGGCCTGTCAGGGTTGCTTTGGTTGGACTACTTGATAATATCTTGAACAATATATCCTCAGCTTATCAAATGGACAACAAGACCGTATTAATCTTCTACCGTGGTCTTTCTACACTTGGCAGGCTGGCACTCATACAAAGACCAACGTTGGCGTTGGCGGGTACCGAAGCCTGCAGGACTATGGTATTCATTGACATACAGACCTTTTTGGTTGGCAATATTCGCACTTATCCAGTCTAATAATCACTACAGGTCCTCGGGCCGAGCTATCAATGGACAGACGTGTAATCCTTGCGTTTTCTCTGGGAAAGCTAGGCGTCATTCAACATCCTTGTCCGTCAAAACGCCAGAAGTATACCATTCATATGAAATACAGTTTACACTTTCTAGGTATAATGTTCTAGAATCATGCTCCTATATGCTTAATCCATTTTTACCCTGCCGAGCGAGCCTTACTGTCCCTAGACGTGCTCCTAATCAGCCCATTCGCATCAACCATAACCCTCACAACTCATGGGAATTTGCCCAGGCTCAACGCCAATCTCCAGCGCTGTATCTTCGGCTCCAAAGAACGCGTTGTCACGATTATTTTCCCCCACTTTCCGTCGCTGAGAATACGGCGGTCATTATGACCTTCTTGCGGATTGAGATGTGGATGCGCCAGAGGATGAGGATTGGGATTGAGAGGACTAGACATTGCGAGGACTGTCAGTAGGAAGAATCATGGCTTGGACGGGATAAGTAGCCCAGCAGGAGTGACTAGAATGAACAAAGACCGGCTGGGTGTACTCATTAAATCAGTCACCACATCCCCGATACAGTTGAAGTAGAACAGTCTCATCTTCCGGCTGACTTTCGCGGGCGTGTGGCATACCGCTGGAAGTGAGATGGCAGAGGTTAGATCAACTTCCTCTTCGAGCATCGATACGTTATGACACATCCATAGATACTTACTAGACAGGTTCTTATAATCGCCGTCATGCACTTGAAATCGCTATCAGCGACCGCCACGATCCCACACCAACCGTCACAACAAGCACAACGAGCCACCAGATCCGGTGGCTCCTACCCTCGTCCCGAGTCCGTAGAAGAATACAAGCAACGACAGCTTGATGGACCAGAGCGCCAGCGGGTATAGAATATTCAGCGGGCTCAAGACGCGGTAGAACACCGTGATTTGGCTCGCGATCACCTCCCAGCTTTGGCGCTCCACCTCGAACGTCCGATATAAAGCCGGCGCTTTGACCTGCCAGATCATGGCGGATTCGAGGTGCATCATCCATGCGAGGATGACAAGGTCGTCGAGGAGGAAGCGCCGGTGGGTATGGCGGCGGATTGTGAGGCGGAAGAGGACGAAGAGGAGGCTGAGGGCTGTTATTGACCATTGTACGCCCTGGGCTCCCATACAGAAAGCGTCAGCGGATAGATGTGCCAGAGGGACTTTATAGGCTGCACGACGAACGAGAAAAGCTGCTTGGAAGATTCGGCCAGGTTGGCCTACGTCTTGCTGTTGCTGCGTGCTAGACATTGTCGACTATCGGATGAAGCGGCTTCGTCTTCAGAAGGACGGGCTCAGAGTCTATAGGTAAGCGATTAAGCACGTCTGTACTCCGCTTCGGCCGTACTCTGCGCCTGTGATGCCGAGGAAGAGCATCGCTGAAAACGTCTATTTCAATTCGCCTAGTCTCGTCTCCTGTAGCACAGAGACGGTGATGATTTGGCCGCACATCACTGTGCTCAGCACCTACTCAAGATAATGCATGGGCTCTATCTCCAACAACTTACATATCAGCTCACGCTCGGATGGTATGCTAGATGGCATGACCGGGGATAGGTTGGGCATTGTGAAAACTACACATTGCAGTGTCTATTTCTATGAATTGACAACAGCAGCTCTAGCCTTCCCTTCCAGCCTCCGCACGAAATCAACTCTGATGGCCTCCAACGACCTGAGCACAGTAGCTCGCAGCTTTAATCCACTCCTACAGTACCAAGTCTCCTCAACCAGCAGCTCCTCCAACCCAAGGCAAAGCGCAACCCAGTCGATCTCGCCTCCCGGCGGTATATCAACAATCTCGAAAAGCGGCCACGGCGCACACCGCGAAATCCAGTATGCATCAGGGAGCGTCCAGGAGAAGGCTTCGAGGAGATTGCGGGTGTCTCGGATCATGTCGACGACGGAATCGTAGGTATGGTACATGTAGTCGAGGATCATCATCGCGATATCCACGGGGATATCGATTTTCGCAGCGGAGTCGGATACCCGTACATCCCGACTACGATGTATTGACCGACGCTTCGTGTCCTCGTTCTCCTTCACAACACTGTCAACCAGCGCCTGGATCTCCGGGATGCGGACCGGACTCCGCGGCTGATGGTAGCGGTTATCCATGCAGCGCTCTCTGCCTGGTCTGGGCGTGAACTCCGCGTCTGGCCCGAACTTGGGCGTCCTCCAGCCGTCGCACTTGTGGCGTTTCCCCCAGTCCCGGACATCTTTGCGGTGGTGCGCCGGTTCATAAGCCCATGTCTCTCCGGGCCCTCCGTGACTCCTCCAGTAGTCCCGGACGGTTTCCACAAAGAGCCGCACATTGGCCGTGACTAGATCATGCCCGATTACCCGGTCAACCAGCAGCCAGCAGTCAGCGTGGACCAGGTGGCCGCGGGGACAAGAACGCCGTCTAGCAGCGCGAGCGCGCTTGTCGCTGCACACTTTCTCCCGTAAAATCTGCCGGGTCGAGCCAGACGAAGACTGCGATGAAGATGGTGCCACGAGCACAGACTCAGGGGCCGGATGGCCCCCAGCGCCGCCAGTCACATCGACCGGCCGGAACAGAGTCGCTCCTTGGCCTGGCTTGACTCCGGTGGACGCGATGCGTGCCGTTGCTGGATCTTTCGGGACGATGAGCTCGTCTCTGATGGTCGCTATACCGGATATGGTGAACTCCTCTGTTTCTGGATTCTGCAGCACTGCTCAGCCCGTTAGTTTGAATTGATGCAAGTATGAAAGATTATGGGTATGGTAGTGCCACTCACGGACCCGAAACAAATACGACCACGCGAGGGGACTAGCAAGATATGTCCCCTCGACCTCGCTCGCCGGCACAGAGATAGATCTGCGGAAGATGCCGAGTTTCTCCTTGCGCCAGTGGTCTCTTGACGCCAGCATCTCGTGTTGCTGCTCGGTGCTGCAGTGATGTATCACGGCGCCGCAGATCACGCAGGCATATTGAGCGTTGCAGGAGGTGTCTGTGCTGTTCACTCCAGGCCCAGGCCGCTGTCTGCTATGCCTGTGCCCCATGCTGCGAGACTGGTTTATTATGAAACAGACAGACTGTGAGATGCGCTGATGACGCAGTGTGTCGGGGTTCAGGCATTCCGGGACCTTGTTCCATGCTCAGCTGTTCCCAGGCACTCCGGACGGGGGGGCCTGGTGGTGCGACCGGTTTATACTCTCGGGAATTGCTCCTCGCTCAGGATCTAGGGAGGAAGTAAAGTCCGCAAGCTTGGAATGATTTTACCGAGTAAGCATATACCTGGGTAAGTTCGTTTGCAAGGCTGGCCTCTCCCATCTACTCCCCATTATGAAAATCCTATCGACATCATCTCTAACTCTCCTCTGCCCAGCTCCACAAACCAAAACCTGCAATGACTGATCGGCTGCTTTAGGGTCTAAGATCATGCAGGATGTTCTGCCATGGAGTATGCTCATTTGTGCTTCATTCCAAGCTTGTTCCCCTACCTATATCGATTATGGGCTGAATGCTTCGGCAAGAATCATAATTATCCTTCAATCCTATACGTTAAGGCAGACCATATTCCTGCAGACCCCTACCCGACATCATGCAGCAGAGCATGAACTGCTCAACCGTCCTTCCTTATCACCTAGCAGCAATCTCTGCAGCTGCGCCTTCTGGACCCAATCCTGGCGCCATCCCTGCATCCCCTTGCTCCTCGTTCCCCGAGGTCAGGGCATCGAGCCTCTCCTCCCTCCTCGCAAACCATCTAATCACAAAGATTATGCCAAACTGAAGCACACTGATCCCAGACATAACGCTGTACCCCATCGTGAACTTCGGCGCGTACTTCCCGGTGTCGAGGATCAACACTGTATCGATTATAGTCAGCACCCATCACCAACCTCCTAGATGAGGTCTAAACTGCAATACGTTGGAAGCAGAGATGGGAGCACGTACGAGGAACCCAAGCAACAAACGCCTGCCCGAACGTCTGCGCCACCCCAATAACAATCGCGCGCTCCTCAGCGTCTTTGTGGCAGATTTCGCTCGCCCATGCCTGGCACTTCATCAGAGAAAGCTCGAAGAGAGGGGAATAGAAAGACGCACGTATAGAACAGGCCAGTATCCCCACGAAGCAGCATTGAGCATGTATCCCAGGAACGTAGCTCCGTAGTTCGGCCCAACGGCGAGGATGACCATTCCGACGAGGTTGATTATCTGGAACGGTCAGCGGGAATCAACATGCTTACGGTACCTAAGTGTTAAGTGTAGCGAAACGTACCGCAGGAACACACAGCAGCTGCCACCTCTTCCCACCCAGCGCATCCGAGATCCAGCTATACGCCAGCGTCGTCACGAGCCCGCACGCCTGCGCCGCCGTGGGGAAGAGGTTAACCTGGTAGACGGAGAACCGGTCAAGCGACTTGAGCCAGACGGCGAAGTAATTCAGCGGCTGTGTCGCGATGCAGTGGAATCTGGGATGGCATTCTTGATTAGCAACGACTCCCGATTTGTTAACAAACGGACGTACATCAACGCCAGCACCATGATATAAAGCGGCCAGTGCGTGGCGATCCTGCGCATCTTCTTCCAGCTCAACCCCGTCGGCTTGCGCCGATCAATCTCCTCCATCCGCTGTGTCGCATGCTGCAGTTTCTCCTTGGACAGCCAGCGCGCGCGGCAGTTATACGGGTTATCTGGGACAGCGAAGAAGCCGTACAGCGCGGCGGGGACGGAAATCACGCCGCAGAAGATGAACAGCCAGCGCCAGCCCGGCAGGCCCAGGTGGCCGTCCATGCCCCTGTAGATGCCGGCTTGCAGGTACCCGCTGAACATGGAGGCGGCGTAGCTGGCGGAGTAGAAGATGGCGATGCGTTTGGAGAGCTCTGCGATGGTCAGCCGGTATCGTGGACTGGATGTGGAGAGGAACGGGCACCCTTTGGTGTGTACCAGCTGCCCATTATTGTGAGGACGCCGACGGCAAAGGGGCTCTCGAGCATGCCGACGAGGAAGCGGAGTGCGAAGACGGTCTTGACGTTCTGCACTGATGCGAAGCAGAAGGTTATGATCGACCAGAGGAGCTCGACGGTCGGGATGTAGTAGGACGGTCGGACTGGCTTTGTTAGTACTTTTTTTGTGGTGGATGGGCACGGTGACATACTTCTTGTTAGGAGAAACTGCGACGGGATCTGCCCGATCAAGTAGCCGCAGGTGAAGAATGTCGTGAGCAGGTTGTATTGGTTCCCGTGGAAATTGAGGTCCTCTTTCATGCCTGAGACGTAGGCATTTGCTATAGGGCGATTAGTTTGGTGTCATCAGGCAAGGTGTTGGAGGAGTGTACTGATGTTGCCAGAGTCCAACAAACGAATGAAGTACCCATATGTGGCCCAGCTCCTGTAACAGTTAGCAACCATCATAGTGTATTCAAGCAAGAGGTCGTACATGATGAAGATGTCCAGCGTGCGCACCAGCTCCTTCTCCTCTCTCGACCGGTATCCACCATCCCAGATCACAGCCTCGATGCGCTCCCACCTCGTCTTCGGGCGGATGGGCGATGCATCCGCGGTCGCGGTGACGTGTGTCTCAATGGGGGTCTTATCCTGCATGCTTATATGCTGGTGCTGGCGTCTAGATGTAATGGACGAGGTAGAATGCCCCGCTCTCTGGAATTGAGCCGGAGATTTGCTCCACTGGAAAAAATCTCCAACGCCAAGACATCGTCACTCCACGCCATCAAAGAGCAACTGATTAAACAGCTGTCTTATTCAACAGCTATCTTATGCAGTGGGAAGAATATGCTCTACTCCAAGTGTGGCATCTGGCGTTGGATGTGTGTCGAGTGCATCACGAATATCGGGCCTCTTGTGACCTATTGCCCTTATCTGCCGAAATATATATATTAGAATGCAACTCGATTTGTCTGCGCAAGCCTTTGATATTAACATTATTATACTAAATGACTCTAGGCCACTGGCTTAAAAGGCCTTGATACGCAAAGAGTTTCTCTCGTGGAGGTAGAACCTCCGTCGCTACTGGGGGACCGAGTCAGGCCTTATCTGGACATCAAGTCAACGGGATTGTTAGTTACCTTCTGTGATGCATCAGGTTGCGCTTGCCAGGCTGCATTTCTCCTGAAAGACAATTCATTCCCATGCATCTAGTACTCCATCCACATTACACACACCTCCACTCGGCAAACGAAAACACCGCCGGCTGCAAACAGGGCATGCCATACGCCCCCTGCGCATAGATCGCAAAATGCGCCCCTGTATTCGGCGACTCGCGGCCAGGATGCCGCACCGTCAGCGCTGAGCTCGCGATGCCGCCGAGCTTGGTGGGTCTCTCGCCCGGGATGGAGAAAAGGAGCTCGTAGGTGGCTGGGCGGGCGCGGATCAGCAGTTCGAGCGCAGTGGATTTGACCGCGTGCACCGTTTCCTGCGCGAGTTAGCATGACTTACAGTATGAATGGCACCTGCTCTGCCCTGCAGCTGGAGGGCAAGCAGCTAGATGCAGGTGGAAGCAAGACGTACCTCGAACGTATCCCCTTCCCCCGTATACCCGCGGAACCGCACCTCATACCCACCCTCCGCAGCCCTCCGCAGCCCAATCGACGCATACGCAAACTGCGACCACCAGATTGCCGTTCCTGCCTCCTCGAGTGCGTTCTCCGGGGAAAACTGCAGCCCCACGCGCCAGTCCACCGAGAACTCTGTTTGCTTCTGCAGCAGCATGCTCGGCCACTCGGGGTCGTGGATGCGGTATGCGTTGCCGTACAGGCTTAGACACCCGGGCGTCTGGGTGAGCGAGTACTCGCGCTTCAGCGGCGTGCGCAGGGCGTACCAGCCAAGTTGGAGGGTGGGGGAGGAGAAGTCGTCGCGCCAGGAGGTAGGGCGATGCTGCACCGCTGTTGCCTTCTCAGTGGAGGTGGTCGATGTCTGCATCTGCATCTGCATCTCGAGCGAGATGCGTTCTCCCCCATTAACGACAGGCCACCCGTCCCTCCACTCCACCGGCGCAAGGAACGTCTCGCGGCCTAGATGCGAGAGCTCGGCCTTGGCCTCCCCATTCCCGTCCTGGACAACCCTCACGCCCAGGAACACCGCAAACCACTGCTCCCCCGCCTCCACAAAATCGCAATGCCCCGTACACCGTACCTCCCGATCATCGCCATTCCACAGAATCGGGTTCACGCCCTCCGGCGCATCTTCCCACGGCCCAAATGGCCCTACCGTACTCCGCCGAATCCACTGCTGATGGCCCTCGTCAGTACCCCCCTCCGCAGTCGAGAGATAATAGTACCCGTCCTTCTGGAAGATATGCGGCCCCTCAGCAATACCAAGCCCATGCCGCGAAATGCAGTTCCAGCGTGGCGGCGCCAGACACCGCCCACTCGCGAGATCGATCTGAACGGTGAATGTTGCGAGGCCGAGGGCGTGCTTGGAGATCCTCGGGTCGCTGATTTGGTTGACGGCGCTGAGGTATGTCTTGCCGTTTGCGTCGAAGAAGAGCTGCAGTACCATCCATACGTTTTAGCATTGTTTTCTGGTTTCTGCTGGGGGCGTATCAGTGGCAGCAGACGTACATCCTGGTCTATCCCCGGCACATCGAAGTACACAGGCTCAGACCACGAATCCCTTGCCCAGATATCCTCCGTGCTAACGTAGAACCCGCGCGGGATCACGATATCCTGCATATCAACAGACACAATCACAATCCATTAGCCTGGCCCATCTACCCATGACTGCGGAGAAAAGAAAAACCCACCCACTCCTTCGGCCGAAACCGCTGCGTGCACCCCACACTAACATAGAACCTCCCCTTCCCCTTTTCCTTCCCCTGGTCCCCGGCCCCGCGCTGGTACCGGATCGTCGGCGCCCAAACGCCCCCGCTCGGCTCGGTCGTGCGCATATCCAGCTGCGAGCGCCGCGTCAGGACATGGCCGATCAGCGTCCAGTTGAGCAGGTCTGTGCTGTGGTAGATGGGGATGCCCGGGAAGTACTCGAAGGTCGAAGTGACGAGGAAGTAGTCGGCGTCGACGCGCACGATGGAGGGGTCCGGGTTGAAGCCGGGGATTATGGGGTTTTGGAAGGTGAGGGGGGGCATGGTGGTGGTATTGGGAAGACGAAGTGGGTGTGCTTGTGCTTGCGAGCTGGAGGAATGATGACCTTATGATGAGTTGCCGTGTGGGTTAAGTACTCCAAGTCGATTGCGGTGGAGACAAGACAGAGTGTGGGGAGTGGAGTGCAGGTGGACGGGTTCCAAGTGGACGGAGTATTCGCAACCCATACTTGACTAAAAAAGACTGGGCTCGCAATAGAGAGTTCCTAATTGAAGTGTAGGACGTTGAGTTGCGTTTAGAAGCGACAAAACGAGCGAGGGTCAACTGGACCATATGCAATGAAGCTGCATCTTCAGGGTACCCTGGGCGAGTCATCGCCCCAGGTCTACGCATTTGACACTCAATTACAACCCATCTCCCCCTCAGCATCATCCCTCGCTTCCGTGGCTCTGGGAAACCTCCTCGTCGGAAGCCCGTCCCTAAAAGCTCGATCCAGCAATGCAAACGACAGATCCTTTGTCTCGGGAACTTCAAACCACACCCAAACGGCCGCGGTTGCCGTCAATGCCGCCCACACAAACGCCGCCTTGGCGCCCAGATCCGCCTGGTCATTGTTAATCAGGTACGGGGTAATGAAGTTAAACAGCCAGTTCGAGAGCGCGTTGGTAAGCGTGCACAGTGCTTGCGTCTTGGCGCGCAACGCGACCGAGCTGATTTCGCCGCTGATGCTCCACGAGACGGCGCCAATGGTTGGCGCGTAGACCAGCTGCACGAAATTGATCATGATGGCAATGTACAGCATAGCGGACTTGTGCGTGTCGAATATGCCTGCGACGCCGACGGTCAATAAGATCGTAAAGTTGATCAGTGTTCCGGTGAACAGCATCGGCCGTCGCCCGATGTACCCCATTGCAACCCAGGATATGACGTTGCCGAGCAGACCAGCGCCGAATCCTCCTAGCGCGAGCTGGAAGGACAGCTGCACGTTGAACCCGCTAATTCCCAGGAAGTATAGGGCTTGCGCGTACAGTGCGATGCCGCTGAATTGTTGGATCAGGAACATGCTGCAGGCGATGCGGGTGCGGCGCCAGTTCGGGCCGCGGAAGCAGTCCAGGTAGCTCTGCGTCGTTGCAATGGATGTGGCTTCGGCGAGGACCTCCTGGTGGAGATTAGAAACTGCGATGGGGATATCGTATTGCGAGGTGTGCAGGGCTTTTAGGCTCTTGGCGGCTGCGTCAAGCTTGTTCTTGCGCACGAGATAGCGCGGGCTTTCGGGAAGAATGATCAAGAAGAGGATGATTGCTCCTGGGAAAGCCCACTGGGCCGCGAATACCACTTTGTAAGCGGCCGGGGTCATGATAGAGAAGCGCGTGTTGCCGATTCCAATGGCGGCCATTTGACCGGCAGAGATGAAGAAGCTGGTTGTTGCGATGAGCGCAGACCGGATTCGAATCGGAGCCACTTCGGACACGTAGATCGGGCCGGTTGAGAGGAAAAAGCCCATGGCAAAGCCGTTGATCTAGATATGTCAGTGAGAAACTAGATGGAGTGGCGGGTGGAATACGATCTTCCCCGCGAGCAGAACCCCAGCGCTCTCCGAGATATACTGGACAGCCACGCCGACCGCGGACAGGACGGATCCCGCAAGCATTCCCGCCTTCCTCCCCCAGCGGTCGGTGAGCGTGCCGCAGATGACGCCGCCAATAATCATACCGAGAGAGGTCATGGCTGTCCACAGAGCATTCCACTTTGCATCAATCAAGAGTTCGCCTTCGTACTCGTACCCGTAGACCATCTTGAACGCGGGGAGAGCCATGGTAATGGTGTTGACGCCCACATCAAACCCCCAGAGCATGGAGCCGATGCAGCAGCACAGCGAGTAGAAAAGGATCTTGCGAGACTCCCAGAGTACCGTCGTCAGTGGCACTGGGTCCTGGGCGTCTGGCCGAAGAATATCTTCGACATGCTTCTCCACATGTTTGTGGTCTTCGTCGGTAGGGCTCATTGTGAGTGATCAGTTCAGACAGAGTAACTAGGTGTGGTGGATTACCCCAGACGAGCCCTGGTCAACCGTCAATTATATGCCAGATCTTTGCGGGGAGAACCGGGGGTTGCAGATGGCGTGGTCGTCGTCCACTTTACCCCGGATTATCCGAGGGACGCCTCCAAGTGGACGGTCACCCTTTGCCGAGGATGATGACAAGTTGGATGAAGTGGACGGTCACGTCTCTTTATTTTCGAGGCAGCTGCAAGCTTGTGGTTCGTTGTCTTGACCATTTATTTCTCCCTCTACAATGTCGCTTGCTGAGATATCGTCCGCAAATGACGCGCACGTGGTTGCGGTCGCGCATAACGGCAAGCTGGAATCTGAAGTCTGCGCCAATGAGATCTCTGACTCTGAGGCTTCGCAACATGTCGACTCGGACCATGGACGGCTACCATACCCAGAGCTCTTGCAAGCGCTGACACTGGAGGAAAAGGTCGCTCTACTTTCAGGCTCAGACTTTGTGCGCTCCACTGGCATCCCTCGACTGGATATTCCGCCTCTCAAGGTAAGCCACTGCATCCGACGCACCGCTACCAAAATCCATATGCCAATGTTGACCACCCAGATTGTCGACTCAATCAACGGCGTCAAAGGCTCGGACCTCCACCACGGAACCCCCACCGCTGTCTTTCCCAGCTCAACACTATACGGCTCGACATGGAACAACGCGCTGATGGAAGAGCTAGGCGCGTGCCTTGCCCAGCAAGCAAAGCTCAAGTCCGCGCAGGTGATTCTCGGTCCAACGATTAATATCCACCGGGATCCGCGTGGCGGCCGGAACTTCGAGTGCTTCAGTGAGGATCCGCTACTCTCGGGACAGCTGGCGGCAGCGATTGTGCGTGGCATACAGTCACAGGGATTGGCCGCGTGCCCAAAACACTTTGCGTGCAATGAAAGTGAGTTTAAGAGGAGGAGCTATGATGTCGCGGAGGACTATAACGGACGGACGGTGCGCGAAATCTATCTTGCGGCGTTCCAGGAACTGCTAAGAGGCTGTGAGCCGGCGGCTTTGATGATTAGGTGAGTGTTGCCCGTTTTCTGCGGCGGATATACCTGACATGCGCAGCTATAACAAACTAAATGGTGTGCATACGACGGAGAGCCCCTTTCTCAAAGATATGCTGCGCGACGAATGGAAATACAATGGTTGCCTGGTCTCCGACTGGTTCGCGACAAAGTCAACCGCTGCGTCCATGAATGCCGGTCTGGATCTAGAAATGCCTGGGCCGACGGTGTTTCGCGGTCAGAGGCTGATAGATGCAGTGCGAGATGGACTTGTTGAAGAAAAGGCCGTGGACGAAAGTGCTGCACGTGTTCTTGCTCTCGTTGAGGCGGCTAGGAGCAGCGTATCTGGTGCGCCTGAACGCTCTGAGATCCGGCCAGAGACCAATGCTCTCGCCCTGAGGATTGCCTCCGAGGGAATTGTCCTCCTAAAGAGCGATCATTACGTCCTGCCCCTGGATATGCGACGTGCGCCAAAAATAGCCGTGGTCGGAGTACCCGCCACAGAACCCGTTATCAGCGGCGGAGGCAGTGCGAGTGCGCCGCCTCAGTACATTCAACGGCCGCTTGATTGTCTCCGGGAAGCTCACCCTGTGCCATCGCTGATCCAGTATGTTCGGGGTGTCAACACGAACCGGATAGTTCCCACTGTGCCCCTCGCCCAGACGATGTCTCAAACCGGCGAGCCTGGGTTCGATATTGCATACTACAACAGCGGATGCGATGAGCCTGCATATACGGAGAGACAGGCGGTCCCCGTCGTAGCAATGGTCCGCGACTTGAAGCCCGGACTGGAGGAGACGGGTTTCCGGTACGAGATCTCGACAACTATTACGCCCGCCAGCACGGGAGTGCACACCTTGGCGGCACGAGTGACGGGTGCTTTCTTGCTGTTTGTGGACAACGAGCTGGTTGGGTCGCTATCCGAGCAAGCCGAGGTCTCGATGGAAGACTTTCTCTTCGAGCCGGCGCGGCTGGAGCACAGGATTTCCGTGCCGATGGTTGCCGGGAAATCCTACCACGTCCGCCTCGTGACAAATGCTCGAATTCCCAAGGAGAACGACTACGAGCCCACACCCCACGGTGCAGTCCTCTGCTACGAGGAGTATGTCAACGAGCGCGCCAGCATCGCGGAAGCCGTGCAGGCAGCCTCCTCTGCCGACGTGAGCATCATCTTCGCCGGCCGAAACCACGAATACGAGTCCGAGGGGTTTGATCTGGTGTCCAACAGCCTTCCCGACGCACAAGTCAAGCTCATCAAGGCAGTGGCCGCTGTTTCGCACCGGACAGTCCTGGTTCTGAATTGCGGCAACCCAATCAATGTTTCACCGTTTGTCGATGACGTTGATGCAGTTTTGAATGCGCACTTTCCTGGTCAAGAAGGCGGGCAGGCAGTTACCGACATCCTGACCGGAAAGACAAATCCCAGCGGTCGGCTTGCGACGACTTGGCCGAAGCAATTCGACCAGGAACATGTACCGAGTTTCGACCACTTCCCGGCAAGACTGACCGACGATGGATATAAGATTCAATACGCTGAAGGGGTTCAGGTCGGCTATCGGCATCCGGGTGTCGAGCGCACCGCTCAGTGGCAGTTCGGATTCGGGCTGTCATACACCACGTTTGAGTATTCCGAGCTTGTTATTAGCGAGGTGGCGCATGCTAGCATAACTGTCTCAATTGGGGTCAAGAATACGGGCATATACCCCGGCCACGAAGTGGTGCAGGCGTTTGTAGTCCCACCGAAGGCGAACGTCTGGCGGCCTGCGCGCGAACTGAAGGGGTATGCTAAGGTCTGGCTACTTCCCGGGGAGGCGAGAAGAGTCAGTATAGAGCTGCAGAAGAAGGATGCGTTTAGTTACTGGGATGAAGCTATTAAACAGTGGAAGGTGGAGGCGGGGACATACCGGCTAGTGGCAGGACCACTTAGCGAGGCTTGGACTGTGGAGAAAGAAGTGACTTGGTCGGGGAGATAGAATTGAGCCTGTTATAGGGTAATAGTTGATGGAATTCCAGTCTCTTGTGAAGATGATGATGACTTGCGGAGTAATTGCAGCGGAGTGGAGCGATCACGATTGAAATTCTGGAGACCACCCTGGGCTGGAGAGGGAAGGCGGTACCCTCGTAGCGGGCAGAATGGATCCCCGCCACTCTCACCTCTCTCACCTTCCACTTCTCCCATCCACTTCCTCCACTGCCATCCACCCCGGCCCATAATGCAGTCTGCGAAGCGCCATCGCACGTCGGGCACCTTCGATTGCCAATCATGTGGCAAGTCCTTTTCGCGAGTCGAGAACCTCACCCGACACGCCGAGAACCGTACGCTCCTCTAGCTTCTTGCTATTCCGTACTAACGTCTACTCTGCTCCAGACAAACCCAGTGCGAGGTTCTCCTGTGGGGTATGCGCCAAACGCTTCAATCGGAGGTAATCTCGACGTTTTCCCCGGCTAGCAGCTAAGCTCAAAGTTGTCCTTGATCAGTGATGTCCTGAAACGCCATCTGAAACTCCACCGTGCAATCGAGGACCAGCGACCTGCTACAGTCACCGATACAACGTCGCGGGAATCTCCCACGGAACATTCTATAGCCACCCATCGAAATCCAGAGAATGAGATCCCGGTTACTTATACCGACATGCAACCTCCCTGGACAGAGGGCACTGCAAGTCGAAACGATCCCGAATGCTACACCGCTGCTCCATCTGGAGCCCATGACTCTCCACTAAGCCATCAATCTTACCCTCCGCTTCCTGACGGGTGCTACGGTGTATATGGCGAGGGGTCATTCGACGCTGATCTGGCTTGGATTCTGGATATGGCACCACCGGACTGTATGACTACTACCTCCTTGCCGGTCCATGAGTATCCTTCGCACGTTAATGCACTACCAGTGCCTACGGCAGCCGGTGAGAGCGGTAGCAGTACTTCCGTTGAGAACAATGACAACTGGCCTGATGTCGACGGCGATGGCAACCCAGAATCTCTTCGCCCGCAGCAAGCACCGGTACTCCTCGTTCCAGATTCGACCGGTTGGGTTGATGCGCACGAGGTCTTGTCGCCTATGCGCACCCTCGGCGATGGGCCAGCACCGCATTATGCGGTCGATGCTGAGGTCAGAGCACGTATACTGACAGCCCTTCAGGACGAGTCATCGGTACTACATGGTCTGCTTCCACCGGACGAGGCCCAGTTTCCAACTTCTGAAATACTAGAGCACTTTCTCAGACTGTTTTTTGAGCACGTTTATCCCCGTTTTCCAGCTATTCACCAACCTACGTTCGCAACAGCAACCGCGCCGCCGTTTCTACTGTTGGCCATGATGCTTCTGGGATCGAGCCACTCGAGAAGCAACCGTGGGCAGTTCGTAGCAATTTATATCCGTCCCATAGTGACGATGTTCTCCAGGATGCAGGCGCTCAACACCGCATTTGTAAGTTCGGCTTCCTTGACCGGTTCGCTTATCTGCTGACAGCGAAACGCAGCTCCGAGAGACTGATAACATTCTTTCACTTCTCTTTCTCTGTGTTGCAGCCACCTGGTCGGGACATAAATTCGCGTTCGAGTTCGCAGAGGGCGCGCGTGGAATTCTTGTCACCGCGTGCCGCCGCTGCAGGCTTCTGGATTGCCGTCTGAAGCCACTGCCATCCCCTGGCGCCGATGGAGAACCCGTGCGCTTGATGCGCTCCAAACTGCACCAGTCATGGCAGTCCTGGGTTAAATTGGAGCAGCGAAAGAGACTAGGACTTTCCATATACGTAAGCATTTAATCCCTGATGTCCCCGTTTCGTCTTCGGGCATTTGCATTGACACTGGACTGGTACCGGTCAGCTCTTCGACCTTCAATTTCCTGCTCTCTTCCACAACCAACCTTACATCTCCAAAGCCGAGACCGTAAACCTCGTCCTCCCCTGCCACGAGACCTTCTGGGAGGCAAAGTCCGCCGCTGCATGGAAGGTTCTTCTCGGGCCCGCTGAAATACCCCCATCAACGTACTTCATGGTGCCACTCGATACATGTCTCCTATACCCCGCGGTTAAGCGCAAACCACCATACGCGCCTATTGACTCCTTCAGCAAGACGCTGCTTATGTACGCTCTGTTCACGCACATCTTCGAGTGGAGACAGTCGCTGAACCTCGTATCGCACTCGGCCTTTATCCGTGGCTCGGAAGGTACTGGGCCTGGCGAGGGCCTACTCGAGCGGCAGATGTGGCTACGTGATGCGCTAGATGCGTGGATGAGCTCGTACCACACTAACCATAATATCGAAGCTCAAGCGCCAGACCCGGCACTTCTCCTCCACTTTCTCGCGCACATCCATCTGGATATCAACGTTTCAGACCTGCACCTCTTTGCGGGCCGATCGGGACTGAACGAGGACATTCAACTCGCCGAGGATTCGCTTCGCAGATGGTGTCGGAGTGCGGACTCTGCGAGGACGATGCATTACGTCTACGAGATGCTTGGCCTTGCGCACCGAATCATCGAGGCAGAAAATGAACCCCAGTGCGGCTTTGAGATTGCGGTCGCCTTGTTCACGGGCGGGCTCATGTGCTGGATGTATGCAAAACTTGGTGAGAGTGAGCGCGTAGGTCAAGCTACGTCTCAGGTATGCTAATTTCCTACGTCCGACGGATCTTCTTCTACCAGATAATGGTCTAATCCCCGCCGTGCAGATCAACGTGGCAAGCAATGCTCTCGATGAAATTAGTTGCTGGGGGATCTGTTCAAACTTCGCTCAGATCCTGAAGCGGTTTGTTGAGTAGGTGCATCTACTTGAATGGGCAATTTCAACCAAACAACTTGAATGAAAGGTCGGTCGCTTGACTTTGTCTTTCTTGAAAACTACTTCTGCGGCTGGCAAAGGGGCCTTGTGAAAAGAGCTAAGTTATGCCAGGGTGCTATCAGATGAAACCTAGCATTGGAAGTACTGCTCAATTTATTTACCAATTAGGTGCTCTTTGGTTCCAGGGATACAACACTTGCACTGGAAGCTTATCAAAATGACAAAGGTGAGTTGAAGCAAAACGACATCACAGAGAAACCACCACCTTCTGAGCCGAAGTCCCCTTCGCCTGCAGATCTACCGCAACCTGCACACTCTCTAATCCCTTCCCAGCAACCAAAGCAACCGGTGCCGGGATGAACGTCCCCGCCTCTAGAGCCTTGGGCAGGAAGTCCTCGTAGATAGCCTTGCCCACATGGTTATCCTTGATCGTGGTTGCGAACACGCTTTTAACCGTCACCCCCTCGGGCGCCTGGAACCCACCCTTGACCGTGGCCACAAACTTTCCACCCTGGGCCTTGGAGACCACCGCGACGGTAAGAGGGGTCGCCGCGAACCCGACGCAGTCCATTGCGCCGACGAGCGTCTTCCCCTGCAGCGCGGCCAGCAGATCGTCTACAACGCTCGCACTATGGTAGTCGAAGACCTGGGCGGCACCGAGCTTCCTAACGTACTCGAAGTTCCTGGGCGAGGCGGTGCTGAAGACTTCGTACCCAGCCGCGCGGGCTAACTGGATCGCGTTGCTGCCGACGCTGCCGGCTCCGCCCCAGATTAGGAGGACCTGCCCGGTCTCCTGGGGGCGCGGCTCAGTGGGGAGCTGGAGGTTGAGGAACTCCGTTTGGAAGAGACCCGCGGCGGCGGTGGAGAGGCCCAGAGGCAGCACAGCGGCGTCTTCGTATGAGATGTCTCTGGGGAGCTGGGCAGCCATGTTGGTTTGCAGGATGGTGTAGGCTTGGAAAGCGCTGTGCTGAATGCGCTTGGTGGCCAAGCCGACAGCGAGGCCGACCACGCGGTCGCCGGGCTGGAAGCGAGTGACGCTGCGGCCGACCTGCACGACCTCGCCGGCGACGTCTTGGCCCAGGATGGTGGGATAGTTCATGGGCCACCAGGCCTTGGATTGGAGGCTGCCGTCGATCGGGTTAATGGCCACGGCGTGGTTCTTGACGAGGATTTCGTTCTCCTCGGGGGTGTAGGAGGGGGCGTCCTTGACTTGGAAGGGATGGGCCTTGGCTTCGGTCAGCCAGGCGGCGGCGTTTTTGCGGACGGACATTGTAGCTGGTGGTATTCTGATTGAAGTGTGTTCAGGATGAGGCTCGAGAGAGACGAGGTCCGAGGTCTTTATACTTTAATTCTTGACATCTTCGGTCAGATCCAAGGCGCCCCAGCGACGCATCGCTAACTAGGCCCGGCTTAGCTCGAGCTGCACCTGTCATGATGACTTACGAATATCTGCTCTTCCTGGTTAGCCTTGCGCTCTGTCAGCGCTCTCCGCTGGTGTTTGGCGCTCTCTTGCCTGAAGTCCGCGTCGGAGGCTCGGAGATGGAGGCTCGGAGATAACCTCGGAGCCGATTCCCTAATCCCTCCTGGTGCCATCTCGGTCATAACCTGAATGTGTCCGGTTTTACTTAGTCTGCCGCCGGGGACTTCTGTATTATCGCCGGCTTTTGCGAGTCTTGCTTTGTGTAGTGTCTATGCGCACTACATTATCCGTATGGACATGTCAGGGTGCATCTATGTCTCAACTGCCTGCTTTTTTTTCAAACGTGATGTTAGGCTGGTAGAAGAAGGCTGACTCCCAAGCATATACAGTTGGTCATGGAACTGTGTCTACTCGGAGAGTCGGAGTACAGAGCTCAAGCAGTGAACAGTGTCTACCACTAGCTATGCCAGAGCTTATAAATCACGTTAGCCGGCTAGGACAACGATGCCTAAGTCCGAGGGCAACAGCCCCATTTGGAGAATATCCCGAGGGACTCCGATCCAAAGACGATTCCCCAGAGCTGCTCCTATTCCGACCCCCAACCACCTAGGTATGGGCATTAGTGCTCGCAGAGGTGTTTGATCAACCAAGGTGGTGGCTTCGTAGCGCGATGGATCCACGGTTTGTTGTTCTTTGAGCCTGAAACAGAGGCCCGTGACCAGACAAAGCCCTAACCACTTCCTTTGTCGTCTCTTGTTTCGATGGTGCTTCTATATCTGGAACTCACTGCTATCCGATCCTTTGTCTGTGTCAGGATTCTCTCCCGGCTATCCTGGGTGCATTGTTAATGCCTTCATCAGCCTGGATCCTCGACGGTTTCTCACGTCTCAGAAAGGGGTCTGTCTGGCCTATTTTTGTGCAGTGGCAACGCTTTCTATATAACACTAGCCTGGTGCATATTTCACTCGTCATATTCTCAACAATCCGACAATCTCACTCATGAAAGTTCTCGAGTCATTCTGCCACCATGTTCAAAGTCATCATCGCCATTCTCCTGCTGCCTCTGGCACTCACCTCCCCCCTCCTCGCCGCTGTACTCGCACCGATTCAACTGCTCCTACTCTACATCTGGCGCATAATTCAAGGGTTCCTGGGCAACATCATCGCCTTCTGTTTCAACTTCTTCAACTGCAACAAGAAATGCCGCAACAAGCTCATCAAGGACTACAAGAAATACTCATCGGGAAATCTGTTCAGTAACGCATTCGCGATTCCTGCCCTCGTTCTAAAGCAGCTCGGACGTCCAATAACCTGGGTCTTTGGCAGTCTGTACAACGTGGTCGTAGGGGAGCCTATCAACATGTATATCCAACAGGCCACCTCCGACGAGATGGGCACCTATTTTCTGTATCTGGTCATCTTCAGATGTCTCCGTATGATCAAGCACCTTTACAGGGCCTTTAGACACAGCGCGACGCCCGTGCCAGAACGACCGAATGTGCGTCCGACAGACTGCACTGTGATCCTCCCAACCTCCGACCCGCGTCAGAATCCCGATTTCGAAGAGTGTCTGAGCTCATGCCTCGCCAACGCGCCAGGCGCCGTCATCGTCGTGACAAACAGCAGCGCAATGGTCGACGCAGCAAAGCGCATCGTGACCCCCTACGAGCAGCGCTTCCCCTCTATCAAGATCAGCGTCAGGTCCTGCCACTACAAGGACGCCACGAAGCGCCAGCAGCTCGCCTACGCCCTCGGCTACGTCAGGACCAGGATCACCGTCCTCCTCGACGAACACGTCTTCTGGCCCTCCCCGCGGTTCCTCCCGTCCCTCATCGCCCCCTTCGACGACGAAGAGACCAACGTCGGCCTCGTCGGCACAAACAAGCGCGTTCGCCGCAGCGAGTCAGGCTACTCCTTCTGCAATATGCTCGGCGCGCTCGACCTCGAGCGCCAGAACTTCGAACTCCGCTCCACCAACGCCCTGGATACGGGCGTGCTCGCCGTGTCAGCCCTAACCTCCGCGCATCGCTCCGCCGTCGTAACGAACCGCCGCTTCCTATCCGAGTTCGCGAACCAGTGCTATTTCTTCGGTACATTTGACGCAGACGACGGCGACATCGACGCCTTCATCACCCGCTGGACCGTCAAGCAGGGCTTCAGCGTGAAGATCCAGCACTCCGCCGACACGTGCATCGAGACGACCGTCTCGTCAACCCTAACGGGCCTCCTCTCCCAGCTCGTCATGCAAGCACGCAGCAGCTGGCGCAACCGCTGCGCCGCCCTCTTCACAGACCGCCTCTTCCTCGACCAGCCGCTCACCTCGTGGGTGGTCTACCTCCCGTTCCTGTACGCCACGGCCCTCTGCGACATCGCGCAGATATACACCCTCAGCAACAGCAACCTCGGTCTGGAACCGCACGCGCTGACCTACCTAATAAGCGCCATCCTCTTCTCGAAATTCCTCAAGATAGCACCTTACTTCCTTTCCCACCCGCACCATCTCCTCCTGCTCCCGGGATACATCATCTTCACATACCTCCAAAGCCTCCTAAGGGTCTACGCAGCCCTAACATTCTTCCTCACAAGCAGCGGGCCAGATCGCTACGCCGAGGCTGCTTCTGCTTCTGCGCCTGCTTCCCTATCCCCATCCCCACCCACCCGGGCTCTCTCAACCCCCGCTCCCCCCCGCGCAAACGAAATGCAAATCCCCCTCATCGTATCCCCGAGTACATTCCTCCGCCCGCAACCCCGCGATCTGGCGGGCGTTAGCGCCGCGCAGGCGTACGCGTACGAGCGGCACGCGGACCGCGTGGCGAGGGCAGTGCGCGAGGACGCGCCCTCGCCTGTTTCGCCGGGTGTTGTTGCGGCGCACGCGCAGCAAGCGCAGTCGCCGCCGCCGCCGCCGCCGAAGAAGCGTGGGCGGCCGCGGCTTACGCCGAATGCGTCGCCGAGGATGACGCCGAATGCGACGCCTCATGGGTCGCCGGCGCTTGGGGCGAAGAGGGGGCGTGGGAGGCCGAGGAAGAATCCGTTGTAGGACTGGGGGCTAGGGAGGTTCCAATGGATGTGGGGTTTGGGATATATTTGTATATTAGACTCGTGGATTTTTTTTATAGATTTATTGACCTCTTTTTCTTTTCTGTTTCATATCACTTTTTCGATCGCGCGTTTTGCCTTTTCGGTCCTGTTGGGTTAGCAGAATTAGGCCAGGGCTTGTACTTGCTTAGTTCGACGGACAGGGCGGAGCTTCTTCTGCCTCGATCTCGGTGGTGTACAGGTCCTTGACTTAGGTTTGGTGATACGGTATAAATGCCGACTGTATGTGCTTATTGCTAGGAAATATCATTGAGCTACACGGGGCGCTCTTTCCATTAAATGATTATGGTAGTCTTCTATTAGGTCTCGTAGAGACCTACGTGGCAGCTTGCATGTCCTGCTTGTCAGCCTATTCATGAGTCAACCAACTCTATGGTAGCTTGACTCGTTGGTATGGTATATCGTTCGATTGCCGGGAAATCTATGTTTTTTTGGAGTATGTCGAGCCTCATGGTTCTTCTACTGCCTTAGTGGTGCGATAGTTATGGGGACATTCCTGCTGTAAAGGGCCAAATATATATTTCAAGCTCAATCAATCCATCAACAAGGCTTACCGCTGCATATTCTAGCGGCCCTTGAAACCTTCACAGCCCAATTCATAGACTGCCTTTCCGTTAAACCGATAGCACATTAATCTGCCATGAGGACTGATTATCATTTGGGCGAGCGTAAGACAAATGCGCAGATTGGTCCTGTGTCATCGCAGTCGTGGTTGCTTTGCATAGCAGTTAATTTGCGACATAAAGCAGAAGTTAAGACATTTCTTCAACAAGCAGTCGCGTGGTCTAATGGTTATGATTTCCCGTTCACAGCAAGTGAGCATTCCTACCAATGGTAGAATACCGGGAAGGTTCCCGGTTCGATCCCGGGCGCGACTATCTTTTTTTTTTATTTTTGGTCGGACCCCTGTTGGGCCACGATAGAGGGCTTTTGTCTGCGGATCGGATGCGATGGCAGGCAGTACTCTGAACCGATCGGTGTGAGTCCTTCTTTTATCTTTTTATAAGGTAAACTGTCACTGTATGCCCATTATTGCCCCGGTCGCACTGTTCAACAGGTACAGTTGTTAGCCCTAAGTCTTCTCTAGCCCTACATACTACAAACTCCGTACACCCTAGTACCTGTGTCTGACGACTCCATCAACACCTCAAACTGGACAGCACTGAAATTTAACCCAATAGCTAGGTAAAGCTTCTTCCTTCCTCTGATCGTACAGCCACACGATATGATGGTCTCGGACATCCGACGTTATCAGGATCGGCCGTCCGCTATCACTATCACTCCAAGGGTTGTATGCAGCCAAGAACGCATGCATGATACAGCTCTTATCAACGCCACGGTCAGTGTCTGTACGGAGTATATCAATCAAGGTCCCCCAATCGCTCGTGGCTTGCCCAGGCAACAAACGACGGCATAGGATCCCAAGATGGACCGCTCATCCATCCGGTCACGACTGGCCAGCGCAAAGAAGTGCATCCAAACCCGCGATGCCCCAGAAAAGGGCACTGCGTACTTCAACGAGGATCTGCTGCCTACGCCGCCGGGTACGTCATCCTACCCAACGCCATCCTGGGAGTCTTGCACTGCTAATGAGCCGCAGAACACCGAACATGGACAATCCTCCACTTCTTCACCTACTACCTAACAACCACCTTCTCGCCGAGCAGCTACAACCTCGGCGCATCCCTCATAAGCCTCGGCCTGGTACGCCACTCCCCCCCTACCCAAGCTCGTTGCCATACTGATCCTGATCAACTCGCCAGCGCTGGTGGCACTGCCTCCTCGCCGCAGTCCTCGGCTCGCTCATCCTCTCGCTCCTCGTAATCCTCAACTCCCGCGGCGCCACCCGCTACCACATCGGCTACCCAGTGTACATCCGCGCGTCCTCGGGAATCGGCGGGTCGCGCCTCTTCGTGCTCGTGCGCGCCTCCGTCGCAATAATCTACTTCGCCACGCAGTCGTACTACGGCGGCATGATCACGGCCGTGTGTCTGCGCTGCATCTTCGGGGACGCCTGGGTGGATCTGCGAAACACGCTCCCCTTGTCCGCGGGGATCTCCAGCCGCGATCTGCTTGCGTTCTTCGTGTTCTGGATCGTCCAGCTCGGCGTTATGTTTGTGCATCCCACGCTCCTGAGGCATTTGTTTGTCGTCAAGGCTGTGTATACGACTGCTGCGCTGCTCGGGGTTCTTGGGTGGGCGGTGCGGATGAATGGCGGACTCGGCGATTTCGCGTTCGATGGGCAGATGGCACTCCATGGCTCCGCGCTCATCTGGCCCATGATCCAGGCGACCAATAGCGTCATGGGCGCGCTGTGTCCGATCCTCGTCAACCAGCCCGATGTGGCGCGGTATGCGACGCGCCCGGCGCAGGCGACCTGGTCGCAGGGCCTGGGGATCCTGATTAGCAAGGTTCTCGTGATGTTTGTGAGCTGTGCGACGACGAGCGTCACGACGAAGATCCTGGGGCGGAGTTTCTGGAACGTGTGGGATCTGTACGATGAGATTCTGACGCGGTTTTGGGGGGCGCAGGCGCGGGCGGGCATGTTCTTTGCGAGTTTGGTGCGTTCCCCCTCCATCCGAACTATATACCTCTGCCAACTAGGGTTGGGGCATTTGGCGAGGCGAGAGCTAATAAGCACAGGGCATGGTCCTCGCCATCATCGCCACCAACGCCGGCACGAACTCGCTCCCCGTTGGCGCGGACCTCTCGGGGTTATTACCTCGATACATCAATATCGTCCGCGGGCAGGTCCTCTGCGCATTGCTTGCGCCGCTCTGCGTCCCGTGGAAGATCATCTCGTCCGCGCAGTCGTTCCTCACGTTCCTGGGCTCGTATACGGTCTTCCTGATGCCCACGTGCGGGATCATGATCGTCGACTACTGGCTTATCCGGCGCGGGAACTTCCACGTCCCCAGTCTGTATACGAAGGAGCCGGGCACGGTGTATGCTTATTATCACGGCTGGAATGTGCGGGCTATTGCGGCTTGGGCTGGGGGTGTGGCGTTTACGGTGCATGGGATTGCGGGGAGTCTTGGGGATGGCGAGGCTGTGGGGCAGGGGAGCAAGGATATGTATAAGTTGGGGTTTTTGTTGAGTTTTGCGATGGGGTGTGTGTTGTTTTATCTGTTGAATCTTGTTTGGCCAGTGAAGATACTGGAGGAGGGGGATGGGGGGAGGGGACTGCGGTTTGAGGAGATGGCGAGGACGGAGGGCTTCCTGGAGGGCGAGACCGTCGAGGGCATTAGGGCTGGGTTTGCGGGGAGGGTGTTGGTCGGGGAGGAGGAGAAGGGCGTTGGGTACGGGGTTAAGGAGGTTTGATTGTTTTAGTAGTGATCCAGTTGCATCATTACTCTTGGGATTCATGTTCTTAGGGCTTGGGGGCACAGCATGGCCAGGTCGACATTTAGGCTGCAAGCCCATCACAACCCCCTCTCAGTATTAACATATTTCATACCCTGTTTGATAAGACTACTACCCCTCTGATAGCCGACCTTGGAGATAAGGCAGGTACCCTGGTAGTTCGTGATAGTCAATCTTGACCCCAACGGCCAACACCATCTCCACATTACAATCTCATGGCATGTCAACCTTCCTCATGTGGATTCTTCTACTTTGTAAATCTATCTTAACATCCTAGTTCTCAGCCTGCACTCCCTCCATCCACTTCCCATTCGGCCGATACGGAAACTTCTCCCGCATATGCCTCGCAATATCGCGTCTTGTGGTCACCCAAACCCCCTCCTTCTCCGCCACATACAGCATGAACTTCCTCAGCGCCTCGCATCTCCCCGGCTTGCCAATGATCCTCGTGTGCAGCGGGATATTCATCATCTTCCCGCCCTCGCGGTATAACATGTCGAACGTGTTCTTCAGATACTGCTCGTACGACTCCGCCACGGAACTGCCGAAGCCAGGCGACATGTGGAACTTGCCGTCGTTGCAGTCATACTGCCCCAACACATTAGCACCCCGCACACGTCCAAGATAAAGGGCAGGGTCGGGTAGGACATACGTTATACGGAATCAACAACATCCCCTTCCTCTCCCCCTCAGGCTTCGTCCCCTCCCACGGCAAATCCAACCAATACGGCACATCATCATTATAAACCTCACTGCTCCACAGAAACTCCTCGCCCATCTCCTCCCAGATCTCCGGAAACTTCGCATGCGTCTGCGGCGTCCCGCGCCCAAAGTACGCCCCCACCGGCATCTCCCCACTAACCTCCTTCAGCACTTTCAACGTGCGAACAATATACTCCCTCTCCTGCTCCGGCGTATACTCCCAAATATCCAGCCAGCGGTACCCGTGCGCCGCGATCTCGTGGCCGTCTCGCACGAGCGCGCGTGCGAACGCCGGGTTCTTCTGCAGCGCCACGGCAACCGCGTACGTCGTGAAATTCCAGTTGAATTCTTTGAACAGCCGCAGCAGGCGCCAGGAGGCCGACCGCGACCCGTACTCGAAGTCTTGCTCTGCGTTCAGGTACCGTGCGTTTTGCTTGTACCCGCCCGAGGAGCCTTTTTCCCAGAGGTAGGGCTCGGAGTGGGCGTCGCCGTCGAGGATGCTGCGTTCGCCGCCTTCTTCCTGGGTTGAGTTAGTGGGGATATGGGGGGAAGGAGCGGGGAGGTAGGGTACGTAGTTGAGGACGAAGGAGATGGCGATGCGGGCGTTGTTGGGCCACTGTGGGTTGAAGCCTTCTTCGCCGAAGCCTGTGTTGTTTAGTATGGTAGGGTAGGGGCTTGTTATGAGGGATGGGATGCGGACCTTCGAAGTCCCGCGGGATGCTGTATTTCTCTTCGATGACGGGCATTGTGCAGTATGTAGAATTAAAGGTTTACGGGTCTGCAGAGAGGCAAGCCGTGAGAATAACCGTTTATAGGTATCTACCCCAACCCAACGAATCGGTCTCCAACACTTATCAGCATATCAGACCCAGCTATCTCGTATCTCCCTTCTCCAACGGCCGTGTAGAAGTCGGAGCAAGATAGGAGATCCGTCGGAGTGCCGATCCCACCTGCTCGTCTGATAACGATTCAATAAATGATCATGTCTCCAACCCCGCGGCGAGGTGCAATCTCCAAGGTCAGAGAAAGGAAGACAAGCAATTGAACCTGAACCTGAAGCTGAACCTGGGTGTAGGGGTAATGCAACAATGTCCGTCTTCTCCCTCAACATCAAGTCCTCCAACCCCGTCACAATCGAGACCCTCGACACCGTCGCAACCACCCTGGGGATCAAGATCGCCGAGCATGAAAAAGAAGACTACCTCCGTCTCCTCGCAGTATACCACGAGAGCGCCGAGGCCTTGATGAGCCTCCCTGGTGTGCCCTACCCACCAACCATGACCAAGACCAATATACGCTAATCAAGAAATGAAGACTACGTCCCCGAAGTAAACGAAACCCGTTTCCTCCGCAGAAACATCCACTTCCCCCCGGCCTCCGAGAACCCTCTCAACGCATGGGCCTGGAAATGCGAGATCGAGGACCAATCCCCACCTGCAACACCAGGCCTCCTCGCCGGCCGCACACTCGTCCTGAAGGATAACATCGCCGTCAAGGGCGTGCCCATGCTCATGGGGACGGACATGGTGAGCGGGTATACGCCGGTGAGCCTCCCCCTACCCTCCCACTGCCTGCCACTCCGCTCTCCTTCCTGAACGTATATTGCTAAAAATAGACGGAGGGCAGGACACAGACGCAACGGTCGTAACGCGCGCGCTCGAAGCCGGCGCCATCGTGCAAGGCAAAGCCGTCTGCGAGAACCTGTGCCACTCGGCGACGAGTTCCTCTGCGGCCACGGGCTCCGTGCATAACCCGTTCGCGCACGGGTACAGCAGCGGCGGGAGCTCGAGCGGGTGCGGTGCGCTGGTGGCGAGCGGGGCGGTGGATTTGGCGATTGGCGCGGATCAGGGCGGGAGTGTGCGGGTTGTATGGCTCCCTACCCTACCCAGCTTATTTACTTCGTGGAGCTGGAGCGGTGTGAGGCTAATGTGGTTTATAGCCAGCTGGGTGGTGCGGTCTGTACGGGCTGAAGCCTACGTTCGGACTGTTGCCGTATACGGGGTGTGGGTCGAATGAGCCGAGTACGTACATCGATCCCTACCATACCATACTGATCTAGCCCAGGCATCGCCCATGTGCCCTGGGAACTAACATGGTGCAAAGCAAACGACCACCTCGGCCCCATGACCCGCACGCTCCTCGACAACGCCCTCCTCCTGCAAGCAACAGCCGGAACCGACAACATCGACGACCGCTCCTTCGCCGCACCACCCCCCTCCAAGATCCCAGCATACCACGACCTCCTCCTCTCCCTCCCCAACCCAAGATCCCTAACCGGGGTAAAAATCGGCATCATAACCGAAGGAATGACCATGCCGGGCATCGACCCGCGCGTGCTGAAAACAATCACGCACGCAATCTCCCTCTTCTCCACCCTCGGCGCTGACATCTCGCACGTCTCAATCCCAATGCACACCAAAGGCGCCGCAATCTGGACACCGATCTCGAAGTCAGGGAACTTCCACTCGCGCATGAACCGCGCGTTCGGGAGGCGCGGACACGCGCTCACAGACCTAAACACGCTCTTCCACCCGCTGACGCAAGAAAAGTGGGATAAAGCATACGTGTCTACCAAGAATATCTACCTGAACGGGGCATACGCGGAATCGCACTTCCCCGGCATCCTCAGCAAGGCGACGAATCTGTCGCGGAAGTTGCGCGATGAGTATGATGCTGCATTGAAGGAGTGTGATGTGCTTGTCCTGCCGAACACGCCGTACGTCGCGAATAGCCATGTTGATCCGGAGGTTGCGACGCCCCTGCAGATGGTTGCCAAGCAGGTTGGGCTTACGGCGAACACGGCGCCGTTTAATCAGAGTGGGCATCCTGTGCTGGCGATGCCGGTGGGGATGCTGGAGGTTCAGGAAGGGCCGCTGGCGGGCAGGGGGGTCAAGGTGCCGGTTAGCATGCAGGTTGTTGGGCGGTGGTGGGGGGAGAGTGAGGTCTATCGGGTGGCGTATGCGTGGAGTTTGAGCTTTGATTGGAGGGGGATGTAGATGTCAAATGGATTGTATTGATGTTGATGTTGATGTTGGTGTAGTGGTGGTTTTGGTTTTGGGATGTTGTAGGCTGTCGACAGGGTTGGAAGTTGGTCGGTTAGGCCAGTCGGTTAAAGCTAGTCGATTAAGCCATTCAATTAAAGCTAGTCAATCAGAAGCCGAGAGGAAACCAGAAGACCCTCGCTCCAGCCGGATTCCAGCATCGGCAAGGCTGGTTGGGATCAATAGGCATGATCTCCGGGTTGGCATTGGCTTCGCAGAGGACGACGCGGCGGTGGACGGGGCCGTAGGCTGAGGTGACGGGTCGCATTTTGGTATGAGGTTGGTTGATTTCGTCGGTCTTTGGTTGCATTTGACATGAAGTTGATTTGTTTCGTCGGTGTTTGGTTGAATGGTGATGAGTTGGCGCGTGGATCGTAGCTTGATCGATAGTTGAGCGATGAGTTGAGTTCCAAAGATGAGAGGAAGAACTCGAAGAACAAACGAAGAAGACAATCGAATGTCAGCTTCAGCTTATTACTATGCAGACAGTGTCTAATGAACCTCATAGACAGCGTCGTGGGAGCCATTCCGAACCAGCCTAGATCCGCGGACTGTCCCTTGCTAGGCAACCAGACGCATGCTCTGCATTTAGCCTGCAAGCTGGAAATATCCCAAATCACTCAATGCAACCCGTACAAAACCTAGTCTGCCGTGACGTGTTCATCTAGACCGGGGAATGCTTTCTTGGGTAGGCTGCGATTAGTCCACAGGCAACAATGCAGGTTACCTAAGGGTTCCAGCTCAGGTACCATATACATACTATGTCCACTAGGACAGGCTCTCGCACAGCAAACATAAGCCGTATGAGTCTGCACATAATCGACGTCCAGGGAGCTTTCAGGTACCAGCTAAGAAGAAAGTCAACTTTATCCGCCGTTCGAGAATGTCGCTCAGCCCAGGCGCCGACGCCAAAGGAGAAAACGAGCCCGACGTGGTTGGCAAGGAAAACCCTGCCATTTCGGAGGACGCGGTCGATCTAGAAGCCCGGGGATGCCGAAGATGGTAATGGCGTCCAAGAACTCTTGCGCGAAGGTGTAAAGGGGACCAAATGTTGTGATAGTGTCGCATCTGCTTACGGGAGGGCAAAGCCAGTGGTGGCCGAGGAGCTGTCGACCAGGGAGTCCATGTTAAAAAGACGCCCATAGCAGCAAAAGCTCGCTTGGTATACCGCGTAACACCCCAGAATCCAAAATGCGTTGGCTACGTCAGGTCGAGCCGCCGACACCTCTCATCAAATGCCCCCGGGTCAGGCACGAAGACCGGCGCACTCTCCCGTCATCCAGCATCTCAAAATAGACCCCTAGAATCTTCTCAGGAATATCCACCATGCCAATTCTCAAGAGCACTATTAAAGCCCCCACAAGCTGGCAAGAACATCGCCCTCTGCGTCTCCTGAGCTAAGATAATCGCCACTTCGTCCATGACGGTAACGGGGCTCGCCGCGTCCACCAGAACGTACCGGTCGCCTAACTCCCTGTCCTGAAAGACCGTATAACCCAGCATCCTAACTGGCGTGAGGAGTTCGTGAATGAAGTAGAATAGAACGGATAGTAGGCATGGGCTCAGACAAGTCTCAATCATCAGGCCCAGTTAGGGCTGAAAACTTGCATTGGTTCGTTCTGTGGCGTCAACCAAGACTCACCTGCCTTCACAGACATAGAATAACAAAGGAACCGATGATTGTCGAGAAGCGACTCGAGACATGCTCTAAACGGCCGACAACTTAGCACAGCGATTCCGCCGGCTGCAGCATGGCGTCTTTGGCATCCCGCGATAGAGGGGGAATCACTCGGGACACACCTCCATGCCACGGCCTTATGCAACTTCGCTATACATCGTTTATTTAATACAAGCAAACTGTAGGTCTATGCCATGACCTTCGCTGAGAAAAGCCACAAAGTTCCCACGAGGAAAACCAACTTTGAACAACCATTGATATAATAGATTCCTACATCGAAATCATAACTTCTGTCATTATCGTTGTGGAGGGTACATACTAGATGAGCTGAACAATACAACCTTGGTAGACGCAGCTCCTGGGCACCGAAAACATGGAGACGGGATGGAATCACGCTGTCCCGCGTACTTGATTCCATCCTTGTCGGGCATCGCTGCCAGCGGCATCACGTTCCTTGTCGAGAAACTCCCAGGTTGACCGAGCATTCTCAAGGACTGGGTAATATCCCGCCTCCGAGAAGATGCTCTGCTTGCGTTTGCGGAAAAGCACCAGTGAATCATAGAACTTATACCTTTCATCCTGGTATCCTATGCCTTCTAGCAATGGGGGCCCGTCGGAGCCCAATGCCCAATCCATAAATAAGCGGAGTGAGGACCAAGGATTAGGGTAGCGATCGTCCGGAGAGACCGATGTCGCGTCCGATTCCTTGTCCTGAACCGAGCGATTAACTCTAAGATGAAGAATACGAATGTGGTTTCGGATCCTTCCTTGGGATAGCAGACGTTTCTGACCGTATCGTTAACGCAGAGCATGTAGTAGGAGACAGGTGGTTATCATACCAAAGAGCCGAAATCAGGGCAACAAACTTCGAGGAACTCAACAGCTAGCTCGGAAAGCAGGTCTTCGGGTGGACTTGCCATCAGCCCGCAGGCCTCAATCTCATCTCGTGTGACGAAGTGATCTTCCTCCGTGAAGACAAACCTCCTCAAGGTCTCGCGATGACCAAATGCAGAGCGCCAGAGCGGCAAGGAATTTCCGAGGCGAAACGAACAGCGAACCTGCAACTCTTCAAGGCAACTGAAAGCCGCAATGAAGACCGAAAGCGCATGCAGGGACTTTGCCGAATGCGCAAGGATGGTCGTTGCTGAATGCTCACGGTAGGCCTTCCGGATCATATCCGATGGTCGATCCAAACGAATGATAAAGCTTTTTAGCCCAATGTCCTGGTTGCTAATACTGAGTAGCAGCTCCTGCCAGCCTTTGCACAAATGAAGCTTCAGTGATCGGAGTTTATGGAAAGCGAAGACAGAAGACAGCTTTTGGACTTGCTCTGTTGGAAATCGCATTCCCAGAGACAGATCCTTGAGCGCGGGAAACGTAATGTTTTCCAGCCCCGCGAGCTTCGTTGCGACTTGTTGGATTTCTCCGACACTTTCTCTCAACTCGAGATGGACAAGGTGGGAGGAGTTCTGCTGTAGCGCTAAGCATAATTGACTCATATCAGTAGTGGAAACTTTCCTCCATGAGAGGCTTCTGAGATTTTTGAATGCAGACAACGATATCTGCTCGTACAGGTGGCCCGCGAGTCCAGCCGTTTCAAGGTAGATTGTTTGAAGCCTTTTCTGGGTTCGTGCAAGAATACCGGAGCGTCCTAGAAGTTCGCGCGGAACGCATGTGCCGAGTCTCCAACTATATCGTAGATTTTAGGAGATATGAATTGCCCAGTCATTTGGGAGTGGCTTACCTGAACCTTTCCAGCGTTCCCGGTTCGCATTTTGCCAGGACTTGCAAGAGAGTACTAGACAGGAAATGCAACTTGCCATACGTGCGTGGGTCGTTGCTATGTTCATTAGGAGGGCGCACTCTGTGATATGGAGCCTCTCGTTCCTTGTAACGGTCCATGAAGGTCTCAATGGTCCGGACGTGGGCCAGCAGGTGGGCGGGTGCCTCCACCGCTCGAGAAAGGCCGGACCAGTCTTTCTTTCTCTTGGTACGTAACACTAGCGACATCGAACGGTATAAAACGGGAGCTGCGACAGTATGAAGGTGCTTGGAGACCCGGCAAACACTGGCGACATCCTTCTGCGGCAAAAGCTGGTATGTAATCAACCGGATGTAACGAGGATTTCCGGACTCTTGCGAGTGATTCTCATACCTCAATCACCAAATAAAGTATCTCGAGTGGAAGACGCGGCAGCATTGTAAAGCGAAGGCCGTGGCTGGGCAACGGCTCGGAGTGTGCGGCAGGAAAAGGACTTGTGTGTTGCTGAATAGAACGCTCAGAGTCAGCTGGGTGCCGAATAAATGGCTAATTTCAGTAAACTGTACTCGTACTTACCTGCCAGAAAGTAAAACAGCAAGACAATTGCTGAGGTGGAGTTGTTGTAATAGGCGCGCGTGAGTAAGGGAGATGGACAAGAGGGAGATGGACAAGAGGGAGATGGACAAGAGGGAGATGGACGAGAGGGAGATGGAAGGGAGGCGGATGGAAGAGAGAGAGATGGACGAGAGGGAGATGGAAGGGAGGCAGATGGAAGAGAGAGAGAGATGGAAAAAAGGGGAATGAGAGAGGAATGACAGATGAGGCGGGACTGAGGGGGATTGCCGGCTGCCCCAGAAAGGGAAGGAGCGCTTCTGTCCCGTCAGGTGACCAGCTGGCCTGCAGTAGGGTAATGGATGAGCCTTCGCTCCAATGGAGAGTCATTCATTCTTACTGCCTCTTTGACACCCAGTCTGTCAATTGATCATCCAATCCTTTGACAAGTCCTCCACGTCGAACATATCCATTCACTCTTTGAATGCTCACCAAGTTCAGTCAATTTGGAAGCAGACTGAATGCTAAGTTCAAAGACCATCGTATTCAGACCTGCAATGGGGGAATTCCTGTCAATACTGACACAAAGGCACAAAGGCCTGGATGCACTCACCCTTTGTGTGCACAACAAAGCCTCATTCTATTAACGTTCTCCCCGATGCCTTAAAGAACGAACAGCATTTACTACCAAAGACTCTTGCAGCCGAAATACCTTAAATATCACCATGTCTGCTCCAGATATCTTCCCGTCTCATCCGCGGCGCTCGCACAGATCCCATCGACTTCTACACCCTTCCAGAGCAGTTCTGCTACTACACCGTACGCTCGAAAATCACATGAAGAACAGCTAAACAACATGTCCGGCTTTACCGCAATCATGTCCTGCACCATGGTCTCCCAGGACCCCCATTGGGCCTCCGTCAGTCTCACGATCTTGCGCTTCAAGACTGCCCTGCCGTTTCTTACTATGCACTAGTGGCCTACCACTTGACTGCGCCTGCGACGTTCTCCTGTGGAGTACTCAAATCCAGTTGCTAATGCAATGGAGCAAGAGCAAGCATATTAGACCGGCAATCCTCCACAGCCCAAATGCGATACCGAACCCTTGTTTGATGCCGCACGCAGTTCCTCCACTCAATCAACCCTGGGCAACGTCTACGCATTAAGCCCTCAGTTGTTCTTCCCCATCCCTGGGGCATTTTCTGTCAATCAGACGTCCGCTCGTTTACTCGATTTACTGTTGATACAACTCAGCACTGCGCAGTAGCCAACCACGGCCGCGACAATCGATTCATCCCAGCGAGCCCGCAACGGTGCATATAAGCATGGCTTGTCTTTTCTGTTTTGGCGTTGCTTTGGACCTTCGGACTGGTCATGTATTCCCGACTCTATTTGTATTTAATACGATTTATCTTGTTGTCTATCTCTTACATCCAACTTTTAGAAGACATTGGATGTGACGTGTTTTTGTGCTATAGTGCTATTAGTCCTAATTGAATCATGACTTACTTATAGTCTTTCCTTTCATTCGATTCCAATTTTTTACAAGCTACTCTGTAGCCTCCCGGTTTAGACCTCGAGAGGGTATGGACCGCACGGAGTCGTAGATCTGCGAACATTATTTATCAGTATACCCAAGCCGTGACCACGTCAAGAGCCATAGTACGCTTATTAAAAGAAACTGGTGCCGGAAGGTCGTAGTAAAGTGTGTTCAGTTAGTAATGTGTTCAGTTTGCATGATGTTCAGCAAGTCCCATCTTGTTAGCCCTAACTAAGAGCGGGTAAAGGCAAGGCTCAGAACATGAACCTCAGCGGAAAGGTGCCAGGTAGTTGTTATTTCCTCGCCGGAGAAGTTGAATATGGGTGTGCAAAGATATGAAAACGGCGATAATATCATACCTTCCTGGAACCTTGGGATGAAAGAAGAAATGGGAGCTGAAATATATCAATGGATGGGAAAAGACTACGGCAGCACAAATAACTTTGCTGACAAGCCCAGAGACTGAATGAGGAACGAAGAACATTCACTATGAAGAAACAAGGTTTTGCAGTTATTATACCAAAGGTACTCGATTTTCGTGGACGGCAGAGTGGAACGAGTTGGGATGAAATAACCCACGAGTCGCTTAAGGCAGTATATGCCTGAGATACGGTACGGGAAGGAGAGCTCCCAGTCTATCTACGAAGTTCGAGAACTGAACTTGTCGTCGGTAAGAATCACCATCACATTAAGCGATGCGTACAAATAACCAAAGGACAACATAAAACAAGAGCTGAACCAAGAACAATTCAAGACTATACAGGCATCCATAAGCAAAACGAGTGACAATCGAAGCGAAAGTACATCAAGAAGAATCAACAATCAACGCCCCCAACACCCTTCTTGTCGTACAACATAGGAAAATCTCAAGCCAGCAACATCGCGAACATCTCGCCTAACCACACCTGGGCTTCCGAAGAGGGTAGACATGTTGCCCTCCAAGCCCAAGCGGAAACAGGCGAGGAAATCATCAGACTGGTCGTCATTTTTTTTTTTTTTTTTGGTTTGTTGTTTTTTCTGGCTCACCGTCTTCCCCATGAAGGGGGAAGAACGGAAAGAAAGGGTGAGGCATCAAGACATGCACCTTAACGCCTAAAAATGCCGCAGCCCTCAGACACAAATCGTAAGTCCGTCAAGCTGACACACTGCCAGAACGGGAATTCAGAGACGAGGAGCATGCAGGCCATTGCAGCGGAGAAGCCGGCCATGATGGAGGTGGTTTTTTGTTGTTTGGTTGGGAGGACGGAGTCTGGTTTGGAAGTAGATGGAGGTGGAAGCGTCTGGGCTAGATGACCACGAATTCGAAGATCGAAATGGCTTGCTGTGTCTGACTGCAAATGGTAGGCGGATCTGAATGCAAAAGGATCTGATGATGATGATGATGATGATGATGATGATGATGATGATGATGATGATGGAATCAGCAGCAGGAGAGGGGGTATTTATGCCCTGTCTAGGGTAGGACTGGGAAACGATGTATCCGTTAATTTACACCCTTCTATTCATCTAGACACCCTGCAATGGCAAAGGTTTTCCAATGATCTTTGTCAAAGACAATATCAATGGAAATCAACGAATCAGATTCAGCAATTGAGATAGTACAAGGATACCATACGATCCAGTATAATGGATCTGCGCAGGGTAGGGAAAGACACTATCCCTATCAATTTGGTCTTTAACCTAGGTTGTTACCATATGTGGTCCAAGAATGCCAAAGACAATTAACGAAAATCATGTGATGGACTTCAACAGGTCTGGAAGACCGAGATACCACCAAAATAACCGAGTATGAGTGATAATTGCATTGTAGAAAAGAACAAAATACCAGGCTAACAAAGTACAAGGAGCAATACCTATGACTGGGCACCTGAAGATATGTGGCTTGTACGGTGCGGACCGCTCCCAGTCATGGGCATGAAATGCTGGGTTTCTTTGTGCTGGGGTATGGCTGAAGGACTGGGCCTTGTTCACGCTTGCCGAGAGCTTGTCATGGTCTGGAATGCAAGGGGGATAAAGAAACAAACCGTGGATGCAGAGTGAAGGGTTGGTCAATAGCCCTGCATTGTTGTTGAATCACTTTGTGTCTGGATTGTCAAATGACGGCTCGACGTTCCAAATTATGATGGAGGAGTTGTGGCTTGGAGAAGACGTTCTAGATCGGGGAGTAATGATAATTTTTTGGAAAGGATGGTCGGCTGATGGGGAGAGTTGGGTTGCGGAGGACAGCAGTATTGCGGCCTAGGTTGCTGGGAATCCCTGGGAACAGAAACATTTGACTTCATGATATTAAATTCTCGAACTATTCAACGCTGGTGGTATAAACAGATAGCACTTTTGGTCGTGACGGCTCTATAGGGCTAGGGTAGGGTACTTTAGGGAAGGTAGGCCGTGGATAGGGCGAGGGTGCGGGCGGGACTGCAGCTTGGCGCGGGAGTCGAGCAGCGTCCAGCACCACTCGCAAGAGCCAGCCGACAGTCTGATGGCGCGGAGACAGGGAGCAGCAACACGTAGGCGCCCTCGTATCGCATCCCGGAGACGTACCTCCCATGACAAGATCGCATCGAGAGAGACCTGATTTGGTAGATGTGGTACGCTCGACAAGACGCTCATGAGAAATGGATGCCCTCGGTATTGCAAGCATGCAGCAAGCGCAGGAAAGCGTTCTCATCACACTTATTCGCACGCTGATTGGCCAGCCCCGCTGTATCCAGGACCTTCTCGATCTTATGCTGGATCAGCCGCGTCACGTTCGTCTTCGCGACCTGCTGCCCGGCAACAGAGATCATCGGCCCGCTCTGCGCGACAGCACCACCCTTGTCACCGCCCCCTTCACCCATGAAGATATCACCCACATCATCCTCATCCACGATCGGCGCGTCATCAACGTCCATATCCATATCCAGATCCTCATCCTTCCCACTCGTCGCCGCGAACCTCCCCTCAGGGAACGGCGTCTTGCCGGTAAGCATATCGACATCGGCCTGCGCGACCTTCTCAGGATGCATAGCAGCCCACGTGATCCAATTGCGCTCGATCATCTGGCGGATCTTTGTGGCCATGAACCCCGCGCGCAGCGTCTTGTTCTTGCGCACGAAGCAGATGCGCAGCATCCCGTCCCACTCGTCCCAGCTGATCTCGGGTTTCCCGGGCTTCGGCTCGATGCGGACAACGCTGGACTCGACCTGGGGCGGGGGGCGGAAGTTGTTGCGGCCGACTTTCATGATGTGCGAGACTTTCGAGAAGAATTGCACGTTTACCGAGAGGCGCGAGTAGAGGGCGTCGCCGGGGCGGGCGAGGAGGCGGAGTGCGAATTCGCGTTGGACCATGAGCACGCACATTTTCGGGGGGTTCGGCATCGAGAGGAGCTTGAAGATGAGGGGGGAGGAGATCTACCGCCGCAACCTATTAGCTATCAAGCGAGCAGAGGGCGAAGGGTGGGTACGTACCTGGTACGGCGTATTACTGATGACAGTCTGGAATGGCGGCAACTTGGACAGGTCCGTTTTGATGAAGTCGCCCAGGACGATCTGCAGCTTCTTCTCCATGGGCGTCGCCTGCACGCGCTTCGTCAACTCCGCCGCCATGCGCGGATCGAATTCGACCGCGATGACCTTCTTCGCTTTCTCCAGGATGCGGGTGGTCAAAATACCCGGACCAGGACCGACTTCGAGGACGGTCTGGCTGGGCTGGACATTGGCCTTGTCGACGATGTTGTCGGCGATCGCTCCATTCTTCAGAATGTGCTGGCCGAGGTCGGTGTTGAATTTGAAGATCGCAGAGCCGGCTTTCGCTGCGGCGCTCTGGCCGCCGCCCTTTGTGGGCTTTTGGTAGGGGGAGGCGGAGGCGCGGGCGCTCTTCTTCCGGTCGACTTTGCCCATGGTGTCTGGTTTGTTTGGAGGATGCGGAGTTGAGGCGGGAGACAATTTCGCGATCTTTTTTTCTCTTATCGGGCGGTGGTTGATTGGTGGGGCCGCACGTGATGATAAGCTGGCTGCAATCTTTTGTTTGGATTATGTTTGCAAAGCTTTGACTTCTCCACAACAACCAGCATCATTGGTCTAGTGGTAGAATTCATCGTTGCCATCGATGAGGCCCGTGTTCGATTCACGGATGATGCATCGCGTATCCTTTTTGTTTTTGTCTGATCCGCCCCGTTTGCATAGAGACCGATCTTCTGACAACTGTCGCGACACCATGATCGTTTCGCGGCGCCTTCTTGTGCCGTTTTCTTCTCGCTCAACCCCCTTGTATAAGCGTCTTTATTCAACCACAGGCAAAAAGGTGCCTTCGAACGCGCTCCCCACCCTAAGTAGCAGCCTTGAGGATGGCTCTGGCAAGTCGCTCTAGCAACAACTAGACCCAGCTAACGACCCATCAGAGACTCCCATCCAAGAGCAAGATCTTTTCAGATATCAGCGATACCGATGGCTGTCAGTGTTTCTCCATCCCAGCTTGATCTCGATTAACGCGCGCAGAGACAACGATGCAAAATGCCAGGCCGACCGCTATCGCGAATTCAATGTACGCGCCTTGTTTCGTGTAGCTGCGGGCCTTGTTCGCCAGCAAGGCATTGAATGTAATGAACCAGGACCTTTCAAGCGAGTATCTGACACCAAATGCAGGCACGAAGATCCGCAAATGCGTCGAAGGACAGTACAACAAGGCGTACGTCTTGACCATGAGCAACGGCGACGAGGTGGTTGCTCGACTGCCCAATCCCAACGCTGGGCCAGAGTTCTATACGACCGCTTCGGAGGTAGCGACTCGCGACTTTGTACGTTATTACCATTATTTATGTCTGTGCTGCACTGCCCTAACGCATACGCATCAAAGGTCCGCGGTATCTTGAAGATCCCCGTTCCAAGGATCCTTGCATCATCGTCGGACGCAACAAACGCCGTCGGCGCTGAATATATCATTGAGGAAAAGGCTCCCGGTCGACCTCTCGGGGACATTTGGGCGCAGATGCCAACTCCAGCACGGCTGGGGATTATAGACCAGCTCGTTGACGTGGAGAAGAAGCTTGCGTCGGTGTCTTTCCCAAAACACGGTTGCATTTACTACGCGTCTGATCTGGAAACAAGGCCTTCGTCAGCGTCTGAAATGGACAGTGTCGAGCCCTTCCCAGGCTTTGCGATTGGACCGTCGAACGATCGAAAGTTATGGCAGAGTGGACGAGATCAAATGCGTCTCGGAAGAGGCCCTTGTGAGACACACATAATCCTTCTTATTGCCCACCTAACATCTCCAGGGACAAGCCTGCTCGAATACGCGGTAGCAATCGGTGAAAATGAGCTTCAATGGGCCGAGGCTCACGCAGCACCCAGAATCAACCCCCACCGGTCAATGGAGGAGCCAGAAACCCCAGCGCAATACATCCATCTCCTCCAGCAGTACCTCAAGATAGTGCCCTACCTCGTATCCGGCCTACACGATTCAAGCTCGAGAAACACGCTGTTTCATCCAGACCTGCATCTCGATAATATCTTCATCGACCCGGCAACAAACAAGATCACGAGCATTATAGACTGGCAATCCGCCGCAACAACGCCATTTCCCCTTCAACCCTCTCATCCGCAAATGCTCGAACTCTCAGTAAACCCTTCAAGCGACGAGCAGCGGAAGCAGGAGAAGGAGCTTCTTGAATACTACTACGCGAAGACGAACGCCGCCGGCCTGCACCGCGCTCCATCCGGTGATCCGTCCCTACGCGTCCGTCTCAACCCTCTAACCCATATAACCGGATGCTGGGAACGCCATGACACATTTTCCCTGCGCCAATCCCTCATCAGCGTCGTCGCGCACTGGGATACCCTCTACCCCGACGGCACCATACCGTGCCCGATCACCTTCACCCGCGGCGACCTGCAAGCGCACAAGCTCGAGAGCGAGCTGATTTCCGGACTCGCAGGTATTATACGCCAGTTGGACGAGCACATACCGATGGGCGGCATGGTCCGGGCGGCGCAGTACGAGAGTGCACGGGCGGTTAGCGAGTTCTTCAAAAAGGAGTTTGTGGAGCTGGGCGAGGATGAAGAGAAGAGGAAGCTGCATGAGGCGGTTTGGCCTTATTAAATACGTCTAAGGACTGAATCGAAACCGGATTGGATTAAATTGCTACCAGAAACCAACGATCGAAATCACTATGCAAGACTCCAACATTAGCTACCTAAGGAAAGCCAGGTGCCACAGGATCCATGCTACCTGCCAGTGCGGTATTACCCAACCTTACCTTACCTAGGTAACCTTAAACCACGCCATTGAGCGCCCGTCCACTAGAAGAGAGAATCCAGGAAGAGATGCTGAACTACACCAACCACTCCGGCCTCGGCCACCTAGTCTCCTCCTGCACGCCAAGATGCGCACACCCACAGCGGCCAACACACTCCAACCCCCGAAACGCAACATCGGAAAAAGTCTCATATGTGAACTGCGCCTTGTTAACCCCAAACAACCCCGCAAGCTCGCGTGCGCGGTCCGGAAACCCATCGACGAGCCAGAGCTCGCGGCGGTGTGAGTGCGCGTGCAGCGTTATGCTCTGCAGGAAGGGGAACGCGACGCCGGTGCCCCCAAGCTCGCCTTCGCCTTCGCAGTCGCAGTTGCAGTCGCCGACGGAGCTCGATAGGGAGCGGAGGGAATCCCAGAGACACTCGACGGACGGGGGACGCGCGATGCCGTGGATCTCCAAGGTCTTAAGAGAACGCGGGAGGAGCGCAGAGAGCGGGACGGGTGCACCGGTAGGCGGGTTATGAGAATACGAAGCAGCCGCAGGGAGGACGAACACGTCGAAGAGCTCGAGGGTCTGCAGGCGCTCGTACGCCGCAAACGAGTGCTGCGTGGGCCCGGCGGACTCGCCGTCGCCGAGGGTCCTGCCGGGCTTGAGGGCCAGCTCGGTTAGGGTGTGTTTGTGGGCATCAACAGCTTGCATGATGGGGTCTATATACTCGCTGTACATAAGGCCGACGAGGTGGATGGTGTAATTCAGGACTTCGAGGCGCTGGACTGCGCCGATGAGGTTGGTTAGATTGTCCAGCGCGAAGGGGGACGTGATGCGGAGGGCGCGCAGGGTGGTTGAGGCGTACGACGGGGTGAAAAGGCGCGAGTAGCAGGTTCCCGGAGCGAGGAGGGATAGATCCTTCAGCATAGGGAGGTCGAGGATGCGCGCCAGGAACCCCGCCCAGCCGAGACAGGTGAGGCCGCTGATCGAGAGGTGTTTCAGGTTTGGGAAGAGCTTGCGGGCTGCGCGGCGGCCGAGGCTCTGCACGAGGGACGTGAAGATCCAGTGGGCGGTTGGCTTTGCCTCGTCTCGGAAGTAGGAGTTGTAGCGGAGGGTTTGGAGGGCGGGGAGGCGGTGGAAGACGAGGAGGAGGTAGAGGGTTGTGTCTCTTGTTCCGGGGGCCTCGCGGTCGAAGCGTGCGGCGAGGGCGGGCTTGCGACTGTAGACGTTTCCCCAGAGTTGTTTTCCGTGTCTGGGCATGGCCGGGGTGAAGTTGGAGGTGGGTAGGCCGGGCTCCAGAGTCGAGGGCGAGGACAGTGTAGTGGTTGTTGAGGGCGTGATCCAGTTGAAAGGCTCAAACACGGTGATGGTGTTGATTAGGCCTGCTACCTCTGGGGTGTGGACGAGGGTGCGGAAGAGCAGAGTGATCTGGTCTGCTCTCCAGAGGCAGATCTTTGCATAGAGAAGCGGGCGGACGACGAGGTAGCACTGGCGCGAGACCTGAGCCAGTGAGTGGAGGGTGCGGATGCTGGAGACGACGGCGTCGGAGGGAGTGGGATTGCCGGTGTGAGGTTGAGAAGGAGGCTTGTCCAGGCTCTCAACGAGCACCATGCAGATCTCGTGGATGATGTCGCTGTTGAGGCAGTACGAGCCTGCGGTGGAGGACATGGTGCCGATGGAAAGCAGGAGATCAGAGAGTGATGCCAGATATGAGGAGAGTTAGGAGGACTTGGATTGGATGGGTGAGAAGTGTTAAGGCAGAGAGTGATCGCCGCGGTAACAGCACTCACTGATCCCATGTGGTTTGTTGGCGGATGCGTGCGGAATCTGACAGAAGTTCACAGTCGCCAAATTGGCCAAAGTCATTATGGACACCAGCAGAACAGCAATATCTGATAGAGGACTGCTAAGGTTCAATGGAAGACAGGAAACCACCCGCAAACCACCTAGGCAGGGCCGACTACATGCCTAGGGCAGAGTGACCTTCGGTATGCCGTTTGTAGGGTCTTTACTGGGAGAACAAGCGGAAGAAAACATAGGTTAAGATTGAATAGAGTGAAGACTGGTAATAGAATGACTAGGCTAGATACCTAATAAGATAAGAGAGCCAGACTTGACAGTCCAGCAGCCCGAGGCAGATCACCATATCATGTACTCAAAAGCAACACCAGCCGACGCGAATGCCCCTTTGACCTTTTCGAGCTTGACAATAACCCGCTGCTTGTCGACATACATGTTTTCCACCTTGACTTGCCTCAAGGATGAAAAATCACTCGCGTGCCGCGCAAGATCAGCCAAAAAAGGCAACAGCGACTTGCGCGTGTTTTCCTGAGTAGCATTGATAGTCAAAGATTCCAGACACAACGGCAAGCGGCGGAGTCGGTCTCCAGGTGGATCGAAAAACATGCAGTCCTGGATTGTCAGATTGGCGAGTTGCGAGTAGGCGGAGAAGTCCGGATACGGCCTATGAACGGGCCAATAGAGAGGCGGGATGACACCGTGCTCGTGATGATGCAGTTCTCGCAGCGTTGTGCGGTGCCGGTTTAGTCCTTCAAAGGAGCGCGGAACCCGACTACCACCGTTCATGACAGAGAACTCCACGTTCACGACTTCGAGGTTCTGGAGAATGGATAGGAGGTCGGGGAGAAGGACTGTAAGGTGCGAGATGCGGTGAATGTATAACTCGCGGATGCTGGAGTGTTGCAGTGCGGGTTGAGAGCCGGGCGTCCAGCCACTGATGGGCGGGCTGATGCGGAGGGTCTTGAGACGTGGAAGCTGAAGCACGTTGTGCAGCATGCGGTACGTGTGAATGCCTGAGAGATGGAGCTCTTGCAGGTGGTAGAAGGGGTGGTCGCTCATGTTGCCTAGCTGGGCGGGTGTGAAGGCGGCAAATGTTTGTGAGAAGAGGTCTTGGAACGAGGTGGCAGACCAGTCGGAATCAGACTCTGCGTGGTAGGCCATGCGGGAGATCCAGTGAGGATGGCGGACACAGACGTATCGGAAAGACACCAGTCGAGGAAGATGCCTGAGGAGGTCCAGGAGGTCCAAGAAGCTATCGCGAGTGCGGGTTGAATATCGTTCAGGACTGGAAACCGCCGAAAGACGAACGACCTCTTCCGAATGAGCTCGCTCCTGAAGCGGGCCCAGATCCAGCAGTTTCCTGGGCGGCTTGGACTTGGGCTCGTACCAAGGGCGACGCGACCGTTTTCGCTTCTTGGGGCGTCGGAGTGCAGGCTGCCTGGGCTGGGGAGGCTCGAAGAAGATGAGCTGCATCACCTGGCTTGCCAGACCAGGTTTCTGCGCGATAGTCCGCAGGAAGTGGCGATGTTCTTCGGGCTTGGAAAGAATGACGGTCCTGAACTGCATCAACGGCCTGGACACGGCGTGAAACCATTTGCACGTCGCAGAGGCGGCGCGCATATTGGAGCCGGCCCTGCCCGCTAGTTTGTACACGTCGTCTGGCCGCATGGCTTGATATCTTTGTTCTAAATCATCGGCATTCGCGAGGTGTTGGAAGACGAGGGTCAAAAGCTCGACGGGAAGACGGGAGATGAAGCAATCGCCGCTAGGATGAGGTCGCTGGCTATTGCTGAGGCGATCATGTGTTGAAGACATGGCAGGATGATAGGCGAGGAGAGTGAGTTGGAAAGGAGAAAGTGGGAGAGGAAAGGAGAGAAAGGGAGAGGGAAGGTGGATGTGTTACTCGCTCACTTGGGAACTTGGCCAGGAACAACATCCCGGCCGCCACCAACCCGGTGCAAATTCCGACTCAATCACACTCTCAATTACCTTGCTGCACCCGGATCTACCTTCATACCATCCATTCAGAGCAGCGACACCAGAATGACGAGGGCCACCGCTGACAGGAGGGATTGCAATCCTGAAGGCATTAAACGGACAAGCTGGAGGAAAGGCACAACACTTAGCTTGACAAATGCGCCTTCGGTTGCCCCGACGAGAATACACGGACTGACGATATCTGGGAGATCCCGGCTTGAGGGAATCACTGCGTTGGACGATGATGCTCGTCACGCTCCGGAGAAAGGCGACCTCGATGGTGGGAAAGATATATAACGGGAAGACGCCGGCAAGGACGGGGCTTGACAGGGAAAGAATGCGCGATGACAGTGAGGTATGCTCGCTATCTGAGTCTCTTTGAAGAGCTACATCGCAGCAGTCTAATACTTGATAGAACCAAACATAGATTGTATCCAAATGGTCTAATCATACTTGAAACTAGAAATACCCTATGCTGACATGCGGATAGTACACAAGATCAGTCAGTCCTCAATCACAACGACTCGCCCACGTCCTCGCTAATGAGCGGCCCTGTCCTCCATCTACCAATTCACAGCATGACCATTGCGCTCGTAGCGAAACCGAACACCCCGCAGAGCAAAACCGCGCTGAACCATTCGAAGGCGGTCCTCAAAGGTCGACACGCGCATGGTGCGAACAGTGATAATCGGGGGAGGCGGTCTATTCCAGGCGGCCATTTTGATCTTTCGCAGGTGTGGTAAATAATGTTCTGTCTTCACTGCCTCAGCCAAGCACTCCAGGCACTTCGCAGCCCCCTCAGCACTGGCGAAGCAGTCCACCGCCAGATCCACCAGGCGCGGCGGGAGCTTGATGCGCCCCTGGTACGTGTCTGCCCTGTAGTCAAACACAACGTCATCCGGAAGGTGAACAGAGACAAGCTGGTGAAAGAGCGAGAGATCCACTCGTGGTGCGGCGGGCGACCCCCTCCCATTGTACCTGAACTTGCCTGGGCTACTATGGACGATGCGGAGCTCCCTGAGCGTTGCGGCCTGGGCTTGAGCCAGGGCTCCAACGACGGCGTTGGGGCGATTTGCCTCGTAGACGAGATCCCTCTTGCTGTAGAGCTCGAGGTGCAGGACTTCGAGGGAGGTAACGGCGGCGATGAGGTGCGGGATGTCGGGGATGTCGTATCCCTTTTGGTGGAAGATAAGGGCGCGGAGGCTCGATGACTTCCACTGCTTTGTGGTGGCGGCGTGTGGTCCTCTTAATCTCGACCCGCATGAGCGGAGGGTGTGCAGGTTTGGAAGGGACATGATGGTATCCAGGGTGTTGAGGTATGACGGGTGCCGGAGGTCAGGGATGTCGATGTCTTGCAGGCACGCAAGGAGGTCGTTGTAGAGCACCGGCTGCGACGTGGGCTGCAGATTGCCTAGCATGGTCAGGAATATTTCCCGAGTCGGCAAAGGCTCAGGGTATCCATGGGATGTTTGTTGCATGGGACCGCAGTACCGACGCTCCTCCGGACAAGGGAGATAGCGGAACTGCCTGAGGCGCGGGAGCAGGAGCAGGAGTTCCAGCAGATCAAGGACGGAGTCACGCTGGTTCTTCTGCAAGGGACTCCAGGATCTCGCATTCCACGAGTTGGCGCGGCGGACGGTCGTCCATAGCTTGGCGATATCCCGCGACAGGACGCGCTCAGCAAGCATCTTCGGAGCCTCCAGCGCGGACAGTATAGGCAGCTTGAGATGGGCCAGTGGTCTGTATCCCCCGGTGCAGCGCAAGGGGTTTACGGAGCGAGCTTTAGGGGCGGGGCGAAGGCCACTAATGATCTCCTCGTCCTTGAGCGTCGAAGGACGGTAGATGAACGGGCGGCCGGTCTCCAGACGCTCAACCATGATGAGATGCTGCACCCGTTTCGCAATCTCAGGGTGCTTATCCAGCGCGCGGAGGAGATGGCGATGGTCGCCAGCGTTTGTGAGGATGATAGTGCGGTAGAGGAACGGTTGGACAACGGCATGGAACCGCCTGGACGTGCAAGCAAGGGCCAGAAGGTTGCGGCGCTCGCGAGTGATCGAAGGTGCAATGTGGCCCAGAGAGCGCTGAATGATGGCCGGACATTTGTTTTCCACTTCTTGGGCTAGGAACTCGCAGATCATGCTGAGGATCTCGGGGGGGAGCCGGTTGATCAGGCACTCGCCATCGGCTGGAGCGCTGGGGTTGATCAAAGACATGACCGTGAAGCGTAGACGAGAAGAGTGATCGGTTGTTTGATTTGAGGTTGAGAAGCAGCTGGCAGAAGACAGAAGACAGTGACTTGAGGAGAGGGAGAGAAGATGCAGCGAGCTGGGCGGGAGCTGTGTCGTTTAAGTCAGATTTCAGTCACTGAATTTGAATGAAGCAGTCAAGAGTTCAGTCGCTGTGAATGAACGCCTGGAACCTTTGTGGTCAGCGCCCTCCCACATCGCCGTTCACCTGGGACAGTATGCGGACCTGACTCTCTCCTCGGTATACTGGGAACCAAAACGACATCTCCGTCGAAGTCTAGTTTTACGGCCATCGGCTTGCTCTCCCATTCCTCATAGCCAACAAATTCCCTGCTTGAACGTTGGCAAGAAAGCTTTGGACCGACAAGGAGTAGGCTAAGTTGTTCAAAGAAGCCTAATGAGCTATCATCTTCACTAACTCCGTACAAACCACATGGCGAGTGAAGCTTCTAGATGGCCAGACATCACATACCGATATACCAGACTCTGTCAGGAGATGAAGATGCAATTGACGACCTCTACCTAGGTGGCCAGATTATCAACTTGATTCCATTTTGAAGTAAAAGCATTCCCAGTCTTCTGCATTGCCTGGGTACGTCCTCCTTTGTCAAGGAACTCATAGTTTCTATGATTGGTGACACAGCCCCGGAGAATCACAAGGGATAGACTTAGACGCAAATATTTCATGGAGATGGATTGCATACATGGAAACTAATGACATAGAACAGAGACCGGATGAGAAACCCAAAACACCAAGATCGAACAGAAAAGGACAAGACAAAAGAGAGGGAGGTATCTCGGTGCTCCAGCGACACAAAACGCAACCTTGCGCCGACCCAAACCACCAAAGCAGCATTAGGAAACCAAACAAGTTAAGTTGACAAGAACCTCACCCGCCAACCATCTGCACTCCCACCCACCGAATCAGACAGGACATCCTTCTCAATGACAAACCGCGGATGCTCATACACAACCCCCAACTCCAAGAACTGCGTCTCCGTAATGCGCAACTCAGCACGCACCGTGAGCTCCTCCTCCGCCGAGAACGTAAACTCAGGGTGGGCGGTTTGAAAATCCAGACTCACGGACTCGAGGTACCGAAACCGCTCCACGTGCTCGTACCGACACCGCTGCACATCGCGCGCCAGAGACGCTGCCATCTCGAAAGATGTCTCTGTTGAGCCGTGGACCTTCACGTCGAGGATCACCAGGCGGGACGGGAGACTGTCAACGAACGACTTTGCTGGAGTTGCGGCGTCGAAGAGGAATGTGTCGCGGGTGGAGAGGGTGGAGAGGCGGGTGAAGGCGCGGAAGTCGAAGTGCACCGGCGACCCAGGGGCAAGGGCTATGTCGAGGGTTAAATGCTTTAGGGTGTGGAGGTGCGTGGCTAGTGCCTGCGCGATGTTTTCGAAGATAGCTCCGTTGGTGGCGCCGTAGGTCTCCAGCTGAGTGGTCTCGATGTGGAGGGTCTCTAGCTGCGGGACTGCGGTTAGGATGGCCGGGATGATCTGGAGCTCCTGGATGTAGCGGGAGACGAATGACAAGGTGCGGATTGTGGACGATGTGTTGAGCGGAATAGCGCCAGCTGTGGGAAGGCTGGGGATATGGGATAGACGGAGCGTATGCAGCTTTGGGAGAGACAGCGCCAGGTTAACGACGTGCGCTGTAGCACCGGAGAAATGGAGATCTTCCAGCCGCTCGAAAAGGTGTATCTCTGATACAGCAGCTGGAGTAAGGGACGACAAAATCTCAACGAAGAAATGGTGGAATCCGGGGATCGGATCCACACTGTTGTACGAGCGGTCCAGGCGCAAGACCCCATCGGTGGTCAGGAACGGGGCGTACCGGAACCTCTTGAGCTGGAGGAGGCGGGGCAGAAGATCAAACAGGTCTATGACTGCGTCGCGGGTCTCCCTAAGATGTTCGCTCACCCAAGCGGTCCCTGTTTGACCGGGGAATGCGGCATCGCATAGTTCCAAAATTCGATCTGGATGTTCACACTTCTCCAAGGGGGGCGAAGGTACCGAGTGACAAGCTCGCGCATTGGTGAAGAAGACAAGTTGCTTCACCGAACCCACTAGGTAGGGTTTTCTGGCCAGCGTGCGCAGGAGGTGCCGGTGCTGGTTCGGACGCGAGAGTAGGACGTTGCGGTACTGGAGGCGTTCGACAACGGCGCGGAACCAGCCTGATGTTGCGGAGATGGACCAAAGCTCACGGAGGCTTGGGATCAGCCTGGAGTTGGTGCCATCCGATTCATCGTGGTCATCCCCAGCCACGAAGCCGAATACCATTTGGAGAACTTCCGTGGGTAACGTGTAGAGAGGAGGATGACTGTTGATGGAAGCCATGGCCGTATCACGTAAAGAAGGTATGGCCAATTAGAACGAAAGAAGAACAGGACAAAACGATAGCACAAGACAAATAAGGAACGAAGGTCAGTTAGGTCGGAAGGACTGAAGAGCGGAGAAGATACCACAAGAAAAAAAAGGAGCGAAGGCAGACTTGATCCGGGGCATTGAGACCCCAACCGCGGGAGTTGGCTGGGTATTTATAGGCCAGCCTGAGCCCGACAGTGCATTCACGGGGATGCGGCCATCGTGCCTTAAGCGACCTGAGGTCGTGGTCAGGCTGTGGGTATTGGGGCTGAGAGGCAGCGATGGATGGTAGGCGCTAACTTCTAAGGGACCTCAGTATTTACCACTCGCTTGCCGGTGGATCCCTGCCAGTGACCATGACAGGTGAGGTACAAGTACACTGGGAGAGGGTCCTGAAATCTCCCCTAGCGGCTGACGTGGGCGGGTCTGGACGCTTCCATTCGACTGCTCTCGCTGAAGTATTGCACGCTGCGCCGGTCAGAGAACTTGGGACAGCCAATCAGGTCCGGCTTCAGCCGTGATTTCTCGCTGCAAACAAGGACGCAGATGGTGAGTGACAGATGCACTTCCAAGTGGTTTGCAGACTCGCACCAATAACAAAGACCCTCAAAGCAATGGTCCTGATTAACAGGCATGACAGGGTTAGTAGCTATGTCTTCTCCGAAACAAATCACGGGATTATAGTTGAATGGAAGGTCATTGATTTGCATTGCCTAAACTTAAGTTTGATACCAGGCATTTGCTGTCAAGCGACGGAGGTGAAGTGACTGATTTTAGAAGACAAAGCATGCGCGACATTGTATTAGAGGAAGAAAACAAAGAACAAAGAACAAAGACGATACCGTAAACCGGGAAAACAAAACAGCCAGAAACTCGTACAAAATGCGTTGAAACCTCGCAGTAACAGAAACAGATACACCCATATCAAGGTAGCAAAGGCTATGATACTATGCATCATCAAATACGCCGGGGTTGATTCTACCCACTCGTCTACTCGAGATGACCCGGATTTCCATCCTCACCCACTGCTGCACGCGGCACTTGAGACGATCCGGATACTCATAAACAACGGCATGGTCCGCAAACTTCTTCTCGGCTATGGCCAGCTCAACTTCAAGTTGCGACGGGGTGTCTTGTCCCACGAGCTGAAGAGTACGGTCACCGCGGTTGGTCAAGGCCACCTTCTTCAACGACGGGAAGTAGTCCGCATGGGAAGCAAGGTGACCCATCATGATGCAAGTGAGCGCCGACGCACTGGAGATGTCCACGGTAAGGATGCCGAGGGCGCTGGGGAGTCGGGGAATGAGATCGTGGATTGTCGTCAACGAGTCGAAGAGAAGACAATCGGGGAGATCGATGACGGCAAGGTTCTCAAAGGGGGACAAGTCCAGATTCGCGAGTGAACCCATTGGGTGAGGGCCAACAATGCGGAGGTCCTTTAGAGTCTTGTGGTGTTGCGCAAGGGCATCCAGAACAGGTCTCGGGCCAGCAGAAGACCAACTCTCTGATTGGAACAGATCTTGGAGATTGACGAACTGGCCGTAGAAAGTGCTAATTGACGCATCGACCTCAAGGTGCAGCACCTCAAGGGCCTTGACCGCAGTGAGAATCTCGGGGATGTCGTCTATATCATTGGCACGGCAAGATAGAAACAATCTGCGAACATTGGAAGCATTCCAGGCGCGGGAGACACCAGGAAACAAAGAAAAGCTCGGCCAATGTGACAAGCGGAGGGTATGGAGAGTCGGAAGAGCCAAGATCATGCCCAGGAATACCATGAACGCCGATTCAAGGAATCCATGGAGATATATGTCCTCGAGGCGTCCATTAAGCCAGTCAAAGAGTCCGGGCTCGTTGGTGCGATTGACTGCAGCCATAAAAGTGAAAAAAAGCGGATATGACCTAGGCCGCATACCCATGTCGGTGTATGGATGGTAGTCATTTCGGCCAGAATGCGCAGCGCTCTGGTCTTCAAAAGGGACGTACCAGAACTGCCGAAGCTGAGGCAGGAAACGGAGTAGTTTGATCAGGTTGGTGTGGTCCCTAGGGTATGTGTCATCTGATTCCGAATCCGCAGGCATGGTGACCTCAGGTCCGCTGAGAAGGCCCTCGAAGAAAATAAGCTGTGTGACATGCTGAGCTGTGCTGGGTGCCTGTGTTATCGATCGCAAGAGGAGTTGATGTTTGTCTGGATAACAAGGGGGAAAAACAATTGTGCGGTAGAGGATCGGCTGGACAATCACGTAAAATCGCCTGCAAGTAAGCGAGAGGGCGCACAGAGTACGCTGGCCTTCAATCAAGTTGTCTTCCGCATTTTTGGCAGTGAGACTGGGGATTGTATCGCAGTTGTAGTACACATCTTCAGCAACCTTTTGAAAGATTATGCAGAGGATCTCGCCGGGGAGAGCGTAGAAGGACGAATGGAGAGTAGCTTCGCCACCGCCAACATCGTCCAAAGAATCTTTGGCGGAGGACATGATTGCGGTCCAAGGGTAGCTTTGCGGAACTCAACTGCGAAGAAGCGGAAGGGGCTGGCGATGACAGAGAAAAGAAAGACGGAAGGACAGAAGAAGGGAATGGCAAAGCGAAAACTCAGGAAGCAAGAAAACACCTAAGGTGGAGGCCTTGAAGGTGTTATTTAAGCCTGAGCAGCTGTTGTTTTGAAAGAACTCACTGGGTTGTGATCATGCTGAGCGGAGAGTTTGCAGCCTTCAGGTCTTGACGCGACCCTAGGAAGCAACACAGCAGGGATGTTGCGATGAACCGGAAAAAAAAATTTGCCACCAGCAGCAAGGGGCCCTGATTGACAAATGGCATGCTGGCATTTGAAACTGGCGAAAGGTCTCTCTCTGCTGTTTCAGTGAGGCCCACTCTAAGGAGCGGTACTGGTCACATGTGATTGAGCCCAATGCAGTGAATAATTGGGCGGACACATGCCTGAGCCCAAGGAACATCATCATGTCATAATTCTGGACTTGCTTGCTTGAAGTAGCGCAAATGGCATATTATCGACATCAGAGCTGAAGTAGGAAGAGAGTAGAGCCAAGAGTGGAATCAGACCCCTGCCATGAAGGGCCGTGCCGCCACTAAGATCGCCAAACACGTGGGTGAATGCGGGGCGGGTGCCTGGTGGCAAACGCCCCACCCCAACAATTCCAACTTCCCCTCTCCTCTGTCTCTGCGCATCGTTGCTGTTCCTAATGTTATCATTTCCAACCTGAGACATGCGTCGGAACCAATCAGAAGTCAGAACCATATTCCTGTCCCAGCCACCCATTTAGCACGTCAGCAGGCCTGACCGAAAACTCACCGCCGTCACCGGAGGTCCTGCAGTATCGGCCGGGAGGTTTCGCGCTGACGGCCGAAGTTGGCTCGTACACCTAGCTCCCTTCACAAGCCAACTATCCGCTGACTGACTTCTATCCAGGTCATCATCATCTACGTATCCTCCCCACCGCGATCGAAACCCGAGCGAAATCGCCGCCGCCAACGACGCCGCCGTCCGCGCCTACAATGCGAACTTAACGCGCAAGCCGAGACCGGAGCGACCGTACAACAGATAAGGAGGACGTTGGGCAGCTGGATATCATTATGTCAACTCCGGCATCACAGCCAACGTTCCGGCGGACGAATATAACGTTAGGAGTGAAGGAAAACCATGGATTGATCTTGGACAGCGCGGTGTGGTCTGCGGCCTGCGCAAGCTCCGGGCAAGATCCTCAAGAGCACCTACAGAGTCGGGGGAACGTGATATTCAAGGCCTCGTCAGCGCGACGCGCGTCAATGTCCCTCGGAAGCAGGCTGCGTCGGTCCTTACCTGTGGAGATTTGGCTATCTAATGGTTCTTGATATTGAATTGAGATGTTGCTTCTTGGTATGGTATGCAAAATGCTGACTTCAACATATAGCACAATGAAAGCTCCCGAGCCCTCAACCTACGCTTCACTGTCTATCTAGATCCGACTTTCTCCATTCCTTCGTCCCTTTTAGCCAAAGACCAACTTGAAGAACCCACTGGCTTGGCCGGTCTGGACGACCATCCTACGATCGTTAGTGGGACGTATGTGAGAGGAAATCGCAGGGGACATACAGGTAGGAAAGATAGACGCCCAAAGCGCTAAACCGTAAATATCATGATCTTTCTCAACTTCTTCCAAGTCAACTTCCCCGATGGCGTACGACCTTTGTTTCCTCCGCGCTGAACAGCGTACTCGCGATCGTACCGTACAATCACCAATCAACACCACGTCCCATTGATCAACGCCTCTCAGCTCTCACCTGTTTCCGCAACCAAAACACCCTGGTCCAGCTCTGACAAGCTGTGATCCCAAAACACCCACAACCACAATCGGAATCGAGATGATCGCGGTGAGTCGAAAATAAACAGCTACTGACACCCCTCCAGCCCGGACTACCCGGCCATTCCCGTGTAAAGCGCCGCCTGGAGATATCCGCTGAACATCTATTGCTCACTATCGCACTTGACTGCCCGAAGAGCGCGACCCCTTTGCGAGTAGTGTTGGATCGGCCGGTTTGAGTCTCATCCATGCAAGAGATTTCAACGCGGCGGAGTACCAGAGCTGAACGGTGGTCTCAGAGGCTGCAGGCAAGATCCGCCGAGAGCGTTCTGTTCAGCTTGCAATGTGATAGCAGTTTTCATAAGTCTTGAAAGCCGAGAAGAAAGGAGGCATCATCTCTGGGATTGTTAGCCGGATGGAGTGATGCGGATGGTAGATGACTTTGTTCAACGGGCTCCAGCGTGCTTGACTCTACTCCTTCCAGGTTCGGACAAACGGCCTCACGTGTTCCTCCCGCACTCCTCCCTCCTCTCCTCCCTCCTCTCTCCTCTCTCCATCTCCCCCATCGTCTTCAAGCGCTGACATGTGTTTATATTTCATCTCCAGCCAATCTGTCATGAGCGCTGCAGGGTTTCTCATGCCGCTCCCGCGTTCTTTTACTCGTTGAATCCAGGCTTTGAACGGGACCTTAAAACTCCCAATTCCCCCGCAAACATATCTAACAGGCGCCCTGTCTTGATTTGAGGGATAATCGACGTGGTAAGTCTCCACAGGTATCCCCTCACCCAGCAGCACATTGGCAGTATGACGAACCGCCACATCTACTGGCGTCCTAACCATTCGCTCCGCTACTTCAGAAAACACCGAGACTTTGCGAAGACTTCCCCATGACCGGGAAGTGTTCGGAGGCCTTCCACTCTTCTTCGATCCAGAAAAATGTTCTAGCCGCCCATTCGTTGCCTGGAATATTGCCGGATACCGCTGGAGCGCCTCGTTAACCATTTACTCGCAGACGAACTTCGCCGCGTTGCACCCGCTCCCCCAAACCTTTCCAATTCGCGAACGTCGTTTTCCGAGTGCTCAGCCTCCGTCGACAGTGCCACTGGAGGAAATGAATTAGGAGCGAACGTGGTGTCGTTGAGCGATAGCAATGCCCTTGGCAAGATCCATCCAAATCTGCAGCGCGCGAGGTTGCCCTTCGAAGCTCGGGAGATATGGCAAACTATTCAATGGCCAGGCCTTGTGGATGATATGAGTTACGTTATCTTGAAGGTATGCCCACTGCTCAGCGGAGAAGCCCAATTGTTCTTCTGCTGATGTCAGAGCTATGTTTTTCGTCTCCAGTGCTTCGGAGCCAGCTATATACTGGTAAGCATACTTCTCTACTATACGCAATCTCGTCTCATCCCCTCTAGATATCGCCGAGCAAGGGTGCTCCCGCAGTGGCCAAAATCACACGCTGGATGCCGACCTCATCGGAGTCGCCATCTGTCCAATCGACATGTCCGTATCCCGCTGCCTGGAGGTCGTCTTTCCACCGGCGCTCACTTGTGATCGCATGGGTTCGTCCGTCATTGAAAACCCACCAGCCACGGAATAAGCCGAAAACCAGGTCTATCGCAAAGACTGGCCTGGTCATTTCGAGCATCATTAATACACCGTTCGATCGCAGGGCCTGGCGCATATTGCCAGTAGACACCCGCAGATTCGAAGTCGCATGTACCGCATTGCTTGCGATGACGATATGGTGTCTTCCCTGAAGGTCCTCGGATGGCCGTTTCTCGATATCATGCACACAGTACCGGACAAACGGGTAATCACGGAACTTGCGACGTGCCTGAGCCAAAAATGCCGGAGATATGTCGCTAAAGGTATATTCAACTCGCACTGGCAGCGCTGCCAGCACAGGCAACAACCACTTGGTGCCACCCCCTGTACCTGCCCCCATTTCCAGAATCTTCAGGGTTGTCTCTTTAGTGGCTGCGATAGGAGGAAACTTGTCGACCAATCGCCGGATAAACTCGCTCATCAATTTGTAGCCTGCTACATTGTGCGGCTCATCGCCATACACCCATGATACTAGCCGTTGTCCTTCCGGATTACCAAAGATAAGCTGCAATCCGTCCAGCTCCCCACGAAGGACTGCGGCTAGTTTACTGCCGGTGTAGAAAGTGAGCTTACAGGCGCCCGCATACTCCGGGTATCCGCATTCGATCTTTTTCAGCAGCACGTTACTTGAATCCATCGGACAGTTGGTCTCCGTGCGAACAATCGTTGAGCGGTCTAGCTTTACCAATCTCGCTTCTACTAGACGGTCGTATAAGTAATCAACTAACTGATCGTGCTGCGCATCAAACTTTATACGCGAGAGGCGGTCGCCCGCACGAGCAGCGCGGACGTTGCTCCCTAACGCCTCGAACGCTTCTAGTGTCAGCACTAAGCACAGGTTGACCAGGAGAGGCGTGAACTCTAGAAGCCGGCCACTGCAATTGTTATCCTCTAGGAACTGGTCGGTCAGTTTCTTTGTCTCGCGAAAGGAATGCAACACATCTTCCAATGGTAGATCCAAGTCTGTTGTATCAGGCATGCCCATAGTGTTTGTGAGCTCGGTGCCCTTGTCAATTTGGCTGCATGTGATACCACTGTACATGCTCAAGTCATCAGTCGTTTCCTCCACGACACTCCGAACTGCGTGGACAAGATCTTGAAATGTTTCTGCCTCAAGTAAAGCTTCCACGGCCAAGGTGCAATTGAGAGCAGCTTCCAGCTCACGGGCAAGCTCCATCGCCATCAACGAGTCAACACCAGCGTCGGCAAGATGGCTATCGTCCCGGATTTCACTGGGCTCGACAGCACAAAAATCGGCAACGACGGTTCTTACGCGACCGACTAAGTCCTTTGTCAGTCCTTCATTATTTTTAATAGGCTGTTCCTCGCTGCTCCCAGCTTGCGGCGTCGAGCCCCAAAGGAGGCGGATGAACAGGTTCTTCGCGATCCGCGAATACCGCAAGCCGAGAAAGACTTCTGCAAGATCCCCAGCAGGTGTGAATACGAAAACATCGCTTGTAAACAATCCCTCAGACTGCTGATGGCGCGTCCACACATGCCAAGTATCCGGCCTGGGGACCGCTGTATCCGCATATAACGGCGACCGCATCCACTGCTCCATTCCACTGGCAACGTAGATCTCATCTTCGCTTCTGTCCGTCATGCAGTTCACCCAAAACCCAGCACACTGGCTGAACGAGTCGCACAAAAAGGCATCCACCCATGTCTTTCCAGAGTAGGATTTTACGACTCGTCCAGCGCTTTCGTTCCCCTTCCCGACTAGTTTTTGCACTCCTTGGTACTGCTGGGAATACTCCACTATCTCTGCGAACAAACGATACACATTTCGACCTTGAAGAATCTCGTCAACTTCTACGTCCGCGAGAAGCTCAGCGCATCTAGCATGACTGACGAGCCTTGCGTACCGCGTGAACTCGGCCTGCAACCTCATATCGTTGACTGCATGCATCAAAATATGTGCTGCACAATGAAGAAGTTGAGGACCGGAAGGATTACCGCGGTCCAGGCTTAAGAACCTCAAGCCCCAGGATTCCTTATTGTTCTTGGAAGAGAGCTCAATCCACACATCGCGGCTTTGATCCAGTAGTAGTGGCGCATCACTGCCCACATCGTACACTTTTGGTATTTTCCCTTGGCCTTCGGGAAGAGACCTGAGTAACTCAACGCCATATTCGAGCAGCAAAGTTGCAGGCGCAATTGGCGCAGTTTTAGCGGCGATATGCCCGGAGACAGCTGCGATGTGTTCAGGATGGTCGGTATGGATGAGGTACTTTCTCACCTGCCTCGCAGTGTCTTCGTACCCGACAAAGGAGAATAAAGGAGTTTTCTTTTCAGCTATGCTCTTTGCTTGCTTCTGATCAGGTGGTGATGGCAGAGCTTTGTTTTCCATCCAATGGCGCGACTTTTCGAATTGGTATGGTGGCATCAGTACCGGAGAGTATTCTCGCGTTTGACGACCGCGGTATCCCCAAAACGTGCAAGGCAAACCCTCTCCCCAAAGCGCTATTGTGATATCTGTCAAATTACTTAACGCTGACGCGGATGTTATATTCATTGAGTGGAAAGTGCTGCCTGCTACGTTCGAGTCCAGCGCTCTTCGTGCTTGAGACGTGATCGTGGAGTTGGAGCCCGCCTCAAGCCAGATAGATGGACCATAACGGGCAGCGAGACGCTGAACAGCATTTCCGAAATAAACAGGCTGACGAAGATGGTCCGCTACCATGGTCGGTGACAGACTCTCTTCTTGTTGATTTTCGGTCGCACGTTCAATTGGAATACTAGCCGAATTCGCGGACAAGCCGTCCATGACAGATGACAGAGCAGGAAGCAATGGATCCACTAAGCTGGAATGGAAAGCATTTGTGACATCGAGACGTTTGATCCTGAGTGTCGAATCATTTTCCAATTCTCTTTGAAGGGCATCAGCAGCTGAGGTAGACCCTGCGACGGTAAAACTCCGAGGGCTGTTAAAACAGGCTATACTTGCAGTGGAGTTTTCGAGATATTTCCGCAAGCTGGATTGTTCTCCTTCTACTGCAAGCATACCTCCAGGGTCGGCACCCCAATTGTCACGGATTATGGCAGCCCGGCGTACAATAAGAGCTAATGCGTCTGGTAAAGACAGCACGCCGGAGACACACAGCGCCGTCAGTTCGCCGAAGCTGTGACCGATGACCGCTGTGACTTCCACCCCAGAATCGATCCAGCTGCGAGCACAAGCATACTGCAGTGCGAATAGCTGAGCGTGCAACTGCACTGTATCGCAGATGGGTGAGGTCAAGAATATACCGGGGTAGATTCTCGGCTGTCCGGTGGCTTTGAGAATGTTGTCACAGGAATCAAGATGATGTCTGAACGATGCAAAAGCATCATAAACTGTGCGGTTGACCCCAACGCTTCTTCCCACCTGCCCACCAAAACATAGTATTACCGGTCGCTTAGGCTTCTTCACTTGCACCAGATACTTATCATTTCCTCTCGCCAACCCGGCCAGGATGTCCTCTAGCTCCGACTTCGATTGCGCTTGGAAGGTGCAGTGGTACTCCAGGCCCGGATTTGATTTGCGCGTGATGTTGAACGCAATATCAGACAAAGACATCCTTTCTAGACGAGAGAGAAAGCCTCGCAGACGATCCGCATATGCCTGCAGACAGGATTTGTCCAAGCCACACAGTCGAAATGGCAGGGCAACGTTCTCTGCATGAATACCTCCTTTCGCGACACCGATTTCACATGGACCCTGCGTAATGACCATTGACGCGTTTGACCCACAAGCGCCGTAGTTGTTGATCAACGCTGCACGGAATCCAACCTCCCAAGGCCTCATGCAGGTGCCTATCTCAATGTGGTCATCTAGCATAGCCTCAATATGCGGGTTTAGAAAGTTGAACCCTGGTTGGGGAGGAATCTGCCTGTTCTGGATCATTAAGACAACCTTGCACAGCGCTATCATCCCCGATACGCCTTCAGTATGCCCAACGAGCCCTTTTACCGAGCCCAATGAAAGCTTCGCTGCTCGCCTCGGTCCGCCGAGAACATCACGCACGCTTCGATATTCCGCTGGATCTCCAGCTTGAGTACCGGTGCCATGAGCCTCGACGACACTGATGTCTCTCGGATGGAGACGTGCACGTTGCGTTACCTTCTCAAAAAGCCCCGCCAGCGAGCTTCTATCCGGTACAACAATGGGTGTATTGTTGCTATTCTGCTCCACTGCTGTGCCAGCAATAGTAGCAAGAACCTGGTCTCCGTGTGCGATTGCGTCCGATAACTTCTTGATAAAGATCGCTGCAAAACCTTCACCGCGACAATAGCCGTCGGCTTTCGCATCGAATGGCTTACATGGTCCCGTAGGGGAAAGGAATGAAGCCCCTGCGAGATTGTCATATGCTAGCGGACTGGTGATAATATTTGCACCACCGACCAGGGCCGCTGTGCAGTCGCCGCTCAAGATTGCTCGACACGCATGATGCAACGCGACGGCGGACCCAGAGCATGCAGTATCAACGCAAACGGAAGGCCCACGCCACCCGAAATGATGCGAGAGCTTGCCGGCTAGAAAGCTCCGCAAAAGTCCGGTCGCTGCATACGCAGACGCAGGGTGGCAGTTGATGTTATGCTCATAGTCGACGGTACAGGAGGCGATATAGCACCCTATATCCTTACCTGAAGGCGGATGAGAGAAGTAGCCGGCCGACTCCAGCGATTGATAGGCAACTTGTAGGAGGAGTCGTTGTTGAGGATCTTGCGACATCGCCTCGCGCGGCGATTTCTTAAAGAACTTGTGGTCAAATGCATCGATATCGCGAACGAAGTTGCCAAACCAGGCCCGTTGACTCGCCTCTGGCCGCCAAGGTGTCTCGTAATTTGCATATCGTTCTCGAGGCATTTCGCGATGCTGCGACTGACCGGAGCACAGGAGGTCCCAGAACTCTGGTAGATCGTCAGCGCCTGCTACGCGACAAGCCATCCCGACTATAGCGATGTCGGTTTCAGCCGGTCGCCGTGTTGCTAGCTCATGGTCGCGGCTTATAGTGGCGGGAAGCTCTGTATCAGCGAAGTGGACAACCCGCTGGGAGAGACGGCGGAAGTGAGCGGGAGGAATGCATCGCTCTGGCCCGAACTCAATGACTATGGAGCTCGGTGTGGTGAGGTGATCTTGGTACACGGCGGAAAACGTTTTGTGCCACTGACACTGCTGACTGAGGACAGCGCGGAGCACTACTTGATGAAGAGGGCCAGAACAGACCGTCGTTCCGGTGGCGTTTGCTCGGGGAGGATGAAGAAGCTCCGATGCATCAGGGAGCTGGAGACTGGGCTGGTCATTACAGAGAGCAAACAACGGAGCAAGGATCTCTTCGTGGCCTGGCCAGTGGTAACGGCCATTAAACTCGACCGCGTTTGCAGAGAAACCAGCAGACTGGAGAGTCTGTTGCAGGCCAGCTACACTCCGCCGAGGCGTCATGATGGTCGCGCGATTCTCGTCATACTGGACAGTTATATACGACTGGCTGTTTAGTCTTCATTCGATCACGGGAGCAGACGACATACATACGCCCGGGTATTGATGCAGCAAAATATCCACCTCTCCCTTCAACTCTGGCTCTTTCCATGCGATTGCCAGAGAAGTATGCTTCTCCTGGGCTTCCTGCACATCCCCCAGTGCCCCCAGGAACATGGCTAAGCGCATCGCGACAGAACCATACTTCTTCAAATCGCCCGTCCTTGTCGCAGAGACCACAACACTACTGAGAAGGCCGATACAAAATCCCACAATCTCAACTACAGCGCTTCTCTCATCGTCCACCTTCCTCCACTGTGCGTACTGCACAAAATGCGTCATCATTAGTAACGGCGCAAGTTGCGTATAACACAGAGGAAACCTCGCTGTCGACAGATCATTGCATCGGAACCATCGTTCCAGCTCTCGAAGGTCGTTTTCTCCGTCTATCGTCCTCAGCGAGGGGAGGTATGCATCTTCCGCTGCAGCGCGGTAGTAGCCCGGCAGTTCGCCTAGGACGTCAAGCATCCAGTGATGTTCAGGGTCGTCGAGGACAGTGGCTCGGAGTTGGCGAAAGTCGCTTGCGGTAAAGGTAAGCCATTGGCAGCCAAACAGGAGGACGACATTGCGCTCCTTTTCTGGGAGACATTTGCCGTTGCTCATTGCGGTGCTGGAATCATTGACATTCTGTTTCGATGAGATGGTAGGAGGGCCCTGGCTTGCTTCTGGTGTTGCCATTGGGACATGTCACCAACAGATGTGTTATCGCGTGGGCTTCATGCGACAGCCGCATTGACTACTCATATATTATTCCCGTTGCATTTCTCACTTGTTTGCTTCAAGGGCGCCCCAACGCTGATCAGGCCGTGAGAGATATGCGCAAGAGATTGCACTGTGCGCCCCACGACTCGACATGAGACGGTGAAACCTCAACTGCTTCTTCTTAGAACCATGGTAGGGCAAAGAGTTGTTTTCTAACGGCGGACAAGCATCACGAAATTGAGGTTATGATTGCTTTTTTCGCCCACGTCAGGCTCTCAACGTTTTCCCGCTCACGATATCCTTGCTGTACACCCGGAGTTTTCGTCGCGCCATGCGGTATGCGCGTTGAGGTCGCTCTACCAGGATATATGTTCCACAGTCCACTACACCCACTTGGACACTTGAGGTCACCAGGTTAGTGCCATGCATGAAGCCATATATGGCAACAGAAACCGGAGTAGATTATGAAAATGCTCCCGAAATATAGTCCGCACTCCCGATTTTGCCTTTGTCCTTCTGGCGTAATTGGTCGCTGTTCGGAGTATTCGTGCAATGCTTGGCTAACTCTGGACAGACAAGAATTGTTGAAATAGGGGTTGTAAGGTGAGTGGCGTTCTAACGCATATATAAGAAGATTACCAGTAGTATTATTGGTTGCAACGACCAAGAATCTTTGACTATATCTCTGAGATGCTATCCTGCTTACTCCGCCCAACCCAACCGGTGCCGAAATAACCCCATGCAAACCAATGTGACGCCGTTACGATATTAATGCTATATTTGAGGGACTGCGGATACCGAGACCCGCGGGCTATGTGGTGCATTCTTGACCCTGTCAAGATCCTGAAGACAGGCCAGTACCTCCTGCAGCATGCCGTCGAAGCCTGCGTCAAGGTAGCTGTGTCCGGCAAAGAACTCGGTACACATCATCAAGGGAATCGGTGTCAACGGATGAACCTGACATGTCAGCTACATCCGTCGTCGAGTGAAAGGGTCAAAGTACCTTGAAGTATCCAAGCTGCCCCTGCAGCTTGACGAGGCTCACCACCTCATGTGCAGCCATCACGCAAAGTCGCTCATACTCGATTATCCCCAAGAGGTGATCTCCCGTCTTCCATGTGATCGACTCGAGGACACTATGCAGAAAGAGCACCATTGTCTGAGCGACGATGCGAGCGAACATCAACATAGGGTCTACGTGTGGTGATGTCGACAGCATCTGGATTCGAGCGTTCAGCATCTCGTGCAACCATTGATGCCGACTCCAGAACCCTTCGAGCACAGAGACATCGCCGCTTATGCTCAACTGCTCTACCGCAACCTTTTGTCTATGTGCGAGAGCCCGGCCGCATATTGTCGCGAGAACGATACACTCGCTGAAGGAAGATATTGGCTGAACGCGGTCGGTGCTGGCCCTCGTCATCACTTCGGGGAGGTATGGCGTTACAACGGGATGGCCAGCTTGGAATTCTTCTTCCGGACCGGGAAGACGGGTTGCGATCTACAGAGTCAGCTGGGCATTGTTGCACATATTAGAGCGACGTACTAATTGTTCATTCAGTGTGAATGGCAAGCCGTTGTGGAAGCTGATGAAGCGATCTAACGAGTAGGCCATCCAGAACGTCCTCCGTCGCTCTTCCAGTCCAGTCCAGTCGAGCAGACTTGTCTCTTGGTCCTTGGCCACCATCACGGGGTTATTCGGGTCGTCCAGTTCGTATAATCGCATTCCCAGCACAAGCCGACAGCAGCGACCTGCGCTCATCCATGCTTGTAGTGGCGAGAGCTGCATATATTCATAGACGCAGATCAAGACCCAGGCCTGCGCGTGCTCTATCCCCGCACTCGAGTCCGGCCTTGGGTTTGGGTTTTGGGTGTCTAGCGCATCGAGCATCCGTCTCGTTTCTTGATATAGGGGATCGCGAAGGGACCGGAATTGGGCCGAAAGAGAAGCTGCGACCGTCCACATTGCGTACTGCAGACAAGCCTGGCCATCGCTCTTCTGTTGCTGTTTCGACCAGATGTGGTATCGCCATCGTTGGAGGATCGGAGCGAACGGATGAACGCGATCGAAGTAAAGTTGGTCACTGCTCATCAGCTTCGATCGACGCGGCGTGCTGCAAGACAAGACTTACAGATCAGCTCTCATCAGCTCAGTGACGAGTTCCGACCGCGGCAATTCGGGCGATCGCGATTTCGTGCCTACGCGCCCTTTGGGTGACTCGGACTCGGTGCCGTTTCTCGATCGATTCGGACCACGGTTCGAGTCTTCAGAGTCGTATTCGAGCTCTGCACCTTCCAGCAGGGCATGCATTTGGCGGTCGATCTCGGGGTGGCGGTCGGCCAGACAGCGCTCGAGGGCGGCTACTCGCTCAGCTAAAGTCTTTGATGATTTCACATTCAGCAACCTACCGATGCGAGTTCGCAGGGTCCGCAGCTGGCCCTTCCGTGGCCCTCGAGGAAGTCGCGTCGTACTGATCTTGCAGTCCAGCCCACCTTCATAGCACACCTGGCACTGCGGGCGCTGTCGGTCACAGCGGACCTTGCGTCGACGACACTCCTCACATGCGGACCCCGGTCGCTGCCGCGAGGTGACAACGAGGGACGAGGGCGGGGAGAGAGTCTCGGTCTTCATTTTGGGATTGAACATCTGAGCGAGCGGTCTTGTTTGCAACTGCAGAATGCAGATGCGAGGATCCGGCTGCCTGCAGAGACTTATAGAGGCCCGGGATCGTGGGTGCAACCTGTGCAGGCGCTTGTTGGAATTGAAATCGAGAAATTGGTAATGGCACCACGCAACGCACGATCAGATGGGGACTCTGCACCTGCAATAATGGATCTTTTCTTTTTTTTCTCTCTTTCTCGCTGGCGAATCCTCCAGAGAGAAGCCAGGGCAGCTGGAGCAAGGCAGAAACACGGACTATCGTGCTAAGCTCTTTGGAGGATGCACTTTCCTTAGAGAACCCGCCAATCCCAGTATGCGATCATTCTGCAGCGCGTGCATGAAAAGAGGCGAACGAACTGACCTGGAGCACTGAGGGCAGCAATGACATTGGAGCGAGCGTGTAGCCGATCGGAGAGGCCTCGATGTGATAGTGGTGCTTGGGCTGCAGGGTGCAGCTGGTGGCGGCCAACACCAGTAGCCTGTCCGTCGAACGGGTTCCTGCCGGGTTGGGGATGCAGGCATCGGCGGCAGTAGAGGGCCAGCAGTGGCTCCAGTGCAGCGGAACAGCTGGGATGCTGGATTCTAGCATGGACCCGGCTCATGTCGGTGAGCGGAGCCCTTAAGATCTCAACTGCATCGGGAGTGCAGGACACCTCTTAATTGACTGGGAGTGCCACCCCGCGAGAGAACGCAATCCCAGGCTCCTCAATCGCTAAACATCGCGTTTGATAGATCAACTGCACCCTCAGTTTTCCAAGGCAGAGGCAGACGCAGCGCTCAGAGCGCTCGGGGGTCGGTGAGCGCTCAGCCAGCCACCGTCACAGTGGATCTCCCTCGCTACGGGGATCGCCCGCTACGGGCCTGGCAATCTTCTGCAGACCAGACACTAACGAACTCGTCGGGTCGAGGCTGAATCATGGATTGTTTGATGTTCCGCCTGCCACTGTCTGTTGACCCGGAAGCACGGTTCAAGTACGTTCAACAGATCTCAAATCCTGATTTAATCCCTGACATTCCACCAGCATACTATCAAACTGTTTGTCGTTTCTGCGAGTGTGCTCCCAAATACGGATGTCTAGCGTTCAAGGACCCAGATTAGACGTGACCTCAGATCGACAGTCCAAGCTCAAACTTCATGTGTTGTGCCAAATTGTGCCAGAGAGGGTCAGAACAGGTCGCTGGAGAGCCGACCGATGGCCATGCGACGCTGCCGGTCGGATCTCGGGCTCTTCTCACTGCGAATGGTTGAATGTCATTGTCATGGAGTATATTTCCGGTGCTCAGACACAGAGTGTTAGGTGCTGACAATCACATCACTTGCAGCTCTCAGACCCGGTGCTCGGCCGATACTGTAGCTCGACTAGCCTCGAGGTCACCGATCCAGCATCCTGGTGACGACTCACGAGTGACTCGTGAGCATGCTTTGTTTTTCTGCTGAAATTCGTGCCTTGGTGGGCATGACTGCCTGCAGCAGCATACTAGTGGCAGTAGTAGGGCCACAGTGGCCACTAATGGCTGATCAGCACGCCACGCCCCAATCGGTGCAGATGGGTTACTCGAGCTTACACTACAGTGACTACACAGCGACACTCGTGGCATGTTTCTGTTTCACATTCTCGTGGTGGTGCTCGTGTATCTGGTGGTTTTCGTGCAGACCGCTAGTTATATCAGACACCAGACCTTTGCGTCATGTAGATCATAGCAGCACATCATGTCCTTCCAAGACGTCCTCGGGCAGCTCCCTCTGCTGAAGAGCTACACGCACATTCTCCTCGTCTTCTCCGTCGCCAACTCCCAACACGAGTCAGTCCTCGAGTCTTTACAATGCGCGACGAAGCGCCTCCTATCAGCATTCCCCTTCCTCGCTGGGGTCGTAGTCCATAAGGACATCCACCCCGGCCGCTCCGGCACATTCAGCGTCGACTTGCCTAACGGGGCCGGACAAGTGACCCAAGCTTTGCATATCAAAGACCTCTCCTCCATCCTCCCGGACTATGTCACTCTCCATGCCGCCAAAGCACCCCCCGCCATGCTCACGGGGGCCCTAGTCGCACCACCCCGCCCTGCGTTTCCGCGCGTCTATACCGAGTCCACTGCACCGGTTCTGGAAATCCAGGCATCGCTGATCAATGGTGGGATGCTCCTTACCCTAGCAGCTCAACACAACATCATCGACGCAACGGGGATCTTCTACATCGCCCATGTGCTAGCGAAGTTCATGGATGACCCGGACACTGTCCTTCCAGAACCAGAGGTGAAGATGGGAAATATCAAAAGGAAGAACCTCATCCCACTCCTCCCAAACTACCAGCCATTGCCGAAAGAAATGGACGTCTTTACACAGAACCGCCCGACACAGCTAAGCAGAGAGATATTGTCCGAATACAAATGGACGCTCGTGCACTTTTCCAGCGAGGCCCTAAAGGCCATCCACGACGAGGCATCGTCTACCCCATCGGATTTCGTTCACGGGGTCTCCAGCGTCTCGGTGAACGATGCGCTGACGGCATGGGTCTGGCGGCGCCTTTCTCTCGTCCGAGCTGCGCACAGGAAGAATAAAGGAGAGGAAGTCGACGGAGAAACAACACAACTCACTCGCGCCGCGGACCTCCGCCGCGCCATGGCCCTCAACCCGGGACACGCATACATGGGCCACATGGTACGGACCAGCAACACGCGTCTACCACTCTCAACACTAATATCACCAAATACATCCCTCTCATACCTTGCATCTCTCCTCCGCAAAAGCCTAAAAGAACACACCACGCCGTCCTCAATCTCCGCATACGCAACGCTCATCCAGCGGACGGCCGATAAATCCGCTATCCTGTATGGCGCCGGGTTCAATCCGCTCACGGATCTCAGCGTCAGCTCGCTTGCGCATGTGGACGTGCCGAGCTTTGGGAGGCTGGGCAGGCCGGCGTTTGTGAGACGGCCGACGTTTGGGGCGTTGCCTGGGGGGATGTACCTGGGTCCTTGTATTACGGATGGGGGTGGGGATGGGGGGCTGGATGCGGTTGTTTGTTTGAGGGGGTGGGAGGTGGATGGGCTTAATGGGGATGAGGAGTGGAGGGGACGGGTGGTTGTTCTTGGGGAGTAAGGGATTTAGCTCGGTAGCTAGTGATGTGCTGATGATGATATGACTTATGACCGGTCTACTTGTGCTTGTTTTATTCGTAACGGGTTGGTTGTAGGCGTGGAACAGCGGATCATGAGGTTTTTTTACTGTCGAAAGTCCGCATACTTATGATTTTACGGCATCGACGACTATGCTTGGCCTGGTCAGCAGTATGTATTGGGTATATTTCCATTCCGAAGTGCGAGGTGTCTGGGTCGAGTGTGATATATATTTTCCACCCCCCACGCAGTCGCAATCATAACCAAACCCTAACTAACCACCAATCCATCGCATACTTCAAAGCAAGACTACTTCTCCTTAACGGCCTGCCCTGTCGTCAACGCCCGATTCAGATCATACTTCTTCACCCACAGACTAAGCACCAGGCCAACCCCTGCCACGCCCGCCAAAAACGCCCAGATGATGCGCAAACTATCGCTATACGCCCTCTTCAGATTCTCCTTCCCAACCTCCCCCTCTTCCCCAACAGGCTGCATCCCCTGTATAACCGTCACCAGCGCCGCCGCATCCCGACTATACGCCTCCGCCATATCCGCCCACTCAGGATACTTCCGCAGTTCAAGGCGCATCCGATTCTGGAAGATCACCCCCCCAACCGCAATCCCAACGGCCTGCCCGAACGCCCGAAAGAAAACAACCATCGCCACGGCAACAGTGAGGTTCCGATTCGTCGCGGACGCCTGCACAGTACACACAATCGCGGCCGTGAGGAATCCGAGTCCTAACCCGGAGGGAATATTCAGGAAGATCCACGCGACCGTGCTAGTGTGCTGATCCAGCAGCGTCAACAGCGCAAGACCAACAATCGACAGCGCCCAGCCAACCCACAGACCCCAGCGATACCGCCCCGTCATCGTCACCAGCACGCCGCAGATAATCGCGCTGGGTGCAACGGTGAAGGTCTGCGGGAAGAGCGCGACGCCCGTGAGGATCGGCCCGAACTCCCGCACGGCTTGGTAGTAGAGAGGCAGGTAGTACAGCGCGCCCCAGAGGATCAGGCCCTGTAGGGAGGACGTAATGAAGGCGATGACTGCGCTGCGGTTCGTGAAGACGGAGTGCGGGATCATTGGATTCGTAGCCTTGATGCTGTAGGCTGTGAAGAGTAAGAGGCCGCCGGTGCCCAGGACCAGCGGGACCAGCGTGCGCCATGAGGACCAGGGGTACATGACGCCGCCCCAGGTGAGGGGGATTAAGAAAGAAGACAGCGAGGAGACGAAGAGCGTTGTGCCGATGTAGTCGACGCGTTTTAGCTTCTGGGCCAGCGTGCCGGGGGGCTGTTCGAGGCGGAAGAAGAGGAGGATTAGGAGGGTCGAGAGGCCGATGAAGGGGAAGTTGATGTAGAAGATCCATTTCTGCGTTGCGTGTTTATATTATAAGTATAAGCCCGAGCTTTGTAGATATATAGCCTGGCGTGACTGCTTTGCACAGGTACAGGGACGGGCTGGGGGAACATACCCAGGTCACATTCTCCGAGAACCCGCCCCCCAATATCGGACCCAGCACACTGCCCAGACTATACATGGCCGAGAGAACGCCGTAGTAGTTCCCCCTGAGCCGGAGGGGGACCAGGTCCGTCACGACGACTTCAGCGAGGACCGCGATCCCGCCGCCCCCGACGCCTTGTATGCATCGGCCCACGAGGATCTGCGTGAAGCCCGCCGCAAGGCCTGCTACCAGCGAGCCGACGAAGAAGAATACCAGGCAGACTAGGATCACCGGTCGTCGGCCAAAGATATCGCTCAGCGTTGCAGTTGTCGGCTGGAAGACCGTCGAGCACAGCAGGAACGAGGTCCCGCTCCAGAAGGCCTGCATTGCCGTGCCGTGGAGGGTCGATGCCATTTCCTACGCGTACCATATCTGTCAGTAGACCAGACTCTCTGTGTTTGTATGCAATAGGGATTAAGCTGCACACCGGCAACGCAACCGAAATACTCGTCCCGTCCAGCGAAACCATCAGCGTGAGCACCGCCAGCGCGCAGAAGATCAGCCGGCCTGTGACGGTGAGCCTGAAGCTCGCGTAGTCCGGGGCCGGCTCTTCGTCTGTGGACTGGGTCTCGACATCTTTGTCTTCGTCTTGCGCTTGCGCTGGCACTGGCACTGTAGGCTTGGCGTTGGCTTCTTCTATGCCTTGGCTGTTTACGACGGATGGATGGGTTTCAAGAGATGGTGCGTGACCATGAGCGTGAGGCTGGCGCTCCGTCTTCCTAAGCGCTGTGATAAAGGCCTCTCTTGTTGAGAGGGCGGGCGCTTCGGCGATGGCGGCTATGCTGGTGTCTGCCATGTTATGCGTCCGTCGGCTGGTTTGCTGGATTGGAATATGCAATATGCACGGGGAAGCAAGGGAGGATACCGTACGCGGGTGGAGAAAGGCCTCGATGGAGATGGTCAGAGAGTTAACCCAGGCCTAGGCCGTACGACGCCGGATGATCAAACGGTCTCGGGATTCGCAATGCGCTGTAGGACACGAGCTGAGTACGTTATGCAGAGCTAGGAGTCGCCCGGTGTGTCATTGTGGCTCTGTAACGCGGCAAGACACACATACCCCCGGCAGCCGCACTGGCACTGAAACAGTGTGTAGGGCAGATACAGACCTGGATGGACTATTCCGGCGTCACTCAGGCACACGTACGGAGACAAGAGACAGACACGAACACAGGCATAGCACAGACCAGAAGGTACAAAAGACACAAAGCGGCCGGTGGCACGGTCGGAGAGCACCAAGCCCACATCACCACTGACTCAAACAAACCCAACAAGCCAGAATGCCCGAGGCTACGTCCACGATCAAGCCCATGCCCGACCCCTCCAACGCGGAATCCCTCTCCATCGCCATAATCGGCGCCGGCATAACCGGCACCGTGCTCGCACTAGGCCTCACAAACCGCCCGTTCCCCATCCCGGTTACAGTGCAAATCTACGAGCAAAGCTCCACTTTACATGCACCCGGCGCCGGAATCGCCTTCACAGCCAACGCACGCAAGTGCCTCTCGCTGATCAACAGCGCGCTGGAAGACTGTGTGACCCGCGTCGGGACCAGGAATGGCGAGGACCCAGAGCGCCCGAATGACTACATGCAGTTTGTGGACGGGTATACGTGGGACAGAACCAAGGGTGCTGGGATCAAAGTCGGACAGGATCTGGCGGGCAAGAAGGTGTATCGGTTGCATGCGGGGAGGAGGGGGTTTGAGGGGTGTCATCGGCAGGAGTTTCTGGAGGGGGTGTTGAAGGAGCTGCGGGGTGGGGTGGTTGTGCTGGGGAAGAGGGTGGAGAGTGTCCTCCCCGACCAGGACCAGGACCAGGACCAGGGTGGAAGTCGTGACGGAGGGAAGACGCAGCTCGTGTTCAGCGACGGGAGCAGAGCAGAGGCGGACGTCGGTACGTCAGCCCTAAGTTAGGGCTGCACCACCACCCCAAGCACAAGCACCACCTAACAAATGGATCGAAACAGTAATCGGCACCGACGGCCTGAAATCGCGCATCCGGCAACTCCTCTTCGGGCCCGCCAACCCGGCCTCCCACCCACACTACACGCACAAGATCGCCTACCGCGCCCTGATCCCCATGCCCCTCGCACTCTCGCGCCTGGGCGCGTCCCTCTCCCTAAACCAGCACATGTACGGCGGGCCGCACGCCCACGTCCTCACCTTCCCGGTCGCACAGCAGAGACTTTTGAACATCGTTGCGTTCGTGTCAGATAGCGCCTCGTGGCCGCTGTCGAAGAGCATGACGCAGGCGGCCAGTAGGGAGGAGATCGCAGCCGCGTTTGCCGGGTGGGGGCCGACGGTGCGCGCGATCATCGAGATGGTTGGGATGGTTGATGCGGAGTGGGTTGATAAGTGGGCGGTGTTTGATCACTTTGAGTACCCGGCTCCGGCGTATTTTGTGCAGGGAAGGGGGCTGCTTTGTGTTGCTGGGGACGCGGCGCATGCGAGCTCGCCGCATCATGGGGCTGGGGCGGGGATGGGGGTTGAGGATGCGCTGGCGCTTGTGACGGTGTTGGAGCGGGCTGTTGGGGATATTGCGAGTGGAAAGCGGGGGAAGGGGGATGCGCTGGGGGCGGCGCTGAGGGCGTACTCGGATGTTAGGTATGAGCGTAGCCAGTGGCTTGTGCGGAGTAGTCGTGAGGTATGTGCGACGTATGAGTGGGTGAATCCGGAGATTGGAGGGGACTTGGAGAGGGGGTTTGAGGATGTCAAGGCGAGGTCGCATAAGATTTGGAATTTCGATATTGAGGGCATGTTGGTGGAGTTGGAGAGGGCTTATGAGCGTTCTTAGGTGGATTTTATGCAATCAGTGAAGTACTTTCAATCATATCAAACAATCTCTAGTCACATCTGATCTTCGTCTCGAGAAGGTAAAGAAAGATCACCAATTAGACAAGATCTCCCCCAGAACCGGACTCTGCGTAAGCTCAAACGCCTCCTGGAAATACTCCCTGTCCAGCGAAAATGGCCTCGCCATCACATTCGGAATGTACTTGCCCACCAGCTGCTCCACGTCGATATTGTCGACCAAGAACCCCGGCCGCAAAAGGCACTGCCGGAATCGATCAACGGTACTGCGCAGGTGACTGGAATGAAATGGCACGTCAATGCCTTCTAGTGGAACAGTGGCCTTTCCGCGCTGGAGCTGAATCGGACTTGGAAGCGCCTTCGCTCCAGCAAGAAGTGAATTGATAACAGGTTGTAGTTCGTTCAGATCTTGGACTAGGCGGTCTCCGTCGGCCTCTGATATATGGTCGATCAACTTACCCAGAACGTACAAATTCGTAGACTGTAGTTGAGATCCTTAGCTGGGCCTTATCGAGACGGCGGCGGGACTTACTGTTCCAGAACAAACGTACTGCTCCCCCTCGATATTGAAATTCACAATCTCGAGCAGTTCTTGACTTTGCGTCGCAATCTGACTAACGAGGCAACCCAGCGTAGATTGGGTAAAGACTACAAGATTAGCTATGGGGATACGGCCTTGGGATGGAACCCTGGACATACACTTTCCAGCCCGCTTCGGGTTCACCGCAACCATGCCATAGGTGGTCGAGCCCTGATCGTCGCGCGCCACGGACGCCTGCATAACCGACCCTCGGTAGAACGCCAGCTCCACGAGAGCTCCTGTAGGAATGGTCCGAGACAAGGCAGATAAGGCTCCAAATTCTCCGAGGGAGTGCCCTGCATACATGGCCCCCTGTGACACGTAGCCTTTGACGCGCAGTTCGGCGAACGCGGCCGCCTCGAATAACAGGATCGCTGGTTGGGCAAACTGCGTCGAGTACAGAAGGCCCCTTGGATGTCTAAATGTGTATGATGTTGAGGTTGACGTGAGGCCAGCTAGCACTGACTTTTGGACTCGTTGTCCATCCGAAAGCACGACTTCTGTGGTGATGTCGAGATATTTCTGGCGGATACTGCGACCCTTTCGACCTCCGAAATGGATGGTGAGAGACTTTGGATTGTTTCGCACAATGTCCAAAACAGACCATCCTTCATCGTCAGCGAGCGTCCACGGGGCAGATTGGGTCATACCGTAAGCATCATAGAGCCGCTGGTCAATGTCGTCCCATACAGCCCGTGCAACTGGACTTGACTCATACAAATCCATGCCCATACCTTTGCTCTGGCTACCTTGTCCTGTGAACAGATATGCCGTCCTCGGCTGCTCTACCTCAGCATCGGCCTCGAGCACACGTTCGTTGGATTCTTTCCGGTTGACCAGAATACCGAAACACATCCGGCCCTCAATCATGCCGGTGTGCTCGATCTTCACGATCAGTTTCTCGCTGGGCATCACCATGTCGACAAACCTGACATCAAACCGATGAAGTCTATCGCGGTCGCCTTCAAGCCCTAAATGCTCCAGTACTCTCTCAGCGATGGCTGAAGTCAACATTCCATGGCACAGCGTTCCCGGCAGTCCGGCTAAACTTGCAAATATCGGTGACGTATGGATTGGGTTGAAGTCCCTTGATAGCTTGGCGTAAGGCTCGTTGTTTGGAGGCATTTGAACTTTCATCGTTGATTTTCCGGTCCAGCCTGGACTGTCGAATACGGTTCGAGTCTCTGCCAGTTTGCCCCTGCGATCTAGAAAATCCAGCACAGGGTTTCCAGTGCAGGTGCCCTCGAACTCAACAACACCACAATCGTGCCGTTGGCCATTTGTTTCGGACATGACGTTTCCGCTAACATGCAGCTCCGAAAGGCCATCATGATATTTGGTCAGTGTTTCAAAAGTAAAGGTTAGACATTTCCCTACAAGTGGTATCGAAGAATTGCGCCGCTGGAACCACCCTCGATTCACGAGTATGGCCTCATCAAGCTCATTTGCGACATCATATGCCCACCTCTGCTCTTTCACTCTCCGAAAAGAAGTGATAGGCAAGTCGTCAGCACCACGGAAAAGAAATGTCGAAACAATGGTCATGACCGACACCCCAGAGCGAAAGATCTGTGCTTCAACGACTACGACAACACCCGCGTCATCTTCATACACAGCTTGAACCTGAGATTTGCTGCTCACAATATCCCCCAGCCGCAGACGTGCATCGGAAGAATACTCGAATGTGTTTGAATGGTGAACTAACCGGAGAAGATCACCTCCAATTTGACGTAAAGTTAACGGTCGAGATATAACATCCCAGGCAATGATAACCCCTGCGTTGATCGGAAGCACATCTGTATTTGACATCATTTGCCGGTCGTCACTAAAGACCGAGCCTGTAATTGCTAGGTGTTCGTCCAGAAAATTCTTTGTTAGGGTTATTTCTGGACCGTGGAACGTATCTTCGACTAGGTGATTGGCACCAAAAACACCTTCAAACCATAACCGGCGGTAGAATGACCTGATACAATCATTGCGCTCTTCCATAGCCTCTCGTAACCTGGTCGGATTCGTTCGATTAAATGTGTAGAACAGCTTCAACGGTTCCGACCCCTTTGGCGGCTCTATTGCAATTCGGATGACAATTCCATCATAGCAAATAGCCCTCATTGTGGATGAGGTGCGGCACGGATCCTGCACTATGATTACCAACTCCGACGTAGCTGGATTGTAGCTCAGCACGGTGACAGACGTAGCATCTGTAAGCCAGCAGAAAGGGTTGACTTGACGCTTGTTACCCTGCAAAACAAAATCATCCTCGAGTAGGGCGCGCACCCAAGGTGGAAGGGTTAGTCTCGGTGAAATATCAACGCCGCCTGACGAGAGTGAGAGGTCATCTACGATGTCCGACAACGAAGTGATCGAGGTACGCGACGTTCCCTCGGTAGAGTCCCTTTCATCCGATGATAATGTTGACCACGAGGCCGGCGTGATGAAATCACTTTCCGGTTTGGAGAGGAGCGCTTCCGGCGTAAGGCCTTCGCGTAAGCGGACAGCAACTCCAGCACTTATGCAATCCAGGATGTACCCCACAGGTTCGCTTTCAACGTTTGAATAGCGCGCTGCCACGGGGCCATGCAATATGCATACCCTCTCCGGGTCTCGGCTTACCACTGCGTCAACATCTTCGGCTTGCCACAAAGAATCCTTTTTGAAATAGAACTCGAAGTCATCGTCAAGTGCCGGGATGAAATTCACTGGCTTTCGCCCTGGCAGCTTACATTGCATCAGGAAGAACGAGATGTCTTCAGGGTTCAAAAGATCTTCTTTGGCAGTCGGGCAGGCGTTGGCAAATGCCGCAAGGAACTGATCCGGGGCTTCTTGGAGTAGACTTGGAGTCAGATCCGCTGCTGATTCTGCAATGAATGGCAACCTTGACAGCCACCGCTGGGCCATGGTCATCGTAAAATCAGTGTACGACGAGTCGATCCAACGCTCTCCGAGAACGTACATCAACGACACTGTTCGCTTCAATACGTCAAAATACGTCATTTCTTCTAGATCAACAGCGTCGCCATTGGAGTTGCATCCAAACCATGGCTTTGCGAAATCTGCATTCAGTCTTCGTATGATTGAAAGCCGGTGTTTGGCCAAATATGTTAACCTGTCGCTGCGAGAAAGACTAAACATAGTTTTGTCCATCTCAGCCCAAAGACAGACCCCTCGGGTGGCAATCTTATGGATGGGCTCTCCCATCTCGGACGTGACGGTGATGACTCCGCCTGCTGGCCCATCATACGTCCTTTCCCACTCGCTATCAGAAACACCCGGGGTGGCAACGATGATTCTTCTAGCCGCAGGCGAAGTGTGAGCCTCCTTTGCTACCATCATACGACTGCCCAGTAGTATACCATCAAACGGCATCGCTGGGCGCCCCATTGCGGTAGACCAAGAGCCGCTTAGATAAGGATATACACTATCACTGTCACCGAAGCCGCTACCGGCAACGAGGTATATGTTGGAGTGCTGTCGGATTGTCCCGTAAGTAGCGAGGATCGGAGCATGGAAATCCTCAGACGAGTGATGACCGCCACCTCGCCCTCCTGTCCATTGTAGTATAACCGGAAACGTTGGATACTTTTGTGCAATCTCAATAACCTGCCGTATTGCGGGCACTGACCCTGGTTTGAAGCTGATATGACGCAGTCCTAGGGTCTCAATGTAATTGCTTGCAACGTCAAGCGAAGGAACGCCAGCACCTATTGTCAACCCTTCTATAGAAACTTTACTCTGCGACAAGCGCCGAATAAGATCGACTTGCCACGACAGTGACCGAGGGTTGGCGTATATCAGGTTACAAGTAATCCCTCGTCCTTCGGATATGCTGCGAGCAAGATCATAAATAGCAGTTTCCATAGCAGCTGGACTGTGATATCCTCCACCAGCAAGCTCTGCATGATAGCCAGCGTTGATGATAGCCGCCACGAAATCGGGATGCGCAGTTGTAGGAGTCATTCCAGCGACTATGATTGGTGGTGCTCCTAGTACTCGGTTCAGCCGTGTCTCCAGTTGAGTCTTGGTCCCAGACAATAGACGAGGTTGGAATTCTTTCTCCCAGCTCCGCAGCCTTGTCGAAGTCTTCAAAAGCTTCGGCGCGAACAGGTCTCGCATGGTTGCCATTTCTGAATCCCTCGGGTCGAGGTCACAAGCTTGGAGAACCCGGACGCCGCATCCTTCCCGCACATGTTTAATCAAAGGCGCGAGGCCGCCTCGATCAAAGATAAGAATGTGAGATGCCGGGTAGCTTGCCACTGCAGTTTTCCAATTGCACCGCTCAGTGGCGATGGCATCTATAGCAATACGTAGTGCACTCCCCCCCTGTTGTCGTAAGTCTAGGCCCGTACCAGTATGATAGACAGGAATCGCCAGTTGGCTTGTATGGATGGGGCAGTCAAAAAACCGTTCCTTCAAATGAGCCGCAGCTTGGGTGAGATACGGTGTATGAAACGGGGTGCTGACAGGAAGAAAGCTGTGCTGGGCACATGGCTTCCGCTCCCGGAATGGTGTTTGAGTCTGATCGGTGTCTTTACTAGCGATCTCGGCTATATAGTTATCCAGTCGAAGCAAAGGCGCGACCGGGCCAGCTATCACGAATTGATCGTACGCGTTGACCAGGGCTAGGTACAACTGCTTGCCCTCCAGTAGGCTAGCGTTGACGTGTTCCAGGATAGCCTCAACTTCCTCTCTCTCGAGACCGCGTATGCTCATCATGTACGACGGCGTGTTGGCTTCACCGACGCCGATGTAGTTTGCTGCAGGAACCATGCTGCAAGGCGCAGCTTGGTGGCACTCCCATCCAAGACAAAATAGAAGTTCTGTAACTGTTTCCACAAGTTGATAGAACGTATCCCATGAGTCCGAAGAGGCAATGACAATAGCTGGTAGCAGTCCCTGTGAATGGCCAGTGGTAGCTCGGAACATAGATCTCATCTCCCCCGGATTACATCCCGCAATGTAACAGGTAACACAATATCGAGCAAGGCTGAGTGTACCGATGAGCGGAACACTGACGGGAGCGGATGCAACAAAACCAATTTCGGGAACATTTGTGCTATCAGCAATCCAGGCCTCTAGGTCTAGAGGCTGATTTTTGTAGTATGACCTGAACTCGTCACGAGTGGAGAGGTCGTAAAGACAGGGGCCAACCACTCCAATGAATCGTCGCAGCATCGGTTTATACGAAGCGTACAGTTCTTGAAATTCTCGGACGCAGGTTCGACTTGACTCTCCCTGGCCTCCAAACACGGCCATTAGCTGGAACTCATTGGTTTTTGCATGTCGCAGAAGGGCGCTCAATGGGCTCCTCGCGGCATTGTTGTCGTTTGCTTCCACGAATCGGTAATAGATCCCCAGCCATTGCTGCCTTTCTTCGGATATGGGTGTGAGGTCTGCTATCAAGGAGTGTATTTCAGTCTCATCGCGGAGGAATTCCGATTCGAATGCTCGTCGAACCGTAGACAGGACCTCTGGCGAAACGGTTTGCTGAGTGACTAGGAAGTCCAAGAAGCTCAACGCCAGTTCGAGAGGGCTATGGGTCCCCTCCCGGGCGGAATAGGAGGCAAGGAAGGCATTTCGGTGTGGTTCAAGTAAATGAATATGAGAGCTGGGGACTGGGAGTCTCAAATCGAGATCCTTGTAAGAGAATGGAGACGATGAAGAAGGCGAGGCAGACGAACCGGAGACGGGCCGGAGCGTTGAAGGGCCGAGGTCACGGGAGCCAGGCGACTCCTCTTCCAGCGCCATGTCGACATGCTCTTGCTCTCCCACTCTTTCCCTCTCTCCAGACTGACTTTGAGCATGATAAGAGGAGCGATCGCCAGGTGCCAGTGTTTGGGCCGATCATGCTTACCAACGGTCCAGTACCACCTTCACATCCCAACCGGCTCCTTCCTGCAGCATATTCTCAGCACCACTCTATCAGGCTCTTTCTGGCCCGCTTGACATGTTTGTAAGGAGCCAGTATCCCTAGCCTCGTACGACAAGCTCATGATCACCGTCGCTATGAGAAGCCGCACTGACTACATGTTCCGGGGCCCCCGACCTCTGCCTAGACTTCCATCTACCCACTGTCATACCCCATCTGAAAAAAAGGTTTGGAGCCTTCGGAGATCTTTGGGGCTGTCCTACCCTGCACGACTTATATACTGCCGGGAAATACACCGGGAATCAGTTCATGGCGGAACTGACGCGTTATGAACGATGGGTGACGGCCATGCAGAAATGTCAGCCCGCTTGTCTAGAGTCCGCTTAGGTATTTATACGAAGGCATACTATGTGGGGCAGTTACTATCGCAATGGGAAAGCCTGCATATTGCACTTCCGAGTTCCTACCTGGCTTCCGCATGACGACCGGAATTCTGGGCAGCCCTGAGCGAGCGCAAAATGGCTATTCCCACGATCGTGGACATCGCCCCCACGATAGAACGAAGACCGGGGGAGAAAGAGCTAGGCTTGAAACTATTCATCGAACTGCTGTCGTGAGTTTTCCATTCCCTCGCACTCAGTACCGGGGTTTGATTCTCTAGGTATCAATTGGCGTCTCCAGTGCGATGGTGAGTATATTTTGCCCGCCTTCTGTTTCCTACTGATCCAGCAGGGTCGAAACCCAGCAACAGCTCTCTAGGGGCGAGTCAAGCATCCAAAGATTCGTAGAGATTGGACCTCGGACTATCCTTTCGACCATGGCAAAAAAGTCTGCTAATATCGAATCGAACTGTCATCCATCGATAAACTCGTCCAACCCCGAGTTTCTTTCCTACCATGACAATCGACCGGAAATCATGTACTATTACGAGCAGAACACAGGCGTTGATCCGGTTTCTCGGCCCATAGACACTTTGGTCAAGAATACTAGCTCTCCGAGTCTACCGAAGCGTCACCTCTCCCCACCAAAAGCCTTTCCCACGAGCGCCATTCCCAGTGCGGATCTCAGCCTACAGACTGGTCATGTCCTTCTCGCCATGACGGCGCAGAAGCTTGGTCGCCGATTTGATCAAGTCTCGCTTGAAAAAAGTATTCGCGATCTATCTGGTGGTATGCCACTACTTCCAATCGAGTCAACGCAAGGCTGATTGGACAGGGAAATCCACACTGCAGAACGAGTTGACCGGTGACCTAGTTGCGGAGTTTGGTCGAGTTCCAGAAGGCGTTGAAGACAAATCTCTGTCATCTCTAGCAGAAACATTCAACCCAGAGTTTAGTGGCGCGCCCGGAAAGGCGATGTCTGTTCTCATCTCGAGGCTTTTATCCAGCAAGATGCCAGCAGGATTCCATCAAAGTGATGTCCAAGATTACTTAAACAACCGCTGGGGGCTTACAAGATCCCACGCATACATACCACTATGCTTTGCAACCACGATGGAGCCTGCGGTGCGCCTCTCAAGTGCCGACGAAGCACGAGCTTACCTTGATAATCTGGTGCAGAAGTATGCCTCGTTTCAAGGCATATCTTTGTTACCGACAAGTCCAGCCTTCGAGACTCATGAATCTCCTGCTCGAGCCGTCTTGGATGTAGCTGAACTGAACGAATTCAAAAAGCGGAACTCTGAACTACACAGGTCATACTTTAACTCATTAGCGAAATATCTCGATATTGATTATCGTGATTCAGAAAGAACATTTGCAGGGTCAGAAGCCCGCATATCCGATCTAGAAAGTATAATTAATCTGTTGAACGCCGAACTAGATGAACAGTTCATCGAAGGCATTAAACCGATGTTCAGTCTCAAACAAGCTCGCGAGTATGACTCTTGGTGGAACTGGTCCCGCGAGGGACTAATCCGCCTTTTGCACGAGATTTGCAAAGGCCCTTCGAGTACCTGTCCTCCAAACATGGAAAGTCGCCTGCAGAGTCTCTTGAATAGATGGGACACTAGCTGTTCGGATATTGCATTCGCTCAACTAGCTGAACTACGTCTTTCTTTTGATGCCCATTCAAACGAACTTCAACCAATCCTCGAAGAGATTATTTCCTTGGGCACAGAGGCACTTTCAATTGACCCCATTTTCGTCCACAACCTTCCTCCGATGAGGCCTCAAACAGCCATAGCAGATACAGGCCACCTCGAATACCGGGAAATTCCACGGCATATTGAGCATTATTCTGAAATCATTGCGGGCGTCTCGCCATGCGCCAGCGATGCTACCGCATCCCCATTCATCCATATCAAGACTCGAAGCAACGGGGAAGATTGGAGGTTCGACCCGAAGGCTACTAGTCTGTATCACGCCATGCTCGATGTTGGTGTTACGACAGGCTTTACCTTTGCCAATAAAGCAGTCTTGGTTACGGGCGCCGGTCCCAGCTCCATTGCGGCGAGTGCGGTTCAAGGGCTCTTGAGCGGCGGTGCTCGTATTATTGTCACAACGAGCAGATCAATATCACAAAGCTCAGGGTTCTATCAAAATATGTATCGCCGATACGGTGCCAAGGGCTCATCTCTGACTGTTTTACCCTTCAACCAAGCTAGCAAGCAAGACTGCGAAAAACTTGTACAGCATATCTATGGTCCTAATTCCCCTACAATGGGTGACTTAGACTACGTCCTTCCATTCGCCGCCATTCCGCAAGCTGGGGAGCCGGACGCTCTGGGAGGTCGGCAAGAGCTTTCACTAAGAGCCATGCTCGTGAATATCCTGCGCCTTCTTGGCTTTATACGTCGAGAGAAAGAGCGTCTGCGCATTGAAACCAGGCCAACCATGGTCATTCTGCCAATGTCCTGCAACGAGGGGACGTTTGGTGGTGACGGGCTATACTCTGAATCCAAGATCGGGTTAAAGGGTCTCTTTAATCGGTTTTTCTCGGAGAGCTGGTCAAACTTCTTGACGGTATGCGGGGCAGTCATCGGGTGGACAAGAGGCACAGCGCTTATGCAGTCGTCAAACATTGTGGCGGAAGAGGTGGAAAAGCTGGGTGTCCTTACTTTTACCCAGCAAGAAATGGCTTTCAATATCCTCTCGTTGATGACGCCTGCGCTGACTGCTCTGGCCGAGGATGCACCGATATACGCCGATTTGACCGGTGGCCTTGGCTCGATGTGGAATGTCAAGAAGGACATAGCCGACGCTCGGAAACGGTTATCCCAGCAACAAGCTCTACAGACTGCCATAGCCGAGGACGATGCTCGTGAGCGAGCCTTGGGGTGCGCGACGAACGCAAAGGCCGAAGCAGTCGTCCGGAGTATCAGACGAGCCCGGCTGGGTCTTCCATTCCCGCCGCTTTCAGACATAGACGAAAGCTATCCCAACCTCAAGGGGATGGTCGATCTTACTCGCGTCCCAGTAATCGTAGGGTACTCGGAATTAGGCCCGTGGGGTAACGCTCGGACGCGGTGGGATATTGAGCACCAAGGGGAGTTCAGTCTAGAAGGCTATATCGAGATGGCCTGGATCATGGGTCTCATCAAGCACGTTGACGGCCAGGTAAAAGGTGAGCCTTATGTAGGCTGGGTGGACGCAGGCACCCAGACTCCGATTCAAGATGACCAAGTGCCGGAAAAGTACCATAAACACATTATGGCACATGCAGGACTGCGCCTAATCAAGCCCACCAAACTTGACAACTACGATCCATCTCGCAAAGAGCTTCTTCACGAGGTGGCGGTAGAAGAGGATCTGGCTCCTTTTGAGACTTCGAGGTTGACTGCTGAGGCTTTCAAGCTGCGCCACGGCGACTGCGTCACTCTACAGCTCATTCCAGACACGGATAACTGCCGGGTACATATTAGGAAAGGTGCAGTTTTGATGATCCCCAAGGCGGTTCCTTTCGATCAGGTCGTTGCAGGAAGGATACCCGAAGGCTGGGATCCTGCCCGGTACGGGATCCCTGAAGACATCATACAACAAGTGGACGTAACTACGCTATACGCGCTTTGCTGTGTCTCAGAAGCATTCCTGTCCGCAGGGATTAAGGATCCGTATGAGATGTACCAACACATCCACGTTTCCGAACTGGCGAATTGCCTAGGTTCTGGCGGCGGTCCAATGAAAGTCATTCAGAGCATGTACCGCGACCGCTTCCTGGACCGTCAGATGAGAGGAGATATCATCCTGGAACATTTCGTCAATACGATGGGTGCCTGGGTGAATATGCTTCTTCTGTCGGCTACCGGCCCTCTGAAGACACCCGTAGGCGCATGCGCTACAGCCATCGAGTCTCTAGACATTGGCTGCGAGGCCATACAAACAGGGAAATGCAAAGTCGCAGTCGTTGGAGGCTGCGATGACTACGGCGAGGAGCTGGCATTCGAGTTCGCTAATATCAAAGCCACAGCCAACAGCACTGAAGAACTATCGAAGGGCCGGACGCCGTCTGATATCTCTCGCCCAACGGCTAGCTCCCGTAGCGGATTCGCTGAATCGGCAGGATGTGGTGTACAAGTCTTGATGAGCGCGGCACTCGCGATAGAAATGGGCTTGCCTATCTATGGAGTTGTTGCCTACACTCATATGGCCAGCGATCAAATCGGCCGCTCTATTCCGGCACCGGGAAAGGGTATTCTGACAGCGGCTAGGGAGACCAGCCAGGCTCAACAGTCTCCTCTACTGGACCTGAGTTTCAGAAGAGCGGCTTTTGACGCAGAGGTTACGGAGATCCACAACCTCACCCACAAATCGGTCACAACCCCAGGGCAGGACCGATCAGGGATATGCAACACCGCGAGCCTCCGAATCAGTGACGCCAAAAACCGGTGGTCAAACAACATCCGCCTCTCAGACCCATCGATTTCTCCCATCAGAGCCAGTTTGGCAACGTGGGGGCTGACAATCGACGATATCAAAGTCGTCTCGATGCACGGGACATCAACCAAAGCCAACGAGGTCAACGAAGGAGACGTCATAAACACGCAAATGAGGCATCTCGGTCGTCGAAAAGGCAACCCACTACTCGCAGTCTGCCAGAAGTCGCTGACCGGGCATCCAAAAGCCGGCGCTGGTGCCTGGCAACTCAACGGCTGTCTGCAAATGATGCAGGAAAGGATTGTCCCTGGCAACCGCAACGCAGATAACATCGACAGCCAATTACGGCAGTTCGAGCACCTCGTTTACCCCATGGAATCTATGAGGGTGCCAGAGGTCAAAGCTACCCTGCTGACGTCGTTCGGCTTCGGGCAGAAAGGCGCTATTAATATCATGGTCTCGCCACGGTATCTCTTCGCTTCGCTCTCCAAGACGCAGTATGAAGATTACCGAACACGGACGACGACACGGCAGCGCTCAGCAACCCCCACGTTTGTCTCCCGGATGCTCAAGAATAATCTCGTGCAGGTCAAGACTCGCCCGCCGTGGAATGACCCCGACGCGATGCGGGATTTCTTCCTAGATCCCACCAGCCGCGTTGTTGATGGCCAGATATCGCATGCCTGTGAAAAATCCGATATACCGGAAGCTGGTTCCCCTTCCGCGTCGGTTGAAGGAACGTTGCACGCCATGATAGGGACGCTCAATCGCTCATCCCCAGCTTCCTCGGTTGGAGTCGACGTCGAAGAAATCGCCAATATCAACATCGATAACCCGGTCTTCATCAGTCGGAACTTCACACCCGCAGAGCGCGAGTACTGTCAAAATGCACCGGATCCCCGCGCCTCATTTACTGGCCGCTGGGCCGCCAAAGAGGCTGTCTTCAAGAGTATGCAGACCACATCTGCCGGTGCTGGGGCTGCGATGAATCAGATTGAGATTCTCAATGTGGAAGGCATTCCTAGCGTTGCTGTACGTACCCTCTTTCTCCCGGTTCACATTGCGCTGACGAGTTAGTTTCATGGACAAGCCCAAGTAGTGGCGATGGCGAAGGGAATCACTAACGTCGAAATTACGATCAGCCACTGTAACGACACGGCGATTGCGGTGGCACTAGCAGTTAGGAAAAGCGAATGATAGATTCTGGGTGCTCTGACTGTTAAGTAAATTATTAATGCATTGCATTTTGTGTTCTTGAATACAAATATCCAGCGCTCATTCCTCTAGCACCCTGGTAGCATAACAAGTAAAATCAATCAAACACCCACCCGGACAAGCACAAAACATGAGGCATACCATACAGAATCTTTACCCTTCCTTCCTCTGAGGCAGCGCCTATCATCGAGCATAGATGGTCAAATCGCCGAACCACTCATTCGAGTCACGCAGCGGCACACTCGTATAATGCTTTACCATATCCCTCACCCGCTGCGAATCCGGATCGGTCGTAAACGGCCTAGCATACTCATTCATTAGCCCAATGCACTCCAAGCACAAATGCATCATTCCAAAGGAAGAAAAAGAGATGGGGACAGGTGAACATACGTAATCCAAACCTCCTCTCCATCGCGCACCTTCTTCTCCCACTTGCTATCCCTCTCCTCCGCGCAAACCGTATTCCAAAGCATGGCCCCGGGCCACTGCACATCGGCGACGATCTGTTTAACGGGGACATTCGGGCTGACGCTGAACACGAGCGTTTCTTCGTCGATCGCAAGAAACCCCTTTGGATCGTCAAGGGGCTGGATCCCGATGCTCCGGAGCAGGGCCTGGTCGGTGTCGTTGTAGGCCGGGTCTTGCGCGTAGCATTTTATCTCCGTCTGCGTCCCCGTCTCCTCTCCGTCTCTCATAGCCGCAGCCATGGGATCCCTGTCCTGTCCCTGTCCGTTCCCATCCGCGCCGCCTTCCTCACCATTCGCCTCCCCCGTCTCCCCCAAACACATACCCTGATCCGCTTGCCGGAGCACCCCCACCATCGTCCCAACAGCCGCATGCTGCGCATGCGCCCTCCCAACAGTAAACTCATACTCGTCCCCACTCAACCCCAGCCCCAAGTGCGCACTCAAGCTGCCCAACCCAAAGCACACGATCTTGCGCACCCTGCTCAACTTGCCGCGCCCCACCAACTCCCCCAGAGCCCTCTTCAGATCCCCGCACGTCGAACTACACTCCCACTTCCTCACGCTCTCCGCGAACCTCTCGGCAACCTCCGCCCCGCTGAACCCATGCCCGGCCTCCGGGCTCGATGTGTAGCATATACTGACGGGCGAGGAGTCGCGCAGAAGCACCTCCGGAAAACTCGGGTGGATGCAGGTGAGGTTCTGAATGCTGCTGTAGCTGATGCGATAGGTTGACGCGAAGTCCGCGCACCAGGAGGGCACGCGGAGGCTGTAGGTGTGTGGGGAGCTGTCGAGGTCTGGGATTGTGACTTGTTTGGCGCTGTTTCCGGTCTCTTCGGTCTCGGTATCGGTGTTTGCTTCGCTGGCCTTCGTGGTGGCGTTGGCGTTCTCGATTTGCGCGTCTAGAGAGGCGAGGAGCGAGCGCGGGAAGAGCGGCTGTCCGGAGGCGTAGAGGTCGTTGATGTGTGCTAGTTTCTCGTGGATTTTGGCGAGGGTTTCTTTGTCTGTGTCCATGTCGACATCGACGTCGACGTCGGTTTCGGAGAGGTCGTGGTCGTCATGGTCGAGTGAGGAGGTGGAGAGGGAGAGGTCTGACGAGGGGGCCAGAGATGGATTGGGGGAAGGAAGGTCGTCGTGCATTGGTACAGTTGCTGTCAGGCTCATGGTGTGGTTGTGTTTGCGTGGTGGGGGGGGGTCTGAGTCGGGGTCCGCTGGGGGTGAGGGGGGTACTCTTTGACAGGCGAGAGAATCCATTTGACTTGACTGAGTGTCTATTTCTCTGGGAATGAACCAGGTTTATAAATAAAATCAGTCTGACCGTTGAGTCAATGTGATCTGTCTGCAGGTATATAAATCCCACGGACGTCCTCCCGCGTGGACAAATAAATACAATGGCCAAACTACCTAGTCTAGTCCTCAGGATCAAGCAAACGATCGAGCTTCGCTGGCCTGTTTCCCTGCAATAGCTTTTGCTTTTTATTTTAAATCCCTCTTGTTTGTCTTTTGATCCAGGCAGGGCTGGCAGTGCTTGTCCTGTCTGGCCTCACCGCTTGACGCAGACAGAGTCAGCAAGACGCAGCTCACAGCTCAGCATCTCCAATTCCAAGGCGAGAGGAGCGCTATAAGATACGATCCAACCTACTGGGATTGCACCGACAGATGATTGGCCCCCAAGAAATAATCGCCTGTCTTAAAAGGATGGAAAAGGAAATCGGCCGTGCGCTCAGCCCGCCCTGTCCCGCCCTGGCAGTTGGGTTCTCACACGTACATGAAGACAGGGGTGGTCTGGAACCAGCGCAGGAGCCTCGGCTGGCTGATTTGGGTTTAATTCCATGTAGGCAATTTGACTCGCATGTCGCGGAGATGGAATTCGATCCATAATCCCATTGTGCATGTCCCATCCATCGCCTTGTTCTGTTGGGCCGGAATACGCTCTCTAGTTCGTTTAGTCGCTTTAGTGCCAGACTAACGCACGGGCAAGCTCATGGGCATTGGAGGGTTTGGGGTTGTCTTTGCTGAATTGAACTCTATGCTCAGTCCCTGTCGGGGCTCTCCGATCTTTCCTTTTGGGGTATTGAGATCGTGGATGGTTCATATGACCCCGGCACTATAGAGCGTAGATCACCGGGCATGAACAGGAATGACCTCGATCGTCAGCGCGAGGAGCGCAAGTTTCAATCCTGCGGCTGACTCGTAGGGACGGCTCGCCTTATGGTGGATATCGTGGATATCATACCTCTTGCCGTAACGAGAATAGCTGCCTGCGCCGCATGCGAGAGGTTGAGAATCGCTGCTGCTGATCATCCAGTCACCGCTACGACGGGTCACCATAAGTTCGCATGGCAACTTAATAGTGGGGATTTCATCTCTAGCTCTTCAATCGAGACGGCGAAGATTCATTTTCAAGAGGAGCGTGACCTCGGGTCGCTGCTCGGATCAATCGTTTGACCATGCATTGGCATTGCCAAGCATCACTGCCAAAGCTGATGGGATGGCTAAGAATTGACGAGCTACAATGGTCCGTCCCGGCTGCCCATATCCGTGCCTTCGGACAATTGATGGGTTGGACCTCGGTCGGTAATATCATCAGACGACGTGAGTCGGCACGTACCGAGTGGACCGTGCTGTGAAAGAATGGATAGCAAATGCAGAGATCATGCTCATCGACGTCATCTGATGGAAGCTCAATTACCATCAATTCTCCGGCGCAATGCTGCGATATCAGCCGGTCCGGCGCGACAGCACCCTCCGACAATGATTCCCTCCCAGTCCCCTTCTGACTGCTTCTGTACCACGTCCCAGAAGCTCTCATCCCACGAGCATTGCACAACCGATTCGCCCGCGACCCATGTCTTGGTGACAGGGTCGTACTTTTCGCCCTTCGTGCCATCCGGATACAAGACTAGCCATGGTTTACCCGAAGGAGCGTCCCACTCATCCGCGAAGCCATCTTCCTTGCCCAGCAAGCGATGCAACTCATCCCGCATGATCGAAACAATCCTTGCGACGTTCTCGATCCGCGTACAGTTCAAGCCAATACCCCATGGTCGTGGCAGCGGCAGCCCGTCAGGGCGCTGTCCAACCGCCGCATTAACCCATTGTCTGACCTCTGTTTCATTCACTTCCTCGGCAGGAAAGACACCGCATATCCACCAAGGCTTTCGCTTGCTTTGCAGATCACGTCCCACACAAACCTCCGCCATTGCTCCACGCACGGCGCAAACTTCGTCTGTCCTCACGAGTGTCTCAAAAGCAACATAGTCCAGCTGGTCCCACGATTCACGATCGTCAGCAAACACACCCAGCCGTCGCGTATGCCATTGTCTCAATGCTTCCTCCCGGTCCATATCGGCTGGGTATACCCCCGTGTATTCTGCCGCAACAGGGGTCATGGTCGCACCATAGGGGCCAAGTGACAGCGCAACACGGCACGGCTGTGGACGTTGCCCCGCAGATTCAGCAATCACGCCTCGGACGAGCGGAATAGAAGACCGCAGGTACTGTTCCGCATCGCTGATCGTGTGACTCGCGTTTGTCTTTGCGAAACCTTCGATGCTGGATTGGTAGGTCGCTGTGAGCAGAATGTCTGCTCCGGCATTGAGGAAGGCGCGGTGAGCGGATTGGAGGGTGGAGGGCGAAGAGATCAGGAGGTGCGAGGACCAGAGAGGGGTTTCGGACGTGAAAGTGATGTTGAAAGGGGGAGACTCGAGTGTTGTTCCGAGGCCGCCGTCAAGGAGGAGGACCTTCATCCTGAGGAGAGGGTTTGTTGATGTTTTGTTCTGGAGGAAGCCTGGGAGCCTTGGGAGGGGAACGTGGTCCTGAGCTTATCGATAAGCCTGCTGGCCCACCCACAGCCTGAGGTAGCCTGAGTCATTGTCTTTGCGGTGGATTTTCTCCTAGTCAAGATGTAATTGTATCAAGCCTCTTTTACAGGGAATTCAGTTGTTTGAAAGGGTTCAAGGACGAACTCAAGTGGTTGGCAGAAAAGCGGATTGTATACAGTGATGGAACCGAAGCGTTGCCTTCTTCCTCTACAGCGCACCTTGACTATCCTGCTGTACAGTGCCTGAAACATTGGAATCTTTCGACATATTTCACATCCACTGTTCACTGCGGACTATGCAGATATGACTGAGCCGACTGCCTGATATTGAAGCTCCGGAAGCTGACTTGTGAGTTTCCCAGATCCATCTCCCTGTTCAGATTTCGAGCGGACGGTCTTGGGACAAACCCGACTGGATCAGGGGCCATAGCAAACTAGATTGGCCAGCAAACTGAGTATGGAGCCTCCAAGCTTCCCATCAACCTTTTGCAGACTTGCCCGGATGGCCTGAATGGTTAGAGATGACGCACGACGCACCAGGCTCCTATCAAGAACTGTGAACACCCTTCCAGAAGACGCTAAGCCGGATCTGGCGAGCAGCTGGAAACACCTCCAGCTGCCTCAGCTTCATCCTCTGTTCTATCACTTGCATTGATCCTTCAACGCCCTCGCATCAAGGTCGCCATGATAGAAGCCGACAAGACCCCGGTCTTCTCATTGACATCAGTTTGGGCTCCTTCTGCCTTACGTTGTCTGCCACCCAAGCTGTCGATCTGACAGCCGCATCACAGCCCGCCACGTAGGCGCAAGTTTGCTTAAGCGTTATAATCGATCCCAACGGCCGTCAAATTCAAAACCGAGAGTCGACCTGCAAGGAGTCGTTGATTCTGCACTGCCATAATGTGTGTGATCATTGATGCAGCTCATCGACTTGGGCATGAAGACAGCTAGCATCCAGCTCCTAGTCTAGACCGATGTCGAATCTGAATCCCAAAAGTCCCTTGCGCGGCTCGTATCGAGGTGCAGCGGCATTACGTCCCCGTTGATATAGTCCCATGCACAACAGGGTCAGAATTTTAAAGAAACAGGAACGGATTTGTTTCCCGCAGCCGTTGATCGATCCTGATCCTGATCCTGATCCGAGTGGCTTCCCTCGGAAAGTGAACAGTCTGATTGACCAGCCGGGCCTGCTTTGTTTGATGACCTGTGTTGGCTGGGATATACCACGCATGGCTTGGCCTTGTTCACAAGGAATTGAGTTGCCTTGCTTGATATTTGTGCCTTAAGGCTGACCCTGGTGGGATTCCGGACAATAAAACACAGACGGTTGTCTTTATCCGGCCAGTACTTGGGAAACTCGAGATTCTGGAGCCATGAGCCATGAGTTGCTGATGGATTATTTTTGACTGTCCGTGCGACTAATTTGTTGTCTTCCAAGGATAAAGCAAACGGCTGCCCGATATGGCCACGCGCATCTACGGAGAATACGGCGACGCCGTTCTCGTTGATTCGAAATGATGCTAGCTTTTGACTCGGTAGCGGCCGTGTGAAGACGAGGCTCAGTAGACGCCCCAAAGCGTATGTTGGACGGTACAGCCATTGCGGTCTTTCAAAATGACTGACCAGCACGGCCAGGCTCTGAGATAGGCTGCTTGTCATCGAAGACAATGGTTGATCATGAACACCGAACTGTTTGCTCGGCATCGGCATTCTTCTCGAATTTCCCCAGGAGAACCCACAGACGCAACTGAAACGCCTAGACTACGACATATCCTTCTGAAATCTGAAAAAATCGTTGGAAAGGTCTTTGTACCTACGGAGTCATAGAATACAACTTCATATGTTAAAACGGTTTCGCGCAGCGAGCCCTAACTAACCACGGTTTACTCCACCGCAACCTTCTGGTTGATCAGTCGCCGGTCGCAAAAACAAAAAACATACAACAGCTGGGATTCGCATGTGGTCACCCACCATACTACTAACCAGCCGGCGTGTGGGTTAAGTACGGCTGAGCGGACGGGAAGCCCTGTTCTCCACACCCTATGGTCGTATGTACCAGGCTTTACAACATAAGAGTATATATCCGCCAAATCGAGTCGCAAATTATATGGCAACGCAATAGTATTATACAGCAACCTCACAGCTTACTCTCAACGGTCATCTCACTACTTCCCTTGACCGTCACCTGTGTGAGCACCTTGTTGTTCTGCTGGAGCTCAATAATCGTCGCCCCATCCAGCCCAAGCGAGTCTCCATTCTGCGCCTTCGCCTCACATCCCGTAAACGTGACCTGCTCAAAGTCTGCCAGGGCAACAATCGCATCACCGGACTGAAAGTCTTCGACAATCCAATCCGCATTCACCCCCTGCAGCGTCGCCTCGGCTTTAGGCGCACCAACCGTCTGCGTTGCAGTCTCTCCTGTGTTCTTGTTCTCAATGATAGCCACCCCCTCGCTCGGCGAGAGTGCCTCGACTTTGGCCACAATCACGTCTCCTGTGTTGACAGCTAGGTTGAAGTCGTACGCGTAGTCGGGGTACCACTCAAACCAAGCATCGTTGTGAACGAGTCCGTTCTCGATGTAAAAGTCCACACCCGTCTGCAGGATTGCACCGCTGTAGGTGTCGCCGTCGATCCCTACCCACGCGGAGCCGGCTTGTATTCCTGCTGTGTTGGGCGCTGCTGTGGGTTTTGGTACCGTGAATGTCGCGCTGACGGCTGTGTAGGGGCCTCCTGGAGGTGCGCTCTCGCGGACAACGCCGGCCCAGTTGTTGCTGTATGCTACAGCGGCTGTGTTGGCCATTCGGAAGCCTGTCTGATTTCCCGACTGCCGGCCATCTTCGCGGGTGAGAGGATGCGATTGTCGGTTTAGGGAGCGGGCTTCGATACGAGAGGCAAGCTTGGATGTTTGAGGGAGGGAGAGCGCGCCGCTTAAGAGCGTGGTTGTGGTTAGGAGGGTTGAGGTGAGGTCGAACTTCATTTTTGCGGAATGGCTTTGCTGAAGCTTGAATATAGGACGAGCAACGCCTAGGCGAGACGAGACAAAACGGCCCAAGAAGGAGTCGAGGGAAGAGGGAAGAGAGGAGAGGAGAGAGAACAAACTAACCTGTAGCATCGCAGCGCGTCCATGCTATCTTAAAGCCTTCTACCCGGCCATCCCCTCCCCTCCATACTCCATCGCAGATGACGATCGCATGCGGAAAATAATGCACTCCGCAAAGGGATACTACGCGTGGCCGGGATTTCCGCATCTCGTCAACCTACCCTGAAACACCTTAGCTACGGCTCTTCCATGGCCATAGCTTCTCAACCGGATCCCGTTTTTTCAATAGTTGCGTCAAAGCTTCTCATAGTTCGAAATTCGGCATTGTATACCCTTTACTCGTTCGGGTTAGCAGCGGCTCCCTTTGCTCCATACAAATTGCTAATTCTCTGGAACTCCCCACCCGCCAACCCCGATGGAGAAGGTAGCCAAGATTAAGCTCATGAACGTTAGGGGAACTGAAGTGCGAACGCCCCTGAGCCTGACAATCAATCGTCTGATCGTTCAACGTTGACAGAAATTCCCGAGAGTCAATAGTGTTGAAGCTTGAAGCTTGAAGTTTGAAGGCGGTTCGGCTTTTTTAACTCAACCACCTGATTGTTACTTGTTGGTCAACAGATCGATATCACTTTCACCTCAATCTACCCCTTACTCACTCTGGGCGCGGCGGGGACTTCTTTGATTTGATATGGTCATTTGGAACCGGTTTCAGCAGGCTAGACCGCTGGGCGCTGGCCAGTCACCCTGAGGAATGCTGCTCCCGAACCCTAACTGACCAGCCACCAACATCAGACTTAAAAGGAAAGCATTGCTATTGCGTCGTATCTACCCTGAACGATGACCATCGCACGAGGCCTACCGGCTGCTTGCTAACATCGAGGTCGTTCGGCGCCATTTACTAGAGAAAGTAGGTTCCAGAGTCAAAAACTCCAACCTTACATACTCTGGAGTAGATTTGGTGCCTTCTACTCTAGCGGTTGTCGCGCGAATACCAGGAGCCATAACGCATCAATTTCACAAATATCTAGTGTATACCGACCAAGCCAGCACGTTCACCAACCCTAGAATTGGGGGCAACAATGACCTGTATCACTCTCATCTCCCCTCGCTCTTACGCTTGGAAACGGTGGACAGGTTAACTGGAATGGAATGGGTATCCAGAGCACATTCCTGACTAGGGCTACCATTCCTCAAAGGCCGGAGCACCTTACCCACGCTCTGACTGACTTGATAACATCTATAATATCTAGGTAAATGGCTGAAACCAGAGACTTACTCCTGAGTCCTGTCTGACAAGTTGACGACTCTCATGATATCCTACAAATTCGCTTATGCCTCGTGTGCATTCTCATTTTGGCTGATGCACCTATCCAAGCGTCTAAGACACCCAGCCGGAGCATCGACAGGTTTGTCTGCCCTTATGGGTATTCCCTCAACATGAACTGAGAACAAAAACGCCCGTAATCAAAGCATAGAGGCACCAAGATATCGCATTTGGCTTGGAGCAGAGTGAGTACACTAGCTTGACTAAACCAACTATCCACAACCTGACTCGCTATTATATCCATCTCTCCCCTTCTCTTCCAAGTCTGCCCTCCGAGCCCAGGCCCCATTCATACCCCAAGCCTTCATCCAGATCCTAAAAAGATCCCTCCAACCTACAAAACAAACCTCCTAACCTCCTCAACCCCAAAACACCTCCTCAAACTCTCGGGCCTCAACAACTCCACCTCGCGATCCAAATGCCGCCAAAGCACCCTCTCAAACTCCCCCTCCTTCCCCTCCAAAAACCCCCTCAAAACTCCCCTATCAAGACCCCACCCATACCCCTGCCCCTCCCCCTCAAGCCAGCGCTCGCAACCCCGAAGATAAGAGCGCAGCCGCACAAGGCCGTCGTGGATAATCTCGTGCTGGGCCGTGAGTTCGCCGCCGGGCGCGAACTCGGGCATGCGGGTAGCGAGCTGCGGGAAGATGTGGCGCTCTTCGATGGCGTGGTGGTTTGAGAGGCCGGAGCAGAAGGAGAGGCCGGTGAGGATGAGGTCGTAGTCGGAGGTGTCGTCTTCTTCTACGTTGTTTTCTGCTGGTGTTGATGGTGGTGGAGGGGATGGGGATGGAGGGGGAGATGGGGCGCAAGCGGCTTTGAGGTCGTTCCAGGTTGTGCGGAAGTCGTTGTGCTGGGTTGTTTATTAGTATTGATTGGTAGTTCTGGTTTTGTGTTATAGGGAATGGGCGTACGGTATGCTCCATTTGCGAAGCGAGGCGATTGTAGATTTGATAGTCGGCTGGGGAGAGGGGTTCCATGTTTGGAGTGGATTTTGCTTGGGTATTTTGGTCTGTTGGTGTTTTATGAAGGCTATATAACCCTTAGGCAAATGGGTAAATAATAATTGTAGCTAGAGGGCTGTTGAGAGATACAAAGAGCAGAGCGGATGAAAATGAAAACCCGTAGCTGACGGGCCTGTGAGGACAAGGCGATTTATAATCCTTGGTAATCGGATGCGGGACGAGATATCATGCGTCAGGTCGCAGAACGTGGAGATAGAGTAAAAGTAGATTGAGAGAATTATATTCATACGAATGTGAAAAATGTATACAGTATGTTCCAGATCTTCAATGGACGTATGCCATCTCAGCCGTTGCCAGCTGCAGGACATAAATCTAGTACTCACTGGTCGGATAAATCCACTCCATATCAGCACTTCTTCGGCACAACCACAGTCATAGAAAGGCTGGATTGCAATTTGACATCCGTGCTAGTTCAACAGGTTGTTGGACGAAGGTTTGCGGCGGGTGGGCGGAAATGGTAGGTAGATGATATTAGTAGTAGTATATCTGCATACGTATCATAAGGCATGGTGTCGTGCCGCCTGGGAAGGGGTATATTAGAATTAGTATCGGTTCGTGATGTGTATTAGAGCTCGCCGTGCTGTATTGACTTCTTCGGACTAAAGTTGCCCGATTTGAGCTCCTGCCAAGCGAGGTCAAACCGAGCGCCGAGAGCCCATGCGGTAGCAATCTGGAAAAAGTTAGTGTTTTGGTGCAAAACAGTGGCGGGCAAACATACCATGATGGCGGTGACTAGTAGAGCAATGACACCCATAAGAGCCATCATGAACATAACATCCTTACGTGTCTCCGCGTCCTGCCGGGCCTTCTCAGCCTCAGCCTCCGACAAGGTGCCTGCCACGCGGCGCTTGGCCGCCTCAGCATCTTGCGATGGAAAGATGTTCTCGATAAATTTCTCAATCTTACACCAGTTAGCGATGTCTCGATAGCGAAGACGAAAGTACATACCTTGCCACAGACCATGCTAATCTTGAGGAAGTTGGGATCCTTGGGCGTGTTCTTCTTGTGAATCTTGCGCACGTAACGCCGGAAAACGTCGCAGAGAACCCGCAGATTTTGTGTTGACTCTGTCATGAGCTGACAGGCATCTCCCTTGGTAATTTTGATGTTTTTCTCAAACATGGTGTAGTTGCGGAAGCAAAGCTCCAATGTCGCAATGGCCATGGCCTGAGGGATAGCGCAGAAATTGAATACACTCTGCTCGCGGAGACCGGCAAGGTAAAAGAGGCAGTCCTCAACATGTTCCAGTGCGTTCAGGACCATCTCCGAGTTACAATTCAAGGCCGCGTCTCGATGTTCAGGCTTGAAAAGATCTTCGAAGTTGTCAACATGCTTGGACCAGATTGATTTGGGCCAGAATCGTCGACCGTCGTCCTCATCTTCGCGGATGTCACGGATAATGTTGGTCTTCTGGAGGAAAAGACCCATAGACTTGTGAAGGCGAGTACGCTTCAACAAGGCAGGGTTGCCGAACTCCGCCTCAACAAACAGGCGAGTCAATCCTTCACCGACCAAACCGGCGACGTAATAGCAATAAAGGTCGTATTCTTCGACGGTCTTTACGCTAGCATCGTCAAAAGCAGCCTTACGTGCGTAATCGGCCATACCGTTGCCCATCTTATCTGTAATATCCTTGATGATGACTTGGTAGGCGGGCTTCATGTTCTTGAATTCGGTGATGACATTGTGAAACTGAACCAGCAGCTCACGGTCTTTCTCCTCCGGGCGGTTTCCATTGAAGGTCCAACCATCTTGTTCTAGGAAGTCTTTGAAGTTGCGCAGCAGAGGTTCTTTGGTTTCGAGCGGAATCGACGTATCATCCTCAATCGTATCCAGCCCGCGAAGTGTCAGGTAGAACACACAGACTGGCAGCAGCAGCTCAGGATGTAACTCCTTGATCACAGCACTAAAACTCCGACTCGTCAGGTCCAGGAATTTGAAGCAAGCCTTCTGTGTCTCTGTCTCGTTCTTCTCATCGCGTTCATGGACGGGGTTGTGCCAGACTTTCCTAACCGTCCCCAAAAGCGTTTGTCAGCCATTGCGCCCTTACAGGTGGGAGGGAGCAGCACAAACCATTGCACAATAGATCTCAGCTCTGATGGGTGAAAAGCGAGATAAATGTAGTTGCCGAAGCCCATGGTGTTCAGCGGGGATAAATTACACGCGAATGGGAAGGTGAAGGAATATGAGCTGTACGGAAGGAGGATGGGAATAAGAGTGCGGCGCGGTTGGAAAAACGCCGGGAAGAAGGAATATTAGCAGCAAATTGGCGTATTAGTACACGATAGAAAAGTAATGTACATAAGCTCCTAAGCCAATTGGAAGGGAATAGAGGGAGGGCCTGCGACGAAGAGGGCCAGGGTGATGGGAGCGCAGGCGAAAAAGCAAGTAAGACGGAAAGGTAGGAATCTCCGGGAGAGGCTGAAGGGGAGGCAAAGGACAGGTAGATATATCAGGAGAAGAAGGAGTAAGAAGGGGGAAAGGAGAGGGTGCGGATTTGAGTGGTGGAAGACAACAGAAGAAATTTGATGGATGCACTAAGCCCCGTTTTTAGTCTGGTCTGGAGAGACGGGTCATCTCGGCGGCCGGAACGCTCCAATACCTCTGACACGGGCCCTTTGGCCATAGTAAAGGGGCACAGGCTGTAATCTATGACATATCGTAACGCCGCTTACCGCTCCTCTCCTCGTCTCCCCGCCATGACGAAAGTGCCTTCGGAAGCTCACCAGGCAGAAAAAAAATAATAAGACTCACGCATACAATAGTTCCGCTTCTCAAGCAGGATTTCCCTGGGGCAGCAGAAGACCTCGTCTCACTGTTCTAGTCTCTTTCTCTTGAACTTTGTCTTTTGACTGGATACCGCTAGCACTTCCAGGAATCAGCCGGAACTCAACTGGCGGTCTTGCCCGCATCCCAAAATGGTCGTTGATACCAGCTACTACGACGCCCTCGGCGTGCCGCCCACTGCTACAGAGCTCGAAATCAAGAAGGCATACCGAAAGCTTGCCGTCGTCACTCATCCTGGTGAGATTCATGGCTAATAAATGGCGTTATCTCCTGTCTAACTGGCTTGGCAGACAAGAACCCCGGCGATGAGACCGCGCACGAGCGATTCCAAGCGGTATGCTCTTGACGGCCCAACCCTCAAGATGATACTAAATATATGGTTATTGCCAGATCGGAGAAGCTTATCAAGTCCTCAGTGATGCCGAACTACGCAAGCGTTATGATACCCACGGCAAGGAAGGGGCTGTCCCGGACCAGGGCTTCGGTGCGTTCGGAGTCGGACTATTGCGCTCTACGAGCTTCGCTAACAATAAGCAGAGGACCCGAACGAGTTTTTCGGTATGATCTTTGGTGGAGACGCATTCTTCGACCTTATCGGCGAGATATCCCTGCTGCAGGACCTTACGACTCGGATGGAAATCACAACGGAGGAGGCTGAAGAAGACCTAGCTGCACAGACAGAAGAGAAGCTGAATATTAATGAACAAGAGGGCAAGCCTGCCGGCGAAGGTGCCGCCGCAGGTACCGCTGCGGGTGCGGGCTCAAGCGCCGGCGCTGCCTCGCCGTCTCCCGCCCCGTCCGGCACAAGCACTCCTCGCCCTCGTCTGGGCCAGCACGCTATCACGGATAAGTCAGATGAAGATATCCGCATGCAGGCAGCCGGTGTATCAGAGGAGGAGCGCGAACTACGGAAGAAGGAAAAGAAGAAGGGCGGTCTTACCCGCGAGCAGGCTGAGAAGCTTCAAGCTTTCGAGCTTGAGCGACAGAAGGCGCGCGAGGAGCGAGTGGAAATGTTGGCGACTAAACTCATCGATAAGATTAGCGTATGGACAGAGACCGACAAGGGAACCGACGTGACACGTGCTTTTGAGGAGAAGATCAAACTTGAGGTGGAGAACCTGAAGATCCAGTCCTTCGGTATTGAGATCCTCCACGCCATTGGCGCTACATATGTTTCAAAAGCCACCTCCTTCCTGAAGTCGCAAAAGTTCCTCGGTATTTCCGGATTCTTCTCCCGGCTCAAGGACAAGGGTACTCTCGCAAAGGAAGCCTGGACCACCATTTCGACTGTTATTGACGCGCAGTTGACAATGGAGGAAATGGCTAAACTCGAGGAGAAGGGCGGCGAGAACTGGACCGATGAGATGCGAGCAGAGTACTCCGTAAAGGTAACTGGAAAGCTTCTCGCGGCCGCCTGGCGTGGCAGCAAGCTTGAGATCCAGAGCGTCCTCCGCGACGTTTGCGATAAGGTGTTGGGCGACAAGAAGATCAAGTTGGAGAAGCGCATCGAGCGGGCTCATGCCATGATCATTGCCGGCAACATCTACTCAAAGGTACGTCGGTTCCACACTTTCATATGTAGCCATACAGCATACTGATTCTTCCTAGGCCGAGCGTGACCCAGACGACGAAGGTGATTACATGGCATTCGAGCAGCTTATGACGGATGCCACCGCAAAGAAGGCCAAGGACGAGAAAAAGAAGAAGAAGAAGCACGGTCACTCAGACCCGGAACCAGCCTCCAGCCCCAAGGTTGAGGCGTAATTGCTTGCCGCTCCTAATTCGCTCCACCCGCTTTTATATACTTCTTCCGCTCGATTATTCCCCATGTGCTTTGGATAAATATGCCAGATGTATCTTCCGTCGTAGCGAATTGTTATTCCCTCCTAGAGCGTGCTGTTCTTCGGTACATTCAATCAACCTCCATGATGCTGGCACGTTTTCTGTATCTATAAAATGATATATATCGATACCGCAGTGCATTCCCACTCTGCTATGACAACATACATTATCGACCGTTGGTTTGTGGTGACGTGCGTCCTGAATCATATCTTAAGTTTTTAATCATTAAAATCTTCAAGCAAAGTTCTTATACCTACAGGCCGATAGAACTTCCCCTCCATAGCTCTCACGCAACGTTCACGACTATGAAGAGTTTGCCCATGGTAGACCAAGATAAACTAAGTCCGTAAGCCATGAATGGTGGACCTCCTGACGCCTCTTACAGATCTATGTAGAGTCCAGATCTATGTAGAGTCATAGTGGTGGCCGGAACACAGCTCCAGCCACGGGCAGCCATACCTTCCCTACCAAGAGCTTCATAGCAGGAAACCTCGGCCACTCCGTCCGATCCTGTCAACAGCTTGATTGAGAACAGAAACTTCACTACCATGCAGATATCAAAACTTAATGTTGAGTCAGTACAGCAGTGGACTAGTAGAAAACTAGTCTTGATTCCTCAATCTCTTCCTCTCAGACTCATCTATCCCCGTCCCTATCTACCTTCAACAGTGAGCGAGAGAGCAAGTACACTCATTGTTCATCAGTCCACCTCGTTGAACTCATACGACTCTGCCCTCCTATTTCCTTGCCTGCCTCTTCGTGTGCTGTGTGATCGAAGGGATCCATCTGCCACCTCATCTGCACGAAGACCCGTACCAAGTCACACTCAACAACCACCATCCAACGAGTCCAGTCTCGAACGAGCCAAACTACAAAGCACACAGCATGTCGCGCCTCGCAGAGTACCTCAACCTCGACGCGTACGATAGCGCCTCGTCCTCTCGCTGGCCCATCCTTCGCTACCTCCTTCGCCTCGACGTCCCTTCCTTGCAGGGGTCGGGCGATGATAGCCCTAACCCGCCCACCACAACCACAACGGAGACCACCGGGGAAGAGAATAGTGCGCAAGAAGAGCACTATTTCACACCCCGGCCTTCAAGTCCAGTCGAAGAACAAGCCGGATCCGACTGGATCGCGCTCGAAAATACCAAAACCGACGCCTCGATCCGCTTGATCTCCGCGAACCCAGAGCAAAAGGCGTACTTCCAGATCATCACGAATACGCCGCTCCCATCTCCATCTCCTCCTGCTTCTCCATGCCGTGACAGGTCACCTGGATCTGGTTCCCATGGATCCAAGTCTCGACCGCAGCCGCAGCGGTCTCAGAGCGAGGGTCGAGATGGCTGGGTTGATATCCGGTCCTCAACTTCGAGATTGGCTGGACCGAGCAGCAACCGTCGACGAACTCAAAGTCAAGTGACGGAATCTCCAGAAGCCCGCCAGACGAGGCGGAATGATGAATTGGCAAATGAGATTCTAGATATGTCGCTTGAAGAGATTAGCGATATGATGCATCGGTCGATTCGGGCGGTTGCTCAGCGTCAAGCTGATGAAAGCTGACGCTGATTCTGAGAAAGAATTGGTCCGGTTAGACGGGAGAGGGGTTCTTGGAAACTGGGAGGTTAGAAAGGTAGAGTTGAGAATTGGAGCGTTATACCCCGGCTTTTCAAAATGCATGTTTTACTTCTTGGATTGGGTAGAAAGGAAATATTTGATCATGTTTTCATGTTTTCATGCATTTGTAATTGAACTGAAGTGTGTCCACTTCTTTTATTTCAGGTTTTGCAGCAGAAGAAATAATATGACCCATTTGGATCCTGCTCAATAAGTAATGTGCTCCAAGCAGCTGCAAGACAAAGATATACATCTCGTATTATTCATTATTGCGCCCGGGTATCTCGCAAAGGCCAGGGATAGCTAATCAACAGCTAATCAACAACCGCAAAATTCTATCGCTTGTATAAACCACAGTATCAGAAGGGAGTTGAGGATGAGAAAAAGTGATCCGAAAAGGCGCCGGCATAGTGATAAGTAGAAAAACACCAAAATAGTATGTCCCGATGAAGAGGGGCCGTTGCAGCGTATATGGGTAAGATAACTTGAAACAGATTATCTGCGATTCGCAGGGTTCGGAAAGCGCAGCTCTTAAGCGCGGCTGATGTTGCTGTATAGGGTATCGCTAACAAACGAAATGTGAAAACGAGAGGCATATAATCATATCGATGGCGAGTCCTCGCCAGGAGGATCCATAGGAGGAAATTCGGCTTCGGGCGAGACGGCAGCTAGGAGTCCCCGGCCGGATTCCCCATCCCCGTACTCATCGGGACTGAGAACCCGTCCGCCCAGTTGGATATCATTGACATGCACGTTGTAGGCGAGTGCCTTTTGTGCTTCTTTGATTAGCTCCTCTGTCCATCCAAGACATCTTTTGAGGCTCTGATTCATTTTCTGGCTGTCCGACAGGAGTTCCTGGTGCTTTGCCAGGTCAATGAGGAATCGTTTTTCATCCTTGTTTCCGTGTTTCGCGTCCTCTTCGGCAATCGAGTCGGGTCCTAATGAGCTTTCATCTAGCATAGACTCCTCGTCGCTGAATTCAGACGGCTCCTCTTGTGAGTGATTCGAGGAGACTTCACTTCCACTTTCATCAATCTCGCTTGGTATTGATAGAGTACCGGAAACGGACCGAGAAGGAGCCACGGAAAGACGGCCAGAGCGACTAAGTCGCCGAAATCTCCGTAGCTCCGCATTCTGCTTCTTCATTTCGCGCTCAAGTGTCCGGTTGATGGCCAAAAGAGACGAATTGCTGATCTCTAGATCTAAGATCTTGCGTTCAACCCGCGCGCTGAGGACCGGTCCGCTGCTTCCTCCATGTTCTGACTTAACAGGACTCTGTAATCCGTCATTGTGACTATCCACAGAATTTGTAGATCCGTGGCTGAAAATGCGCGGCCTGAGAGCGGGAAGAGCGTCTGAAGCATTGTTTTCTTCAACCTGCGAGTCCAAAGTAGACACTGTTACGGAACTTGGGCGTAGGACCTCCCCGTATGTTTCCTTAATAGGAGTACCGCGCGCAGTATCAAGGCTTGAGGATTTGGTGTGGCTTATTACCGGCACAGGTCGGACGGTGCTTAACGGGGGACTATGAACGGGCGAACGTATCTCAGGTGAGTCGTCAAGGTGCGGTCCGCCGACGGAAGAGATACTATCAGAGATTCGAGGAGACGAAGCGTTGAGTTGGGGAGACTTGATCCGAGGTGAAGCTGTAGGTCGAGACACAACCGCAGGCCGGGACAATCCTGACGATCGCCGTCTGGAAGTTTCCTCAGCCAGATGCTGATTTTCCTCTTGTCCATTCGCATATATGAATGTAGCAGGTGAAGACGACTTCGCCGATACTCTTGACCGGGTATCCGCATCGGAGGAGCTCGATACCGAACGTGCATCACTAGCGTGAAAGAACATGGGAGACGCAGCCGAGAACTCGGTGGAGTGAGGACGAGAGGCGGTGCTCAAATCGGCGGTCAAGGTCTTTGCTCTTACAGTCCGTGGGAGTTCGAGTTTCCCGCCAATTCGAGCTGGGCTGCGTTCAGTGCGGTAAGCCCTGGGGGTTGGTCCGTTCGCTGGAGATGCCTGGACAAAGGATTGTGGAGAGTGCAGGGGCGTGTTGCCCGCGGAGAGTATAGGCCCATCGCGTCTGCTATTCCTCGAGCCGGATCGCGGTGTGATGTTCGCATTAAGGTAAGAGGGTTCGGGGTTCTGTCTCGCGGGGGTCGTTGCGGGATGATCTGGAGGAGCGAGCCGTTTGGGAGCACGGACTGTCGACGGGTTGGCAAGTTTCGGAGTCAGGGGAGACTTGGTGTTCGCTCTGCTGAATGCAGCGCTGAGGGTCGGGGTAAATGGTTTGGCGAGGTGGCCATTGCTCTGTTTATCGTAGGTCATTGCTGCTAGATTCGAGGGGCAGACAAAATGGCGGCTTGTTATGGCATTGCGGCACTCCTCGAAGATCTGCAAGCATGGTGGCACCAGCCAGCCGATAGCGAAGGTCCGATTGAGGTGAGGCCACCCGCGAGATCTTGGGATAAGACGGAAGAGACAGAGGAGGCAGTCAGGTGGTCGAGATGAAGATTTTATGACGAGAACGAAGCGTGGAACTAACTATTTTGCCGCCAAACACCACGCCGACCGAGATGTTTATCCCCGCCAAATGCGGTCTAGTCGCTTTTCACCGCAACAGTAACCGCTTCCAAGGGGCTCAGCAGCCTGGACTGCACATACAAATGACACAATCGTCTATCCGATATAATCCTGTTCTCGAGTGACCCTTGATACCTTGAGTTACCGGGAAATGTCGCTTTGGCTGAGCCGACACTCCGGTTGTTGGGTCATACTCCGTATCTGCCCCGCCTATATGGGCTGATCAACGGCCGGAGAAGTAGAACTGATCTTATTCTTGCCAGGTCTATTATTATATACATATACATTTGATGCTACATGCATGCGCAGTGATGCACGGGAGCCATGTGTTGGGTATCCCCTCCAGGTTTATCCCTATCCCTGCCTGTCCAACAGGTGCTCGAATCGCCGTACAGCAACGGAAGGGGCCTGAGGTAAGGGGCATGGGATCTAGGCTGGTCTCACGTAGTGTCTTAATTCTAAGACACGAAGGTGCGTATCCGCGGCCGTTCACTGCGCCAGACCTTCATGCGCTACCAAGGCTTTACCAACGTCCCCTTCAACCTGTGCTGAACCTGCTCCAGATGTCAAAGAGCTGCCCCGTAGTGGGTGGGTCATTTAGTCAAAGCTGAGCCGCGGCGATTTTGGGACCGCATATAGAGCACGCTCTGCTGGATGAGAGAATCATTAACGAGGTACCACGTGGGTCGAGTTCTCCTATCGTATCTAAACCATTGTAAGGCCTAGCCCTCAAGCCTGGGTGTAGAGCCAATTCGTCGCCGCGTTATAGATGCCTCAGCCGGTCTCGAGTATATACGAGTAAAGCCTCTCCTTTCAATTGAAAAACAGACGTTTCTGCCGGGGGTCTACGTTGTCTCGAGAAGCGGTCTTTCTCTTCCGTGAACTGGCAGGTGTCGGCTGGGCTTGTGGCTGAAATTGTGGCGAATCGCCCTGGACCGCCTCTTTTATCGTTTGTTTTGATAGACAGTAGTCGACATGGTCGTTGAACTTCCTGTCATCCGCGATTTGGGGCATTGAACAGATAGGGCAATCCCAGTACTCCGGTTGATCCAGCAGTTTATCTGTGGTGGTCGGCGTTGGGCTTTTCTCGTTTTGGCCGCCTTCAGTTTCCGATGTTTCTTGACTGAGCTTCTCCAAATCATGGATCTCATCCTGGAGCTCCTCACGGGCCGCCTTCTCAAAAGCTTCTTCCGCGTTGATTTCTTGATCCCCGGTGAAGTCGTTAGGCGTATCCGATGCAGGCTTTCTCCGTGCAGCGGCCCCGAAGAAACCAATGTCGAATTTCTTGGTGCTCACGAGATTTGTACACCGAATACCAAGCAGACGAAGCTTCATATTCGGGATCTCTTTCTCGAGTTTCTCTAGCATTGGAAGGGCAGATGTAAACAGGTCTTTCGCAGATGACACGGCCCTTCTGGGTTGATGTTGCCGGGTCAAAACCTCAAACGTAGCCAGCTTGACCTTGAGGACCAAGGTACGACCCATGAACTGTGTTCGGGACAAATCCTTCTCCAGCTCTTGAGCGCAAGACCAGAGCTTTTCTCTGAACTCTTCTCGTTTGCTGATTTCATGAAATGTCCTCTCCGTGCCCACACTTTTACGCTCGTAGCTTTCGGCTGGTTGAATTTTCGTCCTGCCCAATCCCAGATAGCATTGGGCGAGAAAGTGAAGTGCCTTTTCGCCAAATAATTTTGCCAAGTAGGCACGCTGCGCAAAGATGTCGCCGCATTTCTTGATACCGATTGAGTCGAGCTCTCGCTCGAACACTCTACCCACGCCATTAACTTTGCGCATTGGAAGGTCCTTCATAAAGTCCATGATAGCATCCCTATCGTTCGGGACACGAAATTGGCCGTTTGGTTTATTGCGATTTGAACAGATTTTCGCGATTTTTGCGTTTGCTGCAATCCCTGCAGAAACCGAGATCTTGGTCGTCTCGAGGATTACAGCGCGCATGCGATTAACAGCCTCCTCCGGGTCGAGCTGGTTTTCGCTGCAGTAGGCTGTGATGTTCAGGTACGCTTCGTCAATGCTCGCGCTCTCGAATTGAGGGTCATATTGAGCAATTATGGCGCGGATTTCTTGAGCTTTCGCCGTGTACTTTTCGTAGTTTTGCGGCAGGCAAACAAGCTGTGGGCATAGCTTCATCGCGACGAAAGACGCCATGCCGCTCCGGCAGCCGAACTTTCGAGCCTCGTAGTTGCATGTCGTCAAAACACCCTTTCCAACCGCCATGGGGACGGTTTTGAGCTCCGGCCTATCCAGCTCTTCGACCGCGGCAAAGAACGCATCACAATCCACGTGAACCACATACTGGGAGAGGTCTCGGGTTGACTCTAGCTCGGCGAAGAGCTGATCCGCTAACCGCAAATCAATAGATAAATTCAGGCTCTCAAGGCGCGACTTCTCATTGAGAATCCGCTGTATCTTCTCGGTAAGGACACCATCACGGGCTTGTTCATGATTGAAGAATTTGGAGCCTTTTGAGGCGTTATAGATAATTTCTGAGACCTTTTATGCTCAGTTACAACTTGAAGTGACACGCTGGGCATCTTAGCCTACCTTCTGCTGGTCAACGGAGTCCTGGCCCGCCTTTGTTAAGGACGGACCTAGAAGCTGATATTTGAGCGTTTCGTCAACACCGGGAGACTTTTTGTCGTCGTCTACGGGCACATCGCCCCTGAGTTCTCTTCCTTCCTCCATGGAATCATCGTCACGCAATGCAAAAGTAACCCGCAGTGGGTGAGGCTCGTTGATATCATTTCCAAACTAGGCAGCATTAGGTAGAAAGTCACGTGAACACGCGTTCTGAACCGCGGCAGTTGCCCGCGCCCGACAATAATCCGTTGGCGCTCATCATCACCGACATGCTAGGGACTCGTTTGCGCTGACTGTGCCCCTCATGTGGATCCTCGACACAGAGGGAGAGTTTCTTGAAGGTGATTATGTGCGATCATCCGTGTATTTACGTGCTAACAACTTAAAGGGAAACGCTTGTGGCTGCGGCCCGGAAAGAAGTACCTCTTTGGTCGTTTCAAGGCAGATGGCGGTATGACCACGCTTAGGCCCATTGCTAGTCATCTACTAACGGCTACTTTCGTGTAGTTCGAGAAGCTGTTCCAAATGATTCAGTATCCAGAAAGCATTTGACGATTGAAGTATCGCAGGTTAAGGCCGGGGATGGGGTATGAGGCAGTTGTGGATTGTTGGTTCCCATTCTGACTGCTTGCGTCTAGTCGCGAACGAAGACAAGATCCGAAATCCTCGTTACCGACGAAAAATCGAAAGCTGGCACAATAGTCGATGGCGAAAAAATAAAAGGGAGCAGCAAGAAGTTGAGCGGTGTGGAGCATATAATCTACCTGGGGAAGTCTGAGCATCCGTTGCGGTAAGTGCTCGCTGAGCTCAAAATACGGGACAGGTCGCTCATTGTTGGGTGGTCTTTAGCATAAAATGGGAACCGAAAGTCCTGAGTTTCTCCTTCTCCTCCAAAGAAAGCAATAAAAACGCCCTTGCCCGCTTCCGCGACCGGCTCGAAGGCTACGATATCAAGACCATCGAGGATTACCTGATCAATGTGACAACCCATGTTGTCCAAACGAAGCGAAACACCGCCAAAGGGCTACAAGCGTTAGTGAATGGTACATACATTGTGGACTACTCTTTCGTTGATGCCCTAGACTACGCGTCAACTCCGAGTGACCTGGACAGTCCGGAAAGCCTGTCTCCGCTAGAGGCTGACTTTGACGCCGCGTGGCCCAATGCAAATAAGTACCTCCCACCTCCGGGAAAAGAAGTCTTCGACGGCTCAGATGAGTCATTCGCGCCGAACCTCAACCGAATTAATGTCTTCGAAGACTATATCTTTGTTTTTTGCGACAAGTCACAGCACCAAATTCTAAAGGATCCCATCACCAATGGACACGGAAAAGCGTTATACTTTGACGTGGAGGAGGGTGTTACTTCTCCAGACGAGGTTGTACAGTTCATGAGAAACGCTGCAGGCGAGAAAGGCATCGGGTCTCAGAGGAATTATGAAGGTGGAGTGGTGCTTGTACGGTTTAAGTCAAAAACTGGGAATCAAGATTGGGCCGTGCAGCTGGGTAACGAAGTTGCTCTTATGACTGATCAACGGGTCATTCAGCAGAATGAGTTTCTCAATGCGATTCTTGGAAACGATGCCTCGATCTTATGTCGGCCACTACGCCATGAGATTGTTCCATCATCTGAACCTACACCCGCTCCACCATCAAGTGATACTGTGCAAGCCGTTGCTGATTCCCAACCGTCTGAAGAAGTGAGTCAGCCCCCGAAGAAGGTCAAGAGTACTCGAGTGCGCAAGCTTGTCACCAAAATGAAGGCGTTCGACGACGGCTTCGACATCAATTCTATACCAGTCTATACACAAGAGGCAGATGGCCCTATAGAGGAAATGCAACCGATGTCAATAGACGCGCCATCCGAGGAACCGTCCCAGCAGATTGACAACTTCCAGGAGGAAGAGGACCTGGTCTCGAGTTTGCTCCCTGGAGCTACCGCAATGAAACGCCGGTTGGGTGATACCTCTCAGCGGCGCTTGGATGATTCCAGCACCCGTGACAAACCAGAGGAGGCTCCTAGGCCCAAGCGTCAAAAGCTGGATGTCTTAGAGGCGGCCCGACAACACCGAGAGGCGGAAGAGGATGCTGCTCGTCAGCGACGGCAACAAGAAGAGGAACTACTTCAGACCTCTTTACAAGATGTGGATGTCGAGAAACTAAGGGGACTCGCCATTGTGGAGGAAATGGAAGTCGCGATCAAGCCAGTAGACCAAGGCAACGATCGATGGGATGAGCGGTGGAATGGACGAAAGAACTTCAAGAAATTCATTCGGAGACGCAACCGCGATTCTGATCAGCGACAACAGCAGCGTCTCCGTCTTCAGACTGTTATCGTTCCATTGGAGGAAGTGGCACGGAAGGACTTTGGTATTGGAGATCATTACTGGGTGAGCAACAATCGCTCCTCAGACCGGACCACCAGAGAAAGCCACGAAGACCGTGCGGTCAGCCAGGTCCCAGACAGTGAGCCATCGCAGCCTCGAGCAGCTGCGCGAAAGGAGTCGCAAAAGACGACGACGCAGAGAAGCCAGAAACGAGTCCGTGAGGAGCGGGATTCGGATAGTGATGACGAGCTTAAATTTCGGTTTCGTCGCAGGCGATGATTTCCAATCATTTAGTTCTCTCTATCTGTTGTATATATCCTTATCAATGTACGGCGTCCGGAGTGTTACTCAGCCACAAGCTATGTATGAAGTAGGCGTCTAGCGTGTCAGTTATACAGGGCGCTAAGCGATAAACAGGCGCTAACTGGATGGTGTGAAGGTTATCCTGATCTGGATGTCGTCACTAAATTGGGATCGACTGGCAGGAGTTCTGTCAACGAGTCGAATATTCGATCCTCCAATCCGCGGCTGCAGGGGAGCCTGTTCCGACAGTAATTTCGAGTGGGAACGAGCCCCATCATCAAAGTGATACCAAAATTCAAGGCCTCGGAATGAATCTCGAACAAGGGGGCTGCTATTAATACACTGCACTTTCTGGCTGTGGACGATGGCATCACGGCGTGAAATCATCTGACCCGATTCAAGGCTTTCTTCAGATCTTCGAATCTCGTATCCTCGCCTCCTCTCCCCTCTTTCTACTCTCCTTCACCTGCCGACGAATTGACGCCCCATCTCGACTCTGCTGCTGTCCTCGCGCCTTATCGCTCCCTGCACGATCGCATCATCCACTGAAGTCGCTTTTCCTGACGCTGCCTGACGGCCTAATTCCCGGTGCTGCTCTTCTCCGTCCACCAACACTAGACGCTTCCAACGCAGCATCATCTCCACCATGGAGCACGCTGGCCGGGCGTAATTCGACTTGCTGATTCTTCTGATCGCCCCTCATCAAATATAGCGGCGCCCTCGTGCTCCTCTCGCCTGCTTGCTCCGTCGTACGACAGTTCAAAATCTGCCTTGAGTATGTTCAGCATCATGGTGTCAATTCTTCTTCTCGTTCTTTTCCCATTTTACGCCCTCTTTCTCTTCATCTTCTCTCTAATTTCTGGCTTGCTGACTTGGGTTTTCCCCTAGCCATTCTTCTCTTTACGATTGACGATCTTGAATTCTGCTTGGCGTTTCTAGGCAATCTCCCTTTCCACAAAAAATCATGACCGCCGATTTACTTCCGTCCCCTTCTCCCTTCATGATCTCCGCGATACCACCCCCTCGACCTGTTTCCGTCAATGCCCTCCCGAGAGCTTCCTCCGTTTCAAATTCGATATCGTGCTCAAAATCAAATCGAAGTACAAGCGCCGGAATATCGACCCATGAAGGATCATTCACCGTCCCCGTGGGTCCGGATTCCCCGGGGTGGCCCCAGTCGCCTGTGGATACCGAGATGGAGGATGTGCAGTTAGCGGGAACATCAATATGCCAGTCCAAAATTCGATTCGAGCACCTCCCGGTCGAAATCCACGAGACTATCCTCGACCATCTGTTTGGGGAGCGTACATCGACCTTTACCGGGGTCAGTGGGAAATCTTCTACGCAGAGTTGGCACAAATCCTTAAGGCATCCGAGGCGAAAGGCTTTGTCGAATCTTGCTCTGATCCTGCCTGTATGGAGAATATTGGTGCAGGATCGGATCTACAGACACAGTTAGTAGCTTATTTTCTGTCAACTGCTCGTGCTAACATTAGCCGTCACAGTCAAGCTCAAGGGAACCGCAGATGAGCTGGAGGAAAGTGCACGCTGGTTCCGTGCGCATCCCCATCTGGCACCCTATGTTCGTCATGTCGAGATATGGATACCGGTTTGGGGCCAGCGGGCGATCAGAAATACCTCCCGTCAGCTTCCACGGAGGTCTAATGATGAGAATGCGGAGTTGACGGATATGGCTGCTCTTCAGGCTACAATGGCGTGGGAAGATCCGCATTCCAACCCAATGGCTGACTACAAATATCACTATGCAAGCCACAATGCTACGTTAGAAGAGATGTTTCTCCATGTGCAGACTGTATTTCCGGGGGCTCGTATCCTTACCCTGGAAGGAGGTCATTGCAAAAAACCCCCAATGGTACGGCATTTCAGAACAGATCCCGCCGGACGTACAGGTCTTTTACGGCTTCCGGTACTGCCAGACGTCCAAACCTTCGTCATGCGCGGAGCCTGGAATATCATGCGAGACCAGCAGCACTGGACGACTTTATCGCAAGCACTACCGAGCATTCGCGAGTGGCACTGTTCGTATGCCAAGCCAAAGATTGAAGGCTACGAAACCATCGCCGGGATCCTTCGCCGCCTCCCCCCCTCATTACTTCACATAAACATCAGCCTCGAAGGCTTCTACAACAAAGACAACACCCAGAACCGCTGGCTCGGCGACGGCGTCAACCCACCACACCTCTGCCGCCTCCTCGGAGAAGTAGCCCCACGCCTCGAATCCCTTACATTCACCGGCAAAGTCTGCGCATGCCTCTTCGAGTCTACCAAGTCCTTCATGACAACTCGCCCCAAAGAAAAATCCAAGCTCAAGTCCCTCGATCTGGTAGTGAAAACCTGCTGCCGCGACAAAAAGCTCTACCCGGCCTTACCCTTTCTCGACGACTTTTCCGGGATCACAAACCTGAACTTCATCCACGCTTTCGAGAAACTCGTCATAGCCTCCATCAACGGCCTTCAAATTCACCAGGAACTAGAGTACATGCGCATCCGCTTCATCGATCTCGACTCCGCCTGTCCCCCGCTCAACCCTTACTTCCAGCTAGTCGACACTCAGGCCACGGGTCTCTGGAATGAACCGATTCTCGAAGCGCTCCATGAGGTACGTCCGGAAGCGCAGTTCGTCAAACTCACAGACGGCATCTGCGCGCAGTACGGAAGCAATAACCAGATCGTGGGCGCGATATACCCGCGCACGAGACCACTGAGCATCCATGCTTCCACGTACCGCATCATCGCGGACGTCCCGAAGCACGGCGTGTGAATGGGGAAAGGCAGTCTGAGCATATTCTGATATTCTCGTCTTCACGGTGGTCGTTCCCCAACTCGACTCGCCCTCATCGTTTTCATTGTAGGATTATAAGATACCATAATACGTTTGTTTTTCCTATTTTTCTTTTCTATCTCAACGTGGGAGCCATCGCGCTCACCACGCACTCATCATCAAAAGACATGATATGCTATGATATGGATGGCAATTCGAAATCAGGTACAGGTACAAGGAAAGGAGAATCTGCTTGACAGGCATAGCTAGCTAGCTGACTAGTTCATGTAACTCAATAATAAAAAGCTTAACTTCATTAAAAGAATAAGATTGTTCATCTCTATATGCTATATTATACTGTACACCCCAATCACGACCATGCAAGCTCTCAACCCTCCGGATAGAATGGCTAAGGCTTCTTCTTACCCGCCTATTCCATGCAGCCATATAGGCAGATAGACTTCCGTGGTATTCTCGCTCCGCAGTAAGCGACCACTCATTCCACCTTCCCTTTCTCTGCGCCTGTTAAACCCCCAGCATCGCCCACTATAACGCCCAGGATCCAAACATTGACCGCGAAGAATCCCAAGCTCGCCAGGAACAACCCGGGGACGAAGCTCGATACGCCCAGGAATTCGAGCAGGTAGCCTTGCTGCAGCCAGAGAGCCTGTCGTCAAGTACGTCATCAGCAAGCCGTCAATCTCGGTTGACGGGGAGAAGTGATGAATGGAGGAAGATGGAAGGGGAAAAACGACGGGGCTATCAAACAGACGTACCTGGCCGATTACCCACAGAGCAGCAACCGTGATTCCCAAACGTGGGTTCTGGAGGAGAGACGAAGTGGGGAGGTAGAAGGGGAGAAAGATGAGGTACCAGAGGAAATACTGTGCCTAATTTAGCAAAGCAAGTCTTCCTGGTTAAGGACGAGAACACATACCTGGCTCGTACAAACCTTATTGAACGTCACGAACGCAAATGTCTGCGCGAGCATCGTGACCGGCAGGTCCTTCTTTCCTAAGACGAGCGGGATAACAACAACAGAGAGGAGCAGCTGCGGGATGAACGCCAGAGACTCGAAGCTACCGCTCGGCCCTCTAAGGCCCGTGAGGCCTGTGGCGTTGGCTGAAGAAGCGGCAGTCAGGTAGAGGAGGGTACTATAAGGCGAGAAATTATGCCGGTGATCGATGCGCGTTAGATGATGGAAGTAAGTGTGCTGGAGGAAAGGCGTTCCGTAGCGCGCGTACATAGCCGCATTGAGGGCAGCGAATGTGAGCAGGGAGGTGAGGGCCAGCCGAATCCGACACGGGGTGACGAAGCTGATGATCTGCGAGACGCCGACAGGGGTGCCTCCGTTCCTGTCGTCCTCGTTGGAGGTGGCTCTGGATTTGGGTTCGGGCTCCCGACTTTCCGACGTCCCCGTCCCCGTCCCCGTTTTCGTTCTCGTATCATCCAACCACCAAAGCATCGACACCCCGTAGATAAACGGGTAGATCTTGAAGTGCACGCCCAGCCCCAGAAGCACGCCCGCAAGGTAAACCCTCCGATTCAGCACGGCCCAGAGCAGCGCGACAACAAGAACCCCCAGTAGCCCCTCTGAGCTCCCGCGCGTACTGATGTTCGCGACCATCGGATTCAGCAGCCAGAAGCTCGCGTACTTCAGGGCACGCTCGGGGCTCATCCCGTGCGTTAGGACCAGCGACTTCGCGACTAGCCAGCCGGCCACGACATCCGCGAGCGCGAAGAGCGCCTTGCCAAAGGAGAAGAAGCCCGGGATGGCCCAGGTCGTGGGCAAAAGCATCCACGCTAGCAAGGGGGTGTAGCGGTATGTGTCTCGGGCGTATGGGGACTGTCCTTGAGATACATAGCGCGAGGCGTCGGTGAAGACCATGTAGTCGATGTCCGTGTATTTGACAGCTGAGTGGGCGTCTTGCCAGGCTCCGTAGAATAGTAGAATGACGCGCAGGCCGATTGCGGCGCCGTAAATAGTGGACGCCCTTTTGAAGATCGATGCCATTGTTTTCTCCTGGCGATTCTTTTATGGTTTCGGGGTCTCAAGTATGGGCCAGGTCATGCCCGTGGGGAGCCGTAGCAGGGCGAGTACAGTTTGTAGCCGTCAATGAAAGTTAGAATAGTAACTTTTCGGGCCGGTGAATCATTGAGATCCTTTACCCAGTGTCTGTTCAGTATTTTGCCGACATTGCGATTATTTATTATTATTGTAGTCGGCGTGGGTTGAGAGTTGCTGGAAATTCTGGGCATTTTGGCATCTTCAACTCCTGCTGACTCAGCAGTAAGTATCATGATCAGCGCTCTCTACGGACAATCCACGCGCGGGAAACTATTGCAACTGAAAGGTATGAAATATTCCATATCACCAGCCCTGGTTATAGGATATAGATATATACATTTGCTGGTATTTGATGTTCAAAGTATCAGGGAACCAGCTGAAAGTAGCGGAGATCGAAGTCCGGGTATAGAAAAACGGGAAATATATATAAAAGTGAGGGTATAAGTGCTTTGTGATAATAGAGGGTTATAGTGAAGGAAACACATAGAAGATAGTCAAGAAAGTCAGCGAGGGTCCAATATCCCAGTATAAGTAGAAGATAAAGTGAGCTCATCAGGAGTAATAAGGGATAGACGGGCTGGTGAAGAAAGGTGGTTCGGATAACTGATTTCCGAAGAAGCCAGTATTTGAATACTTGAAGTGCTTGTCATCGGAGCCAATTAGGCTCCCATCGTTAATGCTTTCCATATCCGCCATCGGGACAAGATTTGTATCGCTCCAGCTGAGGAAATCCCATAGATACTGACCATTAGGATCGTCCATGGTCGAAGGAGGAAATGGGTCCGTAAAACCGTTGTCGTGGGTGACCATGAAATTTCGCCCCATATCACTCTGAGATGGGAGGATATTAGGTGCCATGAGAAGGGAGGTAGGGGACAGGTTAGAGCTGTTGATGCTGTTTGTTTCGGCAGCCATACTGGGGCCACGTTTACTGGCCTCAAAAATTCTGGAGACTGCGTCGAGGGTTTTTCTAGCGGTTGGACTTGCTTGCTGTAACCGCGCAAAAACGAGTAAAGCGTCTTGGACCTGTGCTTGGCAGGCCTCTGTGGTAGCTCGGGGATCTGTCACTGTGTTGTCGTTGATGAATAGTCCTAGTAGTGGGACCATTGTGCTTTGGAAGAGGAACCACACGGCGTTCCAACCTGACATTTGGGGCGTCTTTGCGGTAGCAGAGATATCCCTAATGGCAGTTTCGGCTATCTCTCTGCATCTTTCGATCGCCGTCCGCTCCTCCGACCTTAGAGCAATATACGGAACACGCCGCATGGCATAGCTCAACAGAGTAGGGCGGTAGAGCAGGATACGTTGAACGTGATACCGCCATTTCGTGACTTCTCGGGTGTTCGCGATAGATTCAGGACATGGTTCATGGTCTTTGAGAATATATGGGAGGCTGTTGTACCACTCGACGAGCTGCGTATCAAAGTGGAGGATTTCGTTGTATTTTGTCAACGGAGATACAGCCAGCGCATCTTGTATTTGGTTGCTGATCTTGCAAAAGCGAACATTCTCGAGAAGGGGTAGAATATCGAGCACATTTCCCTTATTCGATTAGCATACGATGCTTAATTTTTGAAAAGATTGCTTACCGACTCCCTGTAATGAGGAAGCTTGACTGTAATTGCGGGACTAAATCGGCCCATAGTTGGGCGCCCTAGAGTCACACCACCCCAGCAATCCATCAGGAAAAGTGTCCACCAAATGCGCCGCTTGAGGTCAAGTTGTGCTGCCTTCTGCTTATTAGATGTATCGGATTGCTCGGCAAATTCTCGGTGGAGGCCCATGGTGGCAGCCATGCGAAGAGCGGCACCCATGAGGGAATAGGCGAGGTTGGGCTGCGCGACGTAATGAAGATACCAACCTCCAAGGATCCCAAGAGTCTGAACAGTTTCTAGGTGAGATGACGCGAGTGACTCTAGATCCAAGTACGCCCTACACCGTGAGTAATATATCTTGTGTGATATATCATCACAGGTGGAAGCACATATACTGCCCATGGCGAGGACGATATTCAGCAAACAATACCACCGGTCGTCTTTGCGGTGCCCTGCAGCGTATGTTTCGCGGAATGACTGCTCGTCCAAGATCGGCGTCAAAGGTTGAACATAGGTAAAGTAGGCATCTAGGAGTTGCGATTCGGGAACTTGAAGATGGACCTGAGGAGGCGTGCCTGGTTGATCATGGGCAGCCCATGGTTGACCATCTGATGAGGATAGGTCTGCCACTGAACCTCGACGCCGAGCGCTTGGGGGCGTACTGGCGAAATACGAAGCAGAGCCGGGATCCAGCCACACTATCGTTTTGAGCACCGCATTAATAGACGAGACGCCGAGATATGAGGAGGGACCTCTCGTGGAAAGCGACAAAGCGTTGACATCGTCAGAAATCGTGTTCGCGATCTCGCTGCTCAGATTGCGCGGATCGTTGGATTCTTCAGGCATGGCCTGGAGTGACTCCAGATTCCCATCTTCTGTCGATATTGGCGAGACGTGTGCATCGTGAGAAGCGGATGTTGCGGGTGATGGTTGGCGTGCTCCAGTGCTTGCAACCTGCGCCTGAGGTTGAGACAGCGTTTCAAGGAGCTTCTCGCGTGGTAAATTAGCCAAGGCTTCAGGGGTCGCGCCGGGAAATAGCTTTTCTAGGACGGTCCGGTACTCGTCTAGCGTCGTAGACAATTTCTCGACATGCCTGTTCCAGGCGCCTGGTAAGCTGCGGAGCCGAGGCACGGAGAAGAAAGAGCGGAAAAGCAGCCACCTACCTCCGAGATGGACGAGGGTCCGAATAATGGCAAAGCTCGGCCTTTTTATACCACCTACAAGCTTCACAGGGCTTTTCACCATCGCATTTGATCTTGCGATGACGGCAGGAGGTACAGGCACGAAGGGTGGTGACGCGACGGCCGATGGAGGGCTGCCGCTCCCGACCTGTGCGGGCGGGAGTCGAGGCGGCCGGGTTTTCGAAGCCCTCAAAGGTGTGAAACATTGCTAAGGAAAGGGAGAAACATGGAGGGGCAGTAGCTTGATGAAGGGGGGACGTAAAATCGACCAGAGGCGCAGAGAATCCGGGTTGTTAAGAGACACGCATGGTACGATGAGAGAAAGTGGGTGGTGTTGTAGATGTAGAAAAAGCACAACACCAGCGGAGAGGAAGGACAAGTCTGGAAAAGGCGGGGAAACAGGCTAAAGAGGAAAGGGAAAAATAGCACAGGTAGCGCTGAAATGGAGGGAACGAACAAGAGTACAATGTAGGGTGGATAATAAGAATACGCCTGGTACGGATTCTTCCTGTCAACGGCCAGTCCCTGGAGATCGCCAGCGCCCCTCGGTCCCTCTTCTGTAACTTCCTCATGCTGATGCTGATTCTTGTCTTCCCCGCAATCATTCATGCAGCATGGGATGCCGGCGATTATCCCGCATCCGACGGTAGCCCTACTTGAGGCTGCGCTGCCCCATCCCTGCTTCGTGCCCCAAGTGGCCCATAATCATGGTAATTTTACAAGGTTCGACAGGGTATGGGGATGGCATCCTTGCCTCACGTTGTTATCGCTAGGGGGGAGAACGGTGCTGCCGGCAGTGTGCTAGCACCGCAGCATGACTGGTCGTAAGCTTCCTGCCGCTTGCCCGGCCCTTCTGACCGCTGCCTAATCGTCCTGTCCTCGCTTGAGATTATTTGCATCGAAATGAAGCCAAGCATTTTAGGCATTGGCCAGCTGAATGGCATTTTTATGATTTGTTAGAGTATCCTCTCGGACGGAAGAGGGATCAAAAAGCGGTACACCAAGCATACGGCTCTTGAAGAGATATCAACTTCGTCCTGAAGCTCTTCGAGTATGGTTATGACATGGTCTTCTCGACTCTGATTATCCGTGTCCCTGCCTACTTAGAAGTTCTTCAGGACCCAGCGGTCGCAGGAATCCTGGGGGTGGCGAATAAAAAATATTATCGGCCTATCATCCACGGCTATGCGCGATTATTCTCCTCTCCAAGATCTGGAGAATATGCAGGAGACGCAATGCATGGTGCTGAACTTGAGCTTGCGCAACTAGGTCACAGTTATGTATGTTAGCCCTGCAGTAGTCCCTTCACGCTGCATATCCCATGCGCTCACGGGATCAGGGAGATTAAGGGATCGTCCACGAAGCCCACTGGATGCTGTGGTGCTCGTACAATTAGTCCCATGCGACAAACCAGGAAAGGCCTAAGAAATGCTTCGGGAAGAAGAAAGACAGTGGCAAAACAAGAGACAGGCGGAAAGTTGACGATGAGAGCATTGTGAACGGATGACCCGATATCACCAGGTAGAGCGCGGAGAGTGTACCACGGACTACCATCATCCGTACCCCACTAGGCAGTGAGACGAAAGACCGGGTGCCGTTGCCATGTCTATTAGCAGTCATCTGTCAGTGGCCAACTGCTGAAATCGCGCGCGCAAAATGGGTAAAGCGTCAGCCTTACCTCAGAACGTACCGGATACTCCTACCCTACATCACGAGGAGTAATAGGTTTTCGTGAGACTGGGTTAACATCTGGGCTCCGAGCGCTCAGACACACACTTGTGGCTCAGGGATATTGTGGTCGTAGCGATGCCGCCAATGATGCCGCCGCCTTTGGAAGAAAGAGTCCAATCGAACATGACTTGATGCCGTGGCGGCCTGTGATGTAGGTGTCTCGTGGTGTTTAGGCTGATATTGCAGGGATTTGGCGCGGACTTGGTGTGACTCTGCTATAGCCATCCACGAAAGTTCAAGGCTCAGGATCCGCTAATGACGGCGGACGCCGTAGAACTTGGTCTTCGATCAGCGGAAGTCTGCCTGATGTGGATAGATTACTCCTGTCGGAAGCTTCGGGGTTCGCTGTGAGACGGGACGACCCGAAGGCAACATGGCGCAAGAAGGATGTTGTGCTTATGGCTATCAACGAGATTCACAAAGAGGTACTCTGCTGGATTATTGACCTCCCGCCTCTGGGCCGGAGGATTCGCTTGAGGACAAGGAGTGATACCGGCTCATGGGGACCGAGGGATGGATCGCAAGGGCTTTCTCTTCTATGCTACCGCATATGCCAGCCGCAGAGAGGGTCAGAATCACATTCTGTGATTGTCTGACGATGATCAGAAGAGCCGTGATGAAGGACGGTGGCCCACAGTCTTCCCCAGCTTCGCAAACTATGAGTGGCTTGCTAATCAGGGTAAAGTACCGCAGGGGCTTGCAAGTTGCCGTTGAGCGTTAGACTGTCAGACCATCCGATAATTAGTGGCTCCAATATTTCTGAATCATTTTAAGCGACGAGGGGTAGTCTGGAGCACTGACCCCGTCCGTCAAATCACTGTCAAGATGAGCAACCCGAAAGCGCCTATCTCAGGCAGGTCCCGACCAGTTCTTGCTCGTGTTTGGTCTACCGAGCTTCTTGATTTGGGCTATTTGGGGCCGACATTGTGGCCAAGACCGACCAGACAAGACATCATTCCACAAGCACGTATATGGATGGAGAATCCGGAGTCTGACATAGCCCGAGGAATGTGGTCGAAGCGGTGTTATGGAAGATCATCCTAGCGAGCGTCGAAACGTTGGAGCTTTTCGCCTAAAGTCGACCCTTTCGCCGGCAGAGATTGCAGGGTTGTTTTGAGGCTGCTAACTAGGTAGTGAGCCGGCGGAATGCGGCAGTCGAGTTTGAGGCGAAGCTCCGCTTAAACTGCTTGGACTTCGAAAGCCTTTATCCATGGACCACAAAGCCATTGCTTACCTACTCAACGCGAAGAAGACGCTGGCAGGAGCTTGACGGAGCGACAGCCGTTCCCAAAACAGTCCACCATGCGGGGCAACAGTGGACCGGTGGCGGAGAGAAGGCAGGTGGTATGTTCTGGCATTGTTCCATAGATAATCCGTGAAATCGACAGCGACCCAGGGAATATGGGCATCGGAATGGACCGATATCTGGCGCGTCGGCAGGGATCTCTATCCTGGAATCGTCAGGTGTCCCAGGCGAAAAGATGCCGGACCTTGGAGGATGTGGAGTGGAGGTTGTCTGGAGAAGAGCCGAGTTACAGCCTAACCAGATCTGGAGCGGGGTTGCCTTGCCCTCGTGGCCCCCAAACAGGTTAAGCGGACAATTGAGGCACGGCCTCTCCTCCGTGTAGCTCTCATCCAGAGCACTATCAGAGCAGAAGAGGGGACAGCCGCGACAATGCTTAGAAAGACTGGCTCCTCTGAGTTGCGGGATTACCCCCTCATTGAACGACCGCCGTAGACAGTTAAATCTGTTCTGGTCCCTTCTCAACCTCCCTCTTTCGCTGCCATATTCTGTCAATTGGGCCACTGCTACCTGCGCAGAAGAGCAAAGATGGCCAGTTACGCACAGTATATCATTTCCTCGGGCTGGAGCTTCAAGGACAGTGAAGATCAGTCTCCTGAAGCTTGGTTGCCAGTCTCTACTGTCCCCTCTGTTGTCCAGCAAGATTTACAGGCAAACGGCAAGTGCGTATATCTCGGCGACCGATGCTTTTTCAAGTGCTAATCTCACCATTTGTTCAAGACTGAAGGATCCATTCATCGGCTTCAACGAATTGAGCGCAAGATGGGTCAATGAGAAGTCGTGGACCTACCGGAATGTCTTTCAAAAACCAACTATCCCTGCCGGATCCTCAATCTTCATAGTCTTTGATGGACTGGATACTTTTGCCAAGGTCAAGCTCGACGGTCGAGTGATTTTGGAGAGCGACAACATGTTCCTTGCCCATAGGGTAGATGTAACTGAAGCGTTGGATACGGAAGGAGATCATACCATTGAGATTGAATTCGATTGTGCACTGCTTCGAGCTCGGGAGCTCCGAAACCAGTATCCGGACCATGAATGGGTCGGCTTCAATGGAGACCCTGCGAGGCTGAGCGTCAGAAAAGCCCAGTATCATTGGGGATGGGACTGGGGCCCAGTGCTGATGACGGCAGGTATCTGGAAAGAAGTTCGCCTTGAAGTTTACTCCACGAGAATTTCAGATCTCTGGACAGAGGTGGACCTGGACGACGGTCATTCGAATGCGCACATTACTGCCACTGCAGAAGTTGAAACCAGCGACACCAACAATTCGTATACAGCGACTTTCACGCTGAGCCTTCAAGGCCAGGAAATCGGGACAGAGGTGGTTTCCTTGGAAGGGGATGTGGCAAAGACGACGTTCGACGTGCAGGATCCTTCTCTGTGGTGGCCGAATGGTTACGGAGACCAAACTTTATATGATATTTCGGTTTCTCTAAAAAGAGACGAAGGGCAAATCCATCAAGTCGCGAAGAAGTTCGGGATTCGGACTGCGGAAGTCATTCAGCAGCCAGACAAGCATGGAAAATCGTTTTTCTTCCGCATCAATGGCGTGGACATCTTCTGCGGCGGTGCATGCTGGATTCCTGCCGATAGCCTCTTGACGAACATCACGTCGGATCGTTACCGGAAATGGATTGAGTTGATGGCTGCCGGCCATCAAGTCATGATTCGGTAAGTTGCTATTAACGATTCAAGCATATGAACCTGGTCTAAATTTTATAGGGTTTGGGGTGGAGGCATCTACGAGGATGAGAGCTTCTACCAAGCCTGTGACGAGGTCGGCATCATGGTATGGCAAGATTTCATGTTCGGCTGCGGTAACTATCCGACTTGGCCTGAGTTACTCGAGTCGATTGAGAAAGAGGCCGAATACAACCTGCGCCGCCTGCGTCACCATCCCTCCATCGTTATCTGGGTCGGAAACAACGAGGACTACCAGGTACAAGAACAACGAGGTCTCACCTACAACTACGAAGACAAGGATCCGGACAGCTGGCTGAAGACGGACTTCCCGGCTCGCTACATCTACGAGCACATATTGCCACGGGCTGTCAAGAAAATAATACCGTCGATATACTACCATCCTGGCAGCCCTTGGGGCGACGGCAAAATCACCTCTGACCCAACAGTTGGCGACATGCACCAGTGGAATGGTGAGTCCCGCCCCGCGATATTGTCATGCTCTTAACTAATGGGATCATTAGTATGGCATGGGACGCAGGAAAAATACCAAATATTCGATACTCTTGGAGGCCGTTTCAACAGCGAGTTCGGAATGGAAGCATTCCCTCACATTGCCACGATTGACCACTTTGTCGAGAACGAAGCCGACAAATACCCCCAATCGCACGTTCTGGACTTCCACAACAAAGCGGATGGCCACGAACGAAGGATTGCCACGTACCTGGTGGAGAATCTACGGACAGCAACAGACCTGGAGGTAGGTACCTCGATTTGCAGTCCGTGACACATGATACTAACAACTGTAGACCTATGTTTACCTCACGCAAGTCGTCCAAGCTGAAACAATGATGTTCGGGTACCGCGGATGGCGTCGCCAGTGGGGAGATGAAAGACATTGCGGAGGCGCTCTACTTTGGCAGTTGAACGATTGCTGGCCCACCATCTCCTGGGCCATCGTGGATTACTTCTTGCGCCCTAAGCCCGCGTTCTATGCCGTTAGCCGCGTCTTGAAGCCAGTCGCCATCGGCGTACGTCGAGAGCACCACGACTGGAGTGTATCCCACGCAGTACCACCGAAAGCCAGCAAGTACGAGCTATGGGTCGTCAGCAGCTTGCGCAAAGAACAAACTGGGCAAGTGGAATTAAGGTTTATCTCGATCAAGACTGGTCTTGAGATCCGTGAGGCCGTCGTCCATGAGGACGTGACAATTGCACCCAACGGTACCACTAACATCTTGGACGGCGTAATTGATAATGAAGTCGATGAACCACATGTCCTCGCCGCTAGAGTATGGATAGGTGGCGAGCTTGTGGCTCGGGATGTCGATTGGCCGCAGCCGTTCAAGTATCTCGATCTCTCGGATCGAGGACTAGTGGTTACCACGATTTCCGACGTTGAAGACGAGCAGATACTCGAGTTGAGAACCAGCAAACCAGTCAAGTGTCTAGTTTTTGAGGAGCGAGAGAATGTCCGTGTCAGTGACAGTGCGATCGACATCGTCCCTGGCGATGACCAGTTCGTTACTGTCAAGGGACTGAAGCCTGGTGATGCGCCGCTCAAGTACAAATTCCTTGGGCAGTAATAGCGCGACTTACATGTTCTGCCGTTATGCCACTCATCTCTATATGTACTGATCTCAATGGTACCTCTCTTCCAACACCTCGCAGGTAGAAACAATAAGCTACAAGCATCCAACCCATATATTGTCTTCAGACTTCCACAGGCCCTGCCTTATCTTATCGATAGCATCCCAATCGGGTAAAGCGCGCTGAATGACATCTTCCAGAATAACTTCCTCTCCGCTCCTCTCCCACTTTACTCCGCACTGCACATGGAGCAAAATACGGACACTCCTACGACGGGGACCAAGCGTTCCTGGGAAGGCATACCGCTCCGCAACGACTACATGCAGCAATCTTCATCAGCGACAATGGCAAAGTCAGAGGCCTCACCAAATATCCTCTCAATGTTCGAGGGCTTCCGCGACGAGTTGGACCAGCACCACGACCGCCGCGAGCGACTGATTAAGATCAGCCGTGATATCACTGCGCTCAGCAAGAAAATGTAAGCTCCTTATTCCATTCTCGTATCGAGAACAAGCTAACACACCTGTCCCAACAGCATCTTCTCCCTCCAGCGGTTCGTCCCCTACCACCACTAACCTCGCAACCGAACAGAATGCTAACAACTACATAACGCAGAGTCCGAACCGCCAACGCACCTATTCCCGCCTCCATCCTCAAAGACACCGAATCTCGCTTCACGCAGATAAACGATCTCTTCGTCTCCGCAGTCCCCGAAACCCGCGGCCTAAACAACTACCGCTACCTCCGCAATCTCAGCGGCGGAATCCAAGAGTTCATCGAAGCCCTCTCCTTCAAACACTACCTCGAGACGCAAACTCTCATTACCCGCGACCAAGTGGCACAACACCTTCCTCCCGAAATTCTGGTTACAGAAGACGACTACGTGATGGGCCTGTTCGATCTTACGGGTGAACTTATGCGCTTCGCTGTCACGTCGCTTTCCGCGGGGAGTCATACTGATGCGTCTGATGGGCTGCCACGATTGCCTCCCGCGCAGGCTGGTGTTGTGCGTGATCTGAGGGAGATCAGGGCTGAGTTCGAGGGCGTTACTATCCCGCGCCGTCACGATTACCAGATTATGCGCGACTGGGGGAAGAAGGCGGAAATTATGGGGAACAGTGTCGAAAAGGTCGAGCGTGCGGCGTACGGAATTCTGGTTCGGGGAAGTGAGAGGCCGAAGGGTTGGAAGCCGGATTTGTCGGCAGCGGTGGAGATGGATGTTTATTGATCTCGTCTTCGATGTTTCCATTTCGCTACGACGTGAGTCTGGGTTGGTGCGTTTAATGGTGTGCTATGGTATGGCATGATTTGATCTGGTATGAGTTAGGTATGATGATGGATGTAAGTTATATGTGCCGGATTAGGTACTCCAATATTTCCACTGTTTGAGAGAAGATCATGACAAATGAATGAACCAAACTATCCAGTTGATCCAGCGACTGTACCTATTTCCTATCGACCAAATTCCAGCCGTTCCAGCAGCCCAAGTATAGACAGCGCGCAATCATCCATTATACTGATAGAAACGTCATATCCTTCCGCTTCGTAGAATCATATCTCATCCCCGTGTCCGCATCATACTAAGACTTCAGATATCTCCAAGATCACTCACTCACTGATCAACCGGCGCCTTCTCGTCAGCAGGAAGGATATGACCTACGCCCCAAGTCCGACGATTAGCTTACCCCTCCCCCCGAACAAAGGACAAGAGGTCGAGAATAAGAAACTCACGCTCAACAAGCTCATCCCTCTCCGGCCGATGCTCAAGATTCTTCTTCAGGTTATCCGAGACCTGCTGGCGATCGAGCTTCTGGCGCATTGCTTGGATCGACCTGTCACGCGGGGAACCTTGTTAGCCCCACGTTACTCCAGACAGCATTGCTACGGAGGGTGGAATGGATGTGGTGCGCACGGAGCAACATTCGTATCGAGCAGGATGTGCCTGTCCTTGAGGTCTTGCGGGTCGGGGCGGGTCATGAGGTGCTTCTCGAGGGAGTCGCGGCGTTCGATGGGGGAGATGGCGAGGGAGGTTGTGTCGACGGTGGGGGTGGAGGTGTCGAGGGAGGTGGACATTGTAAGTAGATGGCTGGTTGTTTAGATGAGTTGATATGGTATAGTGTGGTTCCGGTGGGTGGTATGGAGTAGATTGGTTGCAAGTATGGTTTGCTCCGGGTAGACTAAGCAGTAGGAGGGGGAGGAGGGGCTACATATATGTACGATATCAAGGTACGATCTGCTGGCAGGGCAGGGCAGTCTCGTTGTTACGGCATGGTTGTCGCAGCGATGAGGGGAAGTGGCTCAGTGGCTGGTCAAGTGATTGGACTGTTCCACGGGATCATCGCGGGGTAGACTGACGCTCTTTGCAGGAGGAAGATTACTCATAAAGAAGTCCTGGTAATCTACAGTAATGTATTGATTCAAAGAACTAACTGGCATCGTATTTCAGTCTGGCGATGCCGACAATAATCAACGCGGGACAATAAAGAGGGGCGGCCCACTCCACCTGTCCTTGTAGATAGATGGTGTTGGTAATTGAGTAAGAGTAGCATGTTGAATAGCCTAGCTCTTTAAGGCATGCTGATCGGATCGGGACACGGGAATATACATTCACCCATGTCGCAAATGAAACAGCAGCCCCGATTTCTCCAAGATTAACCGAAAGTAAAGGAGTAAAGGCATGAGATGATATGAGCGGTCATAGGAACGCAAAGTGGTACGCCTGCACTGGACCTGAAGCGAATCTGAATCCATCGAGGCTGTATCACAATGCTCCGTGACTGACCCGGGGAGAAATAGTACCGTTTTTGACACGTTCATCCGCCGAGATTCGCATCCATGGTCATCCGCGCAATACCCATTTGTCTCACCCATAAAGGAAACTGACAGAGAACCTGAGCCGGGCTAGGCAGATACAACCGTTTTCCTGCTTCGTAGAGCAACCATTTGGTCTATCGCGAAGTTGTATTGATGGTCAGTCCGTCGCAACACACTAAGGTCGACGGACCTGCATCGTACGATCAAGGAACCCAGAGTTTGCCACGACCACGGCTGCCACCACGGGATGGTCCACGCGCGGGACCGCGCCGACTGTTTCCATTGTTCCGCGAGGCGCCTGCGATGCCACGTGAAGCACCAGCCTGGGTGCTCAGATCAACCGTCGCCTGCTTCGGCTTCGGGGTCACGCCCAGCGACCGGCTGAATGAGTTCGGGTCGATCGGCTGGGTTGGAATCTCTACCGTGGTCTCCAGAGGCTGCACAGCAGGCTTTGCTGGCGCTGAGGCTTTGCGGTTGTTGCCCCCACGGGAATTACCATTTTTCGATGCACCTTTGCCGCGACCGCGGGGGACGAACACCAGCTCGTCCTCGTCGCTCTCTTCTTCGTAAGAGAGCAAAGGCTTTGGCTCTGCGGTCTGGGTTTTCTCAACGTATTTGCATCGGTTCTTGTACTCTCTTTCCTCGTATTGAATGGAAGTCCGCAGCTGGTGGATGTTCTTGGCGCCGATGCCAAACTTCTGCGCCCAGATTTGCGTATTACGGTCGTTGCTGATTAGAATAGGCGTCTTCGCAGCATTGGAAGCATCGGGACTTTTGTGCACTTGCCATAGAAGTGCACTGATCAAAGGCCGCAGAACGGGCGGGACCACAGGGATAGTAGAACCGGAGGCGGTGCGGCGGTGTCCCTTGTTCTTAAAGTCCTTCGCTTCGTCCCCATTCGTAGCATGACTATTCGCAAACTCTGGACTTGTCCGAGAGCTCCTGGAGGACGGCCGGGAGGCGGGGCCGCTGTGAGTGCCCGTAGAGGTGATTGAGACGGCATCGGAATCCTTTTTGAAGTTCAGCTTGCTGAGCAGCATCCGCGAAAGTTCGTCGGTGGCGCCATTGCTCTTCCTGCGGTCACCATCCTTTCCCACGCGCTTGTCCTGCTGAGTCGGCTCGCCGGCCGAAACGGGAGCCCCGGCAGCTTCTGGCTCCTCCTCGAATTCCGGCAAGAAAAACTTCTCTGCCTCACTCCAGTTTTCAAATTGCTCCATCGGCCCTTGCAATATGACTCTCTCGGAAGCAGCGTTGCCTTTATCCGAGGTTGCACGGTCAAGGAAACGGACCGCCTCTCGAGCGTTGATGGCGACCTGCGACCCGGCTTTCTTCAATGCATGAAGGCGCTCGAGAGCTGAAAATAGTGTGAGTGGATGACGAGGCAGGCGGGGATCAAATCCGAGCGGCCTTACTGTAAAGAGGGACGATGAGAGTGATAGCCCCGTTGGTCGCCCATTTTTTGATCTCGCTGATGTTCGTCGTTAGTGCCGTTTCGTCCACGGCACAGTGGAAGACCTTGCGTCCTGCCGACATTGTGGTGTTCGGTTCGGTGGCGGAGTCGGCAAACGCAGGTGGTTGTGTAATCGGTAGGCGGCTGTAGGCGCAGACGCCCTACTCCAGATAGCCTGTTCTAGAAACTGCGACTATAATTCTCGGTCAGCTGAAGCTTGAAGGAGGTTGTGGATCGGTGTCGGCGGAGAGATCAGGAATGTGGGGGTAGTAGCGTAGCGCGCGGACGGAGGATTTGAGCATGAGCCACGTCCATCAACAGCGAGGCCAGAATCAAGGTACTCACAGTCGGATCCTAGTTCATGAAGAGTTTTCATCGGCAGCATCTTGTGTTTTGGCTGACGTAGGAGGTAGAAGTGCGGCCGAAGTGATGGAACACTGAAAGCCGCGGAATGAGTATCGGATCAACTGGCGGACCTTCTGTTGCATTCTTACTAAGCACCGCAGTGAGACTGAAGCAAACTCTCATAATGGTTATCTTTGTTTGGCTTTGGCAAGTTCAATTCAATATTTTGCTAGTGAGTACATCTATTGCATTGCCGGTGATTACAGTCTACAGGATAGACTACCGGTCAGTCATACGCGAGTTTGAGACATGCATTACTTGCGACAACCACCGAGTCAGACAAGCTTTCAGAAATAAGCGGCAGACGAAGCAGATCAGCGCTGCTGTCTGCTTAGGTATCTTTCTTAATCAATCCATCTTTCTCATCGACACGCTGGGCCCATTCCCTGCTCATATAGTAAGTATCTGAGAAGTGACATTCAAAAGGGACAACTCACGTCCAGCTTCCATCGTATACTCTTCGAAGGCTAGGGTCACCATATTCGGCCAGCCCCAATGCTGTCTCAATGATAGTAGCCGTCACACCAGTGCCGCAGGAGCTGATTATAGACTTGGTCGGATCCAGGTCACGCGATTCGAACACCTTTCGAAGTTGATCCGGAGGGAGATATGTCTTAGTCTCCGGATCCAGCAATTCCTGGAATGGCAGGCTGGTCGATCCAGGAATATGTCCAGAGGATAGACCCGGGCGCGGTTCAGGGTCGGTTCCTGCCCAGCGACCCTTGGAGCGGGCATCAAGAATTTCTACTTCTTTCGCACCCTCCTTGCGGTGCTCCTTGGCGATCTCTTTCAGTTCGCGGAAAGGAATTACAAGCTTTGAGTCGTAGCTAGGTACGGGGTAGTTCGTCTTTTCCGGCTTGTGATGCTCGCCGGTCTCCGTCGGGTAGTTCTCGCGAACCCACAGCCGGTAGTTGTTCAGAATATGAACTTTGGGATGTCCAAACACTCTCAGAGTCCAGCCGACACGGGGGGCGCTGAAGATACCAAGCTCCTCTGTATCGTAAACTACCACTTCATCGTCACGCCGGATCCCCAGCTCGCTCATCGCTTGGGCGAATGTCTCCGCGGTGGGAAGCATATGTGGGTAGGGTGACTCGGTGTCCTTGATCGCGTCCAAATCAAAGAAGCGGGCTTGCGGTACTCGGTGTTTACGGAAAACATCGATCCCTGTGCGGCCCTCAGGGTCGTTGGGCATGAACCAGGCTGCGCATAGAGGTATCACGCGAGGAGATGTAGAGATCTTGGTAGACGGGTTCTTTTTCAGAGCTTCTGATAGCTCCTTGGGAGTGACAAGGTATGATGAGAATGAGACCTGACGAGTCTGCGTCTGGGTTCGTATTTGCTGGGACACCGTCATCGTCGGTCGTATGAAACGGGTCGGTGAAAGGAAAGAGCTGCGGATCGCTGCGAGAGCCATGATTGTTGAATGTGCGAGGGGAAATGACTAGTATTTACATTCCTGGTCTGTGGGTCGATGGAAATTGGAGTTGGAGATGAAGATGATGGAATTAGACACTAAAGTACGCGGAGAGAAGAGGGAAAGAGCCCCTGTGGTGGTTGGTGATGGTTGTGTTGGAGACTTATCAGTTGGCGATGCGGAGTCGGCGCCCTCCCGAATCTCCCCCATGTGAGAATTACCCTGGAAACTGCCCTTTCTTATCGCTAGATCCACCGATCTTCTTCCCTCCTTCGCTGCCAAAAAGCAACGAGCATCACGTCACCGACGCTTCTGTCTACTACTATCGGCCATGAAAGTCACTCTCAAAGAATGGAACGCGGTCGCCACCTGGCGGTGGGATATGCCCGAGGATGAGGTCTGCGGCATCTGTCGCGTCCAGTTCGACGGCACTTGTCCGACCTGCAAATTTCCCGGCGATGATTGCTCATTGCGTGAGCAGTCCCCATGATGAGGAAAGCTGGTCCGGTTCTAACTCTGCGCTATAGTGCTTGGGAAGTGCGGCCACTCCTTCCATATGGTATGACCGAGTATCACCAGTCTCTCACCTAAGCTGATGTCTTTGTTTAGCACTGCCTCATGACTTGGATCCAGCAAGAGTCTTCCAAAGGTCTATGTCCTATGTGCCGGCAAAGTATGCTCTGCTCTCCAATCATTTTGACATCTGCTAAAACTTGACTAGAGTTCGAATGGAAACAAAACGACGAATGACAAACTCGCTCACTACTTCATCAAAGTGGATACGGCGTTGGAGTTGCGCGATTGATATGATACCCTTTCTGTATACCTTATTTGTCTAATGATACTGCATTGTTCTCAAATTCCATCTACTCATCTCGATACTCATCGTATTTCTCCTACTGTGTCTATGTCCACCACGAATCCAGGATGGATGGATCTTGTGCCTGGCCTGGCCAAGTCATCTGACCGCGCTTATCGATAAGAGGTTCTCCTCATCCGCTCTCGAGCTTCAACGCTTCCTCCCAACCTTCAACCCACAACCATCGTGACCATGTAGCCAGATCTGTCGGCCATGTCTTTTCCAAAGCTCGCTACATCTCCCGCCCTCTCCACGTCTACATCAAAGCAATCTCTCCGACGTCCGTCCTCCCGACCGCACAGCATCAACCAAGTCGCGCAACCGCAGCCAACCGACACCCCAGACCACCCAAGCCCGCACATCGGAGCAAACACCGACTCGTACCAAGCCGAACAAGATGACCATGCCCAGCCATACCACGAAAGCCCCTCTTTATCCTTGCCGCACATCCTATCCCAACCATTCTTCACCCTGATCGAAGACACCCACACCTCGGAATACTACCACCCAACTGTCCACTACATCTTCTCTGATGACGACACAGACATAGTAACGGAGGCTGCGCTGCGCTCGCTGGAGCCCGAACACGATGTTGATCCGAATATAAAGTCAAAGGGCAAGTCAAAAGTGGCAACCCAACATCCTGCAGCTGGATCAGAAGAACAGGACCCAGAAGAACATTACGAGGAGGCTAGTCAGGAAAGGAAGGAGTCTCTCCTTCCGGATCCCATCCCAGGCGTAAGGGATAACTATATCATCCTTGATATGGACCATATACCGCCTGCGCCCAAGGACGGTTACCCCGAGGGAGCGTCACCCGAATCGCAAGCCCAAGTTCAAGCGCAAGGCCAAACCTCGGAAGACCAGCCGCACCCACAAGGACACCTCACGATAACATCTGCACACAGTCTCTCACCCTCCTGGCAAGTCCTAAACACACAACTCCTCCCGGCGCCTACGTTCGAGAACAACTCATCCGGCGAGAAGCCCGCGAACGGTGGACTCATGCTCCAGGTCCAGGGGACCTCGGGTCTACCAACCGGTACGCTTGGCAGGGACAAGGAACAGGGCTCACAGCGATTGGAGGAGATGATGGATCAGTTTGCCAGGCGAATGGAAGAATTGAAATTGGTAATTGAGAACGGGGAGCGGGGGATGCCGACAGAATTCGAAGGGTCTCTTCACGACCCTAGCGCGCTTGGAGAGTTGGATACTGAAGGTGCCCCCGGCGTCGACCGTGAAGTGAGAGAAGAAGTCCATGGGCCAGAGGCTGTCCCTGAGGGCCAGTAACAACGGCAGGAACGTGTTGATCTATAATAATTCATAGTGGCATGAACTTTGATCAAATGATAGCACAATAAGACGTCTTAGCCCATGCCCTACAAGATCCCGAAATATTTACTGAAAAGGAACAGGTGAAATCACGAAGATAGTGAAAGTATCTAAGTCAAAACTGGCCCGATAATCAAAAAAGGTATCAGAAAAAAGCCAAAGGAAGTTGGCACCAAGAAGAGAAAGCCTGCCCCGAAAGCAAAACCCAAAACAAGCCCAAGTGAGGGAAAACAAAGCCTTGGGAGAAACATTGTACCAGTACGATCTAAAACCCGGATACAGGTTCCCGAATTCCTCAAAACGCCCAGGCACCAAGACCCAGAGAAAAGCATTAGGGTATAAGAATACACGAAGTGTGAAAGTAAAGAGCCCTGACAAATAAGGCTGTCAAGGCGACGGGCGGCCTCTCAGCCTACGTCCACTAGAAACTCCAGGGGGTGGGACATTTTCCCTCCCTTCCATCATACCAGCCATCCTCCTGGCAAGCATTTTGTTTGGCAGCTTAGTCTCAACGGCAGCCGAATTTGAGCGGCGCCTCTTGGTTGGGGGTTCATCCATGCCGTCGGTTCCTGTTGCACCGTCCGAGTTGGCAGCAGGGAAACCGTCCTGGTCTGCTGCATTCTTGTCGTCCACACTATACACGAGCGGTCTGACGGCGACGTTTGCATCGACTTCCCTAAGCCCAGTGTTGGAGGGGTTGACGTTGGTCACAGATGGTGCATGAGTTCCTACCTCGTCCTCGGCATCATTGTAGACGAAGCCTTTCGGGGTGGAGTTTCCTGGAGAGCTAACGGGGACGGACAGCCTATCCTCGTCGTTGAATGGAAGAACTTCCATATCTTTTGTCGTCCTTAGTCGAGACCTGAGAGTCTCATGTGGCTCCGTGCTTGGCAGGACAGAAGGGTAGTCGTATTTCCGTTTCTTCGGGGTGACGCCAGTCGCAACATATTCTTCCAGAGACCGATTTTGGATAGTGGAAGAAAGGTCCGAAAGGGGCTTCCGAACATCTTCTGAGAGTGGAGCAATGGATCCTTCCAGGGTGGCATGTTGGTGGGTTGCTTCCTGTTGGAACTGGTTCATTCGGTCGGTCAAGCCGTCAACGCGCTCCTCAATCGAAGAGTAGGATTTGCGGACATCGTTGGCGATAGTATTTAGTGTAGAAATATGCGCATCGCGGTAATGACCATTCTGAGACCGTGCCTTGGCCACAAAATCGTCCAGGGCTTCCATTTGTCGCCCCATGTCGTCCATCTGAGCGTCGACAATGCGTACCGTCTCCTTGTGGACAGATTCTGTCGCCTTTCGAATGGAAGAATTGCGCTGATCAAAGGCCTATACACTTAGTAAGAATATACAAGAGCTGCAGAGCAGACACTCACCTCCCAGTCACTTTGCAGTCTTGTCTTGACCTCATCTTTCGAGGCGTTAACGTCCTTGGCAAACTGTTCGGACTTGAAAACCCATTCATCGACTTGACGATCATGATGCGTGGTGGCATGGTCTAACATTTCTCCCGATGATGAAATCTCCGTCCTGACGCCATCAATCTTACTCTTCAGACGGCTAAATTGCTTCTGGCGAGATTCTTCGACCAGCGCCTTGATCTGTGCCATCAAAAGGTTTCTTTCGGCCTCCGCGGCAACGTGCTCATCTTCGATAGCTTGTGCGAGGTTGGCAGAAGCCTTGTGTGTCGTTTCTATGTTTTGGCGGTTCGCATTCTGAAGTTCAACCCTTAGCCTGTCTATCTCGTTCCTTTGTTCTGCAAGGTGCGTAGTCATCGTCTCAAATATGGACCTGAGATCCTTTCCGAGATTACTATAAGATGCGTGCAACTACGCTTGTTAGCAATAAGCAGGATAGCATAGCAAAGACCTAACTCTTACCTGACTGTGGAACTCCGTGAATTCGCCAATAACCTCTTCGGATATCCGAGCTGCGGCAGCAGATAAACCATTCAGGCCCTCCCCCACCTTGGACTTGACTTCTTCACGCAAGTCCTTGATCTCTTCAAGCACATTGTTCATGTCGTCATGAGCGCCAGATGTTTCGGCCTTGGCATCTTTGTAGGCCATGTCCAATGATCGGGTGTATCCGGATAGATCGGACCGTGTGGACGCAAAGTGAGAGAGTTCTGTGGCAATGAAGTCGTTTACTCTGGCTGCCGTTGTTTCCAGGAGCTCCGCGTGCTGCGTTTGGAAGGTCTCGACTCGCTGATCAATCTGCTTCGTCACATCCGAAACCTCAGTAGACGATGTTTGCCATATTGCTGTGTTGGCAGCATCCAGCTCTGCTTTTCGATCTAACTTTGACTGTAGGCTGCCGATATCGTGAACGGTTTGGTCTAGGGTCGATATGAGGGCTTGGCCAACGTCCTGAAGCTGGTGTTCAGTCTGCTCATGGGCACTTCGCAGCATCTCTTCTTCTTCCAGCTGTGCTCGGGTACTTTGCAAGACAATGTCGGTCTGTTGGAGGACATCATTGGTCGAACATAGAGCGGCCAGTGTGTCGTCATTGTCTCTCTTCAAGTCATTGAACTTACCCGTCAAGGCAAGCAACTCTTGCACCTTATGGCGCAAGCTGGACTCCATAGATTCGATCTTGGCTCGCTGCTCCTCGCTAATAATCTTTCGCGACTCATTCTCCATGGTCATCTCTTCATACGATTCCACCGACATGTACACTCCATTACGATGTCTGGTCGCTATCAATTCTCCCTTCAGCTTCTCGATTTCTGCCGTGAATTCGCGAAGAAGCGTCTTCTTCGGCATAGTGGAGTTGATCTGCGGCTTGTTGCGGATGTTCTTCGCTCGGAAAGCATAATCCAGCGTGGAGATCGTCTCCTCTAAATTGCCTCGAGCAGGCGAAATCGTAGCAATGATGCATGTTTTGGTCCGCCCTCCGAGGGAGTCTTGAAGTAAGCGCGTGAGCTTCGACTCTCTGGTAAGTTGTTAGCGCCTAATCTTCCCCGTTGTTGCTGGAACGTACCTGTAAGGAATGTGTTGGCTCTTGTCAACGAGGGCATTAATCACACGACCAAGAGTAAGCAAGCTCTTGTTGATCAGGCCGGCCTCCGTCGCGCGCTTGTTTTCAGCACCACTTCGCCCAATGTTCTCACTACCAGCCAGATCGACCAGGTTCAGCTTGCCTGGACACACGTATTCCTCTCCGGATTCTGTCGTCCGCTTAGTGTTGACCGTGATAGTGAATACTGTATGACTTCGAGAACTCAAGTCATTGCACTTGGTCGCAGCAACCTGACGCTTGTGACTCCCTTGTTGGAGGAGCTTGATACCTGAAGACGCAGAATCGATGTACGTCTCCTCCATCCCTTGTACTAGCGTGCTCATATGGCCCTTTTTCTCGTTCTCGTAGATCTTCAGCTTCGGATTCTCTTCTGCCGAAAGCAAGTCTCGGAGTTCCTCGTTGTAAAGTTCGATGAAGGAGCATTTCACGGTGCTCTCCGTCTCCGCCAACTTGGCGAATAATGAATATAGAACGCGAGGGATGATACCGGCGTTGTCAGATAAGATACCCAGAGTGTCCGTCATATCTCCAGACATCGTGTACGTCTTTCCAGTACCGGTTTGTCCGTATGCGAATATCGTGCAGTTGTACCCAGCCAGCATCTGCAAAGTAGTCAGCATCGCCTTCCGCGCGGTCGATCTCACTTGTGACGATCATACCTCAGTGACAATCGGCAAAACAACATCCTCGTATACCGTGACTTGGTCTGCCGCTGCGGAGAATACCTTATCGAACGTGTAGGTTTTGTTGGATACTGCATTAGGGCCCATCGACAACTCAACGGTTTGCCCCTTAACTCCCTCGGTCTGAAGGGCTACCCCACTGTTCTCCTTCACTTCCCGCTCGTTGCGCCCCCGACATCGTACAACCACATGTATGCTTGTGTCTTCGTTGATTTCTCGCTCGATGTCCCTCTCTTTTCGCTTCGCAGTTACGCTCGCAGGCTCGGTCGGTTGCTTCGATGCGCGCGTCCGGCTGGCTGCGGGCGCTTTCGCAGATAGTGCTGGTGACACCGTGGAGGTCCGTCCTTCTGGTATCGCAGAACCCGCCCGTCGAGTCGGCTGTCGCGTGGTCGTTCGCCTTGTAGGAAGGCCAGAAGTAGCCCGCTGGGGGCCGGCCATGATGGGAGTGAAGACGGTCGCAACTAGATACTAGAACAATGACTAGACATAAGTTTAATTGAGTAAGATAGGCACAGAATTCGAATGAGGAATCGTAATCGCCGAATAATCGTTCCGGTGGTTTGTCGGCTGTTGTTCCGCTGGCCAGAAAAGGAAAACATAAACAAACCGCACCGCCAGCGCACGGACCGTCATGTGACTTGGATCGGCCAGTCATCCCCTCCGCTCACATGATTCAGTCCCCGATCCCCATCTGACCGGACTCATACAAGCTGAGTCTTGACACCACTACTATCTTGCTACTGACATGCCTGGATACACATAAACAAAGCTCAAGAATCCTGTATTATCAACTCACAAATTACTTTCAAGAGCCGGCCTCAAACTGCTAATCATCCTAGCATCTTTCGCTTTTCTTACCCCTCACGGCATGATTGCGCCTCGCAGCTTATCATGAGTGCCTCAAAAGCTTCACCACAGGCTCAGATCTATCCCGGAAAAGGACTGGGCTTTATCAGTTTGTCTTCCCCCATCTACCTTTCCAGCAGCGACTGATGTTCGTAGCGCTCGGTGCTTCCCTTCATAATGTCTTGAGCCGTATCAAAGCCCACCCGCAAACCTACCCCGCGATCGATATCGCGTACTCCGCATTGGATCCCCTACAGCAACCAGTCACCCTGCAACTCCCGTCAAACGGTCTACGCTTGCGATTCGATGGCCCCGATCAAAGGTTGCGCCTAATAGAAGTCTTGGATTTTGCCAAAATACCCCTAGTTTACAAGAACCAGGAAGTGCTGAAGGGAGCGCCCAAACCTCAAGAGCATTCAACCTCCCCACAGGGTCCGGGTTTCCGCCATGTCTACAACCGCCTCTTCGGCCCTTCATATCCTGGCGAATACATACCGCCGACACCACCGTCCCCGTATGGCACATATGTGCTCTCATATCCCGGTGTCGCTTTCTCATTTCCTCTTCAGGACTCGGCTTGGTCGGAAGAATGCGACTTTGTGGCCTTGCTCTCGTCTTCTGCGGCTCTACCGGCGACGTCTATGTCAATTTTCCAAGGCTCATCATGGCCAGAAGTTCGAGCTAAATTGTTCACGCAGCAGCCGCAATATCCCCGATCTCCTGCTCTCGCTGGCAAGAGCAAAGAATTCGTGGCTGATGAAATCGAAGAGTTTACCATTCTAGGTGCTGGTAAACTCGAGGTTTCTCGGAGATCAACACCACCAGCATATATAACATTATCGCAAACTACTCCCCAGGATCTCATTGCGGAATTCGGACCCCCGGATGCAATATACCGTAGGAACGATCGCAGGATTTCCATCCATCGTGCCGCTGGCGGTCACCGCGGGGATGAAATGATCCACATGAGTCCAGCATCAGGTAGAGGAATTGAATTTAATGATACAGACCAGTCGTCAAATAACAGTGTCAGTGACGACTCGGACGAGGGCCTTTCGCAGGCAAGCGCTTTGGACCCTTCGTCATTACCGTCGGAATGCTTCTTCAACTACTTTCACCATGGTTTTGATGCCTTCATATCACACCCGACCACGTCCGGGCCAGCATTTCCCAGCTCTGATCTTGATGACCCAACTCCCCCTTCGCCTTCATCCCAGTTAGTCGTGACTAAGATTGTTCTACATGGAAACGTGCCGGGATCGTATCCGTTCAACCGGTACAGACGCAGTCGCTGGAGAATTGAACTTAACCCCTCTGTCAACTCCTCCGCGTCATCTGTTACTTCAGAAACACCATATGACCAGATCTCCGGGCGCCTTAGAGGGATTTGGAAGGGCTCATATGCAAGCGCTGCGGAGGAACGAGCTCTTGAAAGGCCTATGGTGCTGAACAGAGGATGGGGCGATAGTCCTGAAAGCAGCGTCGAGTTCCTCGGTGGATGGGAGGAAAGTACAGGGAGAGGACAAAGAGCTCAAGGTGGACATGATGGGGGCTTAGGAAACACGGAGCTGTTTGGATTTCCCGGGCTTCTGTTCGAGGTCATGAAGAATGGGGCAGTAAGCTGTTTAACTATATATTGATGCATCATGCAATATTACAGTCGAAACTCACGCGGCTCTTTTCTTATTCACTGGCAAATCATTAGCCCAATTCACCTTACTTCTAGACTCTCTAGTAATACTAAGTACGTACTTCGTAGACTACGATCCATTACTCATTGAGGTTGACTTCAATCTTACCTTGCAGCCGACCTTGTTGGGGGTGGGTCTTCTCGAAACCGACGCCAAGCCGTGTTATTTTCTGGAGCTCCGATCCGCAGCGCAACCTTTCCTCTGCGCCGCAACCTCGACATTTTCACACAATTGTCCTACAAGTAGGATATGCTTCGGCGATAGCATGCCCGAATTGCCGCGGACGCTGGCGCGGTCGTGGTCGTCGACTCTGAAGCTGCCAAAGTCGACGTTCCCGGCGCGTGTAACTCCGGCCGACCAGACAAAATACCTGAAGCGATGCACCGACGAGCTCTACGCCTGGCAACGCCGTGAACGCCCTGCGGATCGACCGTTTGTCCTCCACGATGGCCCCCCATACGCTAATGGTGACCTCCATGTCGGTCACGCTCTGAACAAAATCCTCAAGGACATAATCTGCCGTGTACAGCTCGGTGCGGGAAAGAGGGTGCGCTACGTGCCCGGTTGGGACTGCCATGGTCTACCCATTGAGTTGAAAGCCCTCGAGGCGCGGAAAGATGTCCAGGATGAGAGCGGCGTTGTTGGAGCCGCTGCTACAAGGAAGATCGCACGCAACCTTGCGGAGAAGACGGTGAAGAAGCAAATGAACGGATTCCGGAGCTTTGGGATAATGGCGGACTGGGAAAATCATTGGAAAACCATGGACAAGGACTTTGAGAAACGGCAACTTGGTATCTTTCGCGAAATGGTCGAGAAGGGTCTCATTTATCGACGATTTAAACCGGTCTATTGGTCGCCTTCGACTGGCACCGCGCTGGCGGAGGCAGAGCTGGAATATAAAGACGATCATGTTTCTACGGCTGCTTTTGTGAAGTTTCCACTGGTCAAAGTACCCTCACACCTGGAGCAGGACCCCCTGCTGAATGGAAAGAAAATCAGTGCTGTTATCTGGACAACTACCCCCTGGACCCTCCCGGCTAATGCTGCCGTCGCTGTTCACCCGGAGCTGGAATACACGATTGTCGAATCCGCGGCTCATGGTCATCTTCTTGTCGCGCAGTCTCGACTAGAGTCTCTTGAAAATCTTCTCAAGGAGGATCTTTCTGTGATTGTGCCAGTGATTCTCGGCTCAGAGCTAGCAGACAACACCATGTACCGGCCTTTGTTCAAAGCAGCCAATTCGGACCCGCAACCGCTAATTGCTGCAGACTTTGTGACCGCAGATTCGGGAACCGGACTCGTCCATTGCGCTCCTGGACACGGTATGGAAGACTACGAAGCTTGCCTTGCCCGCGGAATTCCTGCATTTGCGCCTGTCGATGATCACGGGAAATTCACCGATCTTGCGATGCCCGACGATCCGAAACGGCTGAGCGGCAAGAGTGTTCAGGGTGACGGAAATGTTGCTATACTTGATTACATCAAATCACAAGGGCAACTCATCTCGCAGCACCGCTACGAACACCGGTACCCTTACGACTGGAGGTCCAAACGACCGATCATCATCCGGGCTACTGAGCAATGGTTTGCCGACGTGGCCGATATCCAGGACAGTGCACTCAAGTCTCTCCACGACGTCGAGTTTGTACCAGCGGCAGGACGCCAGAGGCTCGAGAATTTCGTCAAGAACAGAAGTGAATGGTGTATCTCCCGTCAACGGGCATGGGGTGTTCCTATTCCCGCACTCTACCACCGCGGCACGGGCGAGGCTGTGCTTACTAAAGACAGTGTTTCGCATATTATGAGCGTCATTGACGAACGTGGAATCAACGCGTGGTGGACGGACGATGCCAATGACTCTGCTTGGATTCCACCTGCGTTGCGAGAATCAGAATCTGCCTACAAACGCGGAACGGACACTATGGACGTTTGGTTCGACAGCGGCACTAGCTGGGCAGAGGTTGAAACTCCTTACGGCGAGCATGGGCGCCCTGCCGATGTCTATCTCGAGGGTAGCGATCAACACCGCGGATGGTTCCAGTCAGGTCTCCTCACCTACATAGCACACCAGCTCGCTTCCTGTCAAACTGATGCCCCACGCGCCCCGTTCAAGACTTTGATCACTCATGGGTTTACGCTCGATGAGGAGGGCCGGAAGATGAGCAAGTCGATTGGCAATGTCATGGAACCTCAGGACATTATGGCCGGAACTCTTCTTCCACCTCTGAAGCAGAAAAAGGGCAAGGGAAAGAAGCAATCCGAGAATGACAAACCGGTCTACGACGCTTTAGGCCCGGACGCCCTCCGATTGTGGGCCGCAAGCAGTGACTATACCCGCGACGTTGTCATGGGCAAGCAAGTCCTACAAACAGTCCATACTAGCTTGCACAAGTACCGCGTTACTTTCAAACTACTTCTTGGTGCCCTTTCAGACTTCCGTCCTGAGAACAGAATCGCGTATGATAAACTACTGTTGGTGGATCGCATCGCCCTCCTCCACCTCTCCGAAATGACCCAAGCTGCTCGAGCAGCCTGCGAGAAATTCGAATTCTACAAGGCAGTCAGTGCCGTCAACCGATGGGCTAACCTCGAGTTCTCTGCTTTCTACATGGAAGCCATCAAAGACCGTCTGTATACTTACGCAGAAAATAGCCCTAGCCGGCGAGCTGCCCAAACGATACTGTTCCACATCTACCGGCATCTACAGGAAGTCCTCGGTCCCATCACGCCGTTGCTGGTGGAGGAGACTTGGGAACACACGCCGGAGGCGCTCAAAGCCGAACTTGAGCACCCTCTGAAACGCACTGTCGCACTGCCTGACTCAGAATGGCAGGACCCTTCTCTGAGTGGAGACTATCAGGAAATCGTTTCCGTTCACTCCGTTATCAAGAACATGCTGGAAAAGGCGAGAGGCAACAAGCAGACCGGCTCATCCTTGCAATCTTTCGTGCACATCCAGCTCCCGAGCACTGCTAGCCAGTCCGTTCTCCAACGAAAGCTGGAGGAGCTTGCTGACGTCTTTGTTGTGTCTTCTGTTACACTGAGCGGAAGCGAAGAAACGGTCCCCGAGGAAATAGCAAATGCCGAATGGCAGTACAGCGAGGATTATGAGCTGCCCAATGGCGCAAAGGGAACAGCTTATGTTTTCAGCCCGCAAGCATCAAAATGCCCTCGGTGCTGGCGCTACGTGGTTCCAGACGCAGAGGCCGCCGAAGACAAGGCGTGCGATCGCTGCGAGGACGTCGTGCAGGGACTGGGTGGATCAGCGTGAGCGGAACGCTCTTCCGCACCGTGCCCATCCTTGATTTTGACAGCTTCTCCAGTAGACATGTATATTAGCGGGGTCACGCTTCCGGGTGCATCCCTGATTTCGACCATATTTTTAGTCGTGAATATTAGCAATAGAAGCGCATCTTGAAGAGTGCTCCAACATCCAGTGCAGCGACTGTCGTCAGTGGCGAGGCCGGAACCTGTCCCGGCCCCGCCAAGACACCATCCTCCCGCGTCGATGACCACTGGAGCCTTCTCAGCTGACCTGCAGCTCTTCTGCTTGCAACTCCTGCAGAGCCTACCGGAAGAAGCTCACCTCTCGAGCCAATCCACGGCGATGACACCGCCCAAGAACCAGGCAGCTTCGGCGAGCTCGCGATTCGATGACGACGCATTTCTGTCAGTATGACGATGGAATTGTAAGACCACCGATGCCATGCCACCCCGGGGTAACACCCCTCAGCGAATGGAATCTACGGCTTTGGGTCGACCCAGCGGTCCTCGCTCCACCCAGATCGAGACCTTGAATGTGGTCATCATTGCTTTCGGCTGCTGTACGCCTATAAATCTAGTCTGACCCCGGGGTCCGTTGACAACGGCTACGCACGGCTTGAGCGGAGGAATAGTCCGTACGAACATCGCAAAAAATGATTGACAACGCCAAAATGATCGAAGACGCCCTCAAAAAGACAGTCACTGTCACGCAGACGCTGACAGAGATCGTCACCAAGACCATTCCTTACCCGGACCCGATCCCAACCCATTCGACATCGACTTCAACATGGACCAGCACCTCCTCGGTGGCTCCCATTCCCACGGTAATCCCGGACCGACCATCCATCCAGGGCATCGATACAGCTGCCAAGCGGACATTATGGTATGACGAGCCTTGCTTCTGGGCAGGTGGACTGTGCTGATTGGAATAGGGTTGTTACTGTGCTTATGGCGCTTTCGTCTCTCGTTTTCTACATTCTTAGCAATCGCGTGCAGCTTGTGAGTTACTTTGGAAGAATTAGGTGCAGCCGCTGACATTTTCTAGCCCAAGCGTGTCGTTCACTACCTCGTCGCTACCGCAACAACCGTTTCGTTTATCATTTACCTCGCTCTCGCTACCGGACAGGGCATGGATTGGAAACATGACACCTACCACCACAAGCACAAGCACGCTCCGGACACCGAGTATGGCATCATCCGACAGATCCTCTGGCTCCGCTATGTCAACTGGTTCATCACGGATCCTCTGATCCTTGCGGCCTTGACCCTTCTCTCCGGCCTCCCCGGCGCATCGCTCTTTGCCGCCATTGCCGCCGACTGGGTGATGTTGGCTACTGGTCTTTTCGGCACCTACGCCCCCAACACCTCGCGCAAGTGGGTTTGGTTTGCCCTCAGCGCTATTGCCTTCATAACCGTCATTTACCACATCGGAGTCAAGGGAACTCGTGCCGCCAACAACCGGGACTCTCACACCCGCCGTCTCTTCTCGGCTATTGCGACTGTGGCACTTGTGGCCCATGCTCTGTACCCGATGTATGTCTCTACTTCCTTGTTGTGGACTTATGATGCTAACGGAGCTCAGTACCCTTGCTGTCGGTCCACTCTCCCTCAAGGTCGGACTCACTGGCGAGACCATTCTGTTTGCTATCCACGATATTATCATCCAGGGCATTCTTGGCTATTGGCTCGTCATTGCCAATGATGCCGCCACTGGAACTAACCTCTACGTCGACGGTTTCTGGTCCAGCGGACTCGGCAACGAGGGCGCTATCCGCATCAACGAGGAGGAGGGCGCTTAAAAGCGTCGATGATGGTGACTCGAGAGAAGTCTATCGTACGGAGCAAGCTTCTCAATCTCAGGGGGACAGAGACAAGTCGATTGGATAAAGAAGAGAGTAGTGAGGATGAGCAGAAAGGGCAGACTGTCCAAAACGAACGGGATGTAAGCGAGGTATTTGCTTGAGCAGAGAAGATTGGGGTTGGATGTTTATGCGACATTGAATTTACGATTCATGGTTATGATAGCTAGCCCTTCTGTATTTATTTTATCTGGATTCAGTAATGTGCCACACGCAATGGCATGATTTTGGAATATCGCACACTCTGTATGACCTATCTCATTGCTTGAGCGAATAAAAAAACGTCCAAATGGTCAGGGCAGGAATCGAACCTGCAACTTCGGTAGTCCGTCATCCTCGTACACCCGCCCCGAAGCCTAAACGGGTGGAGACGCCGTCCATGGGCTCACTCTGGGCTCTCGTGGCCGGCCTCTTCCGGATCGCTAGGTACCGACGCTTTAACCATTAAGCTACCTGGCCTATTATTGGGACATCTTTCCAATCTGTCCGATTAACCGATCCAGCACCTCAACATCATATACCGGAGATTCTCTGTGCCTAATACCTTGATGTCAGTGCCACGCCGATTTCTTTTTCTTATTCAGGGCAGTGACGTAGGTATAGTACTGACCTATGGATTCATCATTACGCTGCCCAGGTGGAGCCTGGCCTTAGCTTCCAACCAAGCATTGAGGCGCCCGCCATTCATTGAATTCCGCCTAATGAACCGGATGACTTTCTTAGCGCGACCAAGTGAATTAGATAACTTTTTGATAAAAATGGCCTAAAGGAGTTTAGCGCCGTGTTTTAGCTAGTAATTATAAATTTATAAAAAAGCTTGTTAGTTAATAAAATACTACTATAATTAATATTACCTTTTTTATTACTAAGGCCTTTACCCCTAAAATCTTTTAATATTTATAAAGTTAATAAAATAAAAAACTTTACTCCTAAACTTTTTTATTAATTTTATATATATTACTTTAATTTTACTATGGCGTACTTTTTTAATACTTAGTATTTAAAAATAATTATTTTTAATATAAATATTACCTGGATTACCTTATAATAACATGCTTAAAATTATAAATATTTTTTTAATATTTTTAAGGCAAGTAAAAATATTTAAAATATTAAATATTATTATTATAAAGTAAAAAATATAAATACTAGGTTTAAATTTAATAAATTATAGTAAAGGGGCCATTAAAAAAAAAGCTTTTTTTTATTTAATAATATTTAAATTATTTATATAATTTTTATAAAAAACCTTAAAAAGGCGCTATTTTAATAAAATAACTAATTTTTTTATAAATTAAGTAAGTAATAAATAGCGTAATAACCTTCGCGAAAGTATTTTAAAAAGTAAAAAAATTAATTTATAATTATAAGCTTGTAGTATGCTATAATTATAAGATTTAAAATAAAATTAATAATATAATTAATAATAATAAAGTTATTTTATTTAAATAAATCCCTACCTAGCTATCCTGCTTAATAAATAAGAATTTTAATAAGTAATAATATTATAAAATATACTTTAATATATTTACTTATTACTTTATTATACCAAGCGCCTTTATATAAAAATTTAAATATTATTAAAAATTTATAATATTAAATATAATTTTTTAAAAGGCCTTATAAAATATATAGTTGCTTGTAGCTAGCTTGTTTAATAAAAAAAATTATATATTTTTTATAATAATTATAATTATTTTTAGCAAGTTAAAAAACCACTAAAAATACTTTATTTATTATTTAAAAAGGCTATATAAAAATAACTTAAATATACCTTTAATTATAATTATTTTTAACCGTGGGAAAGGCCTTTAAAAAGTATTAAAGGGTAAATTAATAAATATAACACGCCTTTAATATATATAATATTTTTATAAAAACTTAAGATAATATTATAGCAAGCACCTAAATAAAATAATAAAATACCTTTTTTTTAATACGCGAAGGCTTACTTTAAAAATAAGTTTAAAATTTTAAAAAGTTTTATTAAAATATAAAATAATAAGGTATATTAATATATTTATAATAACTTATTTATTAAGCACTAAATTTATTATACTATTTTTATATTAAAATATAATTATATAACTTTAAATATTATAAAATTTTTAAACTTTTTATAAATTTATTATTATAAGCTACTTATACTTAAGACTATATAATTTATATAAAAAAAGTTTATATTAACCTTTTATTAATACCGCGGGGCTAAGTTTAAATTAATTATATTTATTAATTTTAGTATAAGCCTTTTTAAAAAAAATAAATATATAAGTAAAAAAATTATTTATTATTATATGTAGGTCCTGTTATTTCTAGGGCGCAAGCTTTAATGCCGGGAGTAATGCGCGAGGCCGGAATAAAGTTTATTTTACCTAAAATATTAAAAATACTATTATTAATAGCTTATTTAATATTTAATACTTTTATTAACAGCTTATTTTAAATAGTAACACTTTTTTTAATAGCCGTAATAATAGTAAATTTAATAAAAATATTTAAAAAATAATAAAAAAATAAATTATATAAGTAGTATATAGCCCGCCTATATAAACCTATAATTTATAAACCCTTAATTTTTTAAATTTTTTTTATTATAATAGCTAATACTAAAGGTAATAATAGCACTACCTTTTTTATTTACTTGCCTACTTTTTTACTAACCTAGCTACTAGTAGCCTATATTACTAATATAATAAATTATTTAGGCTATAAATTAATAGTTTTAAAAAAATTTTATAAGTAATTATATTATTTATAGCGCGAGCTCGCGCTCCGCAAGCCTATTAATAAAAAAAATATAATAAAAAAAATTATAGCCCGCCCTGTTAACTAGGAAGCTATTATTAAGTAGTATATTAATATACCTATTAAAAATAATTTAATTTATAAGTATTACGCCCAAGGCCATAAGCTATTTATAAAGTATATTACTATGCTAGGCTACTTTAGTAATAATTATATAAATTATTATTAAAATAGTTTAGGTGTATAATATACTAATAAATATAAGTTATAGCTTTTATTTACTTATAAGTATATTAACTAATATATTTAGCTTTTATGCCGGGCAATAATAACAATAATAATAATAATAAAATAAAAAAAAAAAANNNTAAATACTGTTACCTTACCTATATATACTATTTAATTTACCTGCTACCTACACTAGCTTATAATTATAGTAATAATAAACTTTAATATTACTATAATTAGGCTAGCTATTATAGCCCGCGTTATAGCCCTTGTAATAAATAACCTTATTAATAAAGCTAGTTTTAAGGGTGTTAAATATAATAATAATAATAAATAAGTAATTTTTTTTAATTTGTTTTTCCTAGGGCTAGACCCTAGTAATAAAAAAGTTTAAATTTATTATAACTTATTAAGTATAATTAACTATAAATATTATTAAAAATAACTTATATAAACCATAGGCGGAGATCTAGCGTTTAAAGGTAAGTATTTAATAAAATATTAATATTATTTTAGTTTATTAACACCTTTTATCTAACTTTAAACTAATAAAATTAACTATTAAATAACTTTAAAAGCCTTACTTAAAGCATGTTATTATAGTTTATAGCCTGCTAGTTAAATACTATAGCCTTATTTTATTATTATTTAAGCTATATTTTACTTTTAATAATTAATAAATAACTATTACCTTATTTATCCCTATAATATTTAAAACTTAATTTTATAATACTAAGCTATATATTAATATAGCTACCTTTTAAAATTAAATTTAATTATATTATTTTTTTAATATATTATTATAAAAAATAATTTATAACTATATTATTTACTATATTTTTATATATTATTATAAAACTATTACCCGGCGCCCTAGCCGTGTAATATATTATAAATTATACTAAGGTTATAAATAACTACTGCTAGTAAGCACTAGCTAAAATATTATTAATATAAAAGTTAAAGTTATAGGTTAAGCACCTGGAGGCCACCTTTATATTACCTAGTAATATAAAGGTAATTATAATATAAATTATTAAAAAGCATTCTTTTTTACCCTGTGTTTAATATATGGGAGAAAATAAATTATTTATAGGTTATATTATTATTAATAGGTTACTATCTAGCACCTGCGCTAACTATTATTACACCTTAAAAAGTAAATATTATAATTATTATAGTAAGTACCCTAACTAATAGTTTATAAAGCTAATAATTAACTATAATAATTTAAAAATTAATATTAAAAATATTGTTACTGCCGCCCGTGCCGTAAAAAAAAAATATATAAAAATAAAAAAAAAAAAAAAAATAATAGCCGCGCCATAAAGTAGTTATAATATTACTTAGTAAATAGCTAAGTATTTACTTAAATATTAACTCTTGCCTAATTATAAACCCGCGGCCGCGCTAAGTAGCTTTATAACTTATTTAATATAATAATTACTTAAAAAAACACATTCGCCGCTGCCTAAAAGGCATTTACTAAAACATGCCTTAGTATTATAGCTAAGTTTATAAAAAAAGTAGGTTTACTAGTAAATAAAAAGGAAGGTAGGGATAAGTTTCCCGGTTTATTAAATAAGTTTAATAAAAAGTTATTAAAAAATAATTAGTATTTATAGGGCCGGACCCTAATTAATAAAGCTAGTTTAAATTATTATTTTATTTTTAAATTTATACCTATATTATTATTACTCTTGTAGTAAGAGATATTATTTATAATTATAGTAAATATATATTAGCAGCGCCTTAAATAATTATTTTTATACCTTTATTTTTTAGTATTAAATAAGCCGCTAATTAACTAGTTATAGCTAAAAGGTTTTTTAAATAATAATTTTTTAAGTAATTATACACGTGATATAGCCATGTATATAAAACCTAGTAAAAACTTTTTATATATAGTAAGGTTTAAAATAGCTTATTTAATAGTAACACCCTAAGCCTTATAAATTATTATT